CCCCCCCCCCCCCAAAACAGCTAAAACCAAAAGGACCGCTAACCAATATTCCATCCAGGTTACGAATATCGCACAAAATTTGGACGGCACTGGCGAGCAGACTTGGATCCCAAACTCTTTGTCAGTCGCTGCAGCGCTCCTGGGCCCTCTGTTCTCCTCGGCGTCGGATGTTTTCCAGGCCCGCAAGCAGATCCTGCTGGTGACCTGCACGATCGCGTTCATCGGTTCCGGCATTGCACCAGGGGCACAGACTATGGGCCGACTCATTGCCGCCCAGGTGGTCATCGGTGTAGGTTACGCATCACTCCCTCTGGGATACGCCATTCCTAGCGAGATCTTGCCGAGGAGATGGAGACCGAGTAAGTGGCTCAGCTCATCACTACAAACCGATATAACTTATGCTAAAGAAGCCGGGAAACAGTCGCACAAGCGCTCATGAATACCGCAGCTGGATCTGCGACAATCTCGGGTCCTCTCATGATAGGGGCATTGGTTAGAAATAATCCCGTGGATGGATGGCGCTACTACTACGTCCGTGCTCCCAATGCTCCGACTCCAACAACACGAAGCTGACCCGTTGTAGTGGTTTGAAATGGGGCTCTGGGGTCTTTGTGTACTCGCTCTCTTCTTTGGCTATCAGCCACCAAAAAGAAACACCGCGATGGATCACTTGTCGTTCTGGCAAAAACTGCAAAAGCTCGACTGGATCGGCTTCGCCCTTTTGACTGCCGGCCTTTCTCTCTTCCTAGCAGCCATGAACTTGGGCGGCAATCAGTATGCGTGGACGAATGCCAGGGTCCTGGTCACACTCATCCTCGGACTAGTGATTATGGTCGGCTTTGCACTATACGAATGGAAGGGCACGACGACTGGCATGATACACCATGACATCTTCAGCCTCGGCCGTCGATACACACGGACATTCACGTTCCTTTGCCTGATATTCGCCACTGAGGCTGCTCAGCTCTTCGGCTTCATAATCTTCTACCCAATCCTGTACGTTGATCCATAGCAGGCCTGCTATAGGATTCTAGTTGCACTATGCTAACGCCGTAACAGGACACAGGCCCTCTACGAAACCGATCCCTTCTTGATTAACGCCCGGACCGAGCCCTTCTGGATCGCAGCAACGCTAAGCAGCCCGGTCTGGGCCTGGGCTAGCACCCGCTTCAGGAACATTCGCGACCCACTGCTGGCCGGCCTGGTGATCTATGTGGCTGGCAACATTGGTTTCACGACGCTGCAGCCCGGCCAGAGTCTCAATGCCCTAATCTTTGCAGGCATCGGTGGAATCGGCTTTGGTGCGCCACTTGTCGCAATCATCTCTGGTATACAGCTCTCCACGCCCCACTCTTTGATCGCGACAGCAACCGCATTGGCGGTGTGCTCTCGATCGATTTTTGCCGCTGTCTTCACCGCCATCTTCTCGGCCGTCCTCACCAATCGGCTCCCTGGCGAACTCGCGAGCAAAGTGCCACCAGCTATCATCGCTGCTGGTCTGCCTCCTACTTCGGTCGAAGCATTCATAGCGGCCTTGACCTCAGGCGACACGGAAGCACTGCAACAGGTCGCAGGAGTGACCGCCGAAATCATCGGCGCGGGTGTTTTGGCCCTGCAACAGTCATATGCCAACGCAATCAGGGTCATTTTCATCATCGTCTCTGCCTTCGGCGCGTTGGCGGTGGTGTTCGCCGCGTTCATCGATGACTTGAAGAGTGGCATGAACTATCGCGTGGAGGCCCCGATGGAAGTGCTTCAGGCCAAGGATCACCATCATGCCGATGACACAGTCATGGTCAGAGACAATTAGTGGATATGGCTGAGGCTTGGAATGAAGGGATGAATATGTGTCCACATCACCGATTCACGGATCTGGACCGCCTTTCGCCGCTATCCGTGAATACCGGTATTATGCTAGCCTGTCTCCTTACGATCCTCGTAGGATGCTAGGAAAAGTTCCTCTCACAGAATACATTCGCACCGAAAATGCGTGTTTCTTCCAATCTTTCTTGATAGATTGAATCTGTAGCTTAGTATCTCCCGCCTTTCGTTCCCTGTGGCCCCTCGGCCCCAACATGGGAACATGGTAAGCTTGCTGACAGACTTTCCTGACGTGGACTCACTCCCTTTCCTCCCTCCCTTTCCTCCCTCCCCGTTGGCTGTCCCCACCTCCTTCTCCATTCGACGCCACTAAAAGCGATCTTGACCATGTCACAATCGTCATCCTCTTTGCCTTTACAGACCAGAGGCTGGGTGTGCCTGTACCATGCCTCCTACCGGAGACACTACTATCCACCAGTAGCCAAGCTTGTCGACTCTCATGCCCTATCGAGGGAGATACCATTGCACCATCTTGTCTGGAGGTCCAATATCTACTCGCACCATGAAACCCCACCCCATCCAATCTACCCACCCACCCACGGCAGTGCAGTTCAGCTCTCCCAACGAGCCTCCAGCCAGACTGCATTTGTTTCGCCCAACCGCCCCATGTCGCTGGAATTTCTGCCGCCTCTACCAGAACCCAAATTCGTGTCTATCTTCTCAGCTCTTCCGATGTCAAGTTCGACCAAGAATCGAGGCCTCTGGCTAGAGTCGCACGCCGAACATCCAAAGTTGGTAGATCTCCCCGTTCCCAAAGCTGGCGCAGGCTCTGTCGTCGTTCGCGTGCTTGCGACCTGGCTCCCACCATATACCGCAGGTATCCATGATGGAACTCTGTCGGTGTTTAACCTCTTCCTTCCGCTGGTCCCCAATCCCAGCAATGTTGGGCGCATCCATGAGATCGGCCCGGATGCGGTGTCGTTGAAAGTGGGAGATCTGGTGTACACCACTGCGTGGATCAAAGCCCGTGACGATCCGGAGATCACCATCCTCCAAGGACATCACGGCGGAGAGGGCCCTGGTGGTGCCAAACTGATGCAAGGCGAGTGGCGAGATGGCGCCATGCAACAGTTTCAAAAAGTTCCACTTGAGAACGTCTTTGTGCTGGACGAGACAAGACTGTGCCACGAACTGGGCTATTCGGCAGCAGAACTGATGGAGCTCCCTGTGCACACTATGGCATATGGCGCATTGTGTGAAGCGGGCAACCTGCAGCCAGGAGAGACGGTCATCATCGGCCCAGCTACTGGCACCTTCGGACCTGCATCGGTCGAGCTAGCACTTGCCTCCGGTGCGAATGTTGTGGCGCTCGGGAGAAATAAGGCGAAGTTGGAGGGGTTGAAAGAGCAGCTTCATGACCACAGTCGCTTGCGATGCGTTGTCATGACTGGCGACGTTAAGGAAGACGCAGACGCCATCATCGATGCCACACCGAGCAAGCGAGGCGCCGAGCTGTTCAACGACTGGTCTTCGGCCACCTTAATGGATCCTCCGTACTTGCAGGCAGCCATAAGAGCCCTCAAGTCTGAAGGGCGGGTGGTGCTGAGCGGCGCTCCCTCTGGTAACATCAACGCCCCGTATGCTTATACCATGCACAAGAACATCCGAATTATTGGAAAGATGATGTGTGATCGCCGGGGGATCCAGTCGACGATTGAGCTCATTTCATCTGGGTATTTCAAGGTTGGGTCAAAGGCGGGAGCCGTCACATCGACCTTTACACTGGATCAGCATGATGAGGCTTTCCGCTACGCGGCGGAGAAAGGGGGCTGGAAAAACTACACGTTCATGACTCCGAACAGTGAATGAATCTCTCAAGTTGGACACGCGCGAGCACGGAGATCGAATTTTGGTCTGCTGTATTGAGCGGCGCTCCAGGCGTAGCAGTTACCAGTGACTCGCACAATGTGTTGCCCATGCCCTTTATTTCGTTTAAATTACCCCCTAAATCCTTTATAACGACAAGCATACAGAGACATTCTTGATGACCACAGTACTCAAGCGATAATCTTAGACTCAGAATCGTCAAAACTATGTTTCATATATCTAAAACGTCCAGTAGTCGAGCTCGCTTACAGGTAGAGGCCCAGAAAATACCTGGGTGGTCGGTATCACCCATATTAGAGTGTACATATGCAGCTATCATAGTTGACTGTGGATAGAAATTTAGATCACAGCAAGGTATCCATGATATCTTGTTTCGGATGAAAGCAGGTTCAATATGTTACGAACTATGCGAAGAACTGATGAGCGAGAGCTATTGGCTATGTTAGCCTCGTGAATCCGAAGAGCGAGTCATCTATATCGACTACTCCACACGGTCTCTGCTAGACAAGGAAGCGCTCAAACCACTGTGCCATCTGGTCCTCAGCATCTCTGGAAGCTTGCATGGCTGCTTCATCCGCTGGATCTGCCCGAACGGCGAAACCGTGCTTTGCGCCACGCAACACGACCACCTCGCTGTCAACGTCCTTCTTGCTTTTCAAAACATCTTGCAACTGCTGTATAAGCTTGGGACCCAACGCGAAATCTTCGTCCCCGACAGCAACACTGTAGGGTAGCGTGATTCCTTCGATGTCCTTCGGGATCGTCAACGCGCTGGGATGGGCCGAAAATCCGGCGTCGATCAAGGCTCGCCCGTCTGCGCCCACCTCCCCATGGGCTAATCGCGTGACGTGGTATCCTCCCCAGCAAAAGCCCACGACGCCTACTTTGATTCCTGCATCGCTATTGTTGCGGAGCTGTTCAAGAAAGCCGGTGACCCTAGAATACCGCGACGGCGGAGAATTGCGGTAGAAGAACGGGGCGAAGGCCAGGCCTGCGTTCAGCACGAGCCATCTCGATTTAAATCAGAAAGAGATGCTCAGATGTTCACAGGGGTTCTCATTGTCATTGTCGAGCGACTTACGGTTTGACCAGCCAGCCGTACCAACCTCCTTCCGACTGGATTCGATCCGTGTGTTTCATCAACCACTGCGGTGCTGCAGTGCCTGCATCCCAAATCGCGACGTTCAGCTCCGACAACGACGACCATCATTGACCCGTTGCAAACAGATGGTGAAGGACTCACCATCCATGAAGTCCGGCACGTATACCCGCATCCCAGTTCTATCGGCGTATGAATCTGCAAGCAAGCGGATGTTCGGTGTCGCCCAACCAAAGGCGTCGGAGATGATAACCTGGACAGCTCGACGTGTCGAGGCGTTGGCAGACGGTGTCACAACATAAGCCTTGTAGCCATGGTAGTCGATTTCGCTCCCACGCGCCGTTCCGGCTTTAACTGTGCCTTGGAAACACTGTGAACAAGCCATTCCGTAGTGCGAGACTCCTGGACGAGAACACCTCTCACAGCTGCACTCAAAGGTAAATGTTCTTCTACCTACCTGGATTAGCTGGGAATGAAGTGGCCCTGACATAGGACAGAACCGGGGATGGGGTGGGTGAGACAAGGCGGCGTGGTGGCGCAGTGGAGCATTCCCCATCTTGGAGAATTTTGCCCAGCTCCAGCGGAGTCCCAGCAAGGTTTGACAGTACACAGAACAAGATACCGGGGGAAGCTCAAGGCGGTCCTGTGATCATCCACCCACTTGGCCGAAAAACAGAATGAACGGTGCTCGCGTGGCTGGTAGTCGACGCCGGTCTTGGAGCCCAAAGTCCAGGCCACGAGACCAACCCTTTCGGTCTGGGTGTTTGTTGCCCTCAACAGCTGCCCGGGGCCGGAGGCCGGCTACTACTCGAGACGCCATTTTTGAACCCCATCTCACTATCAATACTATATTCTGGTGGCGCGTGGCATCATTCTGCGAGGCACGTCGGCAGTGAAAGCTCAATGCGAGCCGCTAGGCCGAGATCAGCGCCGAGGTCTTTGTCTGTACGACAGCAGTTGTTCGGGATATGGCGACCTAAACATTGGAAAGGAGACCCGGCTAGCGATGGTCTGGCTATTCAAAGCTGGCAATCCCACACAAGGCTTCAAAACGGTAGTGAACATCCCCGCCCATCCCCCACCGCCACAAACTCCAGGCGTTCTTGGTTCCTCGTTCGTTGTATAATCAGTTGCCACCCTGCTCCTCCAAAGACTCCCCACTCGAGATTTAGGTGTGTATTAGGTGTGCATTCAGTGCCATACCCATTTACAGTCTTCTACAGGCCTCGAATAACTGGGACTTGGGTGCCTCAAGGTTGGCAGACGAATGCCCAAGGCTTCCATCGTCCTACAACCATTCCTCACTACACGGAGTACGGAGTATCGACTATGGTCGCACCAACCACTAACGGGGCGAAGTCCCAGACGTATCGGTTCTCGGCTGACTCTATCGTACCTTTCTGGCTTGAAGGCAAGGAGATTGTCACCGAGAGTACCTTTGACGTTATCTCCCCGTTGGATCAGAAAGTCCTCTACCGCTGCGCATCTGCCAGCGAGCGCGACGTTGACAATGCCGTTTCCGCCGCGCAAAAAGCCTTGGACGGGTGGTCCAACACAAAGCCCAAAGCACGACAAGACATATTCCTCCGCGCCGCAGAGGAGTTCAAGCGCAGGCGCGATGAGCATCGTCACTACAGCTATACCGAAACCGGAGCCGCCGAAGCCATGTTTGGATTCGAATTCAACGGAGCCTACGATATGTTCAGAACCATTGCCGGACTTATATCGGTCGCAAGCGAGTCCTCAAGCCCAGTGGTGGATGCTGCAGGCAGCAGTGCACTGGTCATAAAGGAGCCATACGGGGTTGTTCTTGCAATCGCGCCGTGGAATGCTCCTCACGTGCTGGGACTTCGAGCTTCCCTTCAGCCACTGGCGATGTAAGCTACACCGACTCTGATAAGCATCCACGTACTGATTTCCAGGAAGGGGTAACACAGTCGTTCTGAAAGGACCTGAGGCCGCGCCAGGAACCTATTGGGCCATTGCCGATGTGTTGCACGCCGCTGGACTGCCCGCTGGCTGCCTGAACACGATCTATCATCGGCCACAAGACGCCCCTCGGATCACCAGCGCCCTCATTGCGCATCCAGCCGTGCAAAAGGTCAACTTCACGGGTTCAACGGCCGTGGGGTCAATTATCGCATCCCTTGCCGGTAAACACCTTAAGCCGACTGTGATGGAGCTGGGAGGCAAAGCGCCCGCCATCGTGTGTGACGACGCGGACCTTCAAAAGGCTGCCTCACAGTGTGCACTAGGTGCATTTCTACATGCAGGACAGATATGCATGTCAACGGAGAGGATAATTGTTCACGCCACAATCGCAGAAGAATTCCAGCAGGTTCTGAGAGCGAGCGTCGACCATCTATTTAGCGACGGCACAACACCACCTCCTCAGCTTATCTCCCAGATACCAGTGGAGAAGAACAACAAGCTCCTCGCTGATGCCGTATCTAAAGGTGCAAAGATCTTGTACGGTGATGTTAACCACGATGCAATCTCAAAGACCGCCATGCGTCCCGTCGTGGTCGGAGGAGTAACCCTGCAGATGGAAATCTACCAGACGGAGTCCTTTGGGCCGACTGTAGCGCTATACATCGTGTCGTCGGATGACGAGGCAATCAAGCTGGCGAATGATACCGACTATGGCCTTTCCAGCGCCGTATTCACGGAAGATCTGCGCCGAGGACTGAGAATCGCGAGGCGGCTGGAATCTGGCGCGGTGCACATCAACTCCATGAGCGTCCACGATGAGTCTGGATTGGTGCATGGGGGTGTGAAGAAGAGTGGCTTTGGCCGCTTCAATGCTATGGCCGGGCTGGCTGAATGGACCAGGACGAAGACTGTGACATGGCAAGACTAAATACCTAGGAGGAAGTTGACTACTGGGCGAATAGAGGACATATGTTCCGCTGATGTAAGAAATAGTTTACTACCTAATAGTCTTATCATCACTCATGGAGAGTGCCTCACGGCCGTCGGCTATTTCACCCGTGGCAACAAAGATAGGAGATCGTCACCCGGCACTGTCGCTGAGATGTAGTATGGCTCGTCGTGTAATCACTGTAGGAACAATAAAATCATGGAGGAAGAGGAATATGGCACCGCGGAGCCTTCCATGATCATGCTGGACATGATTGCGCGCTCTGGAGTTCAGGTCGAGAGTAATTCTGAGCCGTCAACCTCAAGTTGCGGCTAGATGTTCTGCGCCAGGCACATTCAAACAGCCACCACGGTAGTTCAGATGCCCCAAGGGACAGTCCAATGGGATCTTGAATGCTATAAATATGGGAACCGTTATTCTGGATAGATATTCGAGGCAAGAGAGCAAGAACGAGTGCTGGTCACTTTACACCCTCCAAGGGAGTGAAGTGGCAAGGAGTTTGCGAAACACTTGCTCGCACCCGGCTCTTGCATTTCTGTGACTAATAGAGAGGCGACATCCTGAGTATTTACAATACCAGATATCCAGACAGAGATTATGATCATGTCCTTACTTTATTGGTTGACTTTTAAGTCGGGCATTTTGTTCATCATCTGGGAATGAACGACAGATTCTACCTCGGTATTTCTCGGCCTTGGACTCCTCTTGAATAATCTTTTGATCCATATAGCCGTTTCGATAACTTCGGAAGGTATGACCATTTCCAAAACAGGGGGAAAAGAGGCCACTGGTCTAGTACAATCGGAAGGTTTTCTATACCCAATACCAAGGCTCTCCCCACAAAAACCATCCGACGACCCCTCGAACTCCAATGGCAGACAATCATGAATCTTTCCGAGATACTCGATACTAATGTCTATAAGTCAACACTGACCATGCTATTCATACAATATCCTTCTTACGTTCGACTGAAGCAGGACTAGATTGGTGGCCCCACCACTGAGACACATTGCTAATCGGCGAAAAAGGGCATTCTCAGGGCCAAGATGGTTCAGTTACTAGGCTATATTATCTTATGCCTTCTGAATCTCTTCTACAGCCGCACACACGCATGCACGCGCGTGAGCTACACAAGCGGAGTGGAAGACGGGCACCGCGTGATAATCGGGCGCACACTGGACTGGAACATTCCTCCCTATTCCTCCATCTACGCCTTCCCGGCCGGGATCACACGAAACGGCAGCGCGGGGGAAAACTCGCTGGAATGGACGAGCAAATACGGGTCGGTGGTAATCACGATGAACGACGCACTGACCTTTGACGGGCTGAACACTGAGGGGCTGCACGGCGGCCTGCTGTACCTGACGGGGACCGACTTCGGCGACCGAAACACCTCGCTGCCGGGCCTGTCGGTCAGCTTCTGGGTGCAGTATTTCCTTGACAGCTACGCGTCCGTCGCGGAAGTCAGAGCTGACATATTGAATCCTTCTGGCGAGCAGCGCTTTCAAGTCAGGACCCGCGGGATCATACCCGGATTGGCTACGGTCGTGCATCTGGTGCTAGGCGACGCTTCCGGCGATAACCTGATCATGGAATACCTCGACGGCAAGCTGTACCTGTACCAGTCTCCAGAGTACCATGTCATCACGAACGAGCCTACGTATGACCAGCAACTTGCGCTACAAGAGTACTGGCGGAACAGGGCAGAATGGACTCTGCCAGGCACCGCCGGTCCAGTCGACCGGTTCGCACGCATGGCGGATAATCTGCGGCGAGCGCCGGTCGCCACGACTATGGTCGAGGCTGTGAGGATTGTGCAGAGTCTTGTACGGAGTATTAGCGTCACGCTTCGGACACAAGCGACGTCGGTTTCTAATGCACCATCACTCTGGCGCATTTTGGCCGATACGAAGGACAAGAGGTATTTCTATGAGAGTGCCACTGATGGCGTGTCTCTCTGGATCAACATGTCGGCTTTGGACCTGGGCACCAGGGGCAATACGAAGAGAATGTCTCTGGATGCTGGCAGTGCTGGCCTTTATGGTAGGTATGGCGATGCAACTGAGGACTTTGTCAACGCCGAGCCCTACACTCCTATACTCGCAAACTCGGAAACTGGCGATGGATTTGGTGGTACAGGACCAGTAGATATCATAGGTCTGCCAAATATAACTATGGTTCGGTAGACAGTCGGTCCTCGCTGCTGACAATCAAAAGAACAAGAACTCCCGATTATTGGAGGTTTGGGCGCTGAAACCCACGTTTGCCATTCAATATGCAACCAACATGGTCCTTTGATGGAGCCAATAATGCACGCTCAGTGGTGAAAATATAAACGCAACATTGCCGAAGACGTAACCATTGGACATTAAGGGGTATCATGACATGCCGTCCATTATTCTAAATTTTGCACTCCCAGTGTTTAAATCACATTACTCTCTGAAGATCGGAAAGGTCAGTTACAGATATCTCATTGCAGGGGCCTTGGAGGTCACTTACACATTCGCCTTTGTCTTTGCCCTGCGGAACTCCCATTTCATCGAATGTCTTGGGCCCCTTGCCGGGTGGCCGTACAGGGGCTGCAGCAGCAGGCATTGCATTCGGTTTTGACTGTGGCGCTTTTCCGGGTGCATTCGGGACAGGATTGGAAGGTGCCAGATTTGCAGCTTGCACCTTTTGAGGCGGATACTGATTGGAAGGAGTTCGATTATTCGGATTCTGGCTGGGCAGGCCACCATAGCCAGAAGATGGAGTGCCTGGTCCTGGTCCTGGTCCGGGCCTGTTGTTTGGAGGACCAGGCCTGCTTTGCTGTCCCACATTTTGGCCCTGGCCTTGCGGTTGGCTCGGTCGAGATGTTGTTCGGGGAGGGTTCATTGCATTGTTCATAGTACCTTGTCCCATACCTGGACCGCCAGGCTGGGGTGTTCGTTGCTTTCGGGGAGGTTCCAAGGGAGCAGAAAAGCCAATATCTGCCCGGATTGGTGGGCTGCTTTGTGGATTGAGATATGGTGAATTGGTGCCTTGTCTTGGCGGCGGTTGTACTTGAGGCACGCTTACTGGACCTTGATAACCACCGTCTGATGGCACACGACCACCATGGCCGTAACCTTGAGCGGAGCCCCTGCCATCATTGTTTGAATATGGACGTTGTTGAGGACCCCCATAAGGCATCGGTGGTTGGCCATATGGATCTGGTCTCCCGCCTCCCATGGACTGTGCCGAACTTGCCCGAAGGTTTGGATTGATGCCAAAGGCGGAGGTGGGTCGGATTTCCGGATTTGGCATGCTAGGGGGACCAGTAGGGTACGGGGCTGCACTTCCTGGGCGTGCAGGTGGTTTTTGAGTATTGAGAGATAATCGGGATGGATCTGGCATATTCAACATGGGAGGTTCGTCAACTTCGCTCAACGAGGGCAATGAAGGCACAGAGGGTGCTCCAGGGGGCGCCCCGATAAGAGAAGCTCGTTGTTGTCGGATCTTTGATAGCGCAATACTTTCATGATCCTTTCTGGACAGCGTCTTTGACCTAGAGATTGCATCCACCCTGCCTTCTGCGTCAGAGTTCCCTCCCTGCGAGGCTTTCCTATACCATTCTTTGGCTTCCCCGAAATTGACGGGAACGTAGATACCGACCTCGTAATAATACCCGAGAGCAAATTGGGCGGTCGCGAAGCCAGAAAGCGCAGCACGCTGCGCGTAGGTGAATGCCATCTCTTCGTTCTTCTCGAAAAGTCCTTCATGGCCGCAGAGGAACCACTTGCTGATTGCCAGTTCCGCCTCAGGCTCACCTTGACGGGCAGCAAGAGCATTGTAATGCAGAGACAGTGCAGGGTCAAAGGGACATCCTAGTTCGCACAATTCGTAAGCCGAGCCCATCTTGAGTTGAGCCTTTGCGAAGCCTAAAAAGGCAGCCTTTTCGATATTGGCCTTGGCTCCAGGAATATCTTCCGGCAGATAGTGCTCAGGAATGGTTACCTGGGGCATTTGGTGGGCTTGAAGCATGCCAAGGACGTAGGCACCTTGAGGGGCATTTTCATCGGCAGTTTTAGCAGCCATGTAGATGAGGTTGAGCCCGCGTTCATAGTCCTGTAGTTGGCCGTGCTGACCTAATAGGGTCATCATGCCCAGTCTATAACACGAGGCAGAGTCGCCCTTGTCAGCACCCTGTTGGTAATATTTGACAGCCTTGAGGGCATCGTTGGATGATTCGAATTGCATTCCAATTCGATAATCAGCGCGGCTGTAGCCTCTCTCAGAAGCTCGGCTGTAAGCGAGAAAGGCCTCCTTCTTGTCAATTCTATGGCCAAATTTGCCGAATTCGAGCCACATGGCCCTCATAAACTCAGCCTTGGGGTGATGCTGATCCGCCAAGAAGGAGACCACTTTGACAGCATCTTCTCGCAAAACATGTTCAATGCGGGGGGTGATGGACCGTGGTGCTTGGGCTAAAGCTATGCGCTGCTCGTTCTGCTGACAAGTTTCAACGTATGACAAAGCGTCTTGTGCCCAGAGAAGCTGAGTGTCAGGGTCATTGCAGCTCAACACCGCAGCCCTTGCAGCCTCTAAAGACGCTTCCTTCTGTTCATCGGTGGGGGGAATATTGGGAGGAGGGTTTCGGATGACGGGAAAGGGAGAGAAGTTAGGTTGTTCGAATGTGGCCGGTTGGCCAGGAGAGGGAATCCGCTGCTGGTAAGATCCTGAAGGGTGGCCTTGGCCACGAGGCTGCTGGTGTTCATTGTACTGTTGCTGGTATTGTTGTGGTGGTGGCAGCGGCTGCTGTTGCTGCTGAGGCCATTGGGTCTGCATGGTGTTGGTGTAGTCTGCTGATTGAGGAGTGTAGACAGAGCCCGAGTAGGGAGAGCTGGGACTGGAAGCAGCATGCTCCATCTGAGCTACATTTTGCTGGATATTAGTGGGAAGTTCATGTGCCCTAGGTCTGGTCAGCAATGTGAATGCTCCACAGGACACTGCGTGCTTGCTGCGTGGTGAGGACTTGCGTACCTATTGGGTGTGGGCTGAATCAACTCTGGCATGTAATAGGAGTCGTCGCCCCCGGGGACAAATGTGGCTCCTATCCGATAACTCATGGCTGCGAGAGCGATGAGATGAGCAGGAGGGGACAGGGGAGAGTGGGCGTTTGATAGTTGAGCGCAAGGTTTCAGGCTCGGAGGCAGGGTTGAGACCAGAACCAGTGATCGCCAACAGTCCTGTACAGTATCCGTACGATCGCCCTGAGTTGAAGGGCTAGGGGATCGAAGAAGGACACAGTAACACTGCGCTCTGGTTCTGGTTCTGGTGCCGTACCAAGGTGTCAATAATATGTGTCGGGTGCTGGAGCGAAATAGAGAGGCTCGGCTTACGTGGAGGTGGATGAAGTTGGAGTCCTTAAGCTGAAAAGTGGGGGTGGAAAGTCTGAATGATCAACGGGTGACAATTTCCGGGAGCGAGTGATCATGCCGCAGCCTCAGGTGGACCTGGAGTCCTTGACAAGATAACAGTGGTACGACCGAGTAAAAGTGACGAGGAACGGAGGAACAGGAGATTTGCAAGCCAACTGTGAACAAATGAACAAATTCCGCAAGATTGGTCCGGCAGACATGGGGATTGCCAGGGTTGCCAGAAGAAGCAGGCAAGGCGCAGGCGCAGGTGCACGTGCAGGTGAAGGGAGGTCAGCCTGAGGGTGGATTGTGCGGCGTGCAGACTCAAGCGTGTTCGGAGTGGTCGATGCGCGGGAGGCTGCAGTAGAAAGTCGTGTAAGCGAACTCGTACCCATCGGCGCAGGTAGACGAGGCTGCACAGGAATGAATGACTTGGCTGACCTAGCCTGGCATTCAGCCCCCTTGGCCGCTCTCTCGGCCCCCATCAGGAACAGTCGACGGGGAGAGGGGTCTCGCGGGGGGCACCAGATAGGCTTGAACCGTCCCTCGCTAAACCCGCTATCAGCCCGAAAGGGGCGCCCATTTCGTGCTCAGCCTCAGGCACTCAGGGAGTTACGGTCAGGTCACTCGGGACTCGGGACCAGGGGCTTTTTAAGGGTCTCTGCCTGGCGGGGGCCTCAATGCCAGCCAAAGGAAGTACCCTGTACGCAGCGGATGCCAAGCCACACTCTGCAGCAAGGCTCTCCATTTTTGGAACAACATCCCCGCCACGCCACATTCCTGCCTGCTACGAGTACATCCTGCCACTCCTTCGGAGGCATCATTCAATTGCCACGCATGCCTCGAACGAGGTCCCACTCAGTAGCACTCCCTACAGTACTTACAGAGTATTGCACTGCCAGGTGACAAAACACACTGCAATCACCTCCCCTGGGTGTGCTACATGGGTATTCTGGGCGGATACTCTGCATCCCTACTCGTGCCATGTGCAAATCATAGGCATATAGAATTGTCACACAGTAGGCATAGTGTATGCGAGGCACAGCCGAAACACCATTCCTTGCATCAGGCTGGAACTCTGTGCCGCCGCCTGCCGCCTCGTCTGGGGTTCGCTGGTCCAGGTCACGTTCTTCCGCATTGTGCTCCAGAACCAGAAAAGGGCACAATATTATCATTGTCGCATCGCAAGAACATCCCAATCCGCTTGTCCGGCTCAGGACACACGTGGCCATTTCGCACATCACTGCCGTGCAATCTCGCAATGTCTTGCGGCCTAACTCTGCCACTTACCACGTTACGACGCACTGCGTACTTATCGCTAAAGAGTGTGTGGAGACTCCCCAGTAAAACCAAGGCCTATGAGAACTAGTACATCCCATTATTGGAAATCATCCGAGATTGCAACAATGAACCCCTCCAGGGAAGACTTCTGCCATCCCTACCAGCCATATGAAATCCAACTTGATTTCATGAACAAACTCTACCGCTGCATCGAGCATGAGAAGGTCGGTATCTTTGAGTCTCCCACTGGCACAGGTAAATCACTCAGTCTCATCTGTGGAGCCCTGACGTGGTTGCGAGACCATGAACGACGCTCCTTGCATCCCACAGACGATGGTGATGGAACAGTGGATTGGCTAGCTCAGGCTGAAGCCTCTGCACGTCGTCGTGAAATTCTTCTGGAGCGAGAAGAGCTCGAGCATAGGCTTGCCGCTCTTCGTCGACAGGAAGCCAAACGCAGCCAGGCGAATGCTAGTCTCAATTTAGTGAAAAAGGCCCGGCTGTTCCGAGAGCAAAAGCTTCAGCATCAATCGGCTGAGGACGACTTCATCTTGGACGACTACAATAGTGACGAAGAGAATGATCACTTGGCTCCCACGACTTCGAATTCTGGCCTCTCAACTTCAACACAGGCTCTTCTCGATAAACTGCAAGCCCCATCTAAACCACAAGTTGAGGAACAGGAGCATGATCGATTGAAGCTCATAATCTGTTCTCGTACTCATTCTCAGTTGACTCAGTTCGTGAACGAGCTCAGGCGAGTCAAGCCTCCATCTATTCTTTCTCCAGCTGTCGCAGAACAGGCCCCGGAGAATGTTGTTGAAGAGTCTGTCAAGCACTTGCCCCTCGGGTCACGCAAGACCTTGTGCATTAATTCCAAGGTGAATCGCCTGACCTCTGCTACTGCTATTAATGACCAGTGCTTGGAATTGCAAAAACCTGGAACTTCAAAGGATAAAAGATGCCCCTATCTGCCTGCAAAGGATGATAAAGAGCGACTCGGAGACTTTCGTAATGCAGCAATCGCACGGATAAGAGACATCGAGGACATCGGAAGTCTTGGGCAACGCATGGAACTTTGCCCCTATTATGCTTCCCGAAATGCCATACCTTCGACAGAAGTGCTGACGCTGCCATACCCCTTGCTACTACAAAAGTCTGCCCGGAATGCATTAGGCGTGTCAGTCAAGGACAACATTGTCATCATTGATGAAGCTCATAACTTGATGGACGCTATCGCAGACACCTATTCGATCTCGTTACAATTGTGTCAGCTACAGGAAGCCGCAAGGCGGACCACAGCATATGTTGCCCGTTTCAAAAATCGACTCAAAGGAAAAAATCGAGTGTACGTGACTCAAGTAATACGCCTTCTGAATTCTATTACAGATTGCTTGCGAGCAACAATGAAGCTCACACCGCCGCAAGAGACAACAGTGACAGCGACGCAGCTCATGTCAGGTAAGGGTGTCGATCAGATCAAACCCCACAAACTCCTACAATACTTGTACGAAAGTAAGCTTGCCCACAAGGTTGAAGGGTACACGGAAGCTCAAGGACAGCAGGAGGCAAAGTCAAGCCCCGCGAAAGGCGTCCTCATGCATTTCCAAAACTTTCTCGTGGTCCTTATGAATCCCGATGATGAGGGACGTTTCTTCATCGGCAGTCAAGAAGGTGAGCCTGTAGTACGTTACACTCTCCTTGATCCTAGGGAGCACTTCCGAGAGATAGTTCGAGAGGCCAGGTCCGTTGTGCTCGCAGGTGGCACCATGTCTCCGATGTCTGACTATTCGGATTATCTGTTCTCTTACCTTGAGAAAGACCAGCTTCAGACTCATAGTTTTGGTCATGTCATTCCTGAAAGCAATTTGTTTGCAAAATTCATCACGAAGGGTCCTTCAAATATCGAATTCGACTTCACATACAATAGCCGCTCATCAGAGTCAATGATTCTGGAGCTAGGCCGGCTAGTCCTGCGGGCTTGTCAAACAGTCCCAGATGGTGTCGTCGCATTCTTTCCAAGCTATGACTATCTTGCCAAGGTAACTTCTATCTGGCAACGGTCACCAACATCACAGCCCATGATGGCCATGTTGCAAAGGGCCAAGAGAACATTTCAAGAAAGCAGAGGTGTTTCCGTTGATGATCTTCTGCGCGATTATGCGGCTGCAGTCGACTCCGGATACGGTGGATTGATGCTCTCTGTCGTCGGTGGAAAATTGTCGGAGGGTATCAATTTCTCAGACAAACTAGGTCGAGCAGTCATTGCTGTCGGACTTCCCTTTCCAAATTCCAACGGGGCTGAGTGGAAGGCAAAGATGCAGTACGTGGAAGCAATACAGTACAAGCAGTGCAAAGACTTGAAAGGAATGGATGACTCCAGTTGCAGGGCGGAAGCAAGACGAGCAAGCAGGAATTTTTATGACAATGCCTGCATGCGAGCAGTCAACCAAAGTATTGGGAGAGTCATCCGCCATAGAAACGACTACGCAGCTATTCTGTTGGTCGATCGAAGATTTGCGACCGACCGCATCAGACAGAAATTACCTGGCTGGATTCAAGAGAGCATGAACAGGGATGTCGAGGCCTGGGCTAAGATTGAGGATGGTCTCGGCGGCTTCTTTGGCCATAGATGGGATACTACACGAGCAATAGAGTTATAATTAAAGGAGGTAGAACACTCATTTATGTGCCTCCAGACTTGATCTCCTGATCACGACCAAAGGTTAAGCGGCAAGCAATAGTCGTTGCCGCTGGAAGGACAAGTGAGAACTCCACCATCAAACCCGGAAAAACATTAATCCTTGCCAAGATTTTGAAGACTATACCTAATCGGATCGTCTTCCCACACAGACTGCGATGGTTTTTCCAGAAAGTTGATCCCAACTCCAGACCACTCATTACGACAAACTTCAGTCTCAACGCCGCCAATATGCCTACGAGACTGACGAAGACAAGAAAACAGTGAGTATATCCTCTCCGCTCCTCTACAATCTCCTCGATCCCCGACCGATTGGCGCAACCACGAATATCCCGGCCTCCACGGCAGAGAGACGATGAACCGTCAGCAACCCGACGCCTCGACAGCAACAAGAAATGCGATTGAACGAGTCTGAATTTTCGCCTACTGTCTTCCCGTCATTCAAGAGCCCTCAATCACTTCACGCATCACAATACTTTCCTTCTGAGGGCCAAAGCTAATTGATGGAATTTTAGCCGCGGCCATGTGTCCGCCGGAAAGGGTCGTGTAGGAAAACACAGAAAGCATCCAGGTGGTCGTGGTCTCGCTGGTGGTCAGCATCACCACAGAACAAACATGGACAAATATCACCCTGGGTAAGTCACCACTACGAAGTTCTGATCGAAGCGCTATGCCAGCCCTCGTCACAAACACGAAATATTTCAGCTACTAATCCTGCACAGTTACTTCGGAAAGGTCGGTATGCGACACTTCCACCTCCAGAGAAACCACTACTGGAAGCCTACGATCAACCTCGACAAGGTCAGATACTTCAATGGTGTGGATCAAAAGTGGGCAATAACTGACACTTTATAGCTCTGGTCATTGGTTCCCGAAGAGACCCGCGAAGCCTATGTTTCTGGCAAGAAGACTGATACCGCCCCTGTTCTCAACCTCCTTCCTCTCGGATTCTCCAAAGTTCTAGGCAAGGGTAGAATCCCAGAGGTTCCAATCGTTGTCCGTGCAAGATGGTTCAGCAAGGAGGCAGAGCGCAAGATCAAAGAGGCTGGTGGCGTTGTTGAATTGGTCGCATAAGCGGTGGTTAAAGTCCGAAATCATTTTTCATTCGTGTGCAAGTGGCAGAGCCGTCAGGAAGGGTTCATCCCGGGAAATGCATGAAGGGGTTCCAACCACGCGAATGAAGAGACGTTGCTGGCCTGGTATCAGACTCGAGCCGCCTGTAATGCAAATCGAAATCAAAATCAAAATGCCATGATCAAAAATCGACTTTCTCACGACATTTCTTCTCCAATCCTACTACTACCTGTCCGTGAACCGCTCTGGCACACCTCTTTGGCAGCTTCCCATTTAACCAAGCGCCCATGACTCCCACCATCTTTTACCCCGATGTTTATGGATACCTTAAATCGTACACAATTTAAGGGAACTAAAAGGCTGGATCACGTGGGTTCGTGGGGCTCGGTAGACCTGCCTTTGATCTCACAGCCTTGTCGCGAGATTTGGAGACACGAGGCGCGTCTAACTCTCAATTAATCCATTTCAGACAAGTGTTCTGGAGATAAAATTCCCACCACGTAACATTGCTTCGGCTTGCGATAATGTATTATGGCAGAATCTGCTACCCTGATAGATACACCGAAGAGAGGGAAGCTTCAGTCACAAGCTAACGATTTGAAGATCGCATTGAAAGATTTCGAAAGGACATTTGCCGCAGAACATGATGGCAAGAAACCCGGTCGTGAGGATATCAAGGCCAATGCCGAGATTTCAAGCAAGTACAAAGAGTACAACAAGTTACGAGATGTTATAGCCGGAAAATTGGGCATTGATGCCCTAAATGTGCCATCACAACAAGAGCAGAATGCTCGAATTCGACAGAGGAAGCATCACCGAACCGATAGCGCGATCAGCTTAAACCCCCACCGACCACACAGCATGGAGACTCCCTCCAAAGGACGGTACCATCCGAGCCAACTCGATCCGTATGACGCACCAGGCTCTGCGTCACCCAAAGTTATGCTCCAGACCGTGGGCCCGACACCACATCGTGATGGCACAATTCTTGGGATCTTCGACATGTTATATTCATCTGGAGGGTCGCGGAAGAGCTCTCAGGAGACTCCATCAGGAGGCAAGAGAAAGATAGATGTTTTATACGCGGATGCAGTTGAAACGAGAGATTTGCCAAAGACCATCACACAACCCCCCCGACGGAACCAAGATGGGAAGTCAGTCAGTCAAGCTGAACATTTGTCTACATCGGTGCCGAGGTCAGGAGCTGCCACAGGGAGGAGAAATCACTCTAAGACCCCGGTTAGTGAGAGCAAGAGATTCATGTTACAACACTTCTTCACAACTCCAAGCGCAGTGCGTTTCGCGACCATGCTGCAGGATGAGGCCGGTGCTGATGCGAGGACACCTGCTGTACATAAAACACCGCTGCGTGATCAGGTACTCGGTGTATCACCAGCAAAGGGGCAAGTCCCAGCTGCAGCAGATGCCACACCCCCGTACCTGAAACGGTCGTTCTCGTTCAAGGAACGGCTCTTATCTGTCTCAGGGATCCCAGCGTCGCCTTCGTCTTCACAACGCTTGGCAAGTCCAACATCTACTCGAATCCTCGGACCTCGGACTCTTCCCCGCGCCAAGTTCGCACCAAAACCTCTGAGCCAAATCATCGCAGATCGAGCAAGCCAGCAGAACGACCAACCGAGGGCGATGGAGGTGGATGATAATGATGACGACCTGGACGCACTGCGTGAGATGGAGGAGGAAGATCTGAACGTACCCGTTGGTGACAGTAAGAGTCACGATTCTCTGGTCGCCGGCGACTTTGAAGGATCAGCCAGGACCTGGAAGAAGAAGGGGCAGAAGAGAACAACACGCCGAGCGATCATGAAACCTACAAGGATGAAACCGGCGGCAGCTCCGAGGTTTGTTGCTGCAGACGATGATGAGGCTGAGGATGACGATGGCGATGGCGACGATGACGATCAAATGATGGATCCTGACGTGTCTCGGGTTGAAGAGACGCAGCACCTGCCAGATGATGACGAACTGGAATACCTCATTGCAGAAGCAGAGCAAGCAGGCCACGACGAAGACTACACCCACGACACTATTCAGTGTGACTGGGATGATGACAACGAGGACCCCTTCCTCGCCGACCAAGCCGCCAGCGATGTCGATGTCGAAAGCCCAGTCAAAAGAAAGAAATCACCCGCACCCTCCAAGAATTCCAAATCCCATTCCAAATTCACATCCAGATCATCTCGAGCACTCCAGGACACCAACGGGTCCGAACTAGTAGCAAAGGCGACGACCAAGTCGAAATCCAAAACAAAGAAACCCAAAGCTCAGAAAAAGGATGCACAGCACAATGGCGATGGCGATGATGACGATGACGACGACAACAGCATCGTCGCCAGGAAAATCAACCCGAACGCACAATCGCACATGAACTTCCGCAGCCTGAAGATCAGGAACAAGAACTCCAGGGCCAAGGGTGTTGGTGGTGGGAGAGGGTATGGCCGGTTTGGGAGGAACAATAGAAGAAGGTAATAGGGAGTGGTTCGCAGCAGTAGTTGGTTCTGTGAAACGCTCTAGTTGGCCTTCTCGGACTACTGGTCACTACTGAGCGAAGAGCGAAAGTCGCGGAGTTGGGAAATGAACTGCCCGTGCGTGATGTGATACCTTTTTCTGATTTCTTTCCATCTGGCTAGACCAATATTGCCATGGCGAAATGAACATGCACGCTTTTTATTCTGTCAATGATTCTTTTCTGGGCTTTTGGAGCATTATATTCTGCGGAATTGTAGGACATCCATGCATCGATCGCCCCACGGTGATATGCACCGCACCAACGCCGGATAAATTACTGGTGTCCCAGGGACGTACACGACTATTCGCTGTTGAACTGGCTTTCGCTCAACCCTCACCACCCAAGGTGACGAGTTCTTTCAAGAAATCTTCTCCGTTGACCAGTTCGGTCGATCCGTAGACGACCCTGCGACTCCTAGGTGCGCCGCCGGCTCCAGACCCAGCAGCGCCCTGCCCAGTCGTCCTCTTAACCCATTCCTGCAGGTTGCCGTACTCGTCCATACTGCCGCCCCCAACCGTGAAGACGATCGCTTCCGAGTATCCTTGACGCCGTTGGCCGAAGCTAGGGTTTAGACCGGCGCCTTGCTGGGCCCCTGATCGTGAGGGTGGGTTTGATGACCCGCCGGTGGTGCCGCGCGCATGTGCACTGCGTGGGTCGAAATACAGGTAGTTCTCTGTCTTTGCAATGGCGGATGAGGATGCAGCCGGAGGGTCCATGATGGATTCGACGATCTTTGTTACGGTCAGGTCACGATTCGCGGGGAGGAAGTTCTTGACTCCAGACACCAAAGCGTCGAGATTGACGTTGCCGAACGTTGAGGAGGAAAGTTTGTCGGTGAAGTTCTTGGAAAGGGACGAAAGGCCGCCAAATAGAGGAGCTTGTTGGGCGGGCTGTGATGTGGAGACTGTAGAGGCCATCATTGTGCCCCGAGTTTCGAGCCTGACACTGGATATGTGTTTGATGGAGGCGATTGAGTCGCCAACCCCAGCTGCCGTTAAAGCAGACTCAAATTCTTGTAATTCGGATTTGCTGGGCTCTTTATCGACGCTGAGATACCAGATGATAAATATCCGTAGCTTGTCCAAAGGATTGTTACCTTTGTCGGTAGACTTGACGAGCGCCAACATCTGTTCTGTGGTTTGTTTTGCGATGCTTTCCTCCAGCTGGAAATAGTTGTCCAGCTGTCGATCCTTGATGCCTTTGAGCAGAGCCGTGGCTATGTTCATGTGCATATCAAGTGTGGCTTTCCGCTCCCTCAGCTCGGGCAGCAGTGTTATTGCTGCCTTGAGATGCGCTGCAGACGCCGAATTGTCATTCAAATCCTCAATGCTATTGACGCCAGTCTTTTTCGTTACCTCCTCAGCATCTGTTTTATACTTGGTGAGTTCGGCGTCGATATCCTCAGCCACCTGAGGGAATGGGGCGCTTGCATTTCGTGCCCAGAAGAAGTCGCTCGCATTGAGATCGTAGGCTCGAGGTTGAGCTGTGGGATTTGTTTCATCGGCCACGTCCACGGTGATACGGTTCAAGTGCATTTTGAGGACATCGTGTACAAGCGATTGGTACGTCCACGAGTGCGATAACATTGGTACGAGGTCGACATTTCGATCCAATATGACCAGAACAGGTCGTGAAGGAGTAGAGTAAACATTGGCCGTTTTCGAGGAGAAAAGGTTGTCTTTGGAGTTAAGGACATGATCTCGCAGCTTCCTATCCAATTTGGTGGCAATCATTTTTGTTAACTCTGATTGTGGACACCTTATAACAGGAACCGAGCCCATGGTGACACTGACGCTGAACAAACCGCTCACAATTTTGTCGATTGCAGCATCTTGAACATCCTCGCTGACGGTAGCACTATTAAAAGTCCAATAGGAGTTCTTCCCCATGCCCAAGCTAAAAAGATCTGGCTCTGCAACAATGAAATTCAAATATTGATCATACACTTGTGCAATTGCTTCCGAAGTATTGGTCGAGGCTATTTGAGCGGCGAATTCTTCTAGGAGAGGGCGACTTATTGAGGAGGTGAAGTTGATGTAGGCGGGTGTGTATAGCCCTCGAGCAAGGTCGGAACATATCAGCTGGATATTAACTGAGGAAGGCTCGACAAGGTAGAGTACTGGAACGTCGGGTATGGGGTAGCGAGGGGAGTTTATGTTCCTGCGACGGATTAGAGGCCATGAAGAGGCCGGGTTGTAGCGTCGAATGCTCACAAGTGTATCGTGACGCCTTTAGCCCGCAAGTCGTTCACCCTCAAGACGCTGCTGATGATATCCCTCCCGATATTGTCAAAGACCAGGACCTTCCATATGGGCTCTCCATTTTCGCCGAGCAGGGAGGTGGTCTGCGGACTGGTTGGGGCGTCAATGGTTGGGACAGAGGAAGAGGGTTCTTCGTGATTCAGGCTCAATATCCGCTCGATAGCGCCTGAAAACTTAGCACACGGTCACATCTAGGATTAACAGGTTCGAACACTTACCTATCTGGCGATCGCGCAGTGTCTGCGGACGAGCAGCCATGGCTGTGGTCTGCTGGCGTTGAAAGGTCGAAAGGACGAGAGATATGTTGCCAGCGTAGAGATCCGGCCATTCATCTCCTGGACAGGGAGGCCATCAGTGAAGACATGCTGGCATTATACAATGGGGACCATAGCCTGAGGCACTCCTACGCAAAACACTGGCACGCCAACTAACCGCCTTTGATGAAGCATATGCGTCTGCTTGGCAAATCTGTCATTTTAGCGGTCGCTAGTGCCCTGGAGCGGCGGTCTAGCTGCTTTTGGATTAGGCCGGCTGGACTCGGGACAAACTTGAAATCGACGTCGCTTCTCGGCCACTCTCCCTCTCACATTCTCATCACAACAATCATCCTCTCTTTGCCCCAAATCATCACGATCCCATCTGTAAAATCTCTTCGGCACGTCTGGCAGTGGTCTGTAATAAGTGAAATTGCATGGTATTGCATCTTGCTTCACGCATGGGCTGGAGTCGGGGTGTTGAGGCTGGCGTGACCGTGGCGCGTTTGTTTGCTCTCTAATATCTGGTCCGAAGAAACAAGCCATCTGAAGGTTTTTGTACAGCCATCAATGACGGAGGATCAAGTACATTAGTGTCTTTTCTCAGGCTTGGTCAATACCTAGACGCTTTCTGGGCCTTGCGGCTCGTCAGAGTTGGTTTTTACCAGGTGGAAACAGAGTTGGTTCAGGAGTCTGGGGACGCCGGGTGGCCCAGCTTTCAACACCAACCTCGCAGATCATCTCAAAGCCTTGACTGGCACCTTTCTGACTGCCATAACCTAACTCACATCCCGACGATCTTAATTCCTACGGTTTTGCTCTGTGTACGAGCCAGATCACGCTACAATTCCTGGGTCATCGCACTTTTTGGGTCCTTCATGCAGCCGAGCCTGTGGTGGTGCCTGTGAGTGGCAATTCTCGGCATAAGCCAGAAATACTTCCCGCTAAACCTTCACCGTGTCTCACGTGATCGCCACCCAAAGCCACGGCACGTGACACTGCCCTAAGAGACCTCGCTTGTTCTCTTCGGCCATGGATCCCTCCACCAACTCAACAATGAATGGTGCTCACCATGCGAATAATCCATCTTACAGTTTCCTAGATGGAATCACACAATATGAAGATACCAACACATTGCAGAACGGCGATGACTTCTCCTCCTTTTTCGATCCTGCTCTCTTTGAGAGCACTGCAATAGGCCCAGGCTTCTCCCAACAGAATCAGTCTATCCCTCAGAATTCCTTACAGCCTCAGTCGATCTCTCAGAGTAACTTCGCTCAAAATGTACCAAGGCAGTCCGACAGCCCAGGGCTGCCCCAATACAACTCGACTCAACCCTCCTTCTCACACAATCAGTTCTCCCAACCAATCTATAATACCCAGTCACTTTCACACCCAACTTATGACCCTCGCTACTTTTCGCGACCGTCAGCCTCTCCCGTTAGTTTTGATGCCTACAGCTATCAGCCATCCATGGGGTATCCCAACCAACCGTTCAATCCACAACAAATGAACATGCCTCCTCGGCAAACCTCCACTCCGACCAACTATCCTCCCAGACAACAGCAACCGTCGCCCTATGTCAACATGGCACAACGTCCATCACAATTACCTCAAGTTCAGGTAGCCCTCCCCGATCACCGATTCTTTTCTTCTTTGGCTTACGATTCTACAGAACGCAGAATTGATGCATTACGGGACCTTCCAGGATCCGGGCCAACCATCGTCCAATTCGTTTGTTGATCCAGCTCTCTTGTCTGCTAATCAAATAATGAGCACGCCGAGTGAGTATTCCTCCGCTTCCACAAGGTTCCGTATCTGACGTTCCAGAAGGTGGGAGCTCAGACTTCTCAAACCAGCAGCAGTTCCTGCCATCTCCATACTTCCAGAAAAATGGCCCAAACCTAGATCCGATGGCTATACAGGGCACTCACAACCTACAGCAGATGCCACCCGGGGCAATGCCACATATCGGTCTCAATGGTGGGCCGATCACACTCTTTGTTCCATGATTTACTAACCCACCTAGAACCAGCAACACTCAATAAATCCGACTCTACCAAAAAATTCATGATGCCGAAGGATCCTCATGTGCCGAAGAAGAAGAAGGCGTCTAAAAAGGGCGCTTCAGGAGCTCTCAAGTCAGATGGACATGCCTCAGATCCGGATACTGGTTCGGATTCGAGTGACGACGAGTTGACGATAGAAGAAGAAGCACCTGAAATGACTCCCGCTGTATTGACGGTTTCTGCCCCGACTGATGAACGAGGTAGGGCCATTTATGATGCTGTAAGCGCGGTCTGGTCACCCCGGAATAAATCCGTACCTGCCGAGAAAATCCGAACGGGCATAGCCGGGTTTGGGGACACCGTGCGAAGCTTGAGAGATTCCTGGAAGCTCAAAAATGACAATCTTCGCAAGGCCGAATTACCCAATTCACCAACAGCAAGTGAGGCGACTCGGTTAAAGGAGGAAGCTGCACGCTATCGATCTGCCATGGAAATCGTCATGGCTCGGTCACTGACGTTTGGACACCCAGCTGTGGTAAAAAGGTATGTTCCTTCTCCGATCCCATTCCATAACACAAAGGACAAGAGGCGATTTTATTGCTTTAATTTGCACTCCTACCTAGGCACCTGGCCTCCAATTCAGCCCTTGCAAGTTTTGCAACTCAGCTTTTGGAACGGTATTCGGAATGTAGTGGTGTTGTCGGAGCAGAACGTCTTTGCGCATTGCCATAATGAGTACATTCATAGTTGCATGTCCATAGATCGAGTACAAATATTTGCCTCGCGTGTTATTGGGAACCAACCGGCTACACTAAGCAGAGGCGAAACCCTATCTACCGTCAATTCTCTAAAGCCTTTTACTGATTGTTCTCTCTAGACTAGGTGAAAATCAGTTCACGATGTCAGCCCTATACTCGTTCATGCTCGACAGATTCAACGCCGGAGACTATGACAGCTCTTTAGTTAGCAATATTATGAAGGTAAGATTTCAATATATTACCTACGTGAAAGATCAGGAACTCATCTCAGAACAGTTTGTTGTCAAATTCGAGACTCTTGATGCAGAGATGCTCGAAATGACTAAATTATCCAAGATATTGCAACGTTTCGCGAAGAAGGCAACCAACGAGTCGAAGACCTTGGCGCAGAACATCCTTGACAATGCCGCGGCTGCCACCGCAAAGAAAAGAACCGATGCAAGCTTGGGCAAAGTTTCTTCACCGGGGACAGTTGATAGTCCAGGAACTGCAGCGCGAAGGGAAGGAGTGACTGGGATCAAACGGGCTAGGGAAGGAGAGACAGCCCCTCAGCCAGCGACAAAGAAGGTTGCCAGAGTGGCGTCTAAACCTTTAGCAGTGCAAAATGCCGAACGTAGAAGGGCTCTAGAAAGCAGTCAAGCGGCGAAGGATGGCGGCAAAGCCACTGGGAGCGCGACAGTCGCATCAACTGGTGCGGCTTCCAAGGGGAAGGTGGCAGTAGCAGCACCTCCCAAATCCGCAGTGTTCTCTTCGCTAGTCTCGGCCTCCAAGAAGCCTGGAACATCCCTTGCGGCACGGGCTGCTGCAGCAGTGAAAGACAAGGTGTCAAGCGCACCCTCAACGACGAGCACGTCTCAGGTGAAAGACACTGCAAAGAGAGACTCCCCTCCACACAGTGCGAATATCACCGTGCCTCTGACCAAGGCAGGCGCGTCTTCATTCCTAGGCCTATTAGCCGATATAGAGAAGAAGCCAGAAAAAGCAGTAAAGAAGGATAACGACACTCTTCATGAGACGGAAGAACAGAAGGCGAAACGCCTAAGAAAGGAGGCTAGACGCAAATTACGAGTTTCTTGGAAGGCCGATGCAGACCTTGTGGAGACGCGTCTATTCACTCACGACCCAAGTGAGGAGATTGGCCATAATGACAGTCAAATGCGGGATGCGGGTGATACAGGCCGTGAAGGTGAAATGCTGAAACTTCACAAAGGCATGGAGGACATCGACGAAGACGAGGAAGACGACGACTCTTTCGATGACCTCGAACCATTTATCCCACCGACAGAAGTTGATTTCAGTGTGCTTCCAGACGATGATCCCGAAGTAAGCCCAAGCACAATCAACGGATTCAAGTTTGGTGGTGCAATGAAACCGGAAAGTGCGACCTGTGAATCCCAAAACAAGCACGAGTTAGAGACGGTGATGGCAATTTACGCGACCAAGGCTGATCGCCCCTCAACGCCCAAGGAACCTGATGATGATGAGGGTGAATTCGAGCCTGCCGAGCCAGAAACTCCATTTGGTGAGCCAAACGAAAAAGTCAGGGCCCGAGAGGAGGAGCACCTAAATCGCCAGGCTCGGTTAAGACCTAGCAACGGCATATATCCTTCAAAGAAGGATTTGGCATTGCAGATCCAAGCAGGAGAGATTCCCACCGAGCTCCAACGTGCTCTGAAAATGTTTGGTCAACAAAGCCAACCAACCCAACCCACGCCACCGCCTCCAGCACCAACATCCGGGGTAAGCCTGCCAAACGAGGCTCTCCTTCTCGCTTCAGTGCAGCAAATCAGACAACAATTGACTGGTCAAGCACCGCAAACACAATATCAACCTCCAGTTCAGAACACCAGTGCTCTGGCCAATATTGACCTGGCGGCCTTGTTGGCATCGATGAAACAGCAATCCCAGCTTCAAGCTCAACAACCAGTTATACCGCTAGGGCTAGGGGGCAACTCTTCACCGTTCGTTGCCGCCTCCGACGATCCTTCCAGAAAGCACTCCAGAACTGACTCGAATGAGCTCGAGGAGCCAGGGCGTAAGGGAGGCAACAAGAAGAAGAAGGCTGGCTTCGTGGCCGATCAGTCCAGACCATACAACTACAAGACCCAAGTCTGTTCATTTTGGCAGCAAGGAAAGTGTCTCAAGGGCGATAGTTGCACTTACCTCCATGGTGACGAATAAGGAAGGACTTGACCATGGCTGCCAATTGCTCCAGCAAACTCTCCCGTTCCAGTTCCATGTACAACACCTCGACATCAATTTAAGCGAACGACAGCACGACCACTTCAAGCTTACCGCGCATGTTTTATTTTGTTCGGCATTCCTCTTTTCAAATGCACATCCAGTAGGCAGGCATGCAGGCATAGAGAAAGCAAGAATCTAAATGCCTAACGAGGGCGTGATGAGGCTCTATAAACTTGTCGAGAACGCGGTGAACAGCATCTACATGGCTAACAAGTGAGTTTCAGCTGCGTTCTCATGGCGTTGCCGATAAGATTGGTGGAGCTTTAACATATCAAGACGTATCGCTGCACAGCAAACCCAGTGGCAGGATTATTTACAGATGAGGTAGACTTGCTTGGTGCTATTATCACTGCGACACAAGCCCCCAATGATTGTTTTCTCCGACTCATCGTGTTGATTCTGTAGATTCTCGTCTTCCATTACGACGGCGTTGCAGCCTTTGGTAGTCTTTTTGATGAATTCTTCTGCGGTTAAAACCCGCCGAGGCCTCGAGTAGTATCCGTCGTCACCAATGCTAATGAGCATAATCTTCGGTTTCAAGCACAAATTCACCAGCAACGGGAAAGATTGGTCACAGGCTTCCTTGCGCTGGTCTTTGCACCTGATTTCATAGTGTGCAGGCCCATTATGGTCTCACCGTCGATAGTCGAGACCACTGACGCCGGACAACAACTCGAACTCAACCATCTAATCATAGTCTGCTGTCACGCGATCTACCTAGGGACGCCGTCACCGCCGTCAAGCACAGCAGAAAACTGGACAACCACTGTCTATCCGCAGCGTTGCGGGCTCCCTAGCAATGATGAATCTAATTGGCTGATTGAGCCTTTCCAGAAAGGCGAAACTGCAACTTACATCGGACACGTGGAGGCTGGAGTCCGAGCACTTGCAGCTGATGAGCATGCTATCTTGGTGTTCAGTGGTGGTGCTACGAAGCCAGATAAGACTGCGAAGACAGAAGGTGATGGCTATCTGGTGCGTTCGTGTCAGAACCTTTTCGGTCCTTTACAGTCAAGCCCTTTTTCAATCATGCAACGAATCAAGCAGCCACTAACGAGGCTCGAAGCTCCTTCTAAGTACTCGCTGCTGACCTCAACTTCATTCACTAGAGTGTGGCGCTAGAGAATGGTCTGTTCGGAAATCCAGATGCGACCATGTTGCGACGTGTGTTTGTCGATCGATTCGCAACTGATTCATACCAGAACATTCTCATGACTCTCATCCAGTTCCCCTTGTTCGTACAAGAATCACTGGGCAGCAACAATATAAACAAAGCGGGACGAGCGCTCTTTCCCAAGAAGATGACCATCGTGTCCCACGAGTTCAAACGAGCGCGATTCTTGGATCTTCATCTTCCTGCCTTGCACTGGCACGGAGAGACCACTTTCGTGGGACTCAATCCTCCGTTTGACCCGGTCAAAATGGCACAGATCGAGTACGGGGATAAACTCCGCGGGTATGGAGCATGGGAGAAAGACATCTACGGGGTTGGAGCGGATTTGGCAAAGAAGAGAACTACCAGGGGCTGGAACGAAGAGAAGTTCAAGGGTGCAATACTGTCGAGGCTACCAACAGACAGCCTTAAAACAGAGCTTCAAGATTTCGTGGGACTGCGCGACTGTGGTCAGAACCTGGCAGAGACGTACCAGGCGAGACTGCCCTGGGAATGAGGTTGCAAGTGCTCGAGGCTATTTAGTTGTCTTCCTATGTACGCTTCTTCCATAGAACTAGACCGTTTCCATAGTATATCGAGCCGTGATCGCCTCTTGGGTTACATGAGTTGAAATTATACAAGCATGGACCATGCGGTTCAAAGGATGTGGCTGAATAACAGAGATTCGGAGTGTGTGGTACTGTACCTAGGAACGGAGTAGATGTTTGCGGATATCCATGATGCCCTCACACTACTTCCCAAATACGGCAATTGACGCGGGGCAACTTTTACAAGGTCTTTAGACGCGCTTATCGATAAGGAACCGGATCCAGCTGAGTCATCCACGATAAGGCAGGCCGGAGCGACCGGCCTCCGATGGTACTGGTGGCGGGCTGGCGGCCAGGCGGCCAGGCGGCCAGTATGGCAGGCGAGATGGATCAGTTATCGCATACCCCTCTTCTCTCTTCCTGTCCTCCAAAGCTCGTCTGCCTTGAGCCATCTTCATAATTTGAAACATTTATCACAACACCATCCACAATGGCAGACCACATTCTACCGCCATGAATACCAAATTACCGACTTGTAGAAGGACACGACGTTTCCACACACGATCTAGGGCAGGATGTCTAACCTGTAGAGCTCGTCGAAAACGATGCTCTGAAGAGAAGCCCTCCTGCCTCGGATGTCGTCGCAACTTCTTGATCTGCACGTGGCCAAAGGCTGCAACAGAGAATGGCTTGACTCATGAGGGACCTCCAAGGGAAACATGTATCTCAGATGTCGACTCCCCGCCGAGCAAGGCGAGCTCGTCCACCGAGCATTCACCTCCACCTCCTGGCTTTCTAGAGTTAGATCTCAGCCAGGTCTCTCAGGCCGAAGCAGTAGATTGCACGCCTTCCTCAGATAGCTCGGCCTCGGATTGTTCGGGGCATTCGGCCGATCTAATTCTGTCGCCTTCAAACTATCCACGGACACTGGCCACGCCAGGGGCTCAGCGGCTGTACCAACACTTCTACGAATCAACCGCAACGATGCTCGCAGCACGTCCTACTCCACAAAATCCTTTCGCAACCAGCTTGTTGCCCCTTGCAGTGGCGCATGACTATGTCATGCACGCCGTTCTGGCCATTAGCGGATCCCACTATGCCAGTTCTAAGCGCGACGATTCCACTTATCCTCTCGCCCAGGAGCATTATGCCGTTGCACTACGATCAGCCAAGCATCAGATTACCAGGTTCTCGCGGGGAATGTGTGAAGACCCGGCTGCCTTAGTTGCTCTACTATTGATGCTCTGTCAGTTCGAGGTACAGGAAATACCTTTGATTCCACTGACAAGGCAGAAATGCTGACTTTACACTCAGTGCGTAGATGGCAATCTGCACGGAGCCGTGCTACATCACTTGGAGGCTGCCGGAGAGATCCTAGCCAGCCTCCCTTCCAACTTGATCAGGTGTCCCGACTCTCCCTACAGATTTCTGATTGAGCTATTCATTTACCATAATTTTGTCTCAAGGAATATGCCAGCCGGCATGAAGATGCAGCCGCCAACATCAGCGCTGCCTTCTCTTCTTGAGATCGTCGAATCTTCACAACAGCACCTTGACGGGTTCATGTTTGGCTATGCTTACGAACTGTACAAGCTAATTCCACAGATTCGCCATCTCTACTTTGCACGCTATCTTGATGATAGCCCTTATCCAGCGCCTTTCGACGCCATCCGTGTGAAGCTACAAAACTGGCGACCTGCAGAAAATGCGGGCAGTGAATGGTCCAGTACTTTACAAGTTGCGGCACATATTTACCAGCAAGCGCTATTCATTTATCTCGCTTGCGCTGAGCATGGCCCTAGAGAGGCGGATCTGAAGCTCCTCTCTTCAGTCCGGCCACATGTCGATCAGGCCATGGCTTTGATAGAACTCCTGCCAAGCACCTGCCCAGAATGGACGACTCTTTCGTGGCCGTTGTTGGTGGTTGGGTCGTGCCTACGTGATCGTTCGCAGCAGGAGTCTTTAATTCGCACTGGGAAGCGCTTGATACAAGGCATGTATTGCGTGCCGAAGATCAATAAGGTCCTGCTGTGGGTATGGGCAGATGATGCTGCCTATGGGCCTTATGGACTAGAGAAGGTTATGCTGGAACGAAACGTAAAGCTCAGCATCGGCTGATGGCTTCCAACCCGAGGCATTTCGAGCACTATTGTATCTCGTTCCCTGCCCCTAAATAAGTCATCGAACGAGTCGCTTTGTCAACCCCTGTCTGCTGTATGCCCCGCTTTTTTATAGTATCGATAAGCGCGTTTACTCTAACGCCCTCCTCTCTCTCTCGATCCATTTTTGCTCCGCATTTCTCTTCCTTGTACCCAGTCGCAGCGGATCGCAAAGTCGTCCAAGTCCTTGAGTCCCATAAGGAATGCTTCTTGGGAGCCAGACATGCCCGCGTTGTACATCCAATCTGCCATGGACATTTTGTACAGCAGATCCATGTCTCTTACGAAGCCAATCCGGCGTCGAAGTATGGGGTAGCCCAATACATGTCGTATGATTCAGACACACTGGACCGCGGTCGGACCAATGCAGGCTTCCTCCATTGCTTGATGGCAGTTACGGGACTGTGGTTTGTTCAAGCCGGCCTGAGAGCATGTGAGGCCTCCGTTGACCGACCTGGTCACCCTGCATCCAGTAGTTGGAACACCCCTCGACCAACACCGCGCCTAGATGTGAGGCCTCGGCTTAGCTAATCCGTCGTCTGGCTGTGCAGGAGAGCTACAGGCAGTCACCTACGTATATATCTCAGCGTGTCTGGAGGCACAATTTTTCTTCTACTATAATGGGTATTGAGGCTCCTTGCTTCTTGTCGTGAACGTTAAATTCCAAGCGCAGGGCCAGACGAGTCGTCCAGTGACAAAACACACACACACACACACACACACACACACACACACACACACACACACACACACACACACACACACACACACACACACACACACAAAATGTCTTCCCCGGTCCGGCTACAAAACCCACGCGCACTACAAGATCCCACCGAAACATTCTACGCACACATTGCAGCACCGGAGCCAGGCAGCCAGCTCGTCTACTTCGCGGGACAAGTCGGCGCCGACAAGCAAGGCAACGTCCCGGACGACCTCGTCGCTCAGACTCGCCAGGCCCTTGCCAACGTCAAGAGCTGCCTTGCCGAGATTGGTGGGACCATCCGAAACATCGTCCATGCCACGACCTACGTCGTGAACTACGACCCGGAAACGTCCGGCGTCATCTGGCCGGTGTACAAGGAGTTCCTGACCGATGAAAATGGCACGTACACCCCGCCGGGAACCCTCGTGCCCGTCCCAGCTCTCGCGGCCCCGCAGTTCAAGGTCGAGATTCAAGTCGTTGCCGCCGTACGGCCCAAGTCACGGCCCGTGGACGGTGCCACTGCCACCGCTGTGATCACGGATGTAGACGTGGTGGTTGTTGGCGCGGGCTTGAGCGGCCTTCAAGCCGCCACAGACGTTCAAAATGCAGGCCTTTCGGTGGTGGTTCTCGAGGCCAAGGCCCGAGTCGGCGGCAAGACGCAAGTGGTCAAGGTCGGCAAGGGCGTGCTGGACGTCGGCGCCGCGTGGATCAACGACAAGACCCAGCCGAGAATGTATGAGCTGTTCAAGCGCTTCGGGTTCGAGCCGCTCGTGCAGCGCGTAAAGGGCGATGCGTTTTTCCGCGATGCGAAAACCTCCAAGACCCGCACGGTCCCGTACCCTGATCTCCTGCCGTTGAGCGAGGAGGAGGCGAGTGTCTTTCAGAAGATCTATGCTTCGCTCGACGAGGACGCGAAGAAAATTGATCTGTACGATTCGACGGCGAATGTGCACATCGAGGATGTCTCGCTGGGTGAGTACCTCCGCCGCCACGGGGCCAAGGATCGCATGTTCTCCGTGTGGACCGCGTGGTTTCGCGCCTTGACTGGCTGCGAGCCTGACGATATTGGGCTCGTTTACATGCTCGACTACATCAAGAGTGGTGGTGGTCTGAGCAGTCTGCTCTCGGATGGAGAGGGTGGTGCGCAGTACTTGAGGAATCGGCATGGTAAGGAAAAGAAAACCTTAAAAACCCCCCTTTCAACTAGAATGTGAACGCAAAAAGATTCCAGGCCATAAGTCTAACCAGCGGGTAATGCAGGGAACCAAACAATATCGATCCGCCTGGCCGCAAACCTGAGGCCTGGCTCCGTTCACCTAAACAGCCCGGTGAGTCGCATCACGCAGACCTCCGACGGCGCTCTGGTCGAGACACTCTCGCGCTCCGTCTTCCGCGCGCGGAAGGTCCTCGTCTCAATCCCGACCCCTCTGTACAAGCACATCACCTTTTCGCCTCCCCTCCCCGCCGCGAAGCAGGAAATCGTCGGGTCGACACACCTAGGCGCATACTCGAAATGCATCCTGGTGTACAGTTCACCATGGTGGCGATCCGCCGGCGTCAACGGCGGCTTCTTCGACCTGTCTGGGCCCGTGGCGTTCTCACGGGATGTCTCATCCGACGAGGATGGCGTGTTCGCGATTGGGTGCCTTCTCTTCGGCGACTATGCGGTCAAGTGGTCGCGGCTGCCGCCGGCGCAGCGTGCGAAGGCTGTCAAGGACCAGCTCGCGGAAATGGTCTCTGAGGACCATGGGGAGCTGCGCAGGAAGGTGTATGATACGGTGCGTGTCGTCGAGAAGCAGTGGTTGCCCGAGCCGTGGAGTGAGGGTGCACCGTGCCCAATGGTCGCGCCGGGTGGCAATTGGGCCAGGCTGGGAAACGAGTTGAGAAGACCGTTCGGGAATCTGCACTTTATTGGCACGGAGACTGCGTTTGAGTGGAAGGGCTATATGGAGGGTGCTGTCTTGGCTGGTGACCGTGGCGCGAAGGAGGTCGTCGAGTCGCTGAAAGAGGGCGGGCTGCACCTCCAAGCTAAGTTATAAGTCTTGTAAATGGAGCGAGATTCGAGCGAGAAGATGAGCTTTGGCACATTAGGTAGACAGACAGCGTTGATCTATCGTGAGGGAATACTGCACAAAGTGGCCAGTCACCCCCACGAGAAAACAGCCCTTGATGAGTCAGGGATATTGACATTTGCAGCGCCTAATCACAATATCCTAGACGGACAGCCTTTTGGTCTCGATTTAAATTGGAAATCATCCAAAGCTGGCCCATCCCATCGTTCGAGCTTCGTGATCCCGATCGCAAAAGACTGCGACTTTATCCTTCAAAGTGTTTTGATGGCCTGTCTCCTTCTCGGTGCACTAAAAAGAACAACGGTAGACATCGAGGTTTGTCCATCATCCCTCGACTTCTCACCCTTCGTGGTCAAATCGTTGACGAAGTGACCCAGTTGCCGTTGAGGTGGCGGTGAAAAGCTCCCCGGCACCGGGCTGAGGGTGATCATGGGCAGTGAGGGTCTTAGGTGTTCATGGGATGATATGGTCTCTTCTGGCACCGATGACTCACCTATCGGTGAAGAAGGTCGCGTTAGTGTTGTGCTGTCGACAGGTGTTCCACGGCCGACTTTGGAGGACCTTGAAGCTGAGGCATTAAGAAAGGCTCCAGGGGCCAGACGTTGCAAATTCTTAGAGGCACGCCAATTCCGGTACTTCTTTCGCCTCGATACCCAAATATTCCACGACACCGCTGCACCAAGGATTCCAAATACTAATCCCATGCCGAGCTTGTCGATTAAGGTGCCTTTTCCGCGAGAGGATGCTGTTCTCCCTTCCAGCTGGTGGGAGATGTTTGACGGAGGAGACTCCCCATCACGTTGGTTGATTTTGGTAAGACTGAAGGTCACTTGGGACGATGGTTGAGTGGTTCCTTGCAGCGCGCCATCAGTCTTGTGCAGAAATGGTCGAGAGAACCATGCTGACACCGCGACAATAGGGTTTGGGAGGTCTGTCTGTGTGAAAATGACATCGGAATGGACGTGAATTGTCGTCATTGAATGGGGAAGACATGAGACAAAATTGCAACTCAGGTATAGCATAACGATAACCGCGACGATGAACGAGAGAAACCTTCCGGTTACAGCCATGAGGGTCAAAAGGGCACTGCACCAGTGCAAAGCTGTGCGAGGACAATGGAAAGATGATGGTTCATGAATCTTCGTAGTGATAAGGCATGTGAGCTTTGTGGAAGGAATGGTGCATGATTCATTTTCTGCTAAACCCACCACCGAACAATAGACCTGAGGATGACATTAGAGAGTCGCCCCTGCCCCCAGTGCCATCCGCCATCAAGCCGCGTGCAGGCGCACCGAACATCGAGCAGGTGCGGTGGTGACGCTATATTGATGTCTTACAATAGGATCACTTTCGTTCGTCTGGATGCCGTCGAATTTCTGAAGCATTCTCACAATGACATAGCCTGCTTCTGTCAGAGCAAATTGCTGTCCTAGGCAAATACGTGGACCTCCATTGAAAGGCAAAAACTCCCAGCCCGGTTTACGGCCGACCCAGCGTTCTGGTTTGAATTCTTCGACGTCGGGGCCCCATAGATCTGGCCGATGATGCATAATGTGAACGGAGTAATTGACCTCTTGACCCTTTCTTACATATATCGGTGAGTTTCCATCAGGGCCACCGCCTCTGGGGAGCGTCGTGTCCCTAGTCGCCTGTCGAGAGTTAAGTGGAACTGTCGGATACAAACGGAGAACCTCGGAAAGTGTGTGCTGAAGGTAGGTACAGCCTTTGAGGTTTTCGAAGGAGATATTTTTGGGTTGGTCATAGGTGCCAAAGTCGTTAAGAATGATCTCGCGGAGCTTCTTAAATTGTTCTGGGTGTCGGACAAGCAAGAAGAAGGTCCAGCCAAGGAGACCAGCCGTGGTATCACGACCGGCAAGGAGAATATTGAGAAGTTGGCTTCTCAACTCGATGGGATCTCTTGTTTGCTGTACAAGCTCTTTCAAGAAGATGTACTTTTCCTTCTTGCCTCCACTCTCTAAAGCGTGGTCGCTCAGAGAGGAAAGGTCGGTCGTCAGGGCAAGATTCACGTAGTAATCTGCAAACTTGTGGACATCCTTACAGTCATTCTTGAATTTTTGAGGGTTATAGAGCCAGTAAAGCTCAGCAAGACGTCCGCGTTGGCCGAGACACATGGTGGCAGAGTCAAAAGAATGGGCGAAGGAAGTCCAGTCCAGACCACCTGCTTGTTTGGCTTTCTGGTTATAACCAGGGAGAGCTGCAATCTGCGAATCAACACTTTGGCCAAAGAGGAATTCGGTTGCTGAATCTAGAGTCAGACGGAAGAAGAGAGGGCTTAAGTCGACGTAGTCGGTCCATCCATCCTTGGTTGTGAGGTGTCTGAACATGTCTTGGACATGGATTTCTTCCAGCTGCAAATCAGCGACTTGCTGTCGGGCAAACTGCGGCCGAAGCATTCCACGAGAGTGTTCCCTGCAAGAAGTCAGCGGCCGCGTTCTCGTGGGACTGTTGTATTGCCTACCATGCCTTGCCATCAACGGTGAAGATTCCATTGCCCAGCATTGGAAAGAAGTTACTCCTTCGTAGACTCCCAATCTCGAAGTCTTGGAACTGAGTTGCGAGCACGGCCTGGATATTCTTGGGATCTACCGTAACATATGCCATAGTCCCCAGGGCATTTTGAACCCAGGTAGATTTGCCTATCTCTTTATACAATTGCAGAAAATAATCTGGCACAACCTGGTTTTTATCGGCTTGGATCACTGCCCAGGTCAGATCCACAGCCAGGGGATATTTGTAAGGTCGCTCATAGGCTGGTTGGCAACCGCGTTCTCTTGCTTGTCGGGCATGGTAGCGATTGCTAACGAGAGAAGAGACCAGAGAGTAGACGACGTAAGCGGCGACCAGGCCACCCAGCGCAGACAGGTATTGATACATTGTAGGTGCAAAGCAATCCTAGGTCAAGGAGATATGGGTGCTTTGGGACGTTGGGATACAGAAAGCTATTCCTTAAAACCCAAAGTCTGGAGTTATACACGGCAGGGAAGGACTTGAGTAACGATATGATGCCTCGACAGTCGAAGCACGCCGTACTTCTGCATCAGAAACGGCGGGGCCCAAGGTAGCTATATTCGTGTGCCTCTAGCCTACCCATCCGTATCTACCTAGGCAACTCCAGGGATCCAGGTGGGTCGGATGAATCGTGATAGCCGTCACCGGGTGGCCCTTCGTTGGTTGAAGATCCCTGTTTTGGATTCGAACCTACCTCAGCAGTAATCAGTACTCGTACACTGCAAGTAGCAGGCACCCCAGGGCCTGAACTCACAGGTATCCACTTGATCGCATTTACATACAGTAGTAAGTTAGATGACCACGAGCGGCATCTCTGTGGTCCCAAAGCAATTGCGGAGCACGCCAGGTCGTGCCCAAGCCCCTACTAGACACATGGTACAAGTAAGGATGTATCGTACAAAGTACTCGGTAATGGAGACAACTCGCAGCCACACCTCGTGTTTGGCACTAATTAAATCTCTACTTCCCACTTCGTACGGTAGCAGAAAGTCCGAGTAAGAGATGGCGCTTACGCCCAAAGCCCCCCGCAAGGCCGCGGAATAGGAATACAGAGAAGGCTGCCAGTCTCGTATGGCGTACGGGCTTGGTCCACTCTGAGATGAGAATTCGTGACCGAAATTCTCGCTAATGGCGGAGGAGGGTGTAAGAAAATGATGTTACCTCGCATTCCTTTGCGAATCATACCTTCGTGATTGGGCTGTAGCAGTGCAGGCTTGAGAGCTCGGAGACTTACCTCGGTCGAATGTCCTGCATGGGCCATGGCCCTGGCACCGTCTCCGCAGTTGCAACAGGCCAAGAGTGCTTCATCATGCGAGGCGGGGCCGTGAAGACCTAGTACAGGACAAGGGTTAGGAGTCCTCTTTTGTCTATGAGTTACTCGGTACCACGAATGGAGGGTGAAAACCTGCTTGCGGTCTGAATAGAAGGGGCCATACGTCTTGGTGGGCCTGAGGGAGCTGAGAACCAAGCACCAAATATAGAATGTCATCAGACGGCCAGCTCCTGGAGGAGAATACGATGCTGACCCCCGGCATGCTGACTCTCCATACCTGACCTCCTTACGATCAAGGCTGCTGGGTCTGCGCTTTCTAGTATGGCTGACTACGTTCATCTGACTTCGATCCTGCAAGAGACTTGGCCGCAGGGTGCCGTTGGTAGCTCGAACCGGCAAAACCACGCGACCCATCATCAAGGTCAACCAACCTTTGCATTGATGACGAGGGCGGCGGGTTGGACGGTGATACACTAGAATTTGGATTTACGAATTTGGAGTTAATAGTAGAACAGACACGGGACGGGCTTTTGAATCACACCGCTTCCGTGCCTCGCAAAATCTTGTCATTTGGATTTTGTTTTCACAAGCTGAACTACTCGTATACAGTAGTATTTTGCGCAAAGGGGTATTTTGATTAGCGTTGGTTTCCGTTGGCAGGCGCCTGCGACACAGTAATGTACATGAAAGGAGCCTTGAAGATTGCTCAAAGTGGAGGGTACAGAGGATGCGGAGGTTCAACGGACCGCATCCTAGGAGGTCGAAGTAACGCACACGGTTTAGATGTCAACAAACTTCTTCAAATCTATTCAGATTGTCAGCTTCGACTACGCATGTCAAGATGCAAGGATTCCACTTACTCTGAAGCCAAGAGACGTATTCCTTCTGCTCCTTGTACTCGACGTAGTCCGGAAGGAAGTTGGCCAGCTCGGCGTTAATTCCTCGTTCCTCGAGGTATCGCTCTAGTAGGAGCTGCAGCTCAGCATCGAGGTTACCAACAGGCGGACCTTCATATCGAGCGTGTGCTTCCTGCGCCTCCTTGCCGGTCTCTGCCTGCAAGGCCGATGCCTTGGGTACGTAGTTGACTGTTTCGATCTCGATCGCGCCGTCTGCAGCCACCGCTGAAATCCGGAGCGCTTGGTCACCGGGCTTGGTGATTGTGATGACGAGCGATATAGGGAATCCTGGGGTGGAGCGATAGTCCTCTGGAAGTTCTCCAGCGTCTCTATCTGCTGGAGCGATACTGTCCTCAGGCAGAACATCGACCTTGCCCCCTCTTACACCACTCTGGTTGATGGCGTTTTTGCCATCATCGTATTCTGCCTCGTCGTCAAATGCAGAATCCTCCTCCGCTTGATCGTACTCTTCAGCGTCCAAGTTGTTGATGTCAGATATGCTGAACTCGATCTTGATCCTTGAGCCTTTGTCAGTGTCCTGTAAATCTCCTGCGATGAAAGGATGTGCTTACTGTTCGTTGCCAAACTCTCGCGTGAGGGCGACTTCATGGGTGCCCGGTTTGTCTGTGACCTCGAAGGAACTCTCTCTTAGATATTGATTGAGCTGCTCAAGTTTGGAGTTGTCATTGTTCTCAACCTCGAGGGTATATTCTTGGTCGATTTTGGCCGACAGTTCTTGATCAGCTGGGAAGCATGTTAGTCCACGTAGAAAACCGGGAGAATGATCCTTACACTCGCCAGCAGGCTCTCGACGCGAGCATGATGTTGAGAAAGCGGGATAGGATATTCTGGTTGCCGGCTGCCAGACGGGTCGATACAAGGGAGTCCTTGAAACTGATGAAAGGCATCGGACTGTTGATCTCTGGAATAGGGTCCTGGGCACGGCCCGGGTGAGCGCTCTTAAGGAAAGCATTGCAATTAGCTGTGTAGGATAGCGACTTCCACAAACGCAACGAGTGAAAATGTGTCAGAGATAGGCTGCGCGAAACAGAGATGGATGAAGCACTTCCGTCCTTGAGCACATCCATTCAGATCGCCAAGACAAGGAAAAACTGCGCTGCTCTGGTGGTCCGCGCGGCTCACCGTACCCATGCCGCTTTTATCCATGCTCACCCTCTCTCTCACCTTCGCACCGACCTCTATTTCCCTGCTTATGATGAAGTACAAAAACCCTTTGAACCCCGAGAGGGCTATAAGTTCCCTTCCTGCAGAATGTCACCCCGACTAGCGCTCCTACCATTACCGTTACTACGACCCTCCCTCCTATTTCATTAAATGATTAACCTGCGGCTTACCGGGAATGAGCCTCCTCCGGATTTGCCTCACAAGAGTTACAGCTTCGAGTTATAATGCCTTGTGGCGTTGTTTTGGCTCGGGACTACTTCTATTCTATGCCTTCTAGTCGTCGCGAGGCAGATATTCGCAGTACTACTCCTGTTCTGTGATTATCTTCCAGACCGTTACGCTGTCATGTAATATGTCTTTGTGGAAGAGCTAGGTTGAATTTAGATTTGGTCTTTCCAAGAGCAGATCCGTGACCAGCATGACCTTTTCCTCAGCTAGTCGAGGATAGTCTCCCTGGTACTCCGGAGCTGTCTCCCACGCCCCAGAGATGCTAGCAGGCCTTAATGCGTACACGTTATAGGAATCAAATACGTAGAGGGACGAAGCAGTACGATAAAATTCATCGATCTCTATGAGCATCTTTGTTTAGTGTGGACACCAAAGATGACCGACCATAGACTTCATTCGTGAGACGATCTCATGGTACGAGTGGTACGAACTCATGTTTCCATCTCGCCAAAACACCGCCCAGATTCGTGGAGAAACCCATTGGACAGGACACACGTTCGCACCCGGAAGACTGACCAGCATTGCTTTCCCCAAATCCCCCCAAGCGCATAGACTTTCAATTCCATCTAGAATCTTTGAGGACAAAGCTATCCTACGTTACCTCCGACCCTGTTCCAGGTGTATCCAAGAACCCAGCATCTTCTGCAGGTTTCCAAGTGGAGGAGATGCTTCAAGTTTGGATCACCAGGGTTCGACGACCATGGGGTGATGGTGTGACCGGAGACGTTGTACGATAGTCTGTTTGGTGTCGGCTTCGATGGCATCCTCACATTTCGGACATCGGTACCTTGAAGTCTCAGAAATGTTTCTTATCGGAAACATAGACTCGAGCGTCGTAAGAGAGATGTTGACGGTCAAGGGCTTCAGGATCGACGTGCTCACTCCGCTCCGACTCAGGCCTGGAATCGGCATCCTGTGTTAGGTCTTGGTGTTGTCCACTCCACCGGCAGTTTGTAGCTGGACCAGCAGACGGATTTCAAGCACGTATTGGTTTCGCTGATGACAAATGTACGGTCTGCGGATGAATCCGAGCAGCTTCGTCATCGCGTGATTCGAAAGAACAATGGTTGCAGACAAAGCCAACTGCAGCCTGTATGTTTTGGAGATGTTTGGCGACAGCACCAACCCCCGCAGAAGTTCGATGGCATTGTGGTCAATAGCAAGGTAGTTGAGCAGGTCAAGGTGGCATCGCAAGCTCTAATGTCCGGGTTCTCGACCAAAGAATTGACCAGTATTGGGTATCCGAAACTTACTCTTTGCAGGAAATGGTGCGGAGAACAAAAACAAAAGAGATGAAAGGGCTGAAAAATAAAATGAGCCAACGGCGAGGGTCGAACTCGCAACCTTGAGATTTATTTATAAAAGTCTCACTTCAAATTGTTAGATATAGAAAGGGACGTCAAGGCGTTTGTACATACCGCGCTAACCAATTGTGCCACGCTGGCGAAATATGCGAGGATTTTCAGTCAATTAAATTAAGACTGTTCAATTTCTGATGGCGCTCTACAAGGGTCTTTAGGTGGGTCTCAGCCTGGGACTAGTACTCCTCGGCACGCTTATTACTCGTACAAGAACATTCATTAAGCAATGGCTCAGTGCTTGGACGATGGGAAATCTTTCGGGGATGGCCTGAGCCATGGCTGGATCCGTACGTCGTAGGCTAGAGAGATCTTAAAAGATATCCTAATATGTGAGATAGGACCTAACGATGCTGTGCACAGTTCGTCGAGATTGCTTGTCATCACCTATCGGGTGAGACATCTCGGGAACAGGTACGAGTAGCGATGGCCTACTAATTCGATCAACGCCTGGCACAGAGATTCAGATCAAGTGGTGGGAAAACACATCCAGTGTGAGATTACCCCTTCCTACGCCGATGTAGACGGAACCTCGATTCGAAATATACGTGGCTTCCGGAAACGAATCGAGTGCATCACAGGACTCGTTGGTGGGCGAGCAAGAACTGTCAAACAGCGTCGAGAGTCTGCAGTGTTCCCGACCGGGCCCAATCCAGCAGTCTTCGCTCCACCATCCTCGGATCAGGAGAATCCCACCCAGCTCGCGTGCACAAGGGTGAGTACAGGGCGGCATCCCCTCGTCCCAGAGGGGGGGAGTTCGGCGTGCCAAGGTCTCAGATATTTTGTTACGCAGGACTCGGCGGCGAGTACATATGTCTTTGGTCATCACTCATTTATGCATCCGGAAATCTAATTCCAACAACGTTTGTCCACAGTACTTCTATAGTTTCCACTCCTCAACAATGCCGTGAATGGTATTGGGAAAATCAAAGAACTGCAAACTCGATCTCCCTGTCCTCAGGGGCATGCTCCACGATTAGCAGATGCCCGCCTTCCTACAATCTGCTGTCCAGAGATGACTGGCATCTTGGTGTCCAAATTCGTGTGAGTGTCTGCAATGTCTGAAATGCAGATTGAATTGCCATCGGACGGAACACGGAGTGTGTCCGGCTAGAGCCTGTATGCTCGAAGCACGAATTCCCATTATGCAGCTCGGACACTCTTCATGAACTACCTGCTGCTTATGAGGAGCTCAACACGTCTGGTGCTGCTGTAAATGGGGAACATTCCGGTATTGAAATTTCAGAGAAACCTTGTAACCACCTGCATCTGGCAGTGATTGTGCAAATCTCAATCCAGGGACGCCCTCTGTGGCGGTCAAGAAAGGCCTTTCGGAGGGAAGCTCGAAGCCTTAATGTCACCGTCTCTGACGACTCGTATGAACTTCATCGTATGCAATCCGCTCCATTCGCCAGCCCATCGTTCGAGCTTGAATCTGTCTTCTTCGTACCGGAGATCTGGAATCCAGAAGCCAGACCTGAATTCGCGCTCTTCGGTATCTTTGCGTATGATAATGTCTTCCTCGATTTTTGTGCGAGGCCGCCCAGGCCGACGCTGTGCCTTTGCCTCTTCCAACTGCTCATCCTCACGATCGATGAAACTTTCCAAAGTCAGTAAGCACTTACACATGGTTCATATTACCCTACCTGCGAGTGAGCAACCGTACTTCCTCTTCTGTCAATCCACCAACAGAACCTTCTAGCGCTGCTTTGAACCAAGCCACTCTCTCCACTATGAACCGTTAGCATACACAACCCTTTCCAGAGCCGAGCCATAATACCATAGACTTGATTGGCTCTTGCTGCAGCGTCCATCAAACGTGACAGTTTATCTTCTCTGGCACTGGCTGCCCGTAAACGTTTTGCATCTCGACTGTTCACATGTAGACTGTCCATTTTCCCTGGCTTCTTCTTCGCCACTTTCTTGTGGACTTTATTCAGAGATCTCGCCATGTTTGATCTGGCTAAAGTACGTATGCTGCTTTTCTCGGAGTTCTTGGAACACAACCCTCTGAAGCATTCTCGAATTCTCTGAGGAAAAAAGTGAACGGCAAAACTTCGGAAAATGAAGCACTTGCCAAGGAATTTCTCCGCGCCTGGCGCCTTCCCAATGATCGCGTCCCCTCACTCGCACCTGTCGCGGGCGCGTAAATTGGGCGACATTGTTTCACGACCACCGGCCATCAATTGAAGTACTCCTCCCATAATATAGGCCCTTAACCTCATATGTGACATCGACGGATTAATACTCAGACTACTTTCCATCTACTCATTCATCAGTCTGCGGGGCTTCTCACACCATACCTAGCTCTTCTTTCTCTTTCAGCGCAATATGCGGAACTGGCGGTGAGAGCAGTAAACACGTATTGAAAGATGGGTATCAAAGGTGAATTGTCAATGGTCTTTCTAGATTCACTGCTCGAACCTAATTGTCTTAGGGCTACTTCCCCTTCTCAAATCCATCCAGAAGCATTCGACCCTCAAACAATTCCATGGGCAAACCATCGGGGTCGATGCCTATGGCTGGCTCCACCGTGGTGTAGTCGGCTGTGCATTTGCCCTGGCACTCGGCAAACCGACCACTGTCCATATCGATTTTGTCCTGAGTCGAGTACGCATGCTCCTGGACTTTGGAGTGACTCCTTACTTAGTCTTTGACGGTGACAATATCCCTAGTAAAAGAGGGACAAATTCAGAAAGACATAAGAGGCGGGAAGAAAGTAAGGCGAGGGGTATGGAGCTACAGAAAGCGGGAAGGACTTCACTGGCGTACCAGGAGTTCCAAAAGGCCGTCGATGTTACCCCATTGATGGCTCGCCAATTGATTGATGAATTAAAGAAGCTCAACGTACAATATGTTGTTGCGCCATACGAAGCTGATGCCCAGCTTGTTTATCTTGAGCAAAAGGGAATTATTGATGGCATACTTTCCGAAGACTCAGACCTACTGGTGTTCGGTGCAAAGCGCCTGCTTACCAAGCTGAATCAGTACGGTGAGCTTGTTGAATATGAGAGAAAGGATCTTGCTATTTGCAAGGAAATCAGCTTCGCAGGGTGGACCGACTCAATGTTCAGACGGATGGCCATCCTCAGTGGCTGTGACTATCTTCCTAATATCGCGAAGCTGGGGTTGAAAACGGCACATGCATATGTTCGCAAACACAAGGAAGTGGAAAAGATCATCAAAATGATCTTGTTCGAGGGCAAACTCGTGGTTCCGGACCAGTATTTGGAGCACTTCAGGAATGCAGAGTTGACCTTTCTTCATCACCGCGTGTTCTGTCCCCTGCAGCAAAGGATGGTGTTTCTGAATGACCTTGGACCAGGAGTGATAGAATCCAACCTACCGTTTCTGGGTCCGTATGTTGAGCCTGATACCGCCATTGGAGTAGCATGCGGGGACATTGATCCCTTTTCGAAACAGCCTCTTCGTCTGGATTCGAAAAGGACATACGGAAGACCAGCTCTTGCTGACAGCAGACGGCAATCATATACTTCTGATCCGGGCCTGAAGCCAACGAAATCAATTGAGACGTTCTTCAAGCCTTACCGGCAACCTCTTGCAGAACTCGACCCCAACAGCCTTACTCCATCTCCTTCACAGCAACGTCTTTTGGAGCGCAATCAAAATGCATCTTGGGAACCAAGATTGGTCTCGTCAGCGCCCGCTCTCCGTAGGACTTTGACAACATCGGCAAGGAGCTCGGACACTCAAGTGACAGGGCGCACGGATCGGGCCACTTTCCTTTCGAGAGCCTCGACAATGTCGACCTACAAGGCCACGAAGAGACAACGGCTATGCTCAGATTCAGTCGACCGGTCACCGAGCTTCGAAGTGCAACAAAGTCCCTTCTTCTCCTCCAAGTACGAGGATGCAAGTCCATTAGCACAAAGGAAGACTGCACGCCGGAAGGCCCGGCGTTCTGGATTTGATGTGTTCTCGGATGATTCTGTTGATGACGTACTACTGTTGGAAGCTGAAATGCAGCATGCTGCAGGTTCTGAAAGGGAGCATACACAGCATGAAGCACAAGATGCAGCCACAACAATATCAGCCAGGAATGGCACGACTGAGGAACCTCAGATTGTACCTCAATCGTCGCCGAGGGGTGTCTCACCGCCCAACCGCTCGAACACATCCTCGAGTGTCAAGAATGCCATAACTCCCATGGAGATGGGAATTGGGTCATCTAAAACTGGCAAGGTGCGCGAAGTCAGTCATGACGGTGAACCTGAGGAATTTGAAGATCTTTTGGACTTTCATGTTCGAAAGCAAAATGAATCTTTATTGAAGAGCTTTGCTTGCCGAGTAGAGGAAAAGAAAGGTTCAACTCCACCCTCCTCGATTGCGCCTCATCAGTCTCGGAGCAGAACATTTTCAGCTCAGTCAGGCGAGGCGCAGTTGGCGGCACTACGTAAGTTCCCAAAAGCGGCGAATGTATCAAGCTTTTGCGAAAAATTGGACCTGAAGAAGACATTTGCATACCAATCATCTGATGTGCAGCAGTCGGCCCTCAGGAATTTAGGGAAAGGTACTGCGGGAGCATCTAAGAACTTTGACAAGAAGAACCAATCGCCAATATTTCCCAAACAAAACGACGAGGACGTCGACTCGGTGGCAGGCAAAGCTGATTTACGTCGCTCATATGCACAAAGTCACGCGCTAGCACACCCTGCATATGAGCCCAAAGGAAGTGAAGATGAAATTATACCCAACAGCGAAGACGAGAGGTCAGAGGAGGGCTCGCCTATACGAAGACCAAGACCTGACCTCAGTGGATTTGCATTCTTACGATGAGAGTACATTGGATAGCCTTTGAATCAGCGTGTTGTGAATTGCAGTGTTGGAATTACCGGGTACCATTGATTGTTAATGCGAGGCGAACAGGAAATGTGGGAAGTAAGGATTGGTTGTTGCCATGGACGAAGTGCAGGATTGGGCATAAAACTTGTGCAGTGGTTTTGAACTATTGGTTATGAATATCCGATATTACCTGCGAGTAGTAGATTTATTCAGTCAGAAACCAAATTGCAGATGCCAGCGCTGTCATGTTTCTCGGAAGAGACATAAAATTGCGATTTCCACATAGGACATTTTATTATTCTTATTCTTCTTCTGATTATTATTATAGTTGCTGGCCCCAAGAGGCCGGAGCACCAATCTACCACTGACGACCAGGGACCAGGTTGCCGCCTATTTGGGGAAATGCTGCGGATCGTGACGTCATCGTCAGGAACGGACAACGGGTAGCCCTGGGTCTAGCCGCTGGAACCATACCGTTTATGGATAAAAGTAAACATGGTCTTGGCAGCCGTGGCCAGCGACATTTTCTGCCGGTAAGTCTCGCAAGTGCGTTTCCTGCCACCACATTACCCGATCACAGACCAACCTCACGAATTTTCAATGGCCACTCAGTGAAGCATCATGGCAATTGGTGCCGTTGATTCCCAGTCTCACATATTACCAGGACTAAATCAAGCTACGCCTCTCCTCTCTCCCTCCCTCCCCGTCTCTTCCATTTTCTTCCTGCAAGACTCAACAAGCTGACCATAACGATTACTTGTAAGATCAGACTAGAGTTCTCGAACTTTCAAATCGGTCCTCCGCCTACATCTACGGTCTAGTTTTGAATTCCTCGGATTCCTCAAGCTCCTCTGCACGTATCATCCTCAAGAACAGACCCTCAATCGATTGCACCGACCCTCAAGCGATCCAAGCAGTTTCCCAAATCTATTGCCCTGTGCTGATTCTCAACATTGCCTCCCGTCCGCACGGACGGCCAACGTAATCGATCCAAGTCTAGCAGCAAGACTCTATTGAAGAATTATGGCACCCAGATTTACAACAGGATGGAGGAGATTCGTGCCTTTCATTGGATACCACCATGTGCTTATGATCTTGATTGCAATAGCAATTATCCTGCTTTGTAAGTTCAGGCACAAGACGAATGATAACAAGACCAAAAAGCTAACGTAATTCTAGCATTGCTCCTAGCAGGGTGCTCATCAACATCTCCTCTCATACCCGGAATCTATCTCATCTCCCTCTACTACCAACAATATCCAGCCGTCTTTTCCGCCGTACAGGTGGACCCTAGCGTTTCCACAGCCATAGCGAACATTGTGGGAAATGCTGATCTCAACGTACGAGTGGGATACTTTGGAATTTGCATACGGGTCGATAACGGCGCCTGGATGTGTAACCAGAACTCGACGGCACTCGCTGATCTAGTGAGCATTGACCAGGACCCGCTCAACTTGATCTGGGTTGCCAGCACATTCAAAAATGCAGTCGTCTTCCCATATCTCATCATCATCGCCATTGTACTCGCTTTCCTCACATTCCTACTGTTGGCAACGTTCCCGGGGTGGCACACTAGTACTGGGCCAGATGGGTCCGAACATGAGATTCGACCTTTCCCATCAAGAGCTGTGTCACAAGTTGCACTGGCCACGATATTTATTGCATCAGTATTTGTACTGGTGTCGGTCATGTGGCAACATACAGCCGCCGTAGCAGCAAGCACGGTAGCCCAAGACCTTGGAAACGGAAGTGTCAAATCCGGTGTGGGTACAGCGGCAATGGTACTAGGATGGTTTGGATTTGGCCTCCTGGTTGTTGTCACGCTTGGGTTGCTTGTGATGATATTGAGTATCCAATTACTGGATCGACTGACTGATGATGTATGAAACCCCATATCCCCAGCTCTGATGATTTTGAATACTGATATAGCTTCCAGGACTGAACACTGTACATGAAGGCAAGGATTTGAGCGAAATTGGCGACTATGATCTTTTTGCACACAAAATAAGGGCTGGATGACTACCTGTTCATGGTTCGGATATCACCCATGGCGTTTTGACATAGAAAACTTGTGAACCAGCAATTCTACAGCATTTTCACGGTGAAGGAGTGAGGCGGCGCTAATCATGGACTAATGGTCAATTCCATCAAAGTATTGATGATGAACTGGGGGCCTGGATCTGTGAACACTATCGAAATTGAATGAGCCACACGCTTGGATTGACGGCTAAAAATGGACAGATCCCCAACATTTAGAATGAATCGAGCTTGATAAGTGGCACTGTTTACGGACCGGTCACACGTCACACGAACAACAACGGCACTGGATGAGGAATGATAGGATGGATTTTTATGTAGTTCACACAGGCAGAGGCACAACTATAATATGTCAATACATGTGCGTCGAGCTGAAACAGTGGAATATATACTCACTTCCTCTCCAATATTTTTACCCTCGGCTCGTCTCTTATTTGCTTTAACGGAATTTGCACCATGCTTTTTTTAATGTCAAGAACAAGTCATGCTGGCTGATGAGAGCATTAGTTAGATTTTGATGGGTGACCTTGAACGTCTTCAGTACAGTACTCCAGATCCAATAAATGATAGCACTCGCTGTTTACTTCGTTCTCCGTACTGCTATCTACTATGTATGGATGTATACTCCACCGGGGCCGTCGCTCCTTACATACACCATTGCGATTGGCGGAAAGGCGGGGGAAACCACCACTTAATTACTTCACCCCCCAAAGATACACCAAGAATATTATCCAAAAGCCACCAAAAAACCCTCTCTTCCTGCCATTTTTCACCTCTCTTCGAACAACAAGGCTCCTCGCTTTCGCTCTCGCTCTCGCTCTAGATATCTCCCACATTCACGATCCGTCCTCGCATACAAGCAAGGCACCATGACGAGCACCAACGCCTCGCAGGGGGAGAGGATCTTCGACGGCCTCGAGCTCCCCGCCTCGGGCGACTTCCACGTGCACCTGCGCGACGGCGAGATGATGGCCGCGGTGGCGCCATTGGTTGTGAAGGGCGGCGTCGATACCGTTTTTGTCATGGTAAGTCGAATTGGATTGGATTGAATTGAATTGGATCGGATCGGATCGGATTGGATGGAATACCAGATGTCAACCGTGGAGCATGGCTTCTTTTCCTCTTCCATTTCTCTCTTTTTGAGACTCATTCTTGTGCTGCGAACGCTGCGCGTACACTTTTCCACTTCCTCACTGCACTACATGCTCGTGGTAAACTAACTGCCCTGCCCATCATCTCTAGCCTAACCTGATCCCACCCATCACGACCGTGGGACAGGCGGTTGTGTACCAGCAGGAAATAGCGAAGTATACGGGCCCCCAGCAGATTCGGACTCTGATGTCTTTGTACTTACACCCATCGATCACGCCGGAGACGATCAGAGAAGCAAAGAAATCAGGTGTCGTGTTTGGCGTCAAATCGTATCCAGCAGGGGTAACGACGAATTCTGCGTCTGGCGTGGTCAACTACGAACAGTTCTACCCGGTGTTCAAGGCCATGGAGGAGGAGGATCTCGTGCTCAATCTCCACGGCGAAGCGCCGCCCGCTGATGATATCACGGTACTTAACGCCGAAGAGGCTTTTCTACCTACTCTGTTTGATCTACACGCACGATTTCCCAGATTGCGAATTGTTCTGGAGCATTGCACTACCACAGCAGCAGTCGAGGCTGTTGCAAAATGTGGAGCCAACGTTGTTGCGACCATTACACCCCACCACATGTTCCTCATCATAGATGATGTTGTCGGCGATCCGATCAACTTTTGCAAACCGGTTGCTAAGCTCCCAAGTGACCGGATCGCATTACTCAAGGCTGCTACGAGCGGGAATCCCAAATACTTCCTGGGAACGGACTCGGCGCCGCATATGTTGGGAGCGAAGATGGGAGGGATGGACATGCACCATGTCGGAAAATGTGCAGCAGGCGTATTCACTCAGCCCTACGCGACACAGCTGGTGCTCGAAGTGTTTGAAGCTGCCGTTGGCAAGGGAGTCATCAAACAGGAGCAATTATCCAAGACTGTGCTTGAAGGCTTTTTGGGTGAATTTGGGCGCAAATTCTATCGCATTGAGCCGAGTGGTATGAGACTCAAGGTTTCCGCAAGAGACGAGCAAGTGGTCTCTACCCTTCAAGTGGGAATGCCTGGCGCGAACAGTAATGGTAAAGTGATCATCCCATTCCGACAGAATAGTCCAATCTACTCGTTGGATTGGTTGTCCTGAGTGTAAACGGCCTTTGGGATGTCTAGAACACCTTGTGGCTTTCGAGGCCAAAGGAATCAACAAACGGACTTGAAGCTGCGCTCTCCGGCTGTGCGTTTTGCGTTGGGACTACTGTTGGCTGAGCAAAGTCGAAGAATTTCTGGGTCAATAATGCTGCTGCAACGCTTACGTTGAGGCTGTCAACATCACCAGACGAGGCTCTTGCGTTGGGAATTGAGACCGTGCTGTGCATGTAGGGTCTCCAGAATTGACGCGGACCGTTCTTTTCATTTCCGAAAACCAGAACACAAGGGTGATTTGATAGTGCTCCTTCTATACGCATATTGGGAGGCACCCGAGCCTTGGCGGGAGGTGGAGCGGCAGCCGTGAAGAATTTCCAACCGGCAGCACGAGATTCGGTTAAAAATAGCCTCTCATTCTTGATGGTCAATACCGGCATCAATTCCAGGGCCCCAGCGGACGCCTTGATACTGACTGGGGAGATGGGCGAAGTTCCATGGTCTGGAACGATAATGGCATCAACGCCCAGAAACCATGCGGATCTGACGATGGCGCCGAAATTACCGGGGTTGGTGACACCATCAAGCAGAAGCACAAATGGAAACTGATTGAGTGGCCGACAGGAGGGAATGATGCGATGGCTTCCTGCGGTGCGAAATAGTTCATCAAGGTCGGCTTCGAGCTCGGGGACACGTGAAGGTACTACCTGCATGTCATCTCCCATGCTCAGGACAGGGCCGAGAGTGTCGATTGACAGCCTTGGAAGGGGGGAGACTTCAAGAATAAGGCCGCCATGTGGACGTCTTCCCGAGAGCTTGTTAAATGTATTTAGAGCATCTGCACCACGGAGCTCTTGGATGCTGACACCTTGGTGCTGAGCAAGGTGCTGTATCTCTTCTCTCGCTGTAGTATAGCTTGTGGTAGTCTCTGTCTCCGGATCGATCTCAAGGCTAGAGGAAGTGGGCAAGCGGTAAAGGTTGTAGATCTTGCGGCGCCTGGCCCTTAGGGCCGACAAGACCGAGAAGGTTCCATAGAGAAACTCGGAGCTCGCGGTCGTATAAGGAATTGAGGAGACAATGGGCGCAGAGGCTTCGAAGATGGACGAGGATGTGAACGAGGACGAGGGCAAGGGTTGGCCCGTCTTATCTAGCTGGTGGGATTGGCCTTTCTGCCGGTGATTCTGGAACTGGTGGCGCCTGTCGTGCCTGAGCGTCGAGTCCTCCTGCTTGCGTTTTCCTCTTTCAATTGCGCGGGTTAGGGAGATGGATCGGTTAAAGAGAGGCGACGCAGACCATGTGACAGGAAGAGCCGGCTTGAGGAGAGCGCGAGAAATCAGGTGCATTCAGTGATACTAGTACTGCTGGTAGTACTAGTAAAAGAGACAACTAGTAGTCAGTATCTGGTTGTGATATATGGGCAGGTTGAGAGTCTGAGATGGATGCTGGAAAAGAATGAATGAACTGAGAATCGGAGAAGTCAGAGGTGAAAAAAGACTGACATGGGGAAAGCGCGACCGCGTTTGCCCAAAGTGGCCATTAATTGCCATTTGGAGAATGCACGCGCCGCTTTGATGCATTATGGGGACGAATTAATCAATTGTCGTCAGCGAACCATCCTCAACAAACACCACATTCACTAAACCACGACTATATCTTCCCCTGCGCTCATTTCGTTTCCTCTTGGGGATCTATCCTACAAGATACCCCATGCATGGTTCCTTCTGTCCCTTCATCATTGGTGCCTCTAGCCTCGTCTCATCATCATGGACGACTCACTAGATCTGTCTGCATGGGTCGGCAATCCGCCGAAGCGGCCTGGGAGCAAGGTTGTGTCTATACGAGGTAGTCAACGCCTCGCTTCACAATCTACCAAGTACTCCGACGCCTCTGATCCAGTGACTGCTCCTTCTGAATCCAACGCCTCAAGCGATGCTGCCGATATTCCTGACAATGAGGACGCCATCCCTTCGTGGACACAAGCCCAGAATGCAGAGTCCTCTGATTCTGATACATCAACCCAGGCTGTCGAGCAGCAGGCTTTCTACATCGATATTCCACACCTTCCGGACGAGGAGAAAGAAGAATACAAGTACCTGCCCGGCCACTTTGTGGCTGAGGAGATACTAGGTCAACGTGGACAAGCTCGCTACACTGTGAGGCTGGAAAGTGGTGAACAAATCGTGCTCACAGCACACCAACTCCAAAACCTCGCAAGAGGGTCGGAACTACTGAGAGACTTTCAACGGAAACCTCGTTCTACCCGGAACAAAACACGGGCCAACAAACCCCCAAACCCTGGGTTGATTGACTGGACAACCATTAATTTATTCGACTCTGATCCGGAAGAGTCTATGGCTTCTGATCCCGAAGCTGAAAACCAGGCGTTAGATGAAGGGCCAGATGCCGAGCAGGACTCCTCGACTACTTCTGAAACTCCTGCCCGTAGATCGGTGCGGATCAGAGGACTAAGACGATCTGGGCAAGCCAAGCAGGAACTACTAAATTCAGATGACTCTGATGTCCAGCCAAGAAGGAGCACCAGGACAAGGAGATTAGCGTCTAAAACGACTAAGAACCGACGTTCGGGAAGACCTCGACGACAGATGTCCTCCACTAAATCCTCTCCCGAAGCAGAAGTTCCTACTCGGAGATCAGAGAGGACAAGAGTGAAGCCGCGTCTTTCTATGCGAGAGAGGCATGAAGACGACATATCAAGTCATGAAGAGGAGAAGGTCGGCCCCAAGATCGTCGCTGCCAAAGAATACTTCGCTAGAGTCCCTGAAAGCGACCCTTTTCGAAAGCGACATCGCCAAGAATGTGACACATGTTATTTCAAAGGCGATGACCATGCTAAAGGCCCACTGGTGTTCTGTCAAGGTTGTACCAATTCTTACCACAAACGATGTCTTGGTTTCCGTGGCACAAGAGATCATTTGGTCACAAAAGTTGGCGAAAATCTTTTTGTCCTCCAGTGTCGCCGGTGTATTGGGTTGGCGCATGAGCGAGATTACTCAATTCCTCACCAGGGTATATGTGCCGAATGCAATAAAACTGGTGATTTATCGAAACCTCTTCGAAACCGCCTCTCCACCCGCCACGAGCAAGTACAGCGAGAGGAGAATGGCGGCAGGGATCCCATCACAATTGTCGATCCAAACACGATCAACAAAGTTTCGAATGTGTTATTCAGATGTTGTCAATGTGTTCGTGCTTGGCACATGCATCACCTTCCTGAGCGCAAGACGGCTCATTCTGCAATGGAGGATGAAGATGAGAACGAAGCCCTAGATGATGCTCAAATCGCCCAAAAGCGCTTTGACTATTATCACCGCTCCTGGACATGCAAAGATTGTATTGAGAACCAACATCAGATTGACGCTCTTGTGGCATGGAAACCCGTCAACATAGAGACATACGTTCCTGGCACTACAGTTGACATGATGCCTGAAATTGCAAAGGAGTATTTAGTCAAGTGGCGGGCTCAATCCTACTTTCGCACAACCTGGATGCCTGGGCTTTGGGTCTGGGGAATAGCTGCAAACTCCATGAAAGCGGCCTTTTCGAAGAAACCAGGGAATCAACTGCCTAAAATGTCAACTGCCGATGCCATTCCCGAGGATTTTTTTAGAATCGACATCGTCTTTGACGTTCGCTATTCAAGTGTTGTACGGAACAGTACTAAGGGGATCGACCTAGCTCGAGCAAAGGAAGTCGACACAGCATTTGTCAAGTACAAAGGCCTTGGGTACGAGGATGCGATCTGGGAGAAGCCGCCTGCCTACTCTGATACTGAGCGGTGGAGTGATTTCCAAATTGCGTATGAAGACTATGTTGAGAAAATGCACCTCTCAATTCCTGTGCAAGGATCCTTGCGTCGACATCTCTCACAAATTCGTACACAAGATTTTCAATCCACCTTGATTAAAAAAAGGCAGCCTCCAAATATGACAGGTGGAGAAATGATGACTTACCAAGTTGAAGGGTTGAATTGGCTTCTCTACCAGTGGTTTAAGAGCCAAAACGCGATTCTGGCTGACGAAATGGGCTTGGGCAAAACCATTCAGCTCGTGGCACTGTTTGCATCCCTGGTTCATGATCATAAGTGTTGGCCCTTTCTTGTTGTGGTGCCCAATTCTACCGTTCCTAATTGGCGGCGAGAGATTCGGAAATGGGCACCCTCTATCCGAGTTGTCACCTACTATGGCTCAGCAATGGCCAGGAAATTGACACACGACTATGAGCTCTTTCCAAAGTCCAAGGAGAAGGATGATGGTAGACATCAGGAAAGCAAAAAGAGGTCTGCGGACGCCAAGGACATCAAGGCTCACGTGGTTATTACCTCGTACGAGGCTGTTACTGAAGAGAAGACCCGGAAAAGTCTCATGAGAGTCCCCTGGCAATGCCTCGTGGTCGATGAAGGCCAGCGGTTGAAGAGCGACAAAACCCAGATATATGAAATGTTATCAAAATTTCGATTTCCCTTCAAAGTTCTTCTTACAGGAACGCCACTGCAGAACAATGCCCGAGAGCTGTTCAATCTGTTACAATTTCTCGACCGGAGCATGAATGCGGCAGAATTGGATGCCAAGTATGCAGATCTTACGCAAGACAATGTACCCGAGTTGCATGAAATGTTGCGCAAGTTCTTTCTGCGGCGGACGAAAGCACAGGTTTTGACATTCCTACCACCCATGGCTCAGATCATCATTCCTGTCAGCATGTCCACTGTGCAGAAGAAAGTGTACAAGTCGATTCTTGCCAAGAACCCACAGCTGATGAAATCCATCTTCACTCGCGATAGCAACCCGGTGGGTAAGGATCGGGTGAATCTCAACAACATCTTGATGCAATTGAGGAAGACCTTATGCCATCCATTCGTTTACAATCGCGAGATAGAGGAGAGAACCGAGGAAGCTGAACTTTCGCATCTCAATTTAGTGGAGGCATCGTCGAAATTAAAGTTGCTATCGCTGATGCTGCCAAAGCTACAAGAAGGGGGCCATCGCGTACTGATGTTTAGCCAATTTCTCGACAACCTGGATATTATCGAGGATTTTCTAGATGGGCTTGGATTTCAACATCGGCGGATAGACGGTACGATCAATTCAATGGAGAAACAGAAGCGTATTGACGAATTCAACGCACCTAACTCACCTTTCTTTGCCTTCTTGCTCTCTACACGCGCAGGTGGTGTGGGTATCAACCTTGCGACAGCGGACACAGTCATCATCATGGATCCTGACTTCAATCCGCATCAAGACATTCAAGCTCTTTCTCGAGCGCATCGAATCGGTCAGCAGCACAAGGTTTTGGTCTTCCAACTAATGACCAGAGACAGCGCCGAGGAAAAAATCATGCAAATAGGACGCAAGAAGATGGCTCTCGATCACGTCTTAATCGAGAGAATGGACCGCGAAGACGATGCAGGTGAAGATCTAGTGTCGATCCTTCGCCACGGAGCGCAAGCTCTATTCGAAGACGAGTCGACTGTGGAGGACATCGTGTATGATTCAGCGTCAGTGGATCGGCTGCTTGAACGATCCCACATTGAGAACACTAAGATCAGTGATGAAAAGTCAGCGGAATCGCAGTTCAGCTTCGCGCGGATATGGGCGAATGGTAAGGGTTCATTGGAGGACGAATTGGAAGTCAAAACTGGGACCAGTACACCCAACCCGGGGATCTGGGACAAAATTCTGCAAGACCGGCAGCGAATCTTTGACGAAGAACAAGCGTTGAAGACGCAGACGTACGGTAGGGGCAAACGCAAGCGAGAGGTTAGTGTGAAGATTAGTGTGGTGGTAAGTGGTCGCTAACAGCGGATAGAATGTCGACTACGGTATGGGGGATGGAGAGAATATCGGCCCTGCACGCAAGCAGTCTCGTGTAAGTCGAGGAGCGGACCCCGAGTACCAGAACGCGCGAGATGAGACACCGGAGGAAGAGGACTCAAGTGCTGAAGACACGGATGTGCTGGAACGAAGACAACCTACAATCAGAGGTAGAGTGGCCCAGAGACCCAGAGACCCAGTCCCAGGAAAAGCGGAAACTAATATGGCATAGCGCGGCCATTCAAGCGGATTCGAGTACCCCTTGGACCAGCACCCATATTCAATGGAGATGTGGCTTATAACTTTGGACATGTGTCGCAAATGCCGCCGCAGTACGATTGCTCGGCGTGCGGCGAGCAGCACGCGATGGGATGGTGTCGACTTAAAGTTGCGGGAGTGGAACATTGCGGACTGTGTGGATTAGCACACTTGGGACATGGTCGAACTTGTCCACACTTAAGTGATGAGAGACGGCTGACTACGTTACTGCAGACATTGAAAGAGAGCACAGAAAGTCGGGAGTTTGTGGAGCAAGCCAGCAAGTATGTAAGATCGATCCGGTCGGATCTCATACAACGCAGACGAGCGCAAGAGCGGAGGGAGCAAGAAGCGGTGGTACAAGGGCCCCTGGCATCAGCTCAGGTCAATGATCATCAAAGGTTGCCCAGCGCTGTGAACGTGCAACATCCAGAAGCCTTGTGAGTGAAATAGAAAGAGCAGTGTACAAATAGGGCATGACTGCGCCGGTGAACGACGGCTTTGGAATCCATCAACAGGTGAGGATTGGGTTAATGATGGTTGTGCTTGGAAAGGTTCAAAGATGGTGTTTCCCTGTATGATGACAAGTTGAGGCTGCTGTACGTTGACGAGTCTGATGACCTCCATGAATACTTAGATCAAACTCGATCTCAATCGGAAGGATTCAGTTTATCTCCAAATCGACACGGTATACGTTGATCCTCGTATGAATCTCATAAGCCATGAAGCATAATTCATCCACCCCGGCGCAGAACGGCGTCGACCCTGGACACGTGCAACGAATGCAGATCAGATATGCGACCAGGCACAAACACAAATCCTTCACGATAAGACTGCGACACCAACCGTTATGTATACTCTGCAAACGTGCGGAGGACAGATAGGAAGTTGCTGCACGTGTACGGATTACGAGGTTGCTCAAGTGGAAGGTGCAGTGCCGTGTGGAGTGATGAAACAGGCGCTGAAACGTGATCTGCGTCGATCGTGCAGCATAGCGTCAAGACTCGAGACTCGACAGACGAGATGCCCGAGACAAGAGACATGCATGACGTGGGCGGCTTGATGCACGGATTCTTCTTTTGCCGGATTGCCCAAGGAGCCCAGAGCGCGGCCATGGTCAAATACGGAGAGCCAGCAGAGGAGCTGGAAGGGGGACAAGATTGCACGGCATCCTTTGGAAATTACGGGTCGAATGAAGAAAGGACACTTACAGTTGCCATACGGAGTATAGGTAGCCGTCATTCTGGAGCGATCATTCCTCAGTATTTTATTATTGGCGCGTAAATGTTGTTGTGTCAGCATGGAGACGGTTGGCTATTGGGTGGCTATTGAGTGCATGACATGGTAACCAAGAAAAGCAGATATCTGGGCACGACTGGGCAGATCCATATGAGCTCAATGCGGGTTGTTGGAGCGTCGAATAAAAAAAATAGAAAACAAAGTCAAAAGATCAACAACAGCCTGATGATACTGACAACTGTACTGTAGTTCTTTCATTGATGGTGCGTCGCTGATCGGTGACGCGTGGACTGTCCGCAAGAAGTCTGAAGATGACACGTCCATGGTGTATGGAGTCACTGTACTGTACCGAGTATTCCGTACGGAGTACCCAATGCCAGCATGGTGCCCTACTGTATGTAATACAGAAGAGCTCATCCACCAGTGCAGGTGGTTGTTACCCGGGGTTCCAGGCAGGTCTTGCTCTTACAGGACAGTAGGTGCGCCCACGAGTAGCTCTTTGACCAACGGTTCTTGTAACGGTGACTGTCTGCAAGTCGCCGGCAAGGCAGAGTTCCGAATCCAGCCCAAAGTCCCCGAGCATTGTTATTGTTGTTATTATTTTCCCCAGGGGAGCTGCCGTTTTGAGCCCCGGCTGCCATCTGCTCCCCAAAGTCCCGGTCCAATTTCCTGAGCGTTTCTTGCGTTTTGACTGCGCCTCGCCGCGCGTCACCCGAAAGCAGAAAGCGGGCGGGCCTATTCCCGATTGGTCGTACCACGTGACAAAGCTTGGCACACACTGGCTGCGGTGTTTGCTGCTCTGCTGCTCTTTCTTTTCCTCTTTCCTCCTCCTTCTCCACGCCGACCTTCCCGACCTTCCCCCCCTGCCACCCGCTCATCCCTTCTCCCACCAACCATCAACCCTCTTCGCTCAAATCCATCCTAAAATCCAATCCTCCGTCGCCCCAGATCCAAGACACAATCAAGCCCAGCCTTTGGCATCCTGCAACCTCGTGCGCCAATCCTTGACCCCATCTGCCCCTGGTCGTGTCCACCGAACAACGGACTCCCTCCCCCCTACCACCCTTCATACGGAGCACCGTACGGAGCACCCATCGCTGGTTCCCTCTCTTCCCTCAAACTGTCAAATCTTGTATCTCTTCTGTTCCAGCCCCGTTCGTCACCACCTTACCACCTTACCACCTCATCTTTCGCCCTTCACGCTCGCTATTCAACCCTTCCCACTCCTCTCGCATTCTTCTCTGCAGAGGCTCGTCGACTGCCCTTTGTTCTGAATCTTCGACACGAAGCACCACCATCGTTTTCATCCCTCTGTTGTCGATTTTTCCACTTCGCCACTCGTTCTACTTTGGCGTGTCCAACTTTCCTGCTCGCCAACCTCCCACTTCGAATCAATGACACAATTGACAGCAACCTGCTCTTGAACACCAACCTTGCCTCGACCTCGACCTCAACCGTCTAATCGTAGTACCTTCATCAAAACTACACTTCCTCTACACTTGGTCGACCATTGAGCTGGTGTCGCCCTGGTTGGCGCCCTGTTCTTCCTCCGTCAACCCCCTTTCCACCACCCGCGTCTATTGCAATCAACGACATCAATTCAGCAGCCACGATGCAGCCTCGATCATCCTTTTCCCACTTGGTCTCCCTCCTAGCAGCTCTATGCTTCTCAACCTTCACTTCCGCCGAAAATGTCATCCTCACCAACTCGCTGAATTCTTGTAAATCGGGCACAAACAACTTCACCGCAAGCTTGTTCAACGTTGCCTATACCCCCTCAAACGCCAGTGTAGCTGTCAACGTCAACGGTATATCATCAATTGTCGGCAACATTTTGGCTCAGGTTGAAGTCATTGCATATGGCTTCACCATCGTCAACGAGACAGTTGATCCCTGCGCCCTGAATCTGGCTGGTTTCTGTCCCATGAAGGCCGGTACACCCATTACGTTGGAGACAACTATCGATGTGCCGACGAGTGTTTCGGGCCAAATTCCAGGTATTGCTTATAGTGTTCCTGATCTCGACGGCGTGGTCCGCGTCTATGTCCATTCTTCCGATACCGGAGAAGTCATCGCCTGTATGGAAGCTGAATTGTCAAACACAAAAAGCGTCTATCATGCAGCCGTCGGTTGGGCGACTGCTGTTATCACTGGCCTGGGTCTGGTGACCGCTGGTATTACTTCAGGTCTGGGCCACCCGAACACCGCTGCCCATGTTGCTGCCAATGCGGTTTCATTGTTTGGCTTTTTCCAAGCTCAGGCCATCATTGGCATGACCTCAGTCTCCATGCCTCCTATCGTTCAATCCTGGACACAGAATTTTCAATGGAGCATGGGCATCATCCGAGTTGGCTTCCTTCAATCCATTGCTACGTGGTACCAACGAGCTACTGGCGGCACTCCTACTACCTACTTGTCAACCCTCAGCTATTTCTCCGTTCAAGTTCAGAAGCGTTCCATCAGGCGATCCCTCGAATCGATGGTTGCCTATGTCCATTCCGGTCTTCGAACCCTCTCGAAGCGAGCGACGGACACTGCTACTGACAACGTCAAGGTAGTTCGTGGTATCGATAGAGTCGGTTTCCGTGCCGGAATCGAACAGACCAATATTTTTATGACAGGCTTGATCTTTTTCATCTTCATCCTCTTCCTGGCTGTCGTCTTGGTCGCACTGACCAAAGTCATCCTTGATGGTTGTGCCAAGGCTGGATGGATGAAGTCTGATAAATTCCTTGAATTCCGAAATGGATGGAAGATCGTTATCAAAGGCATCGTGTTCCGACTGGTAAGCTCCGCAGACTTCATGTCGTCCGATTCATATTGACTTTCGATAGGTTCTTCTTGGCTTCGTCCAGATGTCTATTCTGTGCTTGTGGCAACTTGTCGAGCGTGATTCGGCCGCTGAAGTCGTACTTGCCCTAGTCGTTTTCATCTCCATGGCTGGAACTCTAGGCTTCGCCTCCTACAAAGTCATTACACTTGCCAAGAAGTCGGTTGATATGCACAAGAATCCCGCATACATCCTCTACTCTGACCCGGAGTGCCTCAACAAATGGGGGTTCCTCTATGTGCAGTACCGTGCCACTGCGTACTACTTCGTCGTCCCTCTTTTGGCGTATATTCTCGTCAAGGCTCTCTTCATTGCATTCGCTCAGAAATCAGCAATCGCTCAGGCTGTCGGTCTCGTTATTGTCGAAGCCGTTGCATTGATCGGTGTCAGCGTTCTGAAACCATGGATGGATAAGAAGACCAACATCTTCAATATCTCGATCGCTTCCATGAACATGCTCAACGCACTTCAGCTACTTTTCTTCTCGGATGCTTTTGGTCAACCCCCTCAGGTTAACGGTGTGTTGGGTGTCTTTTTCGCCTTTTCCAACATTATCTTTGCGGCAGTTCTGCTTATATTGGTTCTCATTGCTTCGATATATGCCATTGCTTCCAAGAATCCCGAAGTCAGATATCAGCCAATGCGTGATGACCGAGGAAGCTTCATAAAATCACAAGCAGCCCTGACAACAGAGTTGGATGCTCTAGGTGCTACTGCTAGAGGAGACAGCCAAATTTATAACAACGACAAGAAGATCGTCGACGATGACGATTCAATGTCTGGTGACTCCCTCAAGCACTCGTCTGCTGTCCACCAGCAGCCTATGAGCCAGATGTATCCTAGTGAGGACACTGGAAGACGGGGACCAATGCGACCATATGAGCAGGTTAACAACGATAATTACGGCTACGGCGCCGGACCGCCTACCAACCAATCGTACGATCGCAGCATGAGCAATTTGAGTAATCAATACCCACCGCCAAGGTCCGCTCATTCAGGATATGCACCTCAGCCCGGAGCATTCCGCCAACAGAACAACGCCAGCCCTTGGCAACGAGGTGCAGGCTATGATTGACAACACTCGGGCGAAACTCAAGAACAACGTCAGCAAGACAGTCATAATGCTCCAGGTCCATATCTTGAGCGGCGTGGAAGAACAGACATGAATGAGAAACAAATGGAGAGTGGATACTGGGATCGTGAATGGTGGAGAGATTACAGCCCTGAAGGCTCTGACCGGCATGCGGGAGGAACGACTCCATACAGATGAGACCGGGTCTAATGGCAGACAGTCGAGAGATCAAGATAAAGCAGGAAGAATCGTGTGTGTTGTTGAACATATACCCACTGAAACCTGGATATCTGGTATGCGGAGATGGGGCAACTGCATTATTGACAGAAGGAGAAGAAATACCGTGATTCAGTGTGGAATAATTCCATTAGAAGAATCCACGCCCTACAAGGAAAGGAAGGACAGTATCCAGAAAGGTGCATTAGCGTTGGGGTTCTTGCTTTGCTTGTGTATTTAACCAAAAACCTATATTCATTTTGTTGGCTCATGATGAGAAACGCGAGACAAATTTCTACCATATTTGCTTATTTCTACCAAGTACGATTTTCCTAACAGTGTCGTGCCTGGGCTATGGAAAAGCCCATTCTTTGCAGTGGCTTCCTACCATCCACATATGACCAATAGCGAGAACCAAGGAAGCCGCAATAGCTGTGTATTTCTGTTCCGACTGATCTTGGACTGTCACCCGCGTACAGATTCAACACTGGAGAAGCATTGACGTATGCTTTGCCTTTGCCTTGTGCTCTCATTTATCATGGCCTTTCCTTGACCGACCTGGCGTTGGGCAGTGGTGGGGGGCCGTGGGATAGGGGAATTTGCATGCAAGGCTCGCGGCCCCTAACCCCCCTTTTTTTTTCATGATTAGTCACGTGAGAGGCTCTGTGGCAATCCCATGGTGAGTCGAAGCCCCCGCAAACGGCGCCGGGAAAACAAAGACAAAGGGGAAAGCGAGCATGTCATGGCACTCAGTCATCAAGCGTCTATCTCGTGTTTGATGTCGATCTTTGTGTGAGGTCTCCTTCTGGACTTGTCCGCGGTGCGGTGCGATCCGATGCGAAGTGTGACTCTGATCACGCTACTCAGTCTTCGTAGATCTGCGTGCTTTGTCCCCAGCTCAAAGAAAGATATTAGGTGCTAGGTAGCTCAGGCTGCCATCTTTATAGTTGATGTCGCGAAGGAGAAGTTGACTCGCCTTCTGGTAGGCATGTGGCTGTGCTGATGCTACTAGCTAGATGATGATCCTCAGGTAGGAATTCCAGGCTATCACTTTATGTGCATTTGGAGCTGTGGAAGAACTTGCTATCGTGGTACTCGTACATGTTTCATGGGCCTTCTCTCGAGCCACCGAGCCACCGAGCCACCGAGCCAGCCCGAAGGGGATCTCAAGGGGTAGCTCAATAGCTGACAATTAACTTGATGTGCATCACAACGGATTGTCGCAAGAGAGAGGGCATCTCCTTCGCGGTGCTCGAACATCACCATCATCTGGCTGCAAAGTCTCGCTCAGACGCTGTCGTAAGGTTGGTCGTCTGATCATTTACCAATTTGCCAACGTGCCGTGTCTAAATTTCCTCGTCAGAACTGAAGTCGTTCTCAAGATGCTCCTCCTCCTCCTGGTCGATATCCCTCAGCTCAGGCCCATGTACTTCACTTCTTATCTCACCACGATTCTCTGAGTAGTCTCCGAAAACAACCTTATCATCGTCATCGTCATCGTCAGAATACTCGAACGAGGTCCATCTAAGGCGACAAGCACCATCGACACCATCGACAATACAATTGGAAAAGTCCGCCATCTCGTGTCCCTTTCAGGCTTTGTCATGCACCTCTACTTCGCTTGCTGTTCCGGTTGGTTGCGATGGATCCGCCCTTTGCAGGACAAGGGAAAGGTTGGCCACACGGTAGCAATCAAAGTGTATGAATATATTGCGCTTGGACGTCCAGTTCGACAGAACTGCTGTCGAGCCCTTGCCACAGGGAGAGTCCTCCAATATGCGCCATTTCTTGAGATCATCTCTTTGGTTGAACTGGTCCCAGATGCGTTGACAGTCGTGAGGAGTTGCGGGTGTTGAATCCTTTGGACGAAGTACAACTGCAGGGGGTATGTTCGAATGTTACGACTTCCAATGACTGGAGAATATCAGGAAAAGCCGAAAGGAGCATTGCGAGATGGTTGAACGGTTGGAAGTCGACTCTGGAATAGCGTTTGCCAAACGTCGTACTGTAGGTGAGGTGTCGGATATTGCAGATGGCATGGCGCTGGAGTGTCGGAAGGTAGAGCGCTCTAAACTCTGTAGCGTTGTACCGAGGTTTGTCACGGTCTGGGATTAACTTCAAGTCCAACCTACACGTTGCCTTGGTCTTTTGAGGGAATGGACGACAATAGTAGTGCTGTTGAAGAACGTCGGAGCCCATTCCTGGAGAATCTGATGACAAACAATCAAAAGTGATTTTCTGGTAGTGAAGATGGGAACGGCATCAGCCGTTTTAGAAACGGGTTCCAGCTCAGCAATCTGCACCCATCGTGTTGGCATTCTCTGTTCTTTGTGATCTTTTTCGACGACTTTTCCGGAGCTGTTGCATCTCTAGTCGGAGACCTGGCGCGCTTTTGTGATTGAGATTTGGAGACTGGCTTGCCGACTAGCGTTGCCTCAGGAGTGGTTGGTTGTTCGATCTGTGTCTTGTTTGCCAATGGCTCAGAGCATCTAAGAGGTGGCACCGTGTTGAGCTGCACAGATCAAAGATTGATACTGCAGGCGGTAAAGAGAACTAGTTGTGTAATGTCAGAATATCACAAGATCTGAGAGTCTGGAGAACGGATTCTGAGTTTGAGTAGATCTGGAACTCGAGGTGACATTCCCGACCTACCAAGGCAGTTAGTTGTAGAGGCAGTTCGCTTCACTGCCTACGTGGATTGTCCATCTAGTAGATTGAGGCAAAGGCCTTTGCAATCAGATACTGCCTGTACCCCTCCCTAGTGTAAAGCAGTGATTGCCCTCGCAGCCCTCGCAGCATGCCTCAAAGATCCTTTTCAAAAAGCCCGGGTTGGACTATGAAATATCAATCACTTGATCCGCATCTGTGAGGGTCTACCGGGTCACCAACCTCATCTCAGATCTGCGTTGAGAGGAGCGCTCTTGTCACTGTCCACATCCAAGAGTGAGAAGCAATACTGAGTCGACCACATACGCTCGATATATAACATGAGAACCAAAGAACGAAGTGGGCTTGTAATAAATAACTTTGGACGCGTGGACGATCGCTATCATTTGTGCCCAATCATGCCAAGTTGGGCTGCCCAGATATCTCGGCAGGCATGTCCGACCTCCACCTCCCAAAAGAGATGCCTTGCCTTCCAGTGCAACACTGTACGGCAGAGTTCCTTCGTGACAGCAAGCAGGTTAACCAAATTCCCCCAATTCCACCATGACACAATCCTTCATGCTTCCTCCCATCATCGGCGGAAGATCACACAGCATGTCAGATATCGTGCTTGAAGATATCCTCATTCCCATGCTAAGCCTTTCCAGAGCAGCATGATAGTCGGTAGTTCAGTTTCTGTGGTGGCTGCTCCAGCTTTCTTAAAAACAACATCTACTCCCCGAACTGTGAGGTACCTGTCACGAGGAGATGCGAGGTGGACTGTCAACTTCCTGGTCGCGTTCCAGCCTTGTAATACTCCTGCTCCATTCTTTTTGGCGTGAACGGTGTGGTTCTTCCTACCAATTCCGAGAAAGCGTTGTTCGATGTGTTCCCATCTGTGCCGCCATGGGGATGTCCGCCATACGTCCATGGGGAAATATCCAAATCTGAGGAAGCCATGATCGACCAACCCATATGTGTAACTGTGGAGAGTAATCTGCTCAAGGGCCGATATTCGATCTATATGCTTCGTGAGGAGTTTTGGGAAGTCTTCGAAAGAGTCAAGGTTTCCTGGCCGTATGTCATAGGCAATGCGCTTGATCATAACCAATTTTGAAGGGTGTAATACTCGAAGAAAGTCGTTGGCAAAGTTCCATGGATTGCAGTATGGATCAAAAACCATGTGCTTCGGCCGAAAGCCTAATTTTCTCTTGGATGCATGGACAATGGAGTTGGTTGTTTCGTAGAATAAAGGTGACCATTCGGCGGTAATCTGGAGACAGACCAAATTCAAAGACTTTCGAGTTTTGGATATTGATTCGTCGTCCCTGGCTGAATCTTGTATTGCGTCGACCTCGGCCTGAGATCGTGTAGGGCAATGTGGTACGGATGTCAGCGGTAGGCGAAGGCAAGGGAGATAAAATGTTGTCATGTGGAGAAAATAGGCATAGATGCTCAATCTGAGTTCGAGTGGGAGATCGAGGAATGGAAAGGGCTTTTGACCATTTGGGCTAACCTTGAGGATTGACGACGATGCTGTCGCAAGAGGTTTTGAATACGGCGTCGGCCGCGCCCTCTTCGATCGAGCTGTCTTTGCTTTCGGCATGTTGGTGTGTGATGATGGACCAGGAGTGGGAAGGCGAAAGGATCTGTGGGAACGAGGCTGGTGCTAGATCGATAACATGAGAGAGGAGAGGTGCAGCTCAGACTCAGGTAGTTGCATGTTAACAGTCACAGTTGAAACCATACTCACGCTCACGCTCGCAAATTCCAGAAATTATATGCCACTGCCTCGTAGTGAAGAACACCGCCGGGTTGCCGTGGAGGCTTCTCTCAACTTCACTTACTGGTATTGATATGGTGCGGCTGTTGCTCTTTTTCCTCAGTCACCCCAGATCTCCAGGGTTTTATCTTTGATTGTCACGCTTTGAGACCAGTCAACCTGTTCGCGTGAGTGAGGGTGGAGTCATATGTTGATATGCAATATGATTATTGCAATATCTGAGGCTGAAGCCTGGGTGTCGGCATGAGGTTCTCCGGGACCCAAGCCTTGCCAAGGCCAATCTATTCCTGAAGTGGCAAGATACCATGTGACCCTGCTCGTGATCTTCACCCTTTGTCCGCAGTCCCGACGCCCGAACCTGTTTTGTTATCGGATTGTCCCCGTCGCCATCGCCAACACCAGCGCCATCACTCCACTGCCACTGTGCCAGTCCCTTCCTCGCATCATTTTCTCTCGGCGGCTACATCATTCCAAGACATTTTCGCATCTGTCCCCTCCAGAGGATTGCCTGTGCACTCGACCTGTTCTCAGTCTTCACTTCTCATTAAATCTCTCACCCTCTCCAGAAACGACCTGTTGCTGCTTCATTTTGCCCGGCACAAAATCAAAAGGGCTGGTGCAGCCTTTTAAGACCCATCTCGCATCGCGCTTTTGCGACAAATCCTCCCTAGTCTGATCTTCCCGACGAAAACCGTTCTTGACCATGGCTCGCATCGCCCAATTCTTCTCCTACCTCCACAGCATCTTGATCTCAGTGCCTCAGCATGGTTATCACAACATATCTCGCGTTGTGCAGCCGCAGATTCGCAGCATATCGGAGAGCTTTACTGTACGCGTCGGTAAAGATCCCAGCAAAAGCGGCATTGAACTGCAGAACCTTAAGCCTAGGGACACAACAAATGGCACATGGAGAGTCGAAAACTCAAAGAGACAACGGCGGTGAGACCATCTCCAAGTGAAAGTGGAGATGATGCGTGGCGCAGAAGACAAATCCCCGGGGAACGACTCCACCAGGATATCGATATGAGAAATCCGGGGAAAGGAAATTTATTGAACCTTCATCATCTATCACAACATGTATCTTATTGCGCCGGCATGACAAAGATGACTTTGTTAAACGAGACGACAATGCCTGATTCGACTTGATCAACTCAGCCCACCGGAAGTTTGTAAGGCTCAGGGTGCACATGTTCAATCACACCGAATGAAGAAACCCACTTTCTGCCGCAAGGAACAGCTCTCCTCACTCCCATCCAGGACCAACCTCAACCAATAATGCAGGGCTGTCATTACTCAAATTCACAAGCCCGCCAAAACCAGAACCCTTCGACCCGAATCCACGACCCAAGGCTAACGATATGTCCCTCACTGCCATCAAGCCCCGTGAGAGCTTCTGTACAACAGCAAGGACCTTCCTCTCCGGAAGTTGCCATCCATCTCGGACCGTACAAAGCTGCAAAACGTTCACCGATATGGAGAAGGTTCCTGCCTTCCGCAGGTAAAAGGACTCTGCCACAACTCTGTGGAATTCCGATAAATGGACCAGCCTCTTTGGCTGTCCTACGCCGATTTTTCCAACCAAGACGAAGAATTCCTCTTACTGCAAACGCTGGAAGTGTGTTGTATTTGTATGACTTTGAGCCTCCCCATTATATTCAATAGAGCAGCACCTCTTTTGTTTGCGGGCCGAGGAAGAAAGCAGACTCCTTCCAAACTCAGCATACCTTTTCGGGAGCATTAGGGGACCACGGGACGGGAGACTCTCGTTGTCCGACATCACATCCGTGCCTGGGTCGGCTTTTGTTGATATTCCCTGGGGTCGATGGAACAAGAATAAGAACAAGGACAGCCACAAGCTCGGAGCACTAGCAGCTCAGGACCCAGGTTTATATCGCTCTGCGAGGCTGATCGGGAACACGATGGGAACACGATGGGAACACGATGGGAAGCTTCCAGCAGTAGCAAGAGTACCCAACGGTGACTGTATGTAGCACTGACGTTTATCGAATAAAACAATAATCATGCACTTGCACGTGCACATGCTCATACACATGTATATATCCCCTGTCTGTATGCACCACACGCGTTCGGTGAGTGTCTACAGACCACACGTGACGCTATGTGCTTGGGATTCCTCAGCAAGCAACAAAGTCCAGACGGCACTGCTTGGCTTCGCTCGGCTTGGCTTATCATGCTAGAACCAAAGCAAGGAGACACGGGACTTCTTGTGCTTGCAGAGACGACCAAGGAGGCAGGATGAACTCAAACCGAGTCAGAGATGTAGCTGAAAAGAGCACCGCTGGGACCTATCTGGGGCCTTGTGTCGATGAATACGTGCGGCACCAGTGCAGCAGCTCTCCTGCCATCGATTGTGAGGTATATTCTAATGTGCAGCTACACCGTGGCCCACCATCGGCTCCGACGACTACTCACTTGACGACGTGTCGTGATGAAAAAGCCCTGATGTTCCGACTCTCGATCCATTAATGCACGCTCCCATGAGAAAACCCGGCGAGGTGTCCTGTCTATCTATCCATGCAGGCAAGTTATTCCACACAGAGCAAGCCATACCAATGTAGTGTGCGAGGAAAGTGAAGTGGAAAGCCAACTCAAACAACCGCGAAATCCCACCACTTGCTTGAGCTATCTATCACCGACCCTTGTCCTGCCTTCCACCACAAGCATGTCAACTTCGATACTGAGCACAAGTCGAGCAAATACATTTTATGCGTTCACTCGTAAGTCGTAGTAGTCGTGATTCATCACCAGTAATCCAATGCAAGCACGGTGCATGCCCGGATCCTCCAGTTATCTGTTGTCGTCTGCCCAGCCTCCAGGAAGACATGGCCTTCTCTCCCCTGTCCATACCCAACCATCAATCACTTAACTCATACAGACTGTCCGTGCATTACTGGACTTCAAGTGCGAATATGTCTCGGCTGCTGGTGGTACAGCTGCGCCACAGTTTTTGGCTCAACGTCGGAATCTGAGGAACGGTATCCGTCACCGTCAGAAAGGACACTTTCTCTGGCCCCGGCTTTCGCTGTGGGGATGGTCTGCGCTCGCTGGTCGAGGTTGATCTCACCATCGATAGGTCGCAATGCAGAGCGCAGATTGCCATTCCTGGCCTGAGGACGAAGTTGCAGAAGACGGGCGATGCCGTTCTCCAGATCTTCACGTTGACGACTGTCTTCTTCATCACGGTTGACCCCGCCTCCTTGGCCTATGTCTCTCTCTTGACGATGAAGATCAGTCTCTGTGTCGCTGTGTAGTAAATTGGAAGAATTCAGGAGATCCAAGACATGGATGCTCTTGCGGTAGACTTCACGATCACTACTCGCCACACTGTCGACATCATCATCACAGTAGTCATAATGGCGTGCTTCATCTCCGACATGGCCATCACCTGCTTCAGATGATCCTTGAAGAGACCCCTCAGGAATCTTGCTGAGGACTCGACGAGGACCTGTCTGGCCATAGATACCATTTTCATAGTTCGAGGCGATTTCCTCAGCCATTGGACTGTATACTGCCTCAGAGTCTTGGGCGGCGGCAAGTCGGTCAAAGTAATTCGAGGTGGGAAGATTGAGCCGAGGAGGAGCTGGAAGACTCTTTTCATTGTCAATCGAAGACGGGAGAACACGGTGGCGCTCGGTGGCTCCAAGGGAGGCGTCTCTTGGTCGTAAAGAAAGTGGGTCTGGGAGAATGAGATCGCCGGGGCCATTAACGGAGATTTCTCTAGCCTGTTGTACACGACCGTAGTTCTCATATGCAGAGAGTGGCTGTAAGGAGGGTTTTTGGACGAGTGGTGCTACCTCTTTCGAGGAGTACCTTGAGTCTGATACTGACGTAGGAAAGGTAAGACTCGTAGGGGAGAGGCCAATCATACTGCGACTTCCAGGTAGTCCATGTTTTCTGAATCTGTCTCTGTCTTGTCCCATGCCCAAGAATCTTAATGCTTTGGAAGTGCTGCTGCTGTTCTTGACTGACGAAGGAGTACCGGAATTAGTCGCAGGGAATTGAGTCTGAGTCTGAGTTTGGTTCTGGAAGAGGATATTCCTAACATCTGCTCGCCGTGCAAAGACTTCTTCACGAGCACTGCCCAATTTCTGGCGCAAGTCGGCAAGTTGTCCATCGCGTTGGTCAAGCTCCAATGTATGTGCTAACTCGGAGCTCTTCATTTTCCCTTTGAGCTCTTGATACTGTTGGGCCGACTCCATCTTCTCTTTCTGAGCTTGGGAGAGGGCTGCATCGCACTCTTGGAGACGCTTGACTAGATCTTCATTGTTTTGGACCACTAGGAGGATTTCATGGTCACGTTCCTTCATGCGCTGAACAACACTGGCGAACTTTTCCACGCCTGCGTCGAGGTCAGAAGATTGTTGTTGGATTGTGTCGCTCTGGGATTGTAGGAGCTTGCGATACTCGGACACCAGAGCTTTGGCGTCTTTGAGATCCGCAGCGTACTTGTCGACGGTAATTTCGGGGATGCGCACAAACCGAAGTGTGCCGCTGTCGCCAGTGCGAGTGTAATCGGAGAAGACGCGAAAGACCTCTTCAGTTTCAGGGTTCTGAGCCAGTTTGGCCCAGCCGGGGATATTGGCCTGGAGGAACGCGCCGAGGGTACGAACAATATCAAGGATGGTCTGTCGGAGTTGTCTGATTTTCCGATTTTGATCGGCAATTTCGTCGTCTTTGGCCTCCATCTTGTCAGCGGCTTCGCTGAGTTGCACCTCTAGGTCGTTGAGACGGTGGGATTTCGCAGCATTGTCTCGTTCCATGAGTGACTCTGCTGATTGAATGGTGTTACGGTAGGTTGATGTGATGATGCGGACATCCTTAGCGAGGGAAGCCAAATCCTGCGGGTGGGTCAGTGACAGCAAGCGGAGAAGACAGTAGAGCCTACATAATTTGTAGTCTGTTCCTCGAGGACGGTGTCAAGCTTGAATTCGCAAGCTTCCTGAAGGAGGGAAGTCACCTGCTGCAGCTGGGCACGCATGGCAGGCAACCACAACTCAGCAACAGTGGAGTTGTCCAAGTGCGAGAAGCACATCATGAGTTCTTCGAGGGTCATGGCAGTCAATGGCTTGGTTATCCGGGTCTGATCATGAGCCCGCTGGCTTCCAATTACATAAGAAGGCATTTCTCCTGGGTCACCGTTGCGGTCGTTCTTCCTCGGAGGATATGTCAGGTGTCGTATGGTGTCCATGTCGGCTTCATATGAGGCAGAAGAGAGAGGGGGAGCAAGCAAGGAGCTGCTATTGGAATCCTTGGTGTCTCGACGGTGAAGTGATGGGGGAGGTGAAATAGGATCTGTTTGGGGGAAACCTTGGCTAGCCAGCAGAAGGGAACCAGGCAGCTCTGCGGGAAGTGAATGATTGAGAGCTGCTGCCGCTCTGGGATCAATTGGTGTTTGTGGAGGTGAAAAGCAAGTGTTCGACGGTGTGGTAGGATGGCAATTGCACCGTGATATTAACGAACAACTAGTTGTCGTCGCGGATGGAGATGCGTTTGCATCGCTTTCGAGCAGCAATTGTGATCGAATTCTGTCGGTCGGGGTGATGGGTGTCCATGGCCTTGCACCACGGTAGTCCATCTCCGAGGTGACGGAGAGCTGTGAAGTAGAGGGGCTTGTGAATGAAGTTGCCGCTGCCGTTGTCGTTGTCGTCGCTGTTTGGACTTGGATTGGAGGCGGCCGTTGTCTTCGTCGTTTGCCCTCCGTTTGCATCCAATCGTCCAATACCACTGCTCGATACCTGTCATTTTCTCCAGGGCATACCAGCCCACCCAGACCGCCGTGGGATACGACCCTCAACTGAGAAGGCTGCGGCTTGGAGCAAAAGAGTGAAGCCATGAGGATCAACTGCAGAAAATGACACGACACGATGAATAAGTAGCAGTGGCAACAGCAGCAACAACGATACGAACCGTGAGGAGCAGGAGGATGCGAGTCCTTGAAGCACTTACTACACCTTGAAGCACTTACTACATACCTATGCACCCACCTGCATACATACACAACACATATTGGCGGTCAGCAGCCTACAAGAATGCCTTCCTGTCGCAAGCCATATGGCATTGAAGCCAGCCATGCCGGCCGGACAGGTTGCATATCGAGGCTATCGGAGACTGAAGCAAGAGCAGTCGCAGACTCCGGCCCAGGAGGAAGAGGTCCGCCACGGCCAGCAGCTGGAGAAAGAACCAATCCAGCAGACAGGCAGGATGGTTAGTTGTGTACCACCATGCTTCGGCCTGTGGTAGTATATCCGCTGCTGGCGCTTAGATGGGCCGTCACCTGGGTGGCCTGGAAGACCATTCGCGTTGTCTCTGGGATCGTGCGGGAAAATGGTTTCATGAGGGCGGAGAGTTTATGTCACATTGCATATACGCGAAGCTTGCCAAGTAGTGTACTCGGCATATGGTGGTTGAGTGGAAAGCTGAAGGCGGAGGATGCCAGATTACTATGTGTGCCTAGGCAGGGAGACGAAGGGATGCAGCTGCACAAGTCGATTGGGCGCCTTGCACGTGACATCAACAAACATCCGTCAAGATACAGAGTAGAGTACACCAAGCACCCAACACCCAACAATCCCGGATTCCCACTATTGTTATTTGAAAGTGATGTAGTCATAGGGAGATAAAATCGAGAACTGAGCACTGACGACCGGGGGTATCTTTTTCCAGTAGGAGAACAGCACTAAAGAAAGACAGCGGCCATACACTTCAAGCCGACCCAAGATTGATGCCTTCAACCAACGTCTCATCCAAAACGACAATTCCATAAGGATCCCTATCTCGTTGACTGACCACAACCTCAATATCATCGTCATTCAACACCTCTGTCAGCGCAGAACTAACATCTCTTTTATTCGATTCCTCCTCTTTGACCTTCTGCCATTCCAGGAGGACCTGCTTCTCCAACTTCTCCCTCATGGTGCCCCACAAGTAGCCTCTCTCGGAATTACTGTGGAAAAGACTGATAACACAGCCACCTCTTTCCGTGACAGCCAGGGCCTCATGGTGGCTCAGTTCGCCCGTGAAGAGCAGATCGGCATTGCACTTCCGTAGGACACTACCACCTGATCCGGGACAGGTGCCCACAGTCTTGATCGAGATCTTCTCGAGATCTTGACCCTGAGGAATGGCCACGGAGAATCCTTTTGGTAATCCAATGGCGTGGGCTATCCTTGTAATCAAGACAGTTAAAGGCTGCGCCTCATCAAAGGTAATGAGTCTCCCCGCGCCAGTGTTGGAGGTATTATAAGTCGATGAGGCGGTGAACTGGTTTGCAGCGTCGATGGCATCTCTGGGCGACGGGGTGACAACCGTCCTGGTATGTGATAGAGCAGACGGGTGGAAGTTGGAAGTGGGTCGAGGGTAGGTTGGCTTGCTGTAGGTTCTATGAGCGGCGCTGGGACGGAGACGTCGCAATTTGCCCTGGTCCTTCGGTTTGGGGGTGGTGGGTGAGGGTTCAACGAAAGGATCGGATACAGCGTCGGAATGAGAGGTGGGCTTGGTGGAAGCATCTGAGTGTCCATCTTCAGCGCGCCCATTGAGGTTGAGGTCGGCTTCGGACTCCGAGGTAGTAACTTCAGTGTCGGAGGGGGCTGAGGTAAGAGGGCTCTGACCAGCGGTATATGCCTCCACCTCGGGAGAGTCGAGCCTTCCCGTCACGACATCACACAGCCAGTCTGCCATCCCATTCGGGACCTGATCAACGGCGGTATGAGGACAGTAGACACTAATACCATGAGCCAGTAGTAGGGTCATGGACAATTGCTGAGTGTCATCGGTAGTGATTGCTTTGAGACCACGGAAGATAATAGGGTGGTATGAGACCACGACAGAATGGTTGTTTTCGATTGCTTCATCGGCAACAGCGCGAGTCAGGTCGATCGTGAGGAGGACTGAGTTTCTGTTACGGGGGTGGGCGGGGACAAATGGAGCCTCGACCAGGAGCCCGGTGTTGTCAAAGGACTTGTCTGCCAGAGACTCAGGATAGAGCTGGCGCATGGAGGAGACAACGGCGCGAGTGAAGGGCGAGACATTGTAGGAGGACATTTTGCGGGAGAGGTTGGTTGAGACTGATAGTGGATTCAAGGATCTATTGAAATGAGGGGTTCGAGCGAAGACGAGTCGTAGCATTGGGAGGAGGGGAGAGTGTTGACATAGTACGAGGTCTTGCGTTGGGAGTAGAGGTAGCCAAAGGACGAAGTATGTTTGTCGGCCCTTATTGAAGAATGAAGGTTGGGGCATCAAGATGCTCGATGGCTCTGTAGCTGGTGGCCGAATTTGGACGTGGGATCTCCAATGACGCAGGAGCTACCGAGCATTGAGAAAATGGGGAGCCCCTCGCGCTCCTTCCCTGCTGGCCGCATACGAGACCAGTAACTAATCCTATTAATTAAATAGTATTCCCATTACTAACTGGGGCATTCCAACCACCAGCCAAAACCCACCACCACTTGCCAGTCCACCCATCACCACTGAGCATCGACACCTCCGACGTCGCTCGCCAATCCATACACCCAACTCGCATTTTTAATCACCTACTATACTGGCATATTGAAACTACAAATCCACGATCACTACCACCAATCCTGGTAACCCCTGGCATGGTCTCCTCCCTCCTCCGCAGCGCCGCATCACAATTCGCACGCCGCACTGCTCCATCAATATCCTTCTCCCCATCTAGGTCAATATCACTATCAAGATCAAGATCAATAAGCCAACCCAATCACCTCCCCATCCGCTCATTCTCCCCCAAACGACACGGTCTAACCACCGGCACCGGCACCGGCACCGTCACCTCCACATCCCGCGCATCAAGCACCGCAGTCCCCATGGCAGAACCAACCTCGGAGCAAATAACACCGGAGTCACTCACCAGCAAACTGCAACAAAGCCTGCAGACGACGCATGTCTCGATTCAAGACATGTCAGGCGGATGTGGACAGGCATTCACCGCCGTGATCGTGTCGCCCGACTTCGAGAAGAAGACCCTATTGGCGCGCCATCGCCTCGTCAACGGCGCCCTGAAGGACGAGATCGCTGCCATCCACGCGTGGACCCCCAAGTGTTTGACGCCTGAGCAGTGGGCGAAGGAGAAAGAGCGCGAGGACTGAAGGCAAGGACCCCGGGGGTTGAAAGCGGATGAACAATCAAATGCACTGGTGCCAATGGAGAGAAAAAGCGTATAAGAATGTCCATGTGCGATCACGGAAGGAAGGCCAGGGGGGCACGCGACGACGTCGCATCAGCCCTCTCCCATTGCCTCTCCAGTCTAGTTTTCGACGGCATGAATGAAACCAAGACTTGATGCGTTCGCAGGGACGCCATGGGCGAACCCGTGTTCCGATATGACAATCCAGGCCATCTATACTAAATCAATTATATAGACATCTGGAATTTTTCCCAGTCCACCATCGCAACAGACAACGTGATTAACTACCTGAAAGGTAGCTAGTTAGGTTGAATTTGGATCTACTGGCTATGAGCGTGAGCGCCAATGCTAACTCTAACGGACCACAAGGAAGAAGCGAAAACAGAACTGTTTCTCACAGTGTTTCTTTCGTTTTCAAGTAAGACGTACCATAGAGTAGGTAACGTAGACATTCGACTGTAGACCCTGACTTGTTGGCTATGGGTCATGGCTTGCGGCAGGAATATAGATACTGTTAGGAGCATCGACGCGCTCAAGACCAACGCCACATCCATGGCCATTGAGGCCATGGATGTGGCGGAAACCGACAGGTAAGCAATATAATGATGACAATGATATAATAAACACCGTGGCTATATCTTCTGTACAGGGGGGAGGTTCGTTCCTTCAAAGTGGAATGAATGCCAGATCGGTCCCTCATTAATGGCATCGGATTCACCACAAGGGAACCAAGGGTCGTTGGTCGTTTTGTGACCGGCCTGAGCTCAGCTCTGCGGTCAGCTTTTCAACCCGCGTCGTGCCGGTCAGATCATCCTCGGGGGTGAGGCCCTCCCCGGCTGTTCCTGTCCCTTTTCCACCGACCGCCCACCTACCCACCTACCCACCCAATAAACACAGACATTCAATCCATTCATGTTTGTCGCAAAGCACATATCCCGGATTTTGCGGCGCACCATTGCCGCCCCAATGGTATTTTCATCAAGTCGTAAAAAATAAGGAGGTTGAGGTCGCTGTATATCCCTAACCCGTTCTTGGGAAATGCCCTGGCAGATTTAAAACCTTTTTGCTGATCTGATCACAGAATATTGTCAACTGTCCCCTTTCTCTCACTTTCTAGAACCTCAAGAGGGAAAAATGTCAATAACTTTCGTCAACTATATCTTTGCTGCTGCGCTCCGGGGGAAAGGTTGGCCCTTGTTATTGCCGCATCGGTGCTGCCATGGTCTGTTGTGGTGGGTATATCCGCTGCCGTTTGTTGGCGCTTCCATTATCTGCTCCACCTGACATCTCTGAAGGACCTCGTCGGTGTGCTTGCGGGTGTGGGTGCTGCTGTTGCACCATCCCGTGTCCTCTCATTCCCACAGGTGTCTGGGGTCCATTTTGTGTAAATGTGTTTCCATTCGCGTCAACATACGTCTGCGGTGTCATGCCTCCGTAATGGACATTCGGATTCACCGGTGACACTCCCGAGTATTGGCTGGGGGAGTTCCATGTTCCAGACGATCCTGCCGGGGATGCTCCCGCGGACATATCATCGCACACCGACTGCGCTGTCGATAATGGTGCTCCCGCAGCCACCATGGCCCCGGCTGCCGCTGGCGCTCCCATTACCTGCGGGGTTTTCTTCAAATGCATCAGGTGCTTCTCCAGCATGTCCAGTAACGACTTCCTCGTGAAGGGCTTGGGTAGTACATCATCCATACCGTGATGAAAGTACATTTGAATGTCATCCGACCGGATGTTGGATGTCATGGCCACAATAGGCGTTCGGTCGAATTGTCGGATGAGATGACACGCCGACACGCCGTCAAGGTTGGGCATGATAATGTCCATCAAAATCATGTCATACTTGACTCCTTCTTGCATCTTGCTGACAGCTTCTAGTCCATCCAGTGCCGTTTCCACAACACACGAGAAGGAATACAAGAATTTGCCTCCAATCTGTCGGCATGTTGGATCGTCTTCCACCAACAAGATGCGGGGCGGCCGACTCCATCCAGGATCCGAAACTCCGCTCTTTTTCCGCGATTCGGCGAATTGTGCTCGAGGGTCCGGTGTATCCCTGACTTGGGGCATGTTATAGGGAATGTTATGGATGTGTTCACTGTACATAGGGTCTATGCCGTTGCTGCCGCCCACTGGATAAATGACAGTCTCCAGTTCGGCGGGATTGATCTTAGAAAATCCCATGCTGCCACTCGAAGTAGCTGAATGAGGGGCTCCAAACTGGTTGTTCCGTGGATTTGGAAGCATGGTGTTCATGCCGATGTGGGTGTTCATTTGCTCCAGGGTGGAAAGATTGAACTGCGGATCGGCTTGGAGATCGTTCAGAAGTTTGGTTGCATGTTGCAACGGTGATGCGGGACTTTCATCATCCTGAGCCGGCATGTTCTGGCTGGTGGGCGTCAGGGTCGATCCCGAGGGGGCTGATTCGGCTTGAGGAGCAAATACCGTTTTGCTGTCTCTTCGCTGCTTCGCGTCGACCGAATGTAGGAAAGTCATGACATCTTGCATCACACGATCATGACTGTGGACGGTCTTTTGAAGTCGAAGCAGTTCTTGCACGACCATCTGGTAGTGGGCATGTAATTGATTGGTGTTGGATACAAGGTTTTCGATTTGGGTTGCTTGCGCGACAATCTGTGAATTCATCAGGTCTATCTGTTGGATGGGGATTTGTTCATCATTCAGACTGGAGGGTTTCCGAGGGGCGGGAGCCTTGCGTCTGATGTTGTCGAGAGTGTCTTTGCTGTTGGCCTTGAACTCGGGATGGCGAAACTCCCAGGCATTTGGCCCATATATGGAGGATCCGCCTTCCTCGTTATTCTGACGAACTTTGTGGAAATCATATTTGTTCAATTGGCGCACGAAACTGGCAAAGTTGGAGTGCTTGAAGTGCTTGGGTAGGATGGATTTGGTGAACTTTTCGTTCTCGAGAACGACGAAGCTGTCCCCGTCGTCGCCCCAGCGCACCACCGAGGAATAGGACGGGTCTTCTAACATTCTGCAAAATGGGGGTCAACCTTCTGGGCCTGGCCACCAGGATGGACGCGATAGACATACTTGTATAACTTGCGCACAAAGTCGCTGGAACTGTTGGCAGCTCCAGCTCCACCTTGACTATCCATGTCGAGTGCACGATCGAACTATTTCGATGTAAAATGATGTGTAAATACTTGGCGAGGAAACAGTTGCAGCTGGTGTAGATCAATTGCGATGATGCAATCGAGTGCACGCAGAATGAATCACAACTGCATTGCCAACGACGCTTCGGGTAGGCGAGATTATGGTGGACTGGCGATGCGATCGACGAAAGGGACAATCGAATAGTCCGGCTGAGCGGTTGACTCGATGCTTGGAGCGGATCTGAGCAGGAACCAGTGCAGGGAGGAGAGTAGTTCAAGTCGAAGGAGGTGTTGCAGGTGTGGTTCTCTGCGAGGGTTCGGTTGCAAAAGGCCAAAGTGAAGGCTGCGGAGGGGGTTGCCGAGTAGCGCTGGGGCTCTATGAGGGACAATCGATATAGCCGAAAAATTGATCAAAACTCAAGAGGTGAATAGTCCTCAGTACTGGAGGAGTTTAGAACTTCGCAGAGGCCAGGAGAAGGAGGAGTCTGATTGCAGCAACGGTGGTAGAAAAAGGCTGATTGAATTTCAGTGGTGCACAGGTGGCTCTGTCTGGGCGTGTTTTTGCAGACGGCAGACGGTATGTGTGTATGCGGGTTCAGAGTATGTGCAGAGGGAATGGACCAGCGCACGGGTCAGGTTCAGATTGACGGGAGGTGGAGGAAGGGAGCAAGGAGTAGAGGAGTAGAGCAGTAGAGCAGTACGGAGTGAGGAGCGCGAGGTAGGAGAGAAGTTTTCCAAGGTTCCTGGGTGTTGGAGCACGCAAGGCACAGAAGGACAAAGCCAGGACAGGATATTAGAAGTTAGAACACACAGCAAAGAACGGACAGCACGGACAGGACAGGGCTAATTAGGGTAGGGTAAGGATTGTATGTTTAGTGTTGGAAGTAAGTTGGTGGATCGGCAGAGTTTGGGATATGATCAGTTGCCTCTGCTGTGTTCGAGGGACTACTAACTACTAACTACCCGTTGTTGTCGACTCCTCGTGCTAGGAGGCCCTCAGCATGGGTACGGGGTCCTCCACCATGTACCCGCTACGAGGGGTGCTGTTTGTACTACTACCGCAGTGGCTACTGAGTGCTCCGTGGTTCAAAGCTTGCAGAGTTTCAATCGCCGATGGGAATGAAGCAATTGGGATCGGAATTGAATTGGGATGAGTGGACAAAGTGAATGTAGGAAGTCACAAAGCTGCCACAAAATGCATCATTTGCGACTGGGGCGTGTCGGACCAGTAGTGAGTGACTTTGAGAGTTGTGACATGGGGGCCCACCGGGGTACGCACCTGGGGCACTGGACTGGGCATCATTGCTTGGTTGGGGGGCTCGCTCTACTCGAGTCGTAACACTGAACAAACGTGGGTCGGGGCACGGGTAAGCATGTGTATGGGTATGGCTACGGCTAAGAGAAGATAGGCTCTGGGCGACCGACCCTCGTTACAGAGGGCCTAAAGGTTGACGGATGGCTGGCTTGGGGGAGATCCGTGGGCAGAGGGGGGACGGCGGACGGGGGCAAGGGCACTCCCACAGAGTCCCAGCAAGTTGGCGTGGGCGTTGTGGCCAAAAGCTCAACGAGTACGAATTGTAGCAGGGAAGGACATCCCCAGGCCACTCGGCACAGCGCTAACCAACGAGCCGCCCACGGTCCACCTTGATGGCACCCAGATGATAGGCCGATGTGGGATCAGACAGAGTCGGAAGTCGCGATCGCATCGGCTGCTTCTCGATGAGCCTTAACTAAACCGAGCAATGCGCTGGGGGCCTGGGGCTGCGATTTGCATTCGACCAGCAATCACCCCCCGGACCCCCGCCCACCGCGCATTCGCTAAGGCCCTGAAGCCCTTGACTTTTGGGCTCATGACGGAAGAGGCGCTCGACATTCCTCCCTTTTGGGCCATTGATCGAGCCCACTGAGCCAGTGTGAACAATCCTGGCGCGTTGGGCTGCTCAGAGGCACCTGGTATGTAAATACCTCGTCCATGAAGCACTTGGAGTCGATGTGAATGTGAATGTGAGTGGATGTGTCACGAAAGGTGGTCGGTGGTCGGTGGTCGATGGTCGATGGTCGATGGTCAGTGGTCAATGGTCAATGCCTGTGGCTCCTCCACTCATGTGGTCGCCGCCACCACTACGAGACCATCACCATCACGTGCAATCCGGCATGGTATTAGCACCACTCGAGCGCTTCCAATATGCGGCGCGGTGGAATACCAGCTGAAGTGGGCTTCCTGCTTTTCCCTATCCCGGCCGTGGTTTGTGAAATAGCGGTCTCGCCAAGACACGTTAGTGGCTGGTTCGGTTGATCAGGGTCCATCAAGATTCAAGAGACACGAGCGGACAATCGCCAACTCCCAAGCCTAAGAGTGCAATCCGGGTCCATCTTGCGCCTGATTCATCAAACGTCTCTCTTCCACGCTCAAAATAGAAATTCATGGATCGTTGCAGATCCGGCCGGCACCGTCCTCATGAAGCGGTTGAGGCGTTCGTTTCAAATATGAGAATCTTTGGTCCCTTTCAACTGCATTGCTTGAACTTTTGAAGCCTCCAATGATTCCAATTGACGAAGAGCTACGCGGTACCTCGTACCCTCGTGGTTAGTCTGCACGACACCTCGCTCAAGAGGCGGAGTAGAGCTCGCAGAGACTTCCAGCACACTGCAGCGCACTCTTGTTGCGACTGAGGAACCAACTCTGCTGCGAACTAGCCTGTACCTCATACAGTACTCCGTACCTAGCTTCGATCACTGGGGCGCTCCGTACTTCGGGGTGCACACTGGCAGGTGACAGGAGCACTAGTAAGAGAGATAGAGTAAAACCTCTTACTCGTAGCCGCGGTCCCCATACTATGTTTCTGCTCTTTTCTTACTGCCGCAAGCCCGAGCCTCACTGCCAAATGTTCCTGACTGGGGGTGTGGGTGCAGACATGGGTGCAGATGTGGATGTGGCTTCTACTCTGTCCCACCTCAGAGGTCTTAAGAAGGTCGATTTGACTTTGCAAATGATCTAAGGTGTTAATGCAAGTTGACAATTCTGGCAGAGGGTCTCCATCGAACCTATGCAGGGGTTGCTTCAATTTTCTTGAAGCTGAAAGGAGCACTCGGTGTCTTGTGTGCAAGCCGTCGGCCTAATACCTGCTGGGCCGTGAGCAATTCCTTCCCCTTCGGCTTACGAGTACCGAGTAGTAGTGATCCGGCAGAGTTGATGCTCGCGAGTTCGTGTCAGGGGTTAGGCTGAAAAACCGTCCGCATCCAGCATCCTCAATTAATTATGGGACCGGATCCGGAGTGCTCCATTCCTAATTAATTCCCCACGGTGGTCCGCTTCCAACACAGCGGATCCCCAAAGACCGGTTGGCGCCACAACCAGGCGACGGAGGATATTTAGCAACTGTGTGTCTGGACCTACCTCCTGGCTGCAGCACGGAGTAATTGACCTACTCATCGATTGAGGCCTCGAAATCAAAGCCAAAGCGCGCGGAAAATCTTCTCGATTCGGAATCCTTAGTCAGACCATAATTAGTCGTAGTGGGCAGAACGAGGGTCTCTCGAGGGTCTCGAGCGCAGCCGCACTGTTGGCTCGGAGTTTTCAGCGGGGAAAGGGGAAAGTCGAGAATGGCGAAAGGCTTGAAGGTTTCGGGGCAGCCGGAGGGCCCAAAAGGTCAGTCACTGGGTCACTGCCCGATGAGTCGGGGTTGACTCTAAGAGACCGGCGTGACTCCTTGCACTGTCTTCTAGCAGGGCCCAAGCCCTTCGCTCACAGCAGCGAGTTCGACGGTGAGGCAGTCCTGAGACTCAGCGTCCTACCCGTACCTTATACCACCTTAGGGAGACAAAACAAGAACTGAGACGTTAAAGAGCTGACTGATCCAGAAGAACGACGTTAGCGACCAACTAAGTCTGGTTCTGGACCACCAGAAATACGATAAGGCTGGTAGGTCCATGGCAAAAAGGAACAACATGACTCGAGCCGACCGGTGTTTGACGTCAAATGGGATCGAATTCGGCGATACCCATACGGAGTATCTTGCCAGTGTCTGGTTATCCGTTCCGGAGCAGACGGAAGTAGGCGAGCCCCATTGCCATGCTTCTCCTCTTGTACGGAGGACCTCAGCAGTCTTGGAGATAGAGCTACCTGAGGCAAGACCGAGTGGGTGCCTAGCTAGTCCTGACCCCTGACTCCTCTGTATCCTTGCCCATTTTTCACGTGCGTCCTATATTCGAACATCTGACATTGATCAGTGGACACTAAATATCGGTCTGTGTCTTTCTCTGAAGTGACTCGAACGTATCCCACTTCATGGCCTTGACAGCGAGGCCAAAACCCCCATCGACTATTCCGTGCAGCTTCGGCTATTCCCGGGGTTCACTGAGGAATGGGTTCGTTCTTCGCTCATTCCAAATCACTTATTCGATGGTCTTCCTTCTGATCACGGCGCTGCGTGACTTGGATCATGTAGTTGCCTAGCGTAGTAACTACCCAGTAGCCGACGAGATGCTGCTGGCTCCGTACATAGGTACCTGGTATGCAGTAACTAATGGAAATCGGCTGTCCCTAAGCGTCCCCATTAGGAGCAACCAGTGCGACTGGGGGCAATTGTCCTCGTTGGTTGTGCCAAAGTCGTGCCCTGCCCACCAAAAAGGCGAGTCCGGGGCCGAGGGGGCCGAGGGGCAAGGGCACCAGCAGCACCAGCAGCGGCAGTCAGTGACTAGCGATGCAATTGCAGCAAGGTACAAGGTACTCGTACAGTACCAGTACGGAGGACATGCGACGGACTGCTACTACTAATACCACTAATACTACTGCCACTACTGACTTAGTACCAAGCTATCTCTGCTAGTAGCACATCTGTCCATTTACATGTGTTGCCTCCATCGTCGTAATTGCCTTCTCTTCCAGTCTCCAAGTGGTCCTCAATTCACATCGTGACTTCCATTTCCATCAAAACATTTGGAATTGTACCTACAGCCTCTGCACGTTACCACCGAATTCCATTTCGCACGTTCCCGTATACGCTTGCTCTCTGCTTCTTATCCACCATGCTTCGCCCTTCCCGCCGTCTTCTACCTTCTACAACCTCTCTTCGCACTCCCACATCTTCGAAGTTTTTAATCTCTAGATCCTTTCATTCTACTCCCGCAATCATGGTACGTCCATACAATGCTGCTTGACTACGTCATCCCTGCCCCTCCCACACCATCCTACATAGCTTCAATTATTGACATCCCCCCCCCCTTTGGTGGCCCAATAGGTTAAACAGGGCGATTCTATCCCCAGTGTCGACCTCTTCGAGAATTCTCCTGGAAACAAGGTCAATCTCGCCAACGAGCTTGCTTCCGGCAAGGGCGTCATCATTGGTGTCCCCGCTGCTTTCTCGCCAGGATGCTCTGATTCACATATCCCCGGCTATCTCACCAGTGACAAGCTCAAGGATGCTGGAAAGGTCTTTGTTGTCTCCGTCAACGATGCTTTTGTGTAAGGCAAGCTACGTCTAGACCTACTTCCTTTCCGCTGACCTCTCAAACAGCATGAAGGCATGGGGAAAGAGCCTGGACGCAGACAAGAGCAGTGGCATTCGCTTCCTCGCTGATCCCACCGGCGAGTTCTCCAAGGCCTGGGACGTCACCTTCGATGCAACTCCCATCCTGGGTAATCATCGAAGCAAGCGATACGCTACCACCATTGAGAATGGCAGGGTCGTCAAGGCTGCCGTGGAGCCAGACAATACTGGAATCTCCAGTGAGCTCCCCCGCTTCTAGTCTGAAAGCTACGGATTGGATCGTCGAAGCAACCTGGCTAACCTTTAACAGTCTCTGCCGCCGACAAGCTCTTGTGAGCAACACGCACATCTCCAGGTAATGGATCAACTTTCTCTATCCAAGAGGCCTACCTCTCCCATCCTCCTGCCGCCTTGAGAATGGGCATATCGTTCGGATTCGGGTACTAGTTAGCAACCAAAAAGGAGATAGACAAAATCATTACTAGTCTTCCAACATTAACAGCTTCTTCCTTTCTTCCCTCACCTTACGATTGTCATTTAGTTATGTTTCGCAAGTGATCCTCTCATGACACCCCTGGCATATCGAGTTTGAGCCCTTGGAAACATCAAAGCAGACGAAAGCTAAGAGAGTTGGCCAACCACAATGCCATTTCTACATTCTCAGTTGACATTTCACATTCGGCATCAGACATGATCTCAGCAACTTTGCTGACCGCGTTACCTAACTAAGCAACGCTCTAACCTCGGCGCCCGTCCGCGGATAGAGGTCGCGTATCGACGCAACAGCGGCATCATTGTCATCAGCGCTATTCTCAGCCTTATCCTCATCAGTCGTCTCGCCACCGGCAGCGCTAGCACCAGCACCAGCCGCAGCCGCAGCCTCAACATCCACCATCTCCAACAGCGCCTCCAGCTCATCAAACTCGACGCAAAACCGCTCAACCGCTTCCGCAACAACATCTTTCGCAAGCGGCTTGTCCAGCAACGCCTTCAACGCCTCCTGCGCATCCATCAGCGCCGCAGACAAGAACTCGTCCAGACGTCCCGCAAACTCGTCCAGATGCTGTACCAACCAAGCGTGCCTCGCCTTCGCACCATGGCCGCGCCGCGTATCCAATTCCTGCATGAGCTCTCTCACGCCTGAGTCGTCGAGGAACATCGCATCGAGCACCTGCGCCACCAGCGCGTCGCGCAGGGTCTGGATCTCCGCGCCAGCCTTTTCCAGTGGGATACTCGTCGCGGGTACTTGGGACACGAGTCCGACGAGTGTCGCGCGCAGCGCTGTCATGTAATTGGTCTTGTAGATGGTACGGCGCGTTGGGTCGGCGATGGAGCCTGCAGCTTCGGCGCTCGCATTTATGATCCCCGAGAGCATTGTCGTGAACAGCCGCTCAAGCTCTGGTTCCGTCATCTGCGGGCCACGCGTGCGTACTACTTCGGCGAATTGGCGGAGTGCTGTTGCGAGGAACGGCGGTGGTGCGAGGTCTGCCGCACGCCCTGCACTGCCGTCTGTGGTCGCGGTACTGCTGCTAGTAGCATGGGCGACCTCGTCAGCCATGGCAGCCTCAAAGTGCGCGAGCGTGCCGGCCTGCATGGCAGCGACGAGGCGGACGAGCGCGGCTTGCGGGCCCAGCAGCTTCGCGAAGATCCCGCTGTAGAAGTCCAGTAGGTTGAACGTCTTGAACTGCAGCACAGGGTCGCCGCTGCTGCGCACCGACACGTCGACACGGGATTGCAACGTCGAGCATACCGTTGCTAGATTCCGTGAAATCAGGTCCGACAGAGCTTTGCGCCCGTCGAACATGTGTTTTTCGGTGGTGCCGTCCTCATCATCAGAGCTTTCTGATGGTGACGGTGAGGATGGACCTATGGGCACGGGCATGGCAGTGGACAGGGATATGCTTATCTGGCGTCGCTTGATGCGTGCCCAGGGCTCGCTGGTCTTGCCTGTGCTGAGGCCGCGGGATATCTCGTCGGCGTCGGAGACGAACAGGCCCTCAAGTGCTTCTTTCTCCGAGACGGCCGTCGAGTGTACCCAAGCTAGCATATCACCAATATAGCGTAAAGGCTCATGGGTCGAAAACTCGATGGCCTTCGTCGCACCGCCAGAGCCTGAACCCATGAGGGCGTCGTGAAAGGCTTCGGCCAGTGTCGTCTGCCTCGCCTCGGCGAAGAAGTCCAGACAGTTCTGGAAGAGTGTCGGCCGCTCGCTGAGAACCCGTAGTGCCCGCCGTATGGAGCCGCTGATGTGCGGGTCCTCCAGGTCGAGACCCTTAAACTCGCGCTGGATCCAGTTGTAGAGTTTCTTGAACCCCGCGTCGAGATTGCGGGTGGTTTGTTCCATCAACTCAAGCCCTAGCCGCGGGGACTGCGTTTCGCCGGCGGTGTCGTGACCGTCGCCGTAGCCGAGCAGAACCTCGCAGTCGCGATGGATCTGCTGAACGCGGGCCAGGACGGCGAAGAAGCGGTCGTCGAGGGGCTCGGCGGACGAAGTGAGGATGTTCAGGTCGGCGGTGGAGACGAGGAAATGCGTCGTGAATGCGTCGAGGAGGGCTTGCTTCGATTCGGTTTCCTTCTTGCGGGAGATGAGCGTGGATGCCTCGTCGAGCACAGGGGCGGACTCTTGCTTTGCGGCGATGATGTGCGCACGCATGCTCGCGCAGGTCTGGCTCAGCGTCGTGATCATCGCGCCGACTCTTTTCAATTGCTAGAATGAGGCGAGTTTAATGGAGGGTGGTCGTCAAGGGGATAATAGATTGCAACACACACCTCAGCAACCTTCCCGAAATCGTCGACGATCATGGCATTGCAGTCGATGACTTCCCTCTGGGCATTGGCCTTGAGATCCCTCCTCGTGTCCTCATCATTTCGCACGCCCCGCGCGTCCAGCAGGCGGAGGGCATCCCTGATCTCGTAGTCGGCGTAGGAGGAGGAGAGGACGCTGGTGAGTTTGGTGCTCAGTGCATTGGTTGTTCGTTTGGTAGATGAAAGACCATCTGCTGCCGCGACGCCGGGGGGGCTGGGGCTGTCAATGCCGTTGAGAAAGGCGGCGGTGGTCGCCATGAAGATTGGTGGAAGCACACTGGTAACTGGGCTGTCTTTTCTGAAAGTGGGATGGCTGTTTCTTTTGGAATCGCAAATGCCTGCGCACTGCGGAGACGACGCGCTGACTGGTGAATTTCTCCAAATGAATGGTGCATGACTCGCGATGCTCCCACTTTGGGAGGACTAGTTGCCACTTTAGGCCTCGGGCCTCGGGCCTCGGGGTCGCTGGGCCACAGCTTAGGGGGGTGGGGGTGGGGGCCTCTCGGCCTTGCAGAGGGTCCTGGCATCCTACGCTTTAGTTAAGGCTGTACGGGAAAAGATGGAGGTTCTTAGGCTTGACATCGATCTGCATTGACTTCTCTGGTCGTTCTTTCTATGTTATCTCTACATCTGTGAGATCAACCACTTGACTCCACCGATAAGGTTTCCGACAAACTGTTGACCTTCCGGCACCGAAGGGAAGATCCAGAAGTAATGCGGTAGGCCCTTGTAGTGATCATGTTTGGTTGGGACGCCAGCTTTCTTCAACGCCGCCTCCATTACATATGCATCATCTCTCAAGGGATCAAACTCGCAGCTTGCGAGGTACGTGGGTGGGAAATTCTTGTGGTTGTCGGTAGCCAGTGCGGTGAAGATGTCGCTGTCCTTGGGGTCAGCTCCTGCTTCTCTGTAGAAGATGTCCATTGATTCCTTGTCGATGATGGGGACACCCTCCTTGTTCTCCTCGTAGGACTTGTGGATGGACTTGTACTCCTCAGGCACGTGGTCCCAGTGAAGAGTGCATGGCACCAGGGCAGCAATTCCTCTGATCCCTTTGCGTGTCGCGGGGTCCTTGACAATGCGATTAGCAACTTGAAGAGCCAGAGCACCTCCTGCGGACCCTCCAATCGTGTAGAACTTGTTGGGATCTCCGCCAATCGAAGCTGCGTTCTCCATAGCCTATGTCGGTTGTTGGTCAGCATAGAGCATCACAGCTTTCCACCTTTGGGGATACACCGGTATAGTAGTGGACGACGTACCCATCGATACACCTTCAGCGTATCCTCCAGCTGGGTGGGGACCTTGTGCTCAGGAGCGAGTCGATAGTCGACATTGACGATGATGGAAGGAACATGTTCAGCCATGACCCTGCAGAGGAGATCGTCTGAGTTGAGATCGCCTGTCATCCATCCTCCTCCGTGGGTCCAGATGGCAACAGGAAGGGGTCCTTGTTTGGCAGCCTCCTTGGGGGTGTAGACGCGATACTTGACTCCTTCGACTTCACCATCTACGCTCTCGGTGGCGTCTGATGGTGGTGGCAGCTGTGGGAGAAGCATGGCCACCAGATTGTCGTACATGTCACGGATATCCTTGACGCTTCCATGCATAACCACTCGGCCACCCGTGGCTTTCTCCAGCTGTAATGTGTGTTAACGGGTACTTGTCCATCATGGCTAGTGACATGCTTACGTCTTGCCATGATTGTGTGTAACTCATGTTGAAGTTTTGAACGACGGATAGACAAGCTGGGGGAGGGCCTCGATAATGGCTAGCTAGGGTTGACTCTGAAGATTGATATGGTTCCAGGCTCGGTCCATGACAGGGCAGAGCTGAAGGTATTTGTAGTACTTGCATGTATCAAGCATGGCTCTACCTCGGCTAGCGTGGATAGAGGGGCAGTTCACTTCCGATGTCAGTGTGGATACCTTGAACACAGACCAAAGCGAAAGGACAGTGAATCCAAGAGGCCGCTGTGGGCTTACTGAGTACCTCACATGGTGTATCCTACCGAATACCCCGCCACCTGGTATGAGAGGGGCCTTAACTAAGCTTGGTTCTTGTCTTTCCAGGCTCTTTATGAGAAGAACTTCTCGCATAAGACTCTTGTCTGATTGGAAGCCTGATCTCGGGCTTACGCCCCGCATTGGCTTACTCACTCTTTCACGGTCATACAGCACAAGCTACCCCGGCACCAGATGGGCAGCCTTATGTCGTAGAATGGTTCCTCGTGTCGTAGCATGGCTTTTAAGAACGGCGAATGTACAAACATTCCTTCCAGCTTGGCCAGCCTATCGAACTAAACACTTGGAGGTGGATCATTCGCTTTACTGCAGCATTATGCTTAAACCCGTCGACATGCGCGTCTACTATGATCTACCACATTTCCTTGGTCTTGGATTGGTCATGCTAGTGAGGTCGTCGTCAACTACTCACGCTGTCGTCTTACTGTGGGCGTCCCAATGTAATAGTTGCACTGCCTGATCGGCTCCTACCACTAAGGATGGACATAATGGCAAGGGCTGAACCAGTTCAATGATTCAGCCGGGAACAGACAGCCTTTCGAGTGGTACACGAGTGGTACTCGAGGTCAGGCTTCCCGTTATGTGCCCGTACCCAGATACTGGTTTGCTCGGCATCCAACACGAGGACATTTGATCGCACCGCACAAGTACCAGAGAGAGTATTATTAAGGTGTCTTTTGTTATAAATGTGAACTTTTTGGTCTTTTCTCTTTCTAATGATGCCTCGCCTTGGCTTACAGTAGACCAGCTCCAACGACGGCAGCGTGAGGAAGAGGTGTATTTGAGATCGGTACTCCTATCACACGGTATCATCCACTGCTCCCCCCGGAAATGAAACACCCTACCAAAAGTGCCTCAATTAGTGGAATTGTTTCTCCAAAGTGGTCAGATCCTCATCTTCGATAATCAGAGACGAGGTTGGACAGCATTATGACTTCGTCAAGAAAGGCTCTGTCTCGGCAATGATCACGGATACGGACAATGCCTTGTCTTCGGCAGACTCAGGTCACCTGTTAGAATATATCCACTAGAGCCATGAGCTTCAATAGCATCCAGATTGTTTTGAAGATCTTTTTGACGGCCTCTAGGCTATCAGTGCCGCATTCCTTAAAGTTACGTTATAGTACGAAGGGCTGGTCAACCAGGGCGCATTCGATGAAGTTTGCACGAATGTTGGGCGGAGATATCGTAATATACCGAAGTGACAGCATGTTATTCAAGGTACTAACGATGCAAAGAATATGGCAGTCGTCCCTCACTTGTGGTCTGCCTCTGGTGTGTAAAAAGGTACTGGAGAGGCACAGCCTTTCTGACAAAGTCAAAGTTATTGATCTGGTCCCTTGTTGACCGGTGACCTTTTGATGACGCCTATTATCAAGGCCGGACTGTGGTTTATCTCCAAAATGTTCTGGCGCCTGTGTCGTCGCCATTGAAGACAGCCTTCTGCATTTGGGCATGTTTGCCCAAGCCGCCGGCGCCGTGGTCATTGTTGGTGACGAACACACACGAAGTCGAGGCATGGAAGTGGAATTTGCCAGAGTGCTCCATCAGGGTTACTTCTCAATCTATTAAGCCATTCTCGCACGAGCAAGTCCTCCACGCCTAAATCCTGATTGTTGCCTTGATGTGGCGGCAAGCCCATGGCCCTGGTAGTGGGTGAAATCCTACGAAAGGCCTCAGTCCTGTATGAACGGCATGCTGGGGAGATCAGGATAGAACACGTGGACTCGAAGTCAGTTATCATTCTCGTAGACTCGGTAATTAATACTGGCCAGATGGTTGTCGACTTTATCCGTCGTTTGACGCGTCTGAATGCGGCTCTGCGCATTGTCATCATAGCTGCCGTGGTGCAGGATGAGGAAATCGCCAATATCGAAGCCCTGAAAAACACCATACAACGTCAACAAGTTGGCCTAAGAACCAAACAACAAATTTACTAGCCGTGGTGGAACCGACACTGAAAGTCGGCTTTATCATACAGAAGCACTCAACTAGAGTACAAGAGAAATCATCTCTCAAGAAGACCAAGGCCTGTCCCAGCGTGGGAGCTGGAAAACTCTGCCACATAGTCTTTGACCCTATCTGGTGGTTTGGTCACTCGTGTCGCCACCAATCTGCGATCGAACTTACCTTCAAGATAAATCTGAACCCATAAATGGAACGTCCCCGGGCACCGTCGTCCTTTTAGTACTTGTGCAACATCGCTTATTATGTGGCACACAACCCATGCAAGACTGTGCATGCATCTAGGCCTTCGTTGAGGATGTTTGTCTTAGGAAGGACAAATGTCTTCCTTTGGTACTCTTTTTCTTCTTATGAGAAACAAATACGTGCCTGATGTTGACAAGACCACGCTCTGTCTAGAACTTCCAATCACTGTGCGACTGCGTTATTCAGTCTTTACGCTAGATCACCAGTTAGTGGTTACAGCCGTATGTTCCCTGCCCTGTCGGCGATGCTAGACACACAAATCTGGAGCATAGAACAACTCCGAAGGCCATGGGTACAAGTATCCCCTATGCCAGATATGATGCAGGGAGCTGTTTCGATCATCTGGTGAACGAAGTAGTGGAAACTGGACGACGGATGGAGGATAAAGAACGCAAGTGGTTGTCTGTCCTTATGTTCTTGCGCCCGAACACAGTGGGATCTCGCAACGCCCATGGTACTCAACAGGGCAAGCATAATTTTCGACGATGTCACAATGGTGCTAGGGTCCCCTGATCCTCTCTTGTAACTTTTGACGTTGAACCATTGATCAGCAAAGGACAGGAAGGGATTTGATCAGTCCAGATAGAACAATCTGCGCTAATCGTGATTTAGAGAAGGACGTCCCTCGAAAAAGCGTGATTGGTGGCCGGAAATGCCACCTGCATGATCCCTGGACCCACGAGGTTTTGGGTAAATGGACAATCCCCGGGACCGGCCCGTCTCAAAGACGCAACTTGCAAGAATAAACACCGTTATCTCCACGCTCCTAAGTCCATTATTCGATCCGCCAAAGAGAGCGAAGTCATTTTATTTTTATATATTCGTCGGCGGTGTTCACACCTCTATTGATTCCTTTCTTCTGTTTACCTGTCTACTTGTCACCGTGGAGGATGAAGATGACCTCTACAGCTTGCAAGACCACTCCTGCTATTGTTCTAGAAGGCTACAAGCCTCGAGGTGTTTACGAGACAGTTTCTGGCTTGAATACCTGTGGGTGTGGCCCGCTTTCGATGGAAATTGGCTGAATTTATTGTGCAGATGTAACCGGGCCGAAGAATGCAACTTCAGGAATTGTGGATATATATGACGTTTTCGGCTTCAGTTCGCAGACTCTTCAAGGTGCAGATATCCTTGCCGCGCGCACAAATTCGATAGTGATAATTCCCGACTTTTTCAACGGCGAAAGTGTCAGCCACGATTGGCTCCCAGCTGACAGTGAAGAGAAGAAGACGCTACTCACCAAATTTCTGAGTGAAAAAGCAGCTTATCCCCAGAATGTCGGCTTGTTATTGGGAGTAGCTGAAGATTGCAAGAAGAGGTTCCCTTGTGCAAAGAAGTGGGCGGCATTCGGGTTATGCTGGGGAGGAAAGGTGTGAGACCATTCCCATGTCGAGTCTTCCTGTCATTATGCGATTTCAGCACAGTTAAGCTAAAAGGATGAAGGTTGCAGTCCTTGCCTCGGGGTCAGATTCGCCTTTTGTGGCTTCTGGGCAGACCCATCCAGGGTATGTGCTCTCGGGCGGCCATTCTGTCGACTCGTCAACTAATTGCCGTTTTGAATCTTCTAGTAGCATAGATAAAGCAGATGCACAGAAGCTGACAATCCCGCACATCGTACTAGCCTCCAAAGATGAGCCGGCGGAAGTTATCTTGGCTTATAAGGAAATTCTCGAGGCAAGTGGAAAAGACGGACTTGTCGAGACGTATTCCAGTATGTGGCACGGGTGGATGGGTGCGAGGGCAAATCTGACGGAAGATGATGGTCGAAAGCAGTATATGCGTGGGTAAGTCTACTTTCATCACCTTAATCGGACATCTCAGCAGCTGAGCTATAGTTAATATTCCGACAGCTACAATCAGGTGGGCGATTTCCTAGGGAAATATCTCAGCTAGAATAGACCTGTGCTGGGGAGGATGACACGGAGTAGTGAACACCGGAAGCTTCAAACAGAGAACAACTAAATGTCAGCATGTCTTCCTAGAAGTCAACATTACTTCTGCGTCAAGCACTTTGGAGTGGGAAGTGAAAGGGAAATAAAAACACAGAAGTAGAGTAGGTTAAAGGTGAGCAGGTCAGACAATTGCCGTTACCGGCGTCGGCTGTGAGTGCGGCGGGCCGGTCTAGGTCCGAAGCACTAGATGCACAAGTCGTCTAGACCTTGACGTTTAGAAGAATTTATACTTGCCAACCTCCATGCTACCTCTTTCAGGCTGGGTCGAGGAGGCAATAGCTTCTTACTAAACACTTGCTTTACGGTTGATGAAAACCGGTCCTTCTACGCTGCCGTACAGCCAACCTTGCACATGCCTGTTCTCGAAGTAGGTCAACCCAATAGCTCCCGGACGAAGATCGGCATTTTGGAAAATGGGCGACACCGAGATTGCGAATCTGGCGAAGACCGTAAATGCAACGTCGGCCAGCACCGGGGCAATCCAGATAGGCGACCAGCAAACAGCGGATGAAATCGATACTGCTCGAAATCTAGAGCTGGATGTCGTCAAATCCGAACAACAGCAGACGAAAACAGCGGATGAAGTTCATACTGCTCAAAGCCTAGAGCTCGATGGCGTTAATTCCGAACAGGAGCAGACGACTTTGCCACCTCAGAAGGCTGAACTTGTGGAAACCACGGAACCGCCATACACTGTCCTGGAAGAATGGAGGAAAGTCTCGATCATCATTACTGCTTCTTTTTTGGGCCTGGTGTCGCCCATCTCTTCAAGCACGTATTTGCCTTCCATCAACCAAATCTCAGGTGATCTTCACAAATCAATACCTCTCATCAACTTGACCGTCACAACGTACATGGTATGCGCTTCCCGAAATCCTCCAATTACCAATTCTTCCCTGACACCTGCCAGATATTTCAAGGAATCGCCCCATCTTTTGTCGGATCCATCTCCGACGCCAAAGGACGAAGACCGGCCTACATATGTTGCCTCGGCATCTACCTGGCAGCAAACATAGGTCTGGCTCTCCAAAGCAACTATGTAGCGTTGTTGGTGCTGCGGTGCGTGCAGAGCTCGGGAAGCAGCGGCACTATTGCCCTTGCCAGCGCTCTCGTAGCTGATATCACTACCCGAGCCGAACGAGGGAAATATATCGGATATGCCACGATGGGTGTGACCCTCGGACCGGCGATCGGGCCTATAATAGGAGGAGCCGTTGCATCAAACCTTGGTTGGCACTGGATCTTCTGGGTTTTGTCCATTCTGGGGGCGACTTTACTTCTGGTGGTCGTTTTGTTACTGCCGGAAACCTGTCGAAGCGTGGTCGGCAATGGTAGTATACCCCCGCCCAAATGGAATCGTCCGCTCTTCCACGGTAAAGGTCAATCCTCTCCTCCAATTCTCACGACCTTGACGCCAAAACGCCATCGACCGGGTCCAATGCAATCTCTTGAGCTCATTTGTCATAAAGAAGCCGCCATTATCCTCCTGTATAGCGGACTCATGTATGCAGGTTATTTCCTGGTACTAAGCACGCTGACATCCCAGCTTGCTGAACGCTATAGCTTGAGGCCGCACAAGATAGGATTGTGCTACCTTCCTATCGGCATAGGCAGCCTAACATCACGCTGGACACTGGGCATCCTTCTGGACCGGAATTTCAGACGAATCGCCGCAATAGAGGGCATTCCCATTGTGAAGAACAAGCAACAAGACATCGACACATTTCCCATTGAAAAAGCCCGCCTGCAGGTCTCTCTACCCTTCGTGGGCATGGCGTGTTTATCCATCCTGGCATACGGCTGGGTCATGGAGAATAAGATCGACCTTGCCGGTCCCCTTGTCGCGCTATTCTTCCTTGGCCACTTCGTCACGGGCAGTTTCAGTTCACTGAACACCCTAATGGTTGACCTGCACTTCCAAAGTCCGGCGACGGCGACGGCGTCCAGTAACCTTGTCCGCTGTCTCCTCGGTGCCGGCGCCACAGGCGTGGCAACACCGATGATCAATGCCATGGGAATCGGCTGGACGGGGACTTTCGTCGCGGCAGTGTTGCTAAGCCTATCGCCCTTCTTGTGGCTTGTGTACATAAATGGCTGGGCGTGGCGACGCCCGAACATCGAGCGAAAGCGCCACCGAGAGGAACGAGCAAGAGCGCGACTTCAACCCAGCTCGACCAAGTAGACACTTCCAGCGATTTTAACTGAGTAGTAATTCTGCTGTCCTGGAATGTTCGACGTTCGACTACAAGGTAAGGAGACCAATCTCGCAACCGACTATAATACAAGCAAGGTCGGAGCCAGAAGACTTCGACGAAATATCCAGTGCCATTGTATGTTCTTCCGCGGCAAACAGCGCTGGTCAAATTATAGAAATGGAATGCAAAGGCGCGTCACTATGCACAGTCGTCAGGTTTGAATCCTTGTATGAACGAGCCATTCAGCAGAGTCGTCGAGAGAGGGCCCCTCGGCCGGTTGTCTGAAGGGATTCTGTGTTCGATGATCTCAGTCAAGCAACCCAGCCTTTGAAGCCAGGAATATAGAATTGTAGGCTACCCTGTTCCAGCCGAACACTGTGGCTTGACCGGTCGGCTCCATGTCCAAGGTCACGTTGACGGCCATCTCAGAACAGGTTAGGTGAGCGCTCACAAAAGCACATGCCAGACCATGAAGGATCAGATATATGACCCTAGTTCGGATCACCAAGGGGACTTGTGTATGCGTCTAATCGATAGCACTGTCAAGACCGCTATCTAGAGTCTTTCGCAGGTTTTGGCTCGGCTTGGGTGTACGCACAGTAAGACTGATCTTGAGTTTGAGTCCGTTCTCACTTCGCGACTTGTACTGGCTATTTCAAACCGCTGCTCGTCGATAGCTCGGCCGTCACATTTTTCGACCGCCCTCAGGCCCAACCACGGACCGACCGACCGGACGGGCTGGGTTGACTTATGCGAACTGCTCTCAGATAATATCGGAATCCTGAGGGTTGACCGACGACCAAGTTCGATGGAGAAAAGGCGCAGATAACCGACTAGTGTAAGCGGCCCGTTCAAGATCCCGGAGCACTTCAATCGTGGATTCGGAGGATACTATGGCTTAGAGCGACGTCCGACACACGGTACTTCCCAGGCAGCACTTGATGAATTATTCGTACATTGTAGCGAAAGGGTCCATCTGACACCATCGGACGATATTGTTCTGAGCCAGGGTTAAATATTCTGCGTCGTCGACAGTATTCACCGCGCGAGCTTATCGGTCGTGCAGTCCTTGTTTTGGTACTTTAGTCTGTGCCATGGGTGATGTCTTGAATATTCCATCCTATTGGCACTTCTCAATGTGACCGGTTTTGCGCTGTCGTTTGCCAATGGGTTCACAGTCTACTCCTCTATGTGAAAGGACGGGTTTGGGCAAAAGGTAGCCACGTGATTGATAAAAATCCACGGCTTTCCAAATTCCTGGTCTATCTTCCCGTCATCCCACGAGACCACAAACATGTGTTTGTTGGCAACGTTGCTATCAAACGTTGTCTTGTTTCTCACATTCTACGCTCTGCTATTGACAAACAGGGTCAAATTCCCCACCTCATAGGAGGACAAGCCGGATTGTATGTTCCAGGCCTTGTGACAGCAACTCCATCCATATTTTTTGTCCAAGTGCTGGCCCAGTGGCTGCCCCTATACTTCCGAGACCTAGACCATTTATGAACCTGCGGTCGTCGCGTGCTTGTTTGTTTGTCTGCAAATTGACATGCTAGGCTTTGATTTAACTGGCCTCTCCAAAGTTATAATGGCCGGTTCGTTCTGCGTGTTTGGTGGCTCCTGCCTCGCCAATACATGTTGCCCCACAGTCATTGCATCTGAGCTGAAAACCTGCTGTGTCGGTGTAATAATGCCTCGCTTGCAACCTCTCACACAAGGTCACCGCTGACTGTAGAATTTCATCCGACAAGGGCGCAGGGAACTGCTTGATATCTTGTTCTGGTACCGGATTTTCGAAAGGGCTCAGCGCGATAGTATCATAGTGTATCCCCGAGTATACCACAAAGCAACGTCTAGAAGCTTGCTCGTTGTATCTATCCACACGTAATGTTTGCACATCAATACTGCAAATCTCAATGTCAAAATGTTGGCTTAGGATATCAAGCTCGATTTGGCCACCCCACGCATCCTCTGTTTGGATCCACCGGCAGTATGCTTCTGGCTCTTTGTCGTCAAGAATGGCTTTTGAATATTTCTCAGGGTTGTGGTGGATCGTCTGTGCAATCACCGATCTCAATTCTGTCACAGCATCCAATTCGGAGATTGCGGCTGAAGCCACTGCTCGAAACAGGCAAGAGTTGTCGTCTGGCATGATTCGCAATACAAGGGTTCCGCCAACTTCTGGCATGAATACTTCAGGTGGATCGTCCATGGCCGGATTCTTCTTCCGTGAAAGTGAAAGAGGAGCTGCGGCTGGTTGTTGTGGCTTTGGTTTGGACTTGGGCTGGGCTGCCGTCGAGGGCGATTGAGAAGACCCATGTTTCTCTTTTGGCGATGTAGGTTGCCTTGCAGCTTCGGATTTCTGTTGCGAGGCCGAAGGAGAGATGTTGTTCACGATGAGTTGCTCTCCATTTAGCTTAACATCGAGTTCGGAAAGAATGCTAGCGGGGGGATACTGATTGAGATCGAGAGTCTTTGGAGGAAACCCATATTTGATCTCAAAAGAGGTGAGACTCGTCTCAGTAGTGATGGCTTCTCTCAAGGTCTCGATCGTCGCAGAGTTGCCCAGACTGATGATTGACGACTTGCCAGTGGGGTCCCGGATACGGATTCTCATATTTGCGGGGGGGGCTTCCCGCAAGGTAGACAACCGATCTCTGTTGGAAGGAATCACAGTCCGGATCCGGCACGTTCACCGTGAATAAGTGAAGAGTCTGCGCTTTGATGTAAATATTGCCACGTAGATGGAAATCGATGGCGGTGGAGGGAGCAGTCCGAGATATGTCTCTGAATCCTAAATGAGGACCTGAAACGGAGACCAATTCTGAGATAAAAGATAACAAACAGACTCAAGTGGTCGATCTAGAAATAGTACCGAGAAATTAAAGTGTGGTTCTGGTTCTGGTTCTAGTTGTGGTTGTGGTTGACCTTGAGATGTTGGATAGATGGATGATTCCCCAAGAATGCCCAACTTGGTCAGGCCCTGTCCCACATGATCCTCACACCTAAGGAACACGCCTGACTAAGTTTATAATTATTTGTCGGACTTTGCTAACTCTGGGGAACTCGCTTGTGCAAACACGATTAAGACACTCATCATCAGCGACAGCGGCATTTTGAGTCTTTCCATGATAGATTTGGCAAGGAGGGACAGCGCCAAGACTTTGGTTCTGTCTCCAGACACGTGAGGTGCAGGCGATTCGCTCTGCGGGCAATGCGCGTCTGTGTTTGTACGGCCTCGCGATCACTTCCATGCTCTTTCCATACCATTAGACATCTCAAAGACACTTGCGACCCATAGTCAGTGTCCCTCGTATCCCCATGATCTCACCCTGAATTGGTCGGAGACCGTCCTTCCCACCCCGACGCGCTGGGCGCAAACCTGCGACCAGAAAATGGCAGACCCCTCGACAACCGAAGAGCCAGCGACGGCCAAGTCGCCAGACCCTGTTGACTCCATCGAGGTTGTAACAGAAGTTAAAGACGAAGATGCTGTTGATGAAAAGTCTGACAATGAGGCTGATGCAGCCGAAGATGAAGCGGGAGGCGAACGACCAGTCTCGAATGATCAATACAAAGCCCTGAAGAACATTACAGAAATCCTTACCAACCACAAAGTCAAGGTGAAAGGCGATGAGTAAGTTTTCGGAACAGATGCCAGCCTGGCCGCCGCTGATACTGCTTGCAGAGACCATTATCCCTCCACCTTGTTTCGCCGCATTCCGAATCGAAGAAATCTACCCGACTATCACGAGATCATCAAAGATCCGGTCGCCCTCAGTACGCTCAAGGGAAAGATACAGAGGAAGCAGTACAGCGGCATCCCTGAGTTTGTCCGGGACTTCGCTCTGATCGTCCACAATGCCCAGGTTTACAACCGACCGAATTCTGCGCCTGTCCGTGACGTGCTCGAGCTACAGGGACTCTTCAAGGCCGAGTTACAGAGACTTGTTGAAGATGGCTTCCTCAAAGCGGAGGAGATTGATTTTCCCGACCTGGGAGAAATCCCCTATGCTACACCCGAACCAGACCCTGTTTCGGAAGAGGATGACGAGAACGAAGACGACCAGGACCAGGACCAGGATGAGGATGATGATGACGACGACGGTGATGGCGATGACTCAGACGATGATCGGCGCAAGCGCAAAGGACGCAGAGGTAGACCTAGTATCTCTGGTCGCAAAGGTCGCGACGACGACGACGACGACAACAAACTGAACGATGCAGATATTCGAAAGCGTCGCGGGAGGCCACCCAAAGTTGACACGCCAATGGAAGCTCGGATCAAAGCGATACTCAAAGGCATTCGCAAACCCAAGGACAAGGCAGGAAATCTCAGAGTGCGACACTTTGAGCGGTTGCCTGACAAGGCAGAATATCCAGCCTACTTCATAGAGATCAAGGAACCCATTGCGCTAGACACGATCAAGAAGAAGGCAAAGAGAAAGAAGTATCAATCCCTCGAGCACTTCATGAAGGACATCGACCTGCTCTTCAATAATGCAAAGGATTTCAATGAAGACTCCAGCGAGATCTACCAGGATGCGATCGAGTTGTCCGCCGAAGCACTTCGGCTCTTGGACATTGAAAAAGCGAAGCCAGACGAAGAATACTTGATGGAAGATGGAAGGAGACCTCTTCCTTCTGGAATCCTGCACAACAACGAGCTTTGGAAAGTCGGGGACTGGGTCCATATCAAGAATTCCAATGATGTGACTAAACCCATTGTTGCTCAGATTTATCGAACTTGGGAGGATACCGACGGGCAGAAATGGATCAATGCTTGTTGGTACTACCGCCCTGAGCAGACTGTGCATCAGTATGAGAAGCACTTCTTTCCTAACGAGGTGGTCAAGACAGGGCAATATCGAGATCATCAGATTGAGGAGGTGATCGATCGATGTTTCGTCATGTTCTTTACACGATTCAGTCGTGGTCGGCCACGGTCACTTGAACCCAGCAAAGAGGTCTATGTCTGCGAAGCGAGATACAATGAAGAAAAGCACCGATTCAACAAAATAAAGACATGGGCCAGCTGTCTACCAGATGAGGTCCGAGACAAAGACTATGAGATGGATCTGTTTGACACACCCCGGAGGATAAAGAAAGTCCCGAGCCCGCTGAAGCATCTACTGAAGAGTGATGCCAAAGCTACAGATGTGATTCCGGCTCCTCAATGGGGCCATCCAAATGCACCTCCGCTGGTGGGAGGCATTCACAAACAACCACGCGATGAAAATGTAAGTAGCTCCTGCCCTAAGCGCGTCCTCACCGCCGCCGGATCTGTACTCGTCTCGCGCCTGCCTCTCTCCAGTACCCGGATTTGGTATACAACGGCCAGTTCTTGGCGGCATCAAAAGAACGTGATCCGGATTCTATTGTCCTTGGACTGACTTTCTTCCTCTTCACAGCAATCACCACCACCTGAGCCTACACCTCCCCCTCCTCCCACCCCACCAGCTCAAGTAGTCCGGCAGCCCTCTACAAACAGCATGTCCCATCAACAAGCTCGTCCAAGCCTGGATGGTCGATCAAGTACTGGTCCAGGTATCCTGCCTCAGCTCCCCCGTCCGTCGCCCTCCATGGCTCCTCAAATGTCTCCTTACCAAGCGCAATCCCTTTCTCCTGCACCTCAATATATTCGACAAAGTTCCTTATCACAGACCCCGGCCGCAACGCATCGAACCGCTGCTCCCCAAACTCCAACACAACCTCTGCCACTAGCCTATGCTGCTAATCAGCAATTGCATCCAACACCGGCTCTCACAGCTGCTCATCCCACAAGTTATGCACCTGCAATTCCCACTGTGCAACCTTATGCTCGTCCTTCAGTCCCGCCAACTCAATCATACAACCCCTATGGTGCTGCTATGGTGGCTCCAACCCGAGAACAGCAAGTGTTCGTGTTGCCCGACATAGCCAACGAATCCATTCCGAAATCCATCCGCGATCAATTTCCACAGGACTCGGAAGGACGCGTGTTATTCTTCAGCAAACCACCAGTCGTTGCGGATGAGGCGATCTACGATATGCACGCCAGCACTAAGCCGAAACTATTAGCTCACAGTGAGAAATATTTGGCCGCCAAAGCTGAACGCGACAAGCTCATTACAGCAAGAAAACGAACTATCGAAGAGCAGAATGTTCGAGACGATCACAAACGCGTCAAAAATGACCTGGTCAACGGCGGCGAACCCAATGGGACTCATTCCAGCAGAGCCACAGCTTCACACATGCAAGGAAGCAACGGAAGCCAAGGCGCCCAACCAAAAGAATCCGGTACTGATCCTATTACCACGGGACTGACCGACACAATGCAGAATTGGATCAAAAACATGAGTGCGCAGACCGAAATCGACTACAAGACAAGATATGGTGACAAGTGGAAGGAGTATTTCGAAGAAGACCAATTGAGACGGCAGGAACGAGCCAAGAAAGAGGCAGAAAAACAAAAGGCTCGAGAAGAGATGTTTGCAAAGTGCCACAACCCTCCTACCTATGACACCAGCTTCAGCAGGGATATCTGGTCGGGTGGATTCAAAGGCGAGAGATATTAATGCAGCCAGCCTTGGTGGGGAAGTTAAGTCTTGTGGGTCATTGCTTACTGTTGATCCTGAAAAGTCGCAGGCAGGGCATTTACTTGCTTGAATTGGATCGAGGGTGAATGGATGTGTACGAATATTTCAAGCTCGAGCAGCAACGAGTCTAATCAGAGAGCAGAAAGGAAGACCCCATAGCCCAGGATTGTATTGAGTACTTAACTAGGTAATTTTGTCTCGGGTTAATGCGAGCATGGATCCACGCGTCTCGTGCAGCGAGTCACAGGCATGACGGAAAACAGACCTGCCCGTAGCAACAAGAAATTGAAATTCGAGAGCACGATTCCACCCGAAGGGATTTGTCTACAAGCCTATCTATATCTATCTGTCTATCGAACACCATACTAAACCGCCCCCGACACTACACTCCCACTCCCACTCCCACTCCCCAACCTCTCAAACAACTCATCCCTCCGACTCCTCAACCGCCCCAGCTCGGCCGTCGCGCGTCGCACCTCCTCACGCGACGCCTGCACGTCCGGCGGCAAGCCGTGGAACGCGCGGATCGTGTTCTCTAGGCTCTGAAGGTCCTGCTGCCGCCGCTCCAGATGCGAAATCTTCGCAGCGACCGTGGACATCGTCGGCCTGGATGTCTGTGACTGAGAGAGCTGTGAGAGCTGGCGGGTCAGCTGGGCGAGTCGGCTGCGGTATTCCTGTGCTTTGAGCGAGAGTTGTTTCGTTTCCCGCTGGTGTTGGAGTGTTTGTGCGTGGATGGTTGATATGTCGGTTGTTGACGGGAGAGTCGTTGTGCCTGTTTCGGGGTCATCGTGGTCGAGCGGGATTTGTTGCTGATGGTGCCGGTCCTGCGACTGGGCCTGTTGTGGCGCTTCCAGACGCGATATATGCTCGTTCAGAGACCGGATCTGAGCCTCCAACGCGAAGATCTCTTGAGACACGCCCAGGATCCTTGACCGTAGCGCTTGATCTATAGTTCCAGCTGTCGGCGATGTCGTCTCGCACCCCAACAGGACAGCCGAGCGCGCAAGTGAATCCAATGCCGACGCCGCTGCTTCCGAAAGCGACGATTCGAGAAGCTGCAGCAACTCCTCGGCGCCGAGTCCTGCCCCAGGCTGGTCAGCGGCAGCGGTTGCGTGCGCTCTTGCCTCCTGCAGCTCTTCACACTGAGCTTCGTAAACAAGCTCTCGTAACTTGTCAGCCGCGGTGTTCTCAGCCATGAGGCTCTGTAGGCCCCGGAGCGTAGCAGCATTGCGTTCAAATGTTGGGATCGGCGCTGGGTGGTAGAGCTTGGATAGCCATGATGTGACGAGAGACCATGCGTGTGTTTCTAGCGCTTGGGCACGAGCTTTCGATGGTGATGCTTGCATGTTGGGTGGTTTAGGCGGTTTGCCCTTGTTGGCTTATGGACGAGTTGACTAGCCACTTGCCTACCTGGGTAGATAAAATATTGTCCCTTTCTGCTCTCGACTTCGCCCTTCTCTCAGACGAGGAATGGTCCCAGCCTATTCATTGGCGATGGCGGGTGCCAGCAGCGAGGCTCAACTGTCATTTGAAATCGTCTGTCAGAAGTATTTAATTGCTGGCACGTGCCTACCTAATTAGCACCACCTGGGCACCCACCCAGAGATAACTTGCAGCTTTGGAATTACTGTGCTTTGAACCTCCAGCCACGAGAACTACCATGAAAGATTCTCTATGGATGGTATGAGTTACTCCATACACTGACCGGATAAGTGGACAGGTTCCCCGGTCTCTCATGCTGCCAATATGACCATTCACGTGGCATTGGCTGTATCGTCCTCCGCCACAAGAGCAATTCTGTGACCGCTTGATCTCGCTCGAACATGAGGCTGAGTAAAAAAGCAGTGGTGGCTGAGCTAAAGCGTCCAGAAAGCCTCACCACCCCGCATATAAATCCATCGAATGCCCGATTCTGCCTGACTCAGTGGATTTACAGTTTCAATCAGGCTCTGCCTGGGAAGGAGGATCGTCGACATTCTGTGTTTTGCACTAGAAAATGCCAATACCGTTTGGATTTTCCGTGGGAGACTTTCTAACTGTGATAGGTGTGTGTTGGCTGACTCCTCAGCCTCACCTGCATTGCACATATTGACCACTGCCATAGATCTCACCGCCAAAATTGTTGGAGCTCTTAGCGATGCTGGAGGCGCGTCTACCGAATATCAACACGCTTTAATCGAGATCGAAGGCTTTCAGAGAGTAATAAATATTGTCTCCAAACTCAGCCCGACGGAGAACAATTTGGAGCATGTAAACGCTATCCGAGGATTGGCTCTGTCAAGTGGGCCACCACTCAAGGAGTTTTTGGCGAAAATTAAGCGTTATGAGCCATTCCTGGGCTCACATGCACCCAAAGGCTCTCCATGGAAGCATTCGGAAGCTGAGATGGACATTCTATGGCTCAGACGACTTCAAGCAATTTCGGAGGTTTATTGGGATGAAGGTTCTCTGCATTAACATGTTGCTTTCCACGCAATTATAGTATGTGCTCTGGCATCGAAATGCTTTCTTGCTGGCTGTTCTAACAAGAATTAGCCAATCTGATTCTAAAGCCCAGCCCACTCAGCGACGAGAAGACTCCTATCTTCTTGGGGAGGTCATTAAAATACGGCAAAGCATGGAACAACTCGAGCTCGCCTCTGTCGCTTCGCAAAACAATGCGGGTTCTGCAATCGAAGAGGCCTTGGAACCGGTAAAAGACCAGCTCAACTTTATCGCCGATGGTTCTAAACGCAAATTCGACTCAATCTCAATGGATATCACATCCATTGGGACTTCGGTGTCTTAATTTAGAGGTATTCTGAACAATATTATTGGGTTTCTTTGCTCGATCCGGAGCGAGACCAGGGCTGCACTTCAGCAGATATTACAGACCAATATGCAGATCTACACGATATTGGTGACGTCTCAAAGTAGCATCAACGCTACCCCTTCACTCCTCTTGGACTCCAACATACAATTTGAGGACGCGCTAGGAAGGAAAAGTCCTCTGCCTTATCAGTGGTTTCATCATTGGGAGGTAAGACCCCTGAAACAAACCTAGTCGGTCTCTGTCCGACTCTTGGTTGACGCTGTCTAGTCTTTTGAAGGTTTGCTGCGCGCAGAGTTCAAGGACGTGCCTGGTCAACTTAAAGTAATTGAAGGAGAGTACCATTTGATCGATTCTAAAAAAGACGGAACCTTGATCAAGAAGGATGACTGGAAAAAGCTTGTTTTTCCGGGGTCCTCAATAACGATGTCTATGATCATTTCTCAGATGCGATGGCAAGGTGCTCTCTGCCCTAGGCCGAGCTGCAAACAACCCAAGAGAGAAATACTTAGCAAGTTCGCTGTCATAACGTGGTAAGTAGAGAAATCTGAGCATGAGAACCGCAAAGCCTCAGTGTTTGGTTGGAACTATGTGAGGATGTGGTTAACCGCGTATAGCGAACAATGTGGGTTGAAATATTACCCCTGCCAAGAATCAATGGGCTCTGAAAACCCCGAGTTCTCTTCTCCAGAACATGGAGAGATCGAGGAGATCGAGCTCTTTCGGCTAGTACACATTAATCAGACCGAGGACGACGTCAAGACTACGAACTTGCTCCTGCTTAATAGCATCCTTGCCAACGACAAGTTTGACGTTGACCAGTCCATATATCAACGAAACATCTTTGATAGATTCCCTAGCATCCCACCGTATCTGGCGCTCCGACTTGCAGAAGCTAATGCACAACGAGCAAAGAGATTAGCGCGTGCCCATGACTCTGGTTCAAGGCAAGGCTTGCCCGGCCAGGTGGAACGAGAACAACAATTTTCGGAACCCGTCGATGTCTCTGATAATGCGGAGCCAGTTACAGGCGGGTCAAAGAACCAGAAACTGTCAGTCCTTGTACAGCAAGGAACCCCGGTCCAACCCCTGAACTCTATCGTAAATACCCCCGTGACGACGGATCTACTAAAGATCCCCATGTCGGTTGGGTCTCAATCTAATTCGAGGCGCATGTCCTTTGATTGGGCGGAGAAATTTGCAGGTCTGATAGACGAAGAGGTTTCACTACTACCACAGCAAGGAACCCCACTTCAAGATTCATTTAATATCGCAACCCTCCTGGTCATGATAGATCAATTGGAGAGCTTCACCTTGTTTGGACCTTAATCGAATGCGACGAATGAGCTCTTGGACGCTGCAGAGCCCATTTCAGGGTCCCCGACATACTAGGCAGTGCCGCATCTTCTACAGAACGGTCTCTCTTTCTGGACGGGTCTATCGAAGGATCCCATCTCGCTTGGAACCCGATCCAATTCTTCTGGGACCAATGACTCGATGCAGACACCCAATCAAGGTGTCGGGCGCGGTTCAAAACTCTACTGTCACACACTCTTGCATAGACAGCGACATTGTAGCACCTTCCGGTTTTGTTCTTCCGGCACCTCCAATTGACTTAGGAAGCGAAAGCACCTTTATATGCGATATTTGTGGCGAGCAAATTATAATACTGAGGCGGCGTGATTGGCAGTATGTGTTTCATTTTGATATTGAGGGACCAAGAGCTAATTGGAACAGAGTCCATGTTCTGCAAGACCTGCAAACGTATGTCTGTCAGTTCGAGGACTGCCCGACTCCGCTTCGGGTTCATGCCACGCGCCAGGGACTCTTGTCTCATTTCCACAAGCAACATGTCCGTGAGTATAAGTATAGATGTTCCTCATGCGACTTCAGCTGCAAATCAAGCCGAGAAGCATTATCTCATATCCGAAGCTTATGGCCATGCACGAGTGATGATGTGCCTAAGTTGGTGAAAGAGTTTGATACACTGAGCTGTCCAATATGTGGCTCCAACCCAGGATCATGCACAACAACCTTTACCACACATGTATCTCAGCATCTAGAGCGTATAGCTTTCATGGTGCTTGCCAAGCCATACGGTGAATGGAACTTCTATGACGACGCTAAATCAATAACCTCGTCAGTGGGAACCATCGCAATGGATCCTGAAGTACTCGATTCCATAATCCAGGGCCGCACTTCGAACGTGAGGCAGCTGCTTCACGACGGTATGTTGCGTGATGGGATAACATCTACTGGCCGCTCAGTGCTCCACTTGGCCGCTGCTCACGGGCAATATTCCATCGTGTGGCTTTTACTTCAATCTAAGTTCGATGTGAGCCTGGAGGCCATTGACTCAACCTGTCTCAAGTGGACGGCTCTTCATTTCGCTTCTGCTGCAGGGCATGCCTCTACAATAGACCTTCTTCTGAAGGCAGGCGCGCGTCAGCCTTCGGATGAACCGACACCACTGTTCCTTGCCGTTGAAAAGGGCCATTGCGAAGGTGTTGAGATATTGCTGGCCGCCGAGCACGGACTTGACTTTGGTTCATCCGCCCCCCCCCCGAAGCCTCTGAGTATCGCTGTCGAAAAGGACTATGCTGAAATTATGCGGAGCTTCTTGGTCGCTCCGGAATCCCAGTCTCCACCTGCTTCCTTGAACTCTTCAAAAAAACATTTGGTTAATCGAAGTTCGAAGCGTTACGAATTTTTTGATCAGATTGTGAGGGATGCCACTACATGGAATGCGAAACTCAGTATACAAGCTATCTTTCAATGGGCGTCGCGGCCAAACATACGCGCCACACTCACGAGTACACTATTTGGCAACTGGAGCGATACTATCACGGATTGGATCTCCATAGCTTGCCAAAAGGAGAACACCACTCTTGCGCTTCTGCATGCATCTGCCCCATTCCTGGAAAATCCGCCTCATCTGTCAGTACGAGCCTGGACCGCAATCGCAAAATTGAAAAATGCTGGGGCTCTCAAAGAAAAGGCTCTGCTGGGGAGCGCTGAACGCATTGAAAATGGTCTTGAAGCAGCAGCAGAGGTGGGAGACTTGGACTTCTTCTCCCAAGTTGTCGAAAAAGCCAGTGTACTGCCTGCAATAATCTGGACGAGGGCCTGCTCGTGCGGGAATCTCGACATCTTGCTCGCCTTATTGAATCGGGGTGACGAGCCGCCGCCAAGAATCCTCGAGGCAGCGGCTAAAGAAGGTCAATACAAGGTGATCAGCACGCTCCTTCTACAATTCCACCGGTTTTTCTCAACACAAGAAAAGGACAAAGCCCTATTTGCTGCAGTGCGAGCAGGGCATCGAAAGTGTGTTCAGGCTCTGTTCAAACACCGGCTTCCAGAACCCGAGCTGGTGTCCAGATTGCTCGTGAGTGCTGCAGATGCTGGGTGCGTTCAGGTGGTAGACTTTTTCTTGAACGAAAGCACGGGAGAAACCCTTTCCATCGATGCGCTGACAGAGGCTTTGGTAGCTGCGGTGTCCAACAGCCATGCAAGCACGGTTGACCGATTGTTGATCCGCCACTCACCTACCTGTGCTTTGACATCGTATGGCAACAATCTTCTTCACCTTGCAGCCCTTGTTGGGAGCACAGAAATCGCCCAGAAATGCCTGTCTCTGGGCATTGACGTCAATACCATCGGTTCTCTAGATCAAACCGCACTTTTCAAAGCTTGTGATAAGCACCACTGGGAGTGTGCGAAGCTCTTGCATTCCCATGGAGGGGTATTGAAGAGCCGCGTGGGTTATAACTCGGTACTGGAAAGACAACTTCGGTCGGAGTTGTCCAGGTCTGCTCAGCTGACGAGCGCGACCGCCTCCGACGACCCACGTACTCGAGGAGATGATTTGTTTCCCATCTAGGCAGGCTCCTGGATCCATCCGCGTTTGGGAACAATTGAGGTATTGGCGCTCACGAGGGCGATGCTTGTTGCAGAGGACGATATCAAAGACTATGATTTAACGACTTTTGTTCATTGAATATTCATATAGCGGCACTCTGCGTTCTGTCTACCAGCGAGCAACACGATCCGGAAACGAAGGTAAGCTGGAACGCGTGAACAACAGATTGGGCTCTGAACCAAGCTTATTTATGCAAGCGGGCAAATCCAGAGTCAAACAAGAACACCCTCTCTCATGCTCTCCAAGGTCTTTTTCCCCACGCCCTTCAATTTTGTAAGATCCCGCCATGATCGTAGATCTGCATCGCCCTCGACTTCAAGTTGCGAGTTCAGATACTCGACGATCCCTTCAGCCCGTTTCGCACCAAGACCATTTAGTGATTTAATCTGTGATACGTTTCGCGTGTTGATTACATCTAGCAGGTGTTGTGTGCGAGGCGTGATGGCAACAGCATTGGGTTGAGTCAAGGGGTCTGGAGATGAGGCTCGCGGTTTGCGCTTCTGCTTTTGCCGCCGTGGACGTGCCCGAAAGGACAAACTCCCGTCTTCGTCATCGCTGTGGTACTCGGATTCATTGCCTTCTTCATGGTAGCTCTCGTCTTCGGTTGCGCCGATTCCGTCAATGGTCAGTTGCTTGGTAGTGATCGGCCTCCTCGCGTCGGGCAAAGCTTCATCCTGGTGGGGATTTCCATCCTCGGACTCCTGCTTCTTCCTCGTCAGCCGTTCTTTCAACCGCTCAATTTTCCCTTCCAGTTTCTCGTTGTCCGGGAAAAACGGCTGTGCCAGCTCATACATCTTCAAGGCACTAAAGTCCTCGCCGCGTGCTTGGTGCTGCTTTGCCATAAACAGGTAGCTGAGCCCTTCGGCTCTTTCTCCGTCTTGGCCTTCCAACCGCTTCTCAATGGTATCCAAGCGTTTCTGAACTTCGTCTGATACCATCTTCGTTGGTACTGGGTCCGGTACATTCATCGCCCGTGCCGCTAGGATTTCCGAAACTTTCTTCTCTACGAGGTTCTCGATGGATGCTTGTGTTAGAGCACTGGTGTCTGGACCTCGTCGAATGAAGCTTGGCGTTGGCCGTGAGATCTTGGTGGGGCGAGCAGAGAAGACCGATGCATCCGCGCCACGTTTGAGAGGAGATGATCGCTGGATGGTCGGTTTGGATGTCGTAGATGGTTTACCTCGGTCCGAATAGACGGAGAAGGCTTTCGGGGGTTTCTCATTCTTCGCTGCCGTATCGCGATTTGCCATGATATTCACATTGATGTGGTGAGTGAGAGGTCGAAGGGGTTGCCGCTGAATGTTCGGGCCTCCTGAAGGAGCGGTGGTAGCTGGGCGAGGGGGCCCTTTAAAGATAGGCTCATTCTCCACCTCGCGGACTTCAATCTTCTTGGTTCTGTTGGCGAAGTTCAGAGAGCTGAGCGTGTCGAGATGGTATGCTTTGACAGGGGCGAGGTTCAAGATCATGACAGTAAAGCCATTATTCTGGCCCAAAGAGAGAATCCGAGTCATCTTGGATTCTCGGTAAGGAATTCGTTGCTGTTTCTTGCTGATAGCTTCGACACACTGCGCCAAGACAAACAAGGATTTGTTGATGCTGGCGGATTCAACCATCCGGTCCTTACCATTTCCAGTCCTTCGATTGTCTTCGGAGCCGGCAAGATCAATAGCACAGGCCGTGCTGACCCTCGTCTCATCAGGAGTCGCCACTGTGACTTTGACACAAAGAATTGCATGGGATCTGGACGAGTGTGCATTCAGTTTGGTTGCGCCCGTACTTCGGTTCGAATTCGCCTTGTCGTAGAGGGCTTCAAAATCTTTCAAAGTCGAACAAGGGACCTCTGTCAGTCCGACCACCACGGTTTTCCCACCTTCAGCTTCTCTGATAGGTAGCCCGGTCGGGGTACGTTTCTCAGGGCCGTCGAACAGATCGAATACACGGTCATTATATATCTCGTAGTAGCTCATGGAAACCTGGACGGACGTCTCGCCATGGCTGCTCTTCTCCAAAGCCCGGCTCTTTCGATAGATACTGCTCAGCAAGCGCGGGATCATGCCTCTTTCCTGCAACGACTTCCCGCCCCGCATGGTGTGCGTCTTGCCGGTACCAGTGGAGCCATAGGCGAAGATTGTGACATCGTAGCCGAGGAAGAGGTGTTTCACGGTGGGGGTTACTGTTGAGAGTGTGAGCAAATGATTATTTACCATTTATTGACCTTGACCCGGGTGGCTAGCAACGACATACCCTCAGCATCGAAGATCTCCTGCTGCGTCGACTCTTGCCCATAGACACTGTTGAACTGGAAGCTGTATTCCTCGGACAAGTTTTTGGGATTGGGAAGCTTCACGATGGCTGGCTTTCCATCTGGTCCGTCATAGGTAGTTAAGATCTCGTCCTTCGAGAGCTCGGACTTGAGGAGTGGTCGGATTCGCGCGACGACTCGGACACTCATTTTGACCGCGGATTTGTGGTAGGGTAAATAGACCTATATGAGTTGAACTTCGGTCTCATACACGGGATGGGGTGGGAGGGCGCAGGTTGGAGAACACACCAGGGCGACCAGGCCATGGGTATCCTTGATGCCAAGACTTGTGTGGTTGCGAGGGGCAACCAGCCTCACGCAGCCTTTTCGATTCCCACAAACCAAACACAGTCTGATTACCGCTGGCAAAAGACTATGTCCTGCTCGATTGATGGCTCTAAGAAAAGTATATTATGCGCAGCCAACTCAGCATACGAATCGTTGAATAAAGGCACTACCACAGCGCTTAATAACTATAAATATAGCGGCAAAGGCTCTTATCTGTGGATTCCAGAGTTCACCAACAGGCATAGAAGGCCTGCTCCGACTTGAAGATGCTATTCTTCTTTGACTCTGGAATCTTGCCCAATTTTGAAAGGCTGGAGTCTCATACACATACATATATAACTGGCTGCTTCAGAAATGACGTTAAGAATTATTCCACCTCGGCCTGCCCTGAGATGGAGGCGTTGCACGGGCAACCGGGACAACGCGGTGTTTGACAAGACCCAGTCACCCAACGCCCGGAAACCCACGTTGGAATAAGCAGCGCCCCGAGTGCCCAGGTGGGTGCCAGTCCTCATGGGCCTGTGAGTTCATGACCAAGCCGCAGCCCCAGGATTGCCTTCTGAAGGAATCAACGTTGCATCATTTCCAGACACGGCCGTCTTTGCAACATTTTCCACAGTTGGGAAACCATGCCTCCAACCGCCATGTTCAAGCTCATCTGACCTTTTGGGAACAAGTGTTTTGTGTGACTTGTCAACTGTGGCACTGGGTTGAGACACGTGCCAAGTGGCTATTTCAAGCGAGGCCGCCATTGAACGCTGAAAGTCGCCCCGAACCAAACAACACCAGATCAGATCTCCCCAGGCCAGGACTCAGGACCGACAAACCCACCCTTTGGCCGCCATCTCTCGCATGCTCCCGCATCGTGGTTCCCTCTCATTGAACGAATAACACCACACCACACCACGCCTGCGCGTCCTTTGTTCGTTTGGGTAGCTGGACTCTTTCGCAACCCAACCTGACTCACTGCACCTTTTGCGATTACTCGTCATCATCACCACTACATAAAGACTGCGAGCAAGTTGTGTGATAACCCATCGCCCACACCCCTCAGCTTCCCTGAAACGAACCCACTCCATGCGCCTCAATTCACAACAATAGCCAACGGCTTGTTCACCACTCAAACCCGCCGCTCTGCTCCCCAGAGCACTCTTTCGATTGAGCATCTCGATTCCACGCAATACATCCCCATTTCAATCCCTCCAAAAATCCTGTCAAAATGGCAACGGAGGTGGTATACCGAGAGACGCGTCGACGCTACCGGTGGCCTGAAGTTCAATTAAATCTGTGGATCTTCATCGTCCTAGCCGGCGCATCAACGGTACTGGGTATCAACGCCTGGTTCATATCCGTCCAACAACAATTGAGAATCGGAATTCCATGGTATGTTCCCAAAGCCACGTCTCCCAATATCCTTATTTCCTCAAAAAGCACCAAAACTAATCTCCCTTTCTCCCACCCAGGCTATTTACCTTCGCAGTAGTCACCGGCGGCCTCACGATCATCTTCCTAGTGATAATCCTCGTGCTCGCCGCACGGCGCATGCTGATACCCGGCGGTATATTGCTCGGCGCATTCATCCTTCTTGTCCTATGGGTCACCGTGCTGATTGAGACCGCCATCCAACTGTATGGCCGGGGCAACGTGAATGGGAACTGCAATAACTACGTCACGGGACAGGAGTACACCGGCGTGTCGATAGAGACGCTGGCCTGGCTGACCCAGGACAACATATGTTCGTGTTGGAAAGCGTCGTTCGCATGGTCCATCATCCTGGCCGTCTTGTTTCTGTGGATGATGGTGCTCTCATACCAGGTGCAGAACTACGACTGAAAACTTGGGCGCCGGGAAGGGAAACGGGAAAGGAAGCTGCGATCTGGCGGCGCACTCATGCACGATTTCTTTTTTTGTCTCCCATTGTGAGGTTTTCCTTTTTCCACTGGTTTTCTAATGTCGACATGGGGATAATTTATGGACGAGCCATCTCTCAGGACATGCATTGACGGAAGTTTCATGCGGGGCCTTGCACATGACATGATATATACGCATTTAGCATGGAGTCTGTTTCCAGGAACAAAAATGTTGGGGGAGCGCGGCAAGTTGAATGTGTGGATGTCCATAGTCAAGCGAGGGCGAAGGCGATTGATATCACATATTGTTTTTCTTTAAAAAAACAACAACGTTTGACTTGATGATTGAGGATGTTGACCTCAACGCCCTTCGGGCTTGTGCGGTTTCTTCTTGTTTGGATTTCTCGTTTCGACATAGAGAGATACACTGCCACGGTCAATTTCGCGACATAGACCAGGCCTCCATCAGCCACCTCATTCAGATCATCATGATCTCATGAATCTCGATCCTCTCGCTAGACTACTCCTCACTCAGGAACCTTCCAATTCTCTCATTCAGGAAAGCCGTATCATCGGGATTCAAACCTCCCCCAGCAACATGGCCCCAAGTACTCTCGATGACCTCAACACGGCCATTCTGCAGATACTTGGCCTCGATCTCCGAATCCTGAGGCGGGAAGTACTGATCGGTACGACAAGGGAGCAGGAGAACTTTCGCCTCGATACTCTTCAACGCCTTTGCGTAGCTCGCATCTTCGGGGATCTTATACCCCAGCGGTTTGATGCCAGTGGCCTCCTCTCCCGGAATCGCATCACCAATGTCACCCAACTGCCACATCCTCGCAAGCACCAGCAAATCCTGCGCGTCCCAGATCATGTACCCGTCCTCCCTTGCACGCATCCAGTCGTCGAGGCTGTTGAAGCCGGCGAAGGGGCCTTTACTCCACTCGCGGTCCCTAAACCACGCGGCACTGGTCAACCAAGCAGCATAGGTGCGCGCGAACGCCCGGATTCCATTCCTCGGCACCACATCCTTCATGTTCTGACCCACCTCCTCGCCGCGCGCGACCTTGGCCTTCATCGCGCGCCAGGCGATGTAGTCGATTGAGTTCGTCAGCGCGGCGATCGGCCCCTCCAGGAACGCATAGTTGTGCGCCGACGTGCGCGCGCTCGAGCAGATTGCGATGACCCTCGAGACGAAGTCCGGGTACATGACGCCCCAGTGGTACGCCTGCTGGCCGCCCATGCTGAAGCCCATCACGGCCACAAGCCTGGTGATCTTCAGGTGCTCCGTCAGGAGTTGATGCTGCGCGCGCACCACGTCCTGGTACCGCAGCTCGCCGGGCTCCGGGAAGAAAGCTTTGTTGCTGTGGCTGGAGCTCTCACCGTTGCCGAGCATGGCGACGACCACCACGTGGTATTTCGAGAGTGCGTCATTTGGTGCGGGGCCGGTGAGCGTGAGTGTCGTGTTGATGAACCCGCCATAACACGTCGGAATGAGGATCGTGCCCGCTGTTGAGTCCGGGTTGAATCGTCGGTAAGCGACCTTCACGTCGTGCAGGGTTGTGCCAGATGTGAATGTGAGCGTGGGGACCGTGTAGTACTCGATCCCGCGCGGATCATACTCCTGTGGCTGCGGCTGTGGTTGAGGCTGTGACATGGTTTTGCGGGCGAAGATGGGCCTGTAAAGATGAAGGATCCGAAGGTCCGACAGGGAGAGATGCTAGTGCACTACTTCAAGTCCGCGTTGTATTCCAAGCCGTGGAAGGATTGGTGAAGCGGGGCAATTCCGAAATAATATATGTTATGTATGTATGTATCAAATGCGGAGAACGGCCAGGCTTGACTGTGGACGTGCCACCTCGTTGAATACACCCCGTAGATTGATAAGACGACGAAGCTGTAAATCAGTTGTGCATGTGAGTAGATACCCTTTTGTGCGAGAGTGGCCTATCTCCCCGCTACGAGTCCTCGCAAAATCGAGCTGGAGCCTGGGACCGGACGCCGACCAAGATATCTACAGGAGGTACATGCGTTCAACAATGACGCAATATAAAGTGGTCACTGACTCACTGCTTGCAGGGCTACAGGCTACAGCCTCGTCTTGGCACCAGAAAGACAGTCGAATGCTTTTCTTCCGTAAGAAGCATCTTTAGAAGCCAACATACCACACTGCCAAACTACGAGCGATGCAAGACAGCATGGCTGCGATAAACACCCCCATCCGCTCGAGCTGCCACTGCGGCGCAATCACAGTCATGGTTCAACGACTCCCCGAGTACATCAATGTGTGCCAATGTACTCTCTGCCGCAGGTATGGTGCGGCGTGGGGATACTATCATCCAGACGAGGTCCAGATCGAAACGAAGCCGAACGCAGTAACGAGGCTGTACACCTGGGGCGATCGAGACCTGTCGTTCAACTTCTGCGACAACTGCGGTTGCGTGCAAGTCCAGCGATTCCTTTTCCGTTGGACTCAAGACTGACGTGGTGTAGATGCTATTGGTGGCCCATTGGACCTCCGCCGACCGACGGAGGAGAATATAAAATGGGTCTCAACACAAACAACGTCGATCCGGAGCTCTTGAAGTATGTCGATCGAAAGTTTGACTATTCGGTCTTGATGAGCCCGCTGCGGTCCAAGGACACGGCGCATCCTGATGATCCGGCCAAGTATTGAACACGGCCTGGATAAAGCAGTCCAGTTCCGTCTTCGTCTCGTTGGCGAACTTTTTCGGGTAGATATTGTTAGGGAGAGTCAAGTAGTACGTAGAGACCGACCTTATATCGAATCACGAACTTCATTGCCCCATATCCCAAGTAACATCCGAGAAATTGCCATGTCGTTTTGTGCTTATGGTAATCGTTTCTGCTGTTCCAATATCCGCCTCGAAACCCTCAAAACCGGTGCATAGATAGGAGAGTTGGTCAAAGACAGCTCGTGGTACAGTCAGAAATGTGACACGCCTGTGAAAAAGTAGGAGGCTGGATTTTCACACCTATAGTTGATTTAGTTGACAGGCGGCTTATCTTCTCAGTGTTTGGACTTTGGACTCTTTGCTTCCTTGACGCCAACCCCGCCAGGAGGGCCAGCCTACAATCTCTGATTTAAGCCGTTTGGGATTAAATGAGAACAATCCAGTTTTGGCGTTTATTGGTGGAGCTATTAATTAGATATCTAATGATGTCGCTGGAACAAGCAAACCCCGCGGGCCAAGGATCAACTACGCAAGAATTACGACTCGTCAGAATAGTATCAACATTAACGACAACGTTGCCAATGCAACCTCTTTGTCACACAAGCTAGTCGCACTCTACTTCAACAGGGGCGTAGTAAAATGTCTTTGCAGAAAGAAGGGCAACAATCGATTCATATCCACCGTCTGATGCTATGCCTGTTCATGACTTCGTAAAGCTGTCGCTAACCGACGCCTCAAACAATAAACATCGTCTCCCCAAGTCGGAATGAGCCGAGCATCGCTCAATGCTGATTGCTCTGCTATGCCACCAGAATACCACCAAAAGATGCTATCCAGAGGCAGATACTCACACTTCCAGAATGCGCACCCTTGTGCGTGATTTGCTCTGCTTTGTGCGCATTAACCTCAGCTCTTCGCCCATTATTTTGGCTTCTCTCCAAGACTCCTCCATGTTACTCATCCGGATGGCAGCGATAACTGCAAAAACACCCGCTCTGAACTTCTGTACCGGTCGTAGCTTTGACTCGTATTTGCGTTGCTCGAGTGAGACGCCCATCTCACCCAGAATTCGAAGATCGACTTGATTGCTGGTAAAATGATTAGTACTGAAACGGAGCACAGGGGATCAACAAAACGTACCACTGGGATCTCATTACCTCACCCTGCTCAAGGAATCCTTTACTCCAGGCGAGGTCTTTTCTGAGGCGCTCCTCTCTCTTGCACTTAGCCTTTAACCACATTATCTCTTTAACAAGGCCTCTCATCTCTTTCTCGCGGATATCGTCTTTGGACGATTTCCCGGAGCTCAATTTCTCCAATATCCCTTCGTACTTGCTTTGCAAAGCGTCCAGTTCCGTTCCAACTTCATCGGCTCTCTTTTTGGCCAGGCTACGTTCGTCCCGAAGCCGTCTCAGCTCTCGTTTCATTTCTTGAGCTTCCCCCTCACGAGCTGACAAACGTATGGATACATCGCTTAGATCCCCTTGCTCCTCCCGGAGATGCTTGACTTGCTGTTTGAGGTCCTGAATTTGTCTGTCACGCTTGCGGATGCTGGCAGCCAAGTCCTGGTTGTCATCGTGCTCTTCTTGGAGGAGTTCCAACTTCTCTCGAAGATCATCTACAATCTTGTTTTGCTCGGAGAGCTTTTCGTTCAGACTCTCAACTTCATCGAGTCGAGACCGGGCTGCAGTTTGCAGGGCTGCAAACTCTGTCTCGTTCGAACATGATCGTCGTGCTGCACGTTTCAACTCGCGATTCTCCGACGAAACGACTTTGATTTCCCTTTGAGCGTCAATGAGATTCTGACGAATCTGTGCCAATTCCTTGGAATGCGATGGTGGTGGTGAGACAGATGGAGATTGAGCCCTATACTGTGAAAGTCTGGCTTCGTGCAGGTCTTTCTCGAGATCATTTACTCGCATTTTGAGATCTCGGTTTGACGCTTTCAATTCTGTCTCACGTTTGGCGTACGAAGTTAGATTCTCCCTCGCCTCTGTGAGGTCATCCCGCAGCACAGATACGTTGGTGGCAGGAGACATCACTTTTGATTGATTCTCGACCATCTGCTCCAGATCTTTCACCCGACTTTCCAGTCGAGCCACCTTATTCCGAGCAGAAGTCAGTTCTCTGTCTCTGATGTCCGTCCCTGAGGATTTCTGCTTGCGGAGAGTCTCGATCTCTGTGTTCAAACGATTCTCCTCTTCATTGGCTCGGTCCATTTCCGAGTTGATCTCATTCTCGAGGACATTGTTTGCTTGTGTCAACACGTCACGCTCGGATGTCAGACGCATAACCTCTTTCTCGAGCTTGACCTTCGCTCGCTTGAGCTCGCGCTTTTCTTGATCGATATTGAAAGTATCGTCGTTGGAATTCTGCATTTTCTCGAACTTCTTCTCAAGCTCCTCACGATCGCGCTCGGCGGAGTTCAGTGCTGAGCGGGCATCTTTGAGTTCCGTGTTGGCATTGGCGAGTTGCTCCTGCAAGGATTGCTTTTCTTGTCGAAGCTTTTGTACTTGGGCATCAGCGTGGCTAGAAGACTTTTGTTGCTGCATCTGCGCAACCTCATGCTCTTGCTCAATGTCAGCTTGGAGGATTTCGATCTCATCCTCAAGCTCTACCACCTTTTCTTTTAGTGATGCTTGCTCACGGATAGAAATGCGGAGTTCCTCCCTTGCATTGTTGAGCTCATTTCGACTCTCGTCTGCAGCTTGGCGCTTCGCCGTAAGATCTTGCTGTAATTCTTGAATTTCCTTGGACAGAATCTTCTCTTCTTGCTTATGACGTTCATTTTCACTCTCAAGTGCTTCTTGTAGCTTCATCTCACGGCCAGACAGTGTTCCTTGAGCGTCCTGAAGTTTGTCTACTGTTCGTTGCAAACCTTTGGCCTTCTCTTCAGCTTTCTGAGAAGCACTTTCGAGTGAATGTTTTTGAGCTTCCCATTCCTCCAAATCAGCTGCATGTGCATTCTCTTTGCTGTTGACCTCGCGGTGAAGACCATCAATTTGTTCATTGAGGAGATCGAGCTCATGCTTGTGGTTTGTTCGCAGTAAGTTGTCGTTGTGTGCAGACTGCTGTCGTTCTTCTTCTAGGGATTTCTCAAGCTCACGAACGGCCTTTTGCAATTTGACAAGATCTTTTTGAAGTTCTGCAGACTCCCTAGTCAATGCATCGTGACGAGATTGGAGTAAATCTTTTTCATCGGTCTTTTCTTGCAAGTCTCGTTCGGCCGTCTCGAGTTGCTTGGCCATGTTGTTGAGCTTACGTTCGAGAGTGTCGCGTTGCTGCTGGGAAAGTTCGAGTTCTTGATGGGCCTTGCGTGTTTCTGAAGCTCCTTCCTTCTCCAGTTCACGAACTCGGTCTCGCAACTGCCTCTCGGCATCCGACTTGGAATCAAGTTCTGCCTGAAGAGCTTCATATCGTTCCTGCAGATCCTGGAAGTCGTCATCTAGCTTGTTCGCCTTCTCCTCCAGCTGCCTGCTTAGCCCTTTGGTGGTGAAGGATTTGTTGGCCATCTCATCACGGAGCTCGTCCAAGTTTTCTTCGGCTCTCCTCTTGTCGTCAATGGCCTCCTCCCGCTCTTCTTTTGCCCCCTGAAGCTCTGATTTGACCCGGTCGAGGGTTTGCTTGAGATGTTCAACCTCTTCTTTGGCGTATCGCAATTCCTCTTCCACCTCAACGACTTCATTGGAATCCTTGTTGACTTCTGCTTTGAGCGAGTCAATCTGGTCGTCCCGCTCATCGATTAGGCGATCCTTTTCTCGAAGTTCAGCTTGCAGGTCATCGAGTTCATCCTTCAATTTCTGGATTTGTGAGTGTTCTTCCTGGGCAGCTTGACTCGACTCGCGCTCCATCACCTTGAGCTTTTTGTCTTTCGCTTCAACTTCGGAGCGGAGCTTGTGAAGCTCGACTCGAACACTTTCGTCAACCTGTTTTCGCCTGATGCGTTCTTTGAATTCCTCAAGTTGTAGTCTGTAAACCTCCGCGTCCTTCTCGGCTTGAGCGATGTTCTTCTTGAATTTATGTAATTCACGTTGCATTGTGATTCTGTTGACTTTCAAGTCTGTGTTCTCCTTCAGAGCAGCTTGGTTGAATTCGCCGCCGCGTTTGGACAAAGCCTCTTCCAAAAAGTGAATCTTCATCTTGAGCCCGAAATTCTCTTTCTCAATCTTGTCAATGATGTTCTCTTGTTCTCGTAATGTCATCATGTTGCCATCGCTGACAAGACCAACAGCGTCACGCGTAGGAAGTTGGGCCAGCGGTGTACTCTGTGCACTGCTAGCTTGATGTGGCATAGGTGTATCGTCGGCCATATTGCCTGCCGAACTGGAAGTGTTTTCGGGGTCAAGGGTAGAAAGGTCACCTGGTTTCAGCAAGGAATGTCGTGGTGTATATGCGGTGCCGGGCTTTTTACTAGATAGCCGTCTCGCAATGTTATTCTTTGTGACACTCCTCATCAGTGGAGTGAACTCGGGTTTCCCATGCTCGCCGTTGGGAAGAAGTCGCAGTGGATCTCGACCGCCGGCTCTGGGAGTCTTCAGGTTCATGCCACGTCCCTTCGCACTTCGCATCTGACTGATTAGATCTGCTCCACGCGCGGGAACAGCGAATGATTTCTCAGGCGAGAGGGAGTCAAGATTATCGAGGGCCTTGGTGAAGAAGGAGGCATCGCTTGCTTGTGGTGTACCGATATATTTGTCCATGGTGTCTAGAGTGCGCGTCTTAGTGGCTGAGGCGCCGGGCAAGTGCACACAAAATACTCAATAGAAGTGTTAAGCACCAGAAGTAAGCATGTTGGTATACTTCGGAGAAGTCGAATAGTCTTGCATGCACCACCAATCCTGAATGTTTATTGATATTCCACGAAGGGAAAAGCGCCCTCGGGTGGTGCCGTCAGCCTTGGCGCGTTTACATAAGCAGCCACTTACCACATCCCTCGTCCCTGACATCGAAACAAAGTGTGGCAAAGGAAGAAACCGTTTTTTACTACAGGTGTCCAGTTATCTCCTTAAAGTCGGTTGCTTCTATTCCAAGTGTTGTAAGTCAAGCGGTGATGCCGCCCACGGAGGAGGACTTGGCATGGCTACGGTCCACGTTTCATCCTATTCCAAAACCTGCTCTTCCGGATGATTGCATTGAATACTCTTTGTACATCTTATCCACTTCCCTTGACAGGAGCAATGACTCGGAACTACGGTTGCGGCTACGGGATATCCAAAAGCATGCAACAGATCTACAAAAGCGGTGCCTTAAAGACTACATCTGGCAAAGACAGGGATTCTCTCTCGAATTAAACAAAGAAGATGGTGAGGTCTGTTTTCCACTGCAGTGGACAGCTGAGAATTAACTAACACCAGCTGCAGGGCTGAGCTTTCTACGTGGACGTACTGAGTACGGTGACTCAGTCGAAGACGAATGGGTCGTTGTATGGGTCTTGAAAGAGCTGACGAAAAGCTTCAGCGAGCTTTGGGTTAAGGTAACAGATAGCGATGGCGAGTTCCTGCTAATCGAGGCGTCTGGTACGCTCCCAGCGTGGCTGGAACCTGAGGTAGCAGAGAATCGTGTCTGGATCAATAACGGACAGCTTCGGATCATCAAGCCTGCAGCTAACTCTCGAAGCTCGAAGCGGACGGACGAGAAACTTTCTCTCCTCCAAGCGAGAGAGATCATCTTGAACGAACCGCAACGTATAATGCACTCTACAAGCATGGAGGAAGAGGCATTTTTCCGACTGCGAAATTATCCAAAGCAGATTACGGAGAATATGCACCATGCCGTCATCACCATTCCTCGAACGATAGCGTTCTTGCTACACCAGAAGCCAGCGTACATCAGCCCTGCAGTCGAAGCATTCTATCTCCGGGACCCTATTGCTCTCAAACCATTACAATCAAAGGACAACATGGACAAAATGAGCTTCCCGCCTGAAGATTTCGTAAGTGTGAGCGTAAAGTTCCCTCGGGTTGCCTATGCACAAGTCAAGTCACAAGACTTCCCACCACCAGCCGTTTTTGCGGGTGCGATGCCCTCGAGAACAGAATCCAAATCCTACGCTCGGGCAGAGACAGGGATGAAAGTAGCTTGCGGCTTTGAGATGCTCGTATCTGATTCTCAATTTCAGGACAAGCCAGCCGTCCGAGAGATGAAAATGCTCTTGGAAGATCTTAAATCCGGAGACGAAGCCTTGCCCACAACATCCGAGATCGAAACGTGGGAGCAATACGAGGATGACGACAAATGGCTGGACATAAATTTTGACGACCTCGACAACGAACTCGACGGCCGCCGCAAGGGCCAAACAAGTGCAGGCAAGAAAGGCACTTTTGGCGACAAAGCAGCGCAAGAAAACCTGCAAAGAATCGTCAAGCAATTTGAACAGTTTTTGAACGATGATAAGGCTGGGCTGGATGGAGCGGGCATGTTTGATGAGGACAGCAGTGACGATGACGATGACGAGGAGGATGATATTGACGACCTTGAAGATGACGATGACCAAGGCGAAGACAAAGATGCCAGCTTCAACGAAGACGACTTTACGAAGATGATGCAGGAGATGATGGGCATGCCGCCCGAGGTCATGAAGGAGATCATGTCGGGCAAGCTTGGGCCCGGGGCACAAGACCCAGCGAATCGGGCCGGTCTACGTCAGCCCGCGGCAGGAACTGGCCGCATTATCGAGGGCGGTCTTGATAGCGAATTAAGCGATGAGGGCGAGGACGAGGACGGAGGTGAAGATATGCAAGCATTCATGAAGCAGATGGAAGCCGAACTGCGGGGCACTGGAGTGCTCGACCTCAACCCACCAGCGTCGTCTTCGAAGCGTGGGAAACAAGCCGCCGCTATCAAGGGTGCCGCGACTAGTGGTAGCAACGAGATCGAGGAAGTGGACAGAGATAGCGACGTCGACGAGCTTTCATCCGACGACGAAGACATCGACAACGAGATCGACGTGAACCTGGCTCGCAATCTGCTCGAGAGTCTCAAGTCGCAGGCTGGGACGGCCGGGCCCGGTGGGAATCTAATGGGGATGCTGGGGCTTGGCATGCTTCCGAGAGATGAGAACGATCCTGGAGGTGAGGCTGGTCCCAGTGGATACTCTAAGGGGAGGAGCAAGAAGGAGTGAGTGCATCGATCTGTGTTGGATTATTGTTGAATCGTCCTGATATTTGATGATGACCAATGTATTATTGAATTTTGAAAGCAGAAAAGGGACTTGGTCTGGGATAGTCATGTTTCCCTTTAGCCGTCATGTGAGTGGTAATGTATTGAGAAATACGTTCTGATTCTTGCCCAGTCAGCTTGTGGCTTTTGAAAACCGAGATTAGTTTTATTACCCTCGAAACAAACGCAACGCTCCATAACTATCCATCCCAAGCCGTTCCATCAATAACTCAATCTAGGATCTCTCTTCGATCACTCACAAGATCACAACTGAGACGTCAAAGGCCCGTATCCACTCTTTCCCTCGACCACCTTGTAGGCACCACCACCCTTCCCAAACATCTCCCTCAAATCCCCCACAAGCTCCCTCGGCCGCTCCCACGCCGCAAAATGGCCACCGGTCGGATGATCTCTCTCAAAGACACAATTTCCCACCGTGCGTGTCCACGTACTCCGCAACACTGAGATATCCCTAGGAAAATGGCTAATCCCGATCTTGACTGTAGATTGCCACTGGAGGATCTGGTCTCTGCTGAGTCGCTGGCCCCAGAACCCACTGCGGAAGCATTCGTAGTAGATCCTGACGTTCGCGGCGGGGCCAGCAGTGCTGAACCAGTAGATGCTGATCCAGGTGCAGACTTCTTCGTCAGTCCACGCGTAGGAGTCGGTCCAGTCGTGGAGTTTCTCGTAAATCCATGCTAGTAAGGCAACGGGGCTGTCAGCCAGGGCGTAGCCGATAGTTTGGGGTTTCGTGCGCTGTAGGAGGTTGTATCCGAAGCCTTCTTTCATGAACCATTCGGAGCGCGCGATGCCGTCCTTTTCTCGTTGAGAGAGGGGCTTCAGAGCGTTCTCTGCCGCGAGTAGCGGGTTCTTGAGGAACTCCGGCGCTTTCCCGACGTCCATGTTGAAGTGAGTGGCTCTGGCGTGGTCTGGATACAATATCGATAATGAGCGAGTAATGTTGTAGCCCCAGTCACCGCCCTGTGTGACATATTGATTGTAACCAAGTCGTACCATCAATTTATGGCAAGTCTCTGCGTATTGATCCATAGAGAACCCCCGCTTCTTAGTGCCCTCTGAAAAGCCATAATTTGGGAGCGACGGTGCTACCAGGTCGAAGGCGATTTGTCCTTCTCCAGGATTGGTCAGAGACTCCATGATCTTCGTGGCCTCAAGAAAATTGCCGGGCCAGCCGTGAACGAAAAGCAAGGGGACTGCTCCTTTGATATTGCTCTTTTTGTGAAGGAAATGGATTTTTAGGTTTTCATAGCCTTCGCACTGTATCGAAGTGACGAAGTGCGGGAGTTGGTTCAACTTCTTCTCAGCCTTTTGCCAGCTAAATTCATCTCGCCAGTACTCAGTGAGCCGCTTCACATCAGCTAATGGAGCACCAAGATCCCATTCAGCGGCTTCAAGCTCATCAGGGAAATGTGCTTGGTGGAGCTTGTTGTTGAGGTCAGCGATTCGTGATTCCGGGATGGAAATATGATAGGGCTCGATGGAAGAGGACATATTGGGTTTGTTGAATAGATGGAGAATTGTTGTCAGGGTATATTAAAGCAATTATGTAGAGAAATTGAGCTAGTTCTGGCAAAGATGTGAAGTCTGATATAAGGTGAGGATGTCGGGCCGTGTATGATGCGTTCGTAAACCATGCAAACTTGCCTGGCCGGTTACATCAATGGAAACAAACGCTGTACTTTTTGTCAGCAGTCAGGTAGTCAAGGAGCGGGTGTAGATCGTGGAGCTGGTCACTTATGAAGTCTATGCTTGTCTCTTGAAGTTAAGATGTGCCAGGCGGATTTTCGGATGCACAGTAGTTCACAGCTGGAGACCTCGGCCATGGTCGGTCAAGCATATGCGCACGGTCGAATCATAGGTGAGAGCGGCTGGGACAACCATCATATTGGTCATCCCTGATGGTCGACGCCCTCACCCAGGCCCGGAAGGCGTATCATGGACAGATCAGGACGGCCTCATCGGCCCGATCACTTACCCTTTGATAGAGAAATAGAGCAGGCTCCCATCGTCATACGTTTAAATTGCTTTTTTTGGGAAAAAGAACCTGTTCTCAATTGCAGTTGAGTCAGATGTTGGGCCGCCAACGCGTCGTGGCCCTCGAGGGGTTTGGGGGAAGATACGCGCTCGGCAAACCTGCCCTGGCACAAAAAAGTGGCAAGAACTAATGGGTGACGCCTGGCTCGGGGATCACAGCGTTGAACAGCAATTTGATGCCAACGCCTGACCAAGATGCAAGACCACATCATCTTCACAATCAGTGTCGACTTGCGTTTGTCTCCTCCCAGTCACAAGCGACATGAATACCAGCCAGCAACTTCATGCATATTGCTGTTGACTGTAGACGCAGGCTGACTCGGTCAATCCACCCCTCACATGCACCCTTCAGCCCCTCCAAGACCGTCCAAGACTTTCTACTGCTTGAGAAACAATAATGTCTGGCAATCTGGGAGAGCTGGGTCCCATACATAGTCCCCGGAATGTCCAGCAGATTACTAAAGCGGCCCAAGAATATGAATATGATGCCTCCATACCTCTCCGCTACTGGCTGCGTTCTGCGCAGGCCATGCTGAAAGAGGTGGGTAACCCACTCATGCCCCTCTCACATCCTCTGCAAGTTGTCTGACTTCTTACATAGGCAGAGATATACGTCCGTGAAGGAGACGAAGAAACCACATATCTGCTACTGTTCCGCCATGCCCACCTTATTCTGTCCCAGTTACCGGCTCACCCTCAGGCACGAGACAAGGTCAGCAAGCTGCTGCTCAAGGATGCAGAGAAGGAAGTGAATCGCAACTTCAAAGTTCTGGATCTACTCAAGCCAAGGATAAATGATCGATATGAGCGTTTCCAGCAGACCCTGAGCGAGAGAGAGGCCAGGAGGATCGCTCACTTAGAGAGCCGGGCCGCTGCAACATTCTCTTCGCGTCAGCCTGCTCTAGAGCAACGGACCCAACGAATCCAGGGTCATGAAAACAGGGAACTAGCTGTGAGAATAGCACAGAAAGAGATCTCTAGAAGAGCTGCGAATCGACAGGCTGCTCTGACCTCTGGGTCTGATGGCGATGATCTGTCAAGAAGACTACAAGAGATTCGGGCTCGCGTTGAGGGAAATCCTCAACGTGAGGCAGACAGGAGATCTCGAGCTATGCCGGCGAATTACCACTACCCAAGCATCCCTTCACATCATGCTCAACCATCCATAAGCTCTCCTGTGATTGAGAGGCAGCAATTTGCTGAAGCACTCCAAAACAGTTTGTCATCGCCGCCAGCAAGACCCCCAAAAGAGGGTGGACTACCAAGCACGGTAGCACCACCACGTCCTGATAAGGTTACAGGCTCGTCGTCGGGGAGATCTGTTACTCCAGAACTGGCTCACATCTTCGCGCCAGCAGCATACCTTGAAAATGGAACTCCTCTCAGAACGATTTTCCTTCCCCCGACGTTACGTACGACATTCTTGAGAATAGCACAGAAGAATACGTCGGCCAATCTTGAGACGTGTGGATTTCTAGGAGGAACACTGATCGCAAACGCGTTCTTTATCAGTCGGCTGATTATCCCATCGCAGACAGCGACCTCGGATACTTGTGAGATGACGAATGAATCGCAATTGTTCGACTATGTGGATACAGAAGACTTGATGATTCTAGGGTGGATCCATACTCATCCTACACAAACATGCTTTATGAGTAGCAGGGATCTGCATACACATGCTGGATATCAAATGATGCTGGCTGAGAGTGTGGCAATTGTATGCGCACCAAATAAAGGAGATACCTACCACGGTGGAGACTGGGGCGTATATCGACTGACCGATCCTCCGGGAAAAAAAGCAATTCTTAGCTGCGATAATCCTGGAATCTTCCATCCTCACGATGTTGACAATATTTACACCGACGCGTTGCGGCCAGGACATGTGGTGGAGGCGAAAGGAATGGAATTTGAGGTGGTGGATCTGAGGGAGCCCAAAAAATGACGAGGCACAATTTCGTGCAAGCCTCCCGAGAGTTTAGATGGGGTCGTCGGTCTCGTACGGCCATAGAGCAGGGGACAGCCGAGAGTGTCCTCGTAAGCCATTCGTTGCTCTTAGAGTCGTGAAGTGAAATCTGGAGGTTGTGTGCTCAGCTTCATTCGAGCTTGAGTACGTATACTCGGTACGGCGAACCAGGACGACAATGTCCTGGACTGCGTCAATCGAAGTGTTCAAAAGAGTGCCAATCAGTGCTGGGTTTTACAGAATCTGCATGTCGGTACAACGGACAAGATAGGAGTCACCGTACAGACGTTGATACTCCATAGTTACTCCGTCTCAGTAGGAGTACTCCGCCCTCCAGACGCAGAACTACCAGTAGGGTGCAGCATTACTATTGTCTGCACTGCTACGAGTACAGTCCATCTCACTAGCACAGAGTACCAACAGCTCCGTACTACCAGAAAGAGCATGTGATCCAGACGGAGGGATCGGTTGAAATCTGCCTTGGGCTTTGTTAGTTGAACCCAAAGAGGTTTAAAGTAGAGTGGCTTCTGCAGCGTACCAGGAACTCCGTATCCATGTTGAGGATACGATAGGACAACCAACAACCGATTCGAGAAGACAGCAGCTGAGAAGTCAGAGACGGACGCAGGAGAGTCGACTGGTCGGGCATTTTGAAGCAGTCGCGTTGTCTCGCGGTGCTCCTAGTCCAACGCCATTGGAGCGCCACGGGGGCGCCACCAGGATGGAGGCCCGAGGCCGGCGGGGGATTGGGTGGTTTTAGTGGTTGGTGGCTTGGTGGGTGGAGAGGGGGGCTCATGCAACGGTGATGCGCTCGTGGCAGTACGAGTACACAAATCAGCAATAAACCAATCTTGAACAGTAGCAGAAACGGACGAAGCAGTACTCGTACTCATACAAAACGAGGGGAGGGGATCTGCATGTCCGCGGCAGGAATGGTGGACAAGGACGTGTCAATCAAGTCGGCACCAATGCAGGAACGCGTCTTCAACTGTCATGTTTTGTCTTGTTTTCACGCAGGGAAGGCACTCTTACCAGATGCAGTCTAGAGCTCAAGAGAGCACAGCCGGATCGGCCCAAGGGTTCCTGTGCTCCGTGCCACCCGATCTATCTACGGAGAGAGTACGGAGTACTTGTGCAGTACATATCGTAATCAACTACAGGTACAGCATGAGCATGTGCCCGAGATGGGTTCGGTATCAGAAGATTGATTAATTAATCAATGGTCGAGGCTGTGTTAAAATAGCAATTACAAGGCGAAAAAGTCTCGAAGATTAAAGTGATTGCCAGGCCTGGGATTGGGATTGAGAGCGGGCTCCCGGTACGTGGGCGTCTGGGAGGCTTTTGGGCGGTTCCTGGCTAAGCATTGCGCTAGCACCGTCACAGTTTAGGGTAAGTGGCCCACCAAGCCCAAAAGGTGATAGGCTTGAGGAGCCTTCTGAAACCAATTTCCGACTCTTCCTCATGGCAGTGCGGTCTGTGTGCTTGTCTCTGCTTCGCTCGCATTCTCCTGCTTCCGAGTTGTCGATACTCTCAGGAACCCTAGTCAGTTCAAGGTCCCCCTACCGCTGGCCGGTAGGGGCCGAGGGGGCTCTCATAGTACTCGTAGTGCCACCACCACTCGTCCATGCCTATACTGTACCTGTGCTCTGTGCTCGTGCCTGGTGCCTGTCTCGTCTCTCGTCTCTCTATCGTCTCCCCTCTCGCCAAGCCATCGTCAAACCACGTCAATCCATTTCAGGCCCGCCTGTCGTGCCTGCCGTGCTTGTGCCTGAGCCTGAGCGTGTGCGTGCCTCCTCCGTCCTTGTTCCCTTCTTGTTCTTTCCCTTCCTCCTGCTGCCAATATACACACACCTTCATTTCAAGAGACTCATTCTCAACAGCCAACATCACATCGCCATCGAGGCACATTCTATCCTTTCATCCCATTTACAGCAACGCAAGCACATCCTGTTCTCGCTTTTGGTCTCTCAATCCATCCATTCGCTTAGCTTCATTACTGCTTTGGCCATCTCAGGGGCCTCCGCGTCAAGTGTGAAACAACCCGCATTCCCAGCCAAGATCAGCCAGACCGACTCCTCAAACTGCTCTGGCGATACTACTCCCTTCTCTGGGCTCTTGTTCTCTTTGTCCAATCCTCTCTGCTTCATCACTATCCTTCAGACACCCAAAAAGACGTCAAGAGGTGCAGTGCAGGTCACTGCTCTGGAGCGAACAAAGAATAACAACCTCACCTCCCACGCCCCCGACTTCGTGGACGTACCAACAAGCAACTCCCGAGCATCCTCGAACTGCTCTCCATCTGAGCTGAATATCCCTCCTTGCGACTCTCAACGGGCGCCGTTGTTGATGCTTGTCTGTTTATTGCCAGCATCTGATTTCCCGCATATCGCGCCTTCGATTTCCTCCCCTCATTCTACCAACACATCCCTATTCGACATGTCGAACCTACTACGAAGGACCATTGCTCTGGCATTGGTACTAGCACTGACAGCTTCTCCAGCTATGGCACAATCAGCAACAGTTGCCCCTGGTGCAATTCAAACCCTAGGATGCTATGCATCAGCAGATACCCTGACTGAGTTTGGCGATTCGGTCGGTCAATCATCTGGCTATTGTCGAGATAACTGCACACAGCTGGCTAGCCCTGCGCCTGTCATGGCAATTACTGGTGGCGTCACCTGCTATTGTGGCGATGAGCTTCCCGCCCTGGATCAGCTAGTGAGCGATGACAAGTGCAACGTGAAATGCATGGGCTACGGTGTCGATGATTGTGGAGGTATGGGCTATTACCAACTTTACCTTACGGGTCTCGGCGCGAATGTGCACACAGCTCCCAACAGTTCAACGAGCGCTAGCGCTGGTTCAAGCTCAACCCAACCAGCAATCGTCACAAGACCCGGCGAGACAGTGTTCGTCACACCTACCGCCAGTTCAGACGAACCACAACCGTCATCCAGTAGCGGTCCCAACAAAGTCGGCATTGCTGTGGGCGTTGTTGTCGGAGTTCTCGCCCTTGCAGGCATCATTGGAATCGTGGTCTTCGTTGTCAAGAGAAAGCGAAACCGAGAGATTGAAGAAGAGCATCGTCGTAATGCTGCCAATTCTTTCCTATCTGGCAAATCCGACAAGTCGTCGCCGGATCAACGACTCGATCCTTCGATAAACATTCATGGACGACAAAGCATTGGCAGCATTGCTGATGAGCGGGACTTCTCGAGGAGAATTTTACAGGTATGCTTAGTAACCCTTCCCTCGCCCTACTATTACTATAAGCTAATCTTATCGTCAGGTACGGAATCCAGATCGCGATTCGGTTCGGTCGACTATGGCATGATAGCTTTGTGCAGTTTCGGCAACACCAATTTTTCAATTTACTCGTTAGCTCAATATCCACATCATGATGATGATGATGGATGACTGCCAACCTGATCGAACTCCCTTACAGCTTTTCAACACGATAGCTACTTACCAACAAGTGCGCTCCAGCACTGTGACGACCTGGTCCGAAGATCCTGCAACCTGTTTCTTCTGCTACATGCGCACTGCTCACATTTCAGCAGTTCAATTGAAATGACGACGATCCTTATCTTATCTTATTACTTGGTTTTCCTTTTGGGGTTATTAGAGTAAGACGCTCCTTATCAGTGGCGGATGGCATAGCTCAGGAGTTGGTGGCTCGCGGGTTGTCTTTGGACCAATCTTGCAGTCTTTCGTGTGTTTTGACTTGGCAGGAATAGAAGCATTGAAGATGCCAGTTTGGCGCTTGACTAAGATCGAGTTCCACCGAGTGTGGGGACGAAAGCATCTGCTGGTAACCGTTGCTAAGTTGGAGCAAGAGCCGGTCGGTCATACAGGAAAGACAGGGATATTTTTAATATTCGCACACACGTATGACATGGCCAGTGAGGCAAGTCCCCAGATTATTATCTTGAGGATAATACGAAGACACTATCGGGGATGGGATGGTGTGAGGAAAGAAAGAAGTTCCCCGGAATCTGGATAGGCTAGAGATGGCTGGGCGAACACATGTTTGTCTATACCCAATATCCCAATTTTGCTCCCCATTTACCTCCAGAGTTATGTTATGACAAGACGACGGATGATGGATGGTGTTTGATGTGCCATCGGCGTTCGAAGGAAAAGTCAAGGCATATCTATCACCCATACCGGGAGGAGGTATACTGTACTATTATACTACAACTACCATTACTACCATTCCCAAACAGCCCTGGCTTTCTTCATCTATGCTTTCTTTCCTACCTTCTCTCTTCTACGTGCCTTTAATACTCTCGATCTCCGTTGCTTAACCCCCCGGGCTTCCCGCAGCAAAGCAAGCAGACACTCTTTCTAGAGAGGTGGTCGGGGTTTCCTTCTCCGCCCTTTCCCCTTACTATACTTGATTACTTGATCTGTGGACGCGGGGACACTAAGACTTACATGCTCGGTATAATGATGGCTGTGGGAGGGAGCTTTTTTATGGCGCATGCTGAGATGCCCTCTGTTCCTTTTCTCTGGCTTCTCTCATATATATATATATGTGTGTGTGTGTGTGGTGAGTAGTACGTATTATACATCGTAGTGCGCTGAGCGAAGCATTGCTTCTTTCCTCTCTGGATATTCCAACTCGTTTGTGGTCGTCGGCGGGGGAGAGCACGGACCACCAACTACTGCGCCGTGAGGCCTCAGTGTCTCTATCCCTCCGTTCGGGGCTTTTACGTTTTGACATACCTCATATGTCCATGTTGGAGGAGGACGCGTTCTTGATGTAACACGGAATGAATATGGTGGAATTAGTCCGTGCTTCCCTCATCGATGTTGCTCGTTTCATTCCGTGTCCTTTTTTCTTTTCAGCCTCCAATCCCAACGGCATTTAGGATCTGCAATGTGCTCCAGCCGGGCCCGCCGGGGACGACTTCTCGCCAGGTCTCGTCAGGGATGTTGGCTTCGGGCGGTAGGATGGACCAGTTGGGTGACGGTTCGGATTTGATCCATTTGAAGTCGTCGACTTGGTCCCATTGATTAGGGGGTTCCGCGCCGTCTTTTGGCGAGGGAAGGAGTTCGGACTGTTCGACAGCGAGAAAGTATGGTTAGAGAGTTTGGTTGATAAATCAAAATGAGATTTAATAGGGGCTGGTCGCAGAGGGAGAGGAGGGACAAGTAAAAGTAGACAGAGACGTACTTGGAATTTTGGCAAGGGGGACAACCGGATGCCCTTGCAATCTTCGATGATGGGCCTGCTGCTGCAATGCAGATAGACGTCGATGTTCTCGCATTCATGCATCCGGAGTTGGCGGGCCTTGAGGACTATGACGCTGTTCTTGACGCCTGTGATGTGAGCCGGGCCGGAGACGGAGCCGCAGATCAAGAGTGATGAGGAAGCTGAGTTGATGGTCAGGCTTGCGAAGGGGCTAGTCGCGGTGCTTGGGACAGAGAGGTCGACAACGCAGCTGGTGAGCTGTTGGAGGTTACAGGGAGTCTGCGAGTGGAGGGCGGAGGATGGGAGAATGATGTGTGTGTTCGTTTGGTTTCTGATGGAGATGGAGGTCGCGGTTGTCGAGAGTGACGGCCGGTCTTTTGTGGACGAAGACGGATTGACTCCTTCTTTGCTAGCGGTTCTATTGAGATCTCCGGTGTTTGATGATGTTTGATCTGCTGAGGAGGATTTCTCGTTGGGAGGTGTATGCACGTAAGCAGGAGTATTGGGAAACGAGGGAGTCGGGGAGTCCTGGAAGTTAGGGGACAGGTGACCTGGGATATCTCGACGTTTCTGAGCGGCCATCTCGGCGGCATCGCTTAGCGAGAGAGCAGAAGGACTCTTGTGGGCTGATTTGAAGGAGAACTTGGGTTTGGGAGCGTGCAGCTTTTTGGATTCTTCGAATTTCTCCTGCAGGGCTTTGATGGCCTAGGGAGTCCCCGGAGAATCTTGTAAGCCAGATATTGGTGACAAGAATGGAGGTTTGCGAGAATTATTGAATCTTTGAAAGTTTCGTACCTCAGCATAGGTCCTTTGGTCGTAGGAAGGGAGGTAATTGGAAGCATCTTTGACTTCGGCTGAGAGTCGCGTGATGCCTGCGAGACAGTGATCCGAGGCATCTGAGCGTTCACCGCCGATGAGGGCAGTGTCGGCGAGGTGGTTCATCTGCTCTTGCAAGGCTGGGTGAGGAAAAGTGTAAGCATATGGCTGGACTGCACAGTCAAGTCTGGCAATACCTGTGATCTCTTGTTGAAAATAATGGAAGAAGCGCTGCTGGTTGGACAGCTCGGCCATGATTGCGTCGACGGGGTAAGATCAAGGATGATGGGGTGATCTGATATAAGAATGGATGGAAGAATGGAAGATAGTGGCAGGACTTGAATCAAGATCAACTACAGTAGTTGGTGGAAAAAGAAAGTTCAATATATATTAGGACTGGCATCAAAGGTCGACGATGAGGTCACTAAAAGCAGGGAGACGGCGAATGTGGGAGGGGCCGAGGGCACGAAGGGACAACTGCCAGTGGCCAAGCACGGGGGTGCGGGGGACAGATTAGGTAAGGCTCTGTGCGTGACTACGCTCACTGCAGTGCCACCCAGTCACCCACCAGTGCCCATTAGAGTGGATTAGTTAAGCCTTACCTCACTAACCAGCCTATATCCAGGACTAACTTAGTTCACGCGGTAGCTAACTCTGGCAGGCCCCAAGCACCAATTAACAAGCAACTGCCTAAATACTTGTCCTTGTTGTTATTAGGCTAGCCAAGGGTTTCGCCAATTTGCAGACTATGACTACAGACCATCTTCAACATTCATTCAACACCGAATCGAAAATAATCACCAAACCGTGAAAGCGACCTCCCTCCCCAATCCCCTCCTCTCTGCACCTTCTCTCCCTCTTAATTCTGCATGGTGATACCCTCTCTGCTACGTCGAGCTTCCACTCTTGCTAGAACCCGAACCAAAGCCAAGTCTGCCTCTCCATCTCCGTCAGCTGCGCGACTACGCTCCTCTCGCAACGAGATAACAAGTCCTAAATTATGTGGTAGGCAAGGACCTGGCGTTGCTGCTCTGCTGGTCACTAATCATTTTATTTTCAGACGCCATTCTTGACCGTCTTCGCCCTTCCCTTCCTGCACCGGGCACCTGTGATCTGATCGACGTGCTCCCCGGCAATGCTGTCTGGTCTCAAAAGCTGCATGCCATCTTGAAACCTCGTCGCCATATCCTAGTCGAGCCCGATTTAACCCCCTTCTCAGCCACCCTCACTCCCTTGCTCGAAGCCTCCGGTTCCAAATACCGACATGCTACACTCCTCGAGGATGTCCTTGACCCTGAGAAGGGTTTCTTGTCCGAGTACCCTCAACTCCATCAATCCTCCCCGAACCGTACTCAACTGAACCCGAACTTACTGTTGACCGTCAACCTGTCTGGTCCTCTTACCTCCCGCTCAGGCTTTGTTGGTTCCATGAGCAAAGTCTTCATCAACAATCTTTGGCATGCAATATGGGGTCAACGCGGCGATCTCTATCGGAATGGCATGTTCAGAACCCTTGCCTGGATCCCTTCCCAGGAAAAAGGTCCCCTGCTTCCACATTCTGTAGCTATCCGCCGCAAGCAGAGCATCACCTTGGAAGCCAGTGCTACCGTACATGAGCTAGCTGCTCCTTCCAAACTCGATCGCCAACGCATCGGTCAGGGTGAACCATGGGCTGATCTTGCAAGAGAAGGTTATCTACGTGTCCAATCGGCTTCCAAAGCTGAAGGCATTTCAATCCCCAGATCTCGCAAGCAGCCGCTTCCGCCTCCGCCACTTCTAACTTTGAAACCCGGAGCTGCAACTCTCAGGGATGCTGCTTTTACTTCAGACGCCAAATGGGTGCCCCAATTGATAGAACTGGATAATTATCTCAAGGAGCATGACACTGAATGGTACACTGCTGCTTTGAAAATGGATGCTGAAGCCACTGCCCCTCGAGTGAAGCCACTTGAGGCCAATTCCAAGCGTAAAGCATGGCGCCTCCTCATGTCGCGCATTCGAACCGAGCACAACACTCGCACAAAGGCCATCGATCTAGTCAATCAGCAGCGCCTTCTAGAGCGGCAATGGAAGGACGCCATATTGGCATCACCCTCTGGACTTCTCAAGACTTCCGCCGAGGAGCGCCTACGAAGAGAGGCTGATTCTTTGGGCGCAAAATTGAAGAAACTGGCCCGGAATAATAGGGTCTTTGCAGAAAAGGCAATTGACGACTTCCGAGCATATGACCACAAACCCCGAGTCCTCCTGTGGAATCATCGAATAGCAGAGCCGTTGTTGGTTCACAAAGACGAGTTCTCGTCTCCTCACCATCAGATGGCTTTCTTTGACATCCTTCCAAAGGCTGATTTGACCTACCAACTTGACACCGAAGACAAAGTCATTTGTTTCGGCCATTTGATGAGTCTGATCTCCTTTTATTCAAGCAAAAGTGTCCATGAGGTCTGTTCTATGATCATTCCTGCTGGCGTGGACGACTTCATCAAAACGATCAAGGGCATTCAAGACCCAACCAAAGGTGGTTGGTATGATCCAAATATGCTGAGAATAAGGTCTCTCCCTGTAGATTTGATTGTCGAGATTGCCCTTGCCTTTGAGAGGTGGCCTTTTCGACCAACAACTCAAAGCCTACTGGCGGTCAAATCTGATTTTGACTCGACCTATAAAGAGCCTGCCAATGCTTGAAAGGCTGCACGGATGGGTTCTGCTGTAAGCAAATCCTTACAAGCTATCCTAGTTCTTCCTTTATCTCTCAATGCAAATTAATCAGTCCGCTCAAGACCTCCTCTGTAGTTACTACGTTGGCAAACTCCCCTCTCAGACTTGCCAAGTTCACTCGATGGACCGTCTCTGCATCAAAGCCGCCTCTATTGAATGTGCCTGTTGCGTCCGACACGATAAAGAGCTTCTCGGGCTCCACAACCGCCAGGTCCTTGGCCATGCGAGTGGAAGTACTCACACAGTGGTCCGTTACAAGTCCTGCAATGATGAGCTGCTTGATGCCTTTCGATCGAATGTATGATTCCAGTGGTGTGTTGATAAACGCAGAGTTCGTGCTCTTCGAGAAGACTATTTCATGCTGCGACGACTCGATCGGTTGAGCGCAAGGTTGGAATTCCACACCACCCGGATGTCTGCTGGAATCTGGGTATAGCGGTGATTCTGGATTCAATGATTTGTGGAAGATGTGGAAGATGGTTATCGGCCAGCTTGTACTAGAGGTATCATTATACTTGCGCACCGCTGAGAGGAGCGATTTGATGTTCTCTTCGAATTTTGGTGTCGAACGCTCCGTCCCAAAGAGTCCGTGTGATGTGTTCAGTCCAACTTGAATGTCAATAAGCAGTAGGGCTGTAGGCGTGCCGGCGGATGAGGTAATTGAGCCTGGAGCAGACATGTTTTGCGGTGTACTTTGAGAGGTAAATAGTCAAGATCCAGGAAGATAAGGTCCCTTTCTTGCAGCTTTTATAGATTGTTCCAATCTTGTATGACACCTAGGTAGTCATCCACATACGAATACGTTCTGACAAACCGCTAACCAACCCTTTCTCTTGTGAAGAACGGTTCTGCCTGTCTGCAACTTTGGTGGTCTTGTCAAATGCACGCCCTTCCAGATTTCTAAATTCATTTGCTAGTTACATTATTCACATCAAATTTGCTCGGAAATTGTATGTATCGACCTAATCTATAGACCTGTCCTGAACTTCAAACCAAGGATCTATCTCTTGGTTCTCGTCAACAATAAGTGAGGTTAGGATCAAGTACCCAGTTACGCTCTCGCGCTGTTGGGTTTGCATTGTCTGACCGGTCTGTCAGATGATGCAACACTGCACCGTACATTAATACGGTGAAGCGCATAAATTTTTTCGACAACGGATTTTCTTCCCTGATAACTTCATCGTGAACCTCGTTTCTAAGTCGACATCATGTCTACCAATTTGAGCTGTAGAATTTCGTGCTCTTAAGTGGTCCTTTGAAAGCCTCTTGGATAGGTACATCTCATGCTTGGAGCTTGAAGCTGACCACGAAAGGATGATATGGTTGAAGATTCAGAACACCCTGCCAAACGTCTGAAAATGGAACAGGTAAACAACCCGCTTTGTTGTAACTGGTTTCCGTCGGGCATATTTGTTCCCTGTCCCTCCAGATGGTGCTGAGGAGTCATTGACGAGAATCTGTAGGCTACCACCCGGAATGGTGGAGATAAACGTCAGAATAAGGGTAAATACCGCGCGCAGAACACAAGGAATCGACAAAAACTCGTTGTTAGTGCTTCTGGCATACATAATGGGGACGTTGGCATTTTCGTCACATGTGATAAAGGCCAGGAAAAGAAATGTTTACAGGAGCTTGTCGATTTGTTAAGTGACGTTCGTTCCAAGTCACGAGCCTCTACTGATACAAACTTTGCTGATTCTCCAAAAGGAATTGGACCAGAACAGCTCGACGACCGAAGAAAACGCCGAAAACGCTCACTCAAATGAGGATGTTGATCGCGATATTGAAGCAGACATTCAAGCCGAACTTGACTCCCTCAAACCACAACCGAATGCCGCCAGTGCACCAAGTCAGAAACTATCCTGCGTCGAGCTCGATATACCCTGTGTTTCATTTGTTCGTTTCCCAAGTGAATTGGTGTCCTCGCATAACCCGGTAGAGATTGTCCGCAAGCTATGTACCACAGCAGCAAGAAAGGATTTCCAAGGCCCTCGAAGTCGTTATATCAAGAGACTAACGCCTATATCCATCGTGCGAAAGACCATGGCCAATGGCCTTGAGTCTCTCTGCGACGAGTTGCTCCCGGCCCATTTTCTGGTTGAAGAAGATCCATCGACCAAGCCTGCGGCAAATGATACAGGAAATTCTCATTCGCAAGGTTTCAAATTCGCCATTCGTCCAACCATTCGAAACAACAACAAAATGAATCGTGACCAAGTCATCCAGACAGTCGCTGCCAAGGTAGAAGCACTAGGGAAAAAGAAGCATTCTGTCGATCTCAAAGACTACGATAAACTGATCCTTATTGACGTCTATCGAAATATTGTGGGCATGAGTGTTGTCGGGAGCGAATTCGAAACACTGAAAAGATTCAATCTTGCGGAAATACATTCGAGCCACTTTGGAGACGATGATACTTAGCCAAACCACCCAAAAGCGAACTAAGAGCCTTACAAGGAGTCTCTCGGCGGTCTCGTCCAGATAACCTGTTACCTTCCTGCATCGGTGTTCATTTCAGGTCCAAGTTGAGCATCAGTAGCCTTTGCCTTCTTCACCTTCCTCCAGAGGGACCCCCACAAGTCTTCACGACGTCGTCCTCCCTCACTTCCATCTGGATGAAGAATTCTTTTCGCAGGCCAAGCTCCTTCCCATTCCCCCTGCGCTCTTGGAAGGTGGCGAACTAGCCTTCGCCCTGTTCTTTTGCTTCCATTTATCAAGGTAGCCATGATTGAACCTGTGCGTCAATTGGGCTCTTCTCGGAATTGGCGGAAGTTCTCCCATGTTTGGTGGAAGCTCTTTCATGATTGACAGCATCGGTTCAACCGCCGCTTCACGGATCTGGCCTGCCGAGTTATGTGTCGCTGATGGACCAGGCCCGAGAGTTACTTCAGATGCATTGCACTGTTGCTCACCTCTTGTAATATTCACTCGTCTGCTCCATGAAGCTTGTTCATCGTTCTCTTCACCACAGCCTGAGATTTTTCCGTTCACCATGGTTTCCGACATGTCAGTCAACAAGCAAGGAAGCTTATAGCCTTTGTTGATATAGCGGCGGTTTGGCTTGCAGATAATCGGCTCAAATACAAGAGGAACATATATCTCTTACAACACAATCGAATCAAATTCTCATTTACAGCTTTTCATGGAGAGCAAGTAAGTGAGAATAAAAGGCAGAAATTTGCCTTTTCAGCCAACAATCCACGTTGTTTTGCCATCTATGGACGAACGAGTGTGATGTTTTGAATGATGGATCAAATACAAATATGGAATAAGTCAACGACTATAAGGGCCAATCTACCTATTCAGACGATGCGGGGAAGAACATCGAATGTAAATACCCAGAAACAAGAAGAGTCATACAGATACGAAATGAGGTTGAAACATGGCCTGTTAATTGAGTGACATACCTCTATGGATCTGCAAAATCGCTTGATTTCAACCAAACACTCAGGAGCGTCACTAAGTATTCCAGGGAGTTCGACGCGGCCATATATCTATGTTCGTGATCCTTGCCCTCTGACCACGTGCTCGAAATTTGGAAAGCATTTGGAGTTCTCTCGCCCTGGTTCACTTGAACACAACCGATAATGGTAACAGACATCTCACTAACATCAGCTTCGGTAACATGTATAATATTGATTTTGCTAACATAGTAGTGAGATCAATGCCGTGGATTTGGAAAATCTGCATCGACCCTCCAGCTCAATCATATCGAATTGAAAACACGTGACCGCTAGTTCTAAGTCTTGAAAGACCGAGCATCTCCTTGGAAGTTAAATCAATCGATCCGTTCAACATGTCACATCAAGCTCACGAGCAACAAGGCTCCTAGTAAAGTCCAGATGTCCGGTAGACAAAGCTTCTTCACAGCCGAGGACAATCTGCCCAATTCTCCTCCAACGCATCGAGATCCTACAAAAGCGGAATTGCAAGGACAAGTCTCTGGTGCACTGGTTATTTCGCGTTCAGTGGCAGAACAAGGGAGATTCATCGTGGAGTCAGGACAGCAGAAGAACGTCGTCAGAGTTTGGATTTGGTCAGCCGGAGCAGAGACCCCTTTGTAGCCGTTGGGACAGCATGTCCCCATCTCAGACTCAGCGTCGTTGATCAAAGACCAGATTGTGTCCGGTGGACAACGGCCTTGGTCCTTGCATTTATGGGATGCTGAGAGCGTCCTTTTATTTCGTTCCGGTGGGATCGCAATCGATGATGCTAGGCAGGCGACGAATGCGAGAATAAGAAAGATATGTATATGTCCTCGAGGGTGGAGGCAATGTTGTGGGGAAGAGCCCATTTTTCGGTCAAGTTTGTTTCGAGGAGGAATATCATCAGTTTTCCTCTCGTGGAAGTTCAAGCATCCAGAACAGCGAACGAGAAACCAGGAAAACCAAGAGAACGATATCGCCAATCAAAAGTTTCTTATACTCATACCGATTCGCCGTTTCCACTCCAGCAAACAGCGGGTGAAAGTATGCAGAGCGACACCAAAGGCCTGACAGTTCCAGGGTCAAATACCAGATGTGCCAAGTGGATCGAAATACTACAGGACAAACCATCGGCTTCCTACCGCTAAGTCGAGTGCAAGTGAAGCATCAATGTCACGCTCGTTTGACGGGAAGTCGGGTCTCTTCACCTACAATATCCAATTTTTCGGCACTGAGCTAGAATACCAACGGCCGCTCAGAATACTAAGTGGAAACATAACACACAACACAGTCTTCGGACTAAAGATTCTATGACTGGACCTTACCCGAGACGTCATGTACAGCTCTAAAATTCAAGAACTGGACTTAAGCGCCCATCGAGCCCCGTGACACCGCAAACATCTCAAGGCATCTTGAAGAGAAGAAAAAGAAGAAGAAACTCAAGCCTTCAACTGACTCGCCAATTCAGGCATGAAGTTGGATGTCTAGACATGACCTGGCATGACCCGATTATGCCTTTTCCCTTTCATCCCTGCACCTCAACTACGAATTTCACGCATAGTAAAAGTCGTTGTCAGAAGCTACGGCAAACATTCCCATGCACGCAACCGCTCTCAGTGGGAAGCATACCGCTTGATTGACTAATGCATCATATTCGGCGAATAAATGGAATGGCAGAGAGGATAAACAGCCGAGAAGATGCAGCCAGTGCTTATCAAACAAGCTCATCGCTCTGAAATACAATGTACGCCTCTTTTTCTATCCTTGTTCTTCGTTGCGGGTTTTGCTGCTTGAAAAATCAAGCTAGGCGTTGAAGCCACCCCAGTTTCAAAGAGCGTGGTCCAAAAGCTGGATATCTCCAGGCCCACTTTTCAGGGGCCCAAGCCTTGTTTCCCAGCGTGCGACTATGTCTTGATACGATTGACAATCCCTTGACTGCGTGAGAGAGTGTGTATCACAACACCGTGGCACTAAAAAGCCACACCGTTTAAATCCACGTGCGTTAAATTTTACATGCCATTTGATGGGGATTTCGCTCAGTTACTATGTACGAGTGGGCCATCTCGGATTCCTGTTCGCTAGGATACCCATCGCATCGGCAGTCACTAGTTAGCTAAACACTCTCCATTCATTCATCCATCTACACCAAACCCAATCACCCATGATGCCAACAGTCTTCCTTAGTAAGCATATCTAAACTTTGGATTCTGGAAGTCTGTCAAATCGTTGAGCAAATCACCATCACCCGCCTCAATCTCGAGATTGATACCCTCTGCGGCGGCCTGGCGATCACGCTTCCTGTTGCGCATGATGAGCAGGGCGCGCAGGCAGAGCGTGAGGGCTATCTGGCCGGCAGCGCAGGATAGGATCAATTTGCAGCCTGTCTGGTAGATGGGGGCTTCCGTGGCGATGAACGCGTGTGGGCCGATCACATTACCCGCACAGTACGCGAGGAAGACGAATGCCGTCGCTGTCACGCGCTTTGTGTACCCTCCGACGTTTGTCGCGGGCAGTTGTAGCGCGAGCACGAGTGAGGCGACGTAGCTTCCGATCTGCGTTGGGAGTTAGTCCCTGGAAAGGAGGGAGTTTAGTACAGCTTCAGGTCACTCACGATGTAGTATCCAAAGAGGCAGCCGACGGTGTTAGAGCGAGGCATCTTCCACATGAGGATGGCACCGGTGATGGTCGGGAGGATGTAAAGGGCCATTATGATTGTTCTGGAGTTCTTGAATCTTGATGCCAACCACGGACCCGAGAAAACAAAAACGACCTGGAACGCACCCTGGGGAATCCCATACGCGGTCGCGAGCAACGGATCGTTACCCGCGATGCCCTTGACGATCAGTTTTCCAAAATTGGCAACGCCGCCGTTGATGGTTTCGTTCAGCAGGGTGAAGAGGAATAAAATCCACACCTGCGGGTCGGTCAGGGCCTCGACGATCTGCGACCATTTGATCTTGCGGTTGTAGACGCCAGTGCGGTTCGTTTGGCTTCGCGCAATCAGCAGCGCCTTTTGTTCCGGGGTGAATGCCTTGGCTGTCATGATGTTGTTGGGGAGGTACCAGAATAGCACCATGCCCCAGAGGACGGTGACGCCGCCGCAGAGGATGAAGATGATTTTCCAGATTGGGAAGCCGTTGGCGTGTCCGACGGCGTAGAAGAGGATGCCTCCCGTCATGGACCCGACCCCATTGAAGCAGTAGAATGTGCCTGCGCGACTGGGCTGCTCCGGCTTCACGTACCACATGCTCACGATCATCATGAAGCACGGCGTGATGACGGACTCGAAGACACCGAGCAGAAATCGGCAGATCGCCATGCCGGTAAAGTTATGGCAGGATGCAGTGATGAGCAAAATCGAGCCCCATGTCATGACGAAGATCGAAACGACGCGTGCCGTCGGGTAGTGCTGCGCCAGATAACTCGACGGCCACTCGGCGACCAGATATGCGAGGTAGAAAATACTCGCCAACCACGAGTATTGATTCGAACTCATGCCCGTACTGGGGAACAGGTCATAGACGGCCGCATAGCTCAGCGCCTGCTTGTCGATGTACTGCAGGAAATACGTGCCACAGAGCAGCGGCATCAGCGTGAAATCGATCCTGCGCACGATTTTCCTGTTGAGTTCCTTGTCCTCGAGCAGCTCGGCGAGGTACGCCTGGGAGAAGTTGTGTTCGCGCAGGAAGAGCCCTGCTTCGTCCAACTCTTCAACGCTGCCGACGTTGGTGGTCAATGTCGGCTTGAGCTGGTCATCTTCTTCTTCCATGATGGCCTTCTCCTGCTTGCCGAGGTCTTGTACCTTTTCTGCCATGATGTGTCAGATTTCCCGTCGTTGAGTTGACCCTTGGGATGTGGTGGAAGTGCGAGTGCGAGTGCGAGTGCGAGTGTCAGCCTGTATCCTCATCTACGACGTGGAACCTCGTAGCATATATACACCTGATATCTGACCCCTTCTTATCAGTGAACCTTACCCCGCGAATTACAGCACCCCCGATATCTAATATCCCCACTCCTGCAATCTAGCCTGAAGCCATGTTGTGTTGATATCAGGACCCAAGAGAGCATCAACCTAGCCAAGGACGAATATCAAGTGATTCGGAGTGCAGAAATGGAGCCGAGATTCCCGCCGGGAAGCCTAAACGGAGAATGGCGGGTCTTGATCACTGCTGGATAATGCTATGGTTCTGATAAATGGAACTGGTTAGTGAAGGCTCGCGTAGGCCTCGAGGCCTCGAGTCGAGGGCAGATCTCTCCACCCGGACGGAGTCACGTCCAAGGCCGGAAAGCCAACTCATGAATGTGTTTGTATGGGTGCATATTCCGTATCTTTCTACCGACGGAATAGTGAAGATAACGAGTTCTGTTTGCAACTTGGGAATAACTCGCCAGCAAACGCCGATAGTTCACTCAGTGTCTGCCGATTGCATTTAGCGAAAGCTACTCTGTGCTATCCGACATACAGGTAAAGTTCAGGAAAAATGGCTATCAATTCTTCACCAGCACCTTGGTCAGAACCGCTACGGCAACAAATGTATGTCCATGTCCATACGACCCTGATCTCTGCGGCTTTAGACGAATATTAAATGGTTCACTAGATGCTGGGAGGGAGGGTGCTAATAAGGTGTCCCTCCAGGGACCATAGTGAGGATATTCATTATACCTGGAGACGGACAAATTCCCCGGCAAGCAGCTAGCGCAGGTCTTAGCAGCCACTCACACGTCTTGCACAGACAGATATCAAAGACCGACGACTTGGCCGTCGGCCGCTCTGAGCTTCCCGCGGTGTCGTTGGGTGGGTCGCTACTATATCCACCCCGACAGCCCGTCGGACATTTCCGAGGCTTGAAACTTGAACCTTTACCTAGGATTGTGACCAGTAGACATGGAGAACCACGTGAAAACCGACATGACGATCTCGTGCGGTGGTTCTGTAGCTGCAAGTTTCCTCCATGTTCAACAAAAAGTTGGTGGTAAGTCGTACTCATATATGTATGCAAACAAAGCCCAGCAACCATCGAAAATCCAACTTTTCGCATTCGGTGAGGTCTCCCGGCCCGATGTCAGAATCATAGTCCTGGGGGGCAAAGGATAGCACCAACTTGGTTTACGTTAGGCCACCGTCGATAACCGTTCATTGATAGTCATTTACGTCCATTTCCAAGGTCGCGGTTATCCGTTCGGGCTTCATTTAATTGCCGGACGAGGCTTATGACGAGACTCTTGTGGCGTCCATCTATCTATCTTCTTGGTGCCAACGTTCGTGCTATATCAGGTATCGATATCTTGGTAAGTCTGATGTCCATTGGGTGGTCAGACGAGCGGAACGATAGCGGCTGAGTTCCCGTTTGGAATTCCTAGTTTTGGGCAATGATAATACTTCATAACGAGCTTGACATCGACATAGCAAACATTAAAGACTGAAAGTATCCAAGCCAGCGACCTCACTCATTCAGCGAACCCGCAAACAGAGATGGGATCAATCCAGGTGGAAGAGACCGCTCCGACGGTGACCATCCCACAGGGGACCATCGTAGGAACAGTTCTAGAGAAAGACCTCAAGCGAAAAATCGATGCATTTCTCGGGATCCCGTATGCCTTGCCGCCTGTGGGAGAGCTTCGTTTCAAGCGACCGGTGAAGGTCCCTCAATCTTCGAAAGTGATACACGCCACTGCATATGGCCCAGCAGCGCCCGGCAAACAACTCCTCGTGAGCGCCCGGAAATTCGAGTACAGTGAAGACTGCTTGACAGCCAATGTGTTTCGTCAGAGCTGTCCATCGTCAGAGAACAGCAAGCTATTGCCCGTGATGGTATACCTACACGGAGGGGCCTTCAACCGGGGCAATTCGTCTATGCACAATACTGCATCGATGGTGTCGTGGTCGGAACAGCCTTTCGTCGCCGTGTCGTTCAATTACAGAATTGGATCGCTGGGCTTTCTCCCATCCAGCGTGAGCGCGAAGGAGGGGATCCTGAACCTAGGCTTGAGAGATCAAGAATTGCTGTTCGAGTGGGTGCAGGAGAATATCGAGGCCTTTGGAGGCGACAAGACGGACGTCACGCTGGTGGGAATGTCAGCAGGGGCACATTCGGTATGTCCAATTGTGGTCCCACCCTCAGCGACGCCTGAGAAGGAAGAGAGTGTAGTCCTCGACTTGGATATCGACTGACAAATGCCACACAGATCGGCCACCACATGATGCACCACACGACCAGCAACCCGGGCCCATTCCACCGAGCGATCATCGAGTCCGGGTCCCCGACCTCGCGCGCCGTGCGTCGCTACGACGCCGCCATCCACGAAGAGCAATTCGCCGACTACCTGCGCGAAGCGGGCTGCCCGGCCGACCTCCCGGAATCCAAGATCTTCCCATTCCTGAGATCCCTCCCCCTGGGGGTCATCACCAGGGCCCAAGACGCCGTCTTCGACAAATATAACCCGTCGCTGCGCTGGGCGTTCCAGCCCGTCATCGACTGCGACATCATCCCGCGCGCGCCGCTCGAGACGTGGAGGCTGGGCGATTACTATAAAATCCCGATCATGACGGGGTTCAATCATAATGAGGGCTCGCTGTACGTCGACAAGCAGATGTCCAAGCCAGAGGAATTTACCGAGTTTTTCCAAACCCTGCTACCAACCCTCTCGCAAGACGACATCGAAACCATCGACAGACTATACACCGATCCGGTATCCGGATCTAGCTCCAGCTCCAGCTCCGCGGACCAGCCTTATGCAATCCCTAGCACCATGAAAGGCCAAGTCGGCGCACAATACCGGCGCATCGAAGCTGCATACGCACACTACGCGTACGTCGCACCGGTGCGCCAAACTGCACACCTGGCCTCCTCACACGCGGACGCTCCACCGGCATACCTCTACCACTGGACACCTATCACCACCGTGGTCGGCGGCGCCAGCCACGGCGACAACATGCGGTACGAGACGTTCAATCCCGACGTGGTGTCGAAATCCTCCAGCCAGAGAGAACTGGCCGGCACGCTGCACGCGTACCTGACGAGCTTCATCTGTAACAAAGGCGACCCGAATGCTCTCGCAGGGGAGTGGAGTGATCGCCCGACCTGGGAGGCGTACAACCATGATGAGCCGAAGACGATGGTCTTCGGGCAGGGCAATGAGGAGCTCGTCGGTGGCGGGGTCGGAGTTGCGGCGAAGATGGATCGGGATCCGTGGGCGGACAAGGAGTGTCAGTTCTGGTGGGACAAGGTCGAGTTGTCGCAGCAATAGATAAGTGAGGCACAAGAAATAGAGAAACTCGAGGAAGAACTCGAAGAAGAAATGCAAGGAAAGGAGGGTGCAGGATAGATAGATGCAGGATTTCATCAACAAAAACGTCCCGGTGGAAAGGAAGTGCCTGTAACGTGGGTTTCTGCTTCCAGTGAAAGGGGATTTCTATGTAAACACCGCACTGCAGGAGTGTTTAGTGCAGGGATCCACCAATTTCCACGACGGGTCAACACCATGCCACTCGCGATCATCGCGGGGAGCAACGAAGGAGCTGGTGGGGGAAGTGTAGGGTAAAAGGCCGTCGGTAGTTGAATTACCCAAATACTAGCTAGCCTTAGAAGAAAAAGACAGCGATGGGGATATACTTGGGCAAAGGCCTGGAAATTTCGTATGTATGTGCTTTGACAGAAGACGTACAATTAGCTCAATGGAAAACAAAACACCTCCTGAAGTATGTATATGCAAACATCCAAAATGTGATCGTGAGGTCATTATATCCCGCCACATAGGTCAAGTTTCCATTCGTGGTTCACAATATCGTCTCAGGGGCGCACGCACTCCCCTATATAAGGCCGGTTACGCATTCACAACCAAGCTGGGTCCTGGGACGTTATTCTGACTTTGACTTTGGGGACGTTGCTGCTGCTGCTGCTGCTGCTGCTGTTGTGCGGTCATCTGTCCCTGCCGTCCCATTGCGAGATAATCACGATTTTCCACTGTGACACTCTTGGTCATGTGGTTGACTTTATAGATACCGACCAGCCGCTCGGCGAGTTCGAACATGTTGTTCCGCAGACTAATGACAATGAATTGTGCGTTCTTGGTGCGTTCCTTGATGTAGCCTGCTACAATTGAAACCTATTCATATCATCAGATTAGCGAATGTTTTCCTTCTGGGGATGGGAAATGGAGGCTAGCGACTCGATCAATACTCACGTTTCTGAAATCTAACGCCGCATCTATTTCGTCCATGACATAGAGTGGTGTTGGACGATAGACATGGAGCGCGAAAACGAGCGCAAGGGAACTTAGGGTCTTTTCTCCTCCAGAAAGATTTCCAATGTTCTTCCAGCTTTTCTTTGGTGGCATCACACTGAATAATATCCCCTCGGAGAAGGGGTCAAGGCTATCCACCAACTCGAGCTCTGCATTACCTCCCAAGGTTATTAGTTGGTACATCGATTTGAGGTGGGAGGAGATCGTTGTAAACCCGGTCATGAATTGTGTGAGACGCAGGTTACGCAGGTCTGTAAGCCGAGTTTTCGCTCCGTCACGAGACTTGACGGCCATCTTTAGATCAGAAGTACGTGTGGCCACTTCATCGCAGCGACGTCGGTATTCCGCAATGACGGCAAGATCTATGCTCGAGGCATTGGAAATCTTTTCTTCCAACGCCGCGATCGACGCAATTAGATGATTTTTGGATTTGTCAAGTAGCTCATCACGTGTGAATGTTTGCAGTTGACGACGCGTATGCTTTTCCTGGGACTCGGGCTGTGAAGTTACATCGGGCTCCTGCTCGTCCTGCTCGTCGACATCCATAGCATCTGGATCGGCCTCAGTCTCAGGGGGAGCATCGGGCATTTCTTCCTCTTCGTCTTGCTGTTGTTCTTCGCTAGGACTGGGTCCTTCCAGATCTGCAATATCGTGTAGGGACAGCTTGGACAGCTTCTCGGCCCAATGTTGGCTCTTGCCGTTGTTTTCAGCTAGAATTTTCTGGTTCTCCTCAAGCTTGTTTCGCATTTCGATCTCCTGTGCTCTGGTTGAATTCAACTCAGCGGTCTGTGAGTCAAGATTCTTCTTCAACGCTGCCAGCTCTTCCTTTTGATTTGACTGCTCCTCTTGAGCTTGCTCAGCACGGATTCTTGCCTCGGACGCCTCAGCTTTATGGGCTTCAACATCACTTTCGAGCTTATCCAAGTCTATGGACAAAGTCTCGAGCTCTTTTTCCGCACCTGCCTTAGCTTTTTCTTGCTTATCAGTGAGCTTTTCGTTCTTGGTCTTCGCGACCTCAGCATTAGATATGTCCTCGTTTAACAAGTCGATTCTTTCCTTCAAGCCATCCACTCTGGCTTTTTGGCTACGGAGCTGCATGCCACCAGCTTCCATGATCTTGTTTTGCAATGCCTGGATTTCTGATTCTACACTGGCTGTCTCCGAGTGTAGATTGCCGAGCTCCTTGTTCAATGAGGCGATTTGCTTGTCCAAAGCTTTGATCTGAGTATCGTCGGCAGATGTTGAGGCAAGCTCGGCGACAAGATCTTGAACACGTTTCTCTGCATCGGCAAGATTTTTTGTGCAATTTTCCACCTCTAGGTTGATCTTTTGGATTGTTGTTTCTAGACGTGGGATTTCTTCTTGCTTCTCTTGGAGACTTGTTTCCAATTCTCGTTGACGGGCTTGGAACGCCTGAAATTGTGTCTCGAGCTGGTTCCGATCAGCTTCGAGCTTTTGAACCTGTTCATTCGTTGTCTCGGCGACCAATTTTGAAGACATCGCTCCACGGGCCACACGGGTCCCGCCTCCACTCATCGTACCAGAGACATCGATTAATTGACCATCGAGGGTGACCACCCGCCACCTTTTTGCGCCATATGCGATCCTGTTTGCTTGCTCAAGGTCATTCGCAACCAGTGTATTCTGCATTACACTGTAGAACGCGGGAGCGAATCGCGGGTCCTTAGGCTTGATCAAATCGAATAGTCGGGGGACATTCTCAGGGGTCTGAAGAGGTGATAAATCTCTCTGAGCTAGCTTGTCAAGTAGAATGAAATTGGCTCGTCCCAAATTATTCTTGCGAAGATACTCAATGCATTGTTGTCCAACCTCGACATTATCGACGACCATGTTCTCGAGAGATGGACAAGCAGTGGAGACAGCAACATCGAACTGCTCATCGATTGTGCCCAGGTTTCCAAGTCGTCCGTGGAACCCGTCGATTCGGCCGGAGTCTTTCAGTCGAAGGAGACCCTTGAGCACATTTCCCTGGTTCTGTGTTGCTGCTAGACTAGCGCGTGCATCATCTGCCTTCTGCCGTGCGGAGGAGATTTGCGATCGCACTTCAGGTTCACTAGCAGCAAGCTTTTGAAGTGCATCCTGGATCTTTCTAACATCCTTCTCTAGTCGAAGCTTCTCATGTTTGCGTTGCTCAATCTCTTCAAGTTTTTCATCTCTGCTAGATTCGATGCTCTCGATCTTCGCGTTGGCCTGATCGACCGCTTTCTGACCGCTATTGGCTTTCTCCTTCAGAATTTCAAGTTCAGAGTTCGCGACTGCGATCGCCGACTGTTTTTGGTCGATCTTCTTGTTCCAAGGCTCTAGCAATTTCTGCTTCGCAGCAATCTGATCGGAAAACCCTTGAGTCTTGCCTTTGAGAGCTTCTCGGATTGAAGCTAGTTGCTGCTCCTCACGTTGCATATCTTTCTCGAGTTCGGCCACTTCTGCACCCTTTTGCTCAATGTCTTCTTTGTGCTTTTCGACGAGACTTCTAGCTTCGGAGGCAGCTAACCTGCTTGTGGTCGCGGTCTTTTCTGCCTTTTTCTGTTTGCCGGTGATGAATTTTCGCTTTTCCTCAAATTTGACATTCTCCTTATCGTACTTGGCCAATTCCTTTGTAAACTCTTGCGCTTGTTTTTCAATGCGTTCGTACTGCTTGAATGCTTTGTTGTATGCCTTCTCAAGTTCTTTGATGGTATCCTCGCTGCCGGCATGCTTTTCGAGTTCGGAGTTTAGCTGATCCTGAATTTGTCCGATCGCCTCCTCAGTGACTTTGATGTTGTCCTCACATTCAGCAACATAAATCTGGTATAGAGCAGATTGCTTTTCTGCCAATTCGTTCTCGTCCCGAATAAATGCCAATGCCTTGTTCTTTTTGTCTTCTAACCCGTTCTTTTCCTTCTCGACATGCTGGACTCTACCTTGTTTTTCGATGCAGACTTCATTCAGGGCTTCCAACTCTCCCGCGGCTTCCTCAATTGGTGTCTTGTATTTGGATGTGCCAATAATGTCCTCCAGGTACTCAAGCAGCCCATCATCATGCTCGTTGGCTGCTTTAGGTTTCATTTGGGCGATAGATTCGACCTCACCTTGAAGAATGAGGAAGCGCTTGTGGTCCAAATCTATGGCCTTGTCTTTGAGCAGAGTGGTCACTGTTGTGAAATTCGTAGTTCTACCATTCAGGTAGTAATTGCTGGAGTTATTCTTGAAGGCTCTTCTCGAAACAACAAGTTGTGAGTCGGGGACAACTTCATGTTTTCCACCAGGAAGATCAATGATCTCTTGAAAGTAAACCTCAACCTCACAGAAATCGAGGTCTGGATGTTGGGCCGAGTTGTGAATTAGGGCGGAAATTTTACCTTGTCGCATCTTACTGGCTCGGAAGCCGAAGACAAACAAGAGAGAGTCAATGACGTTGGACTTTCCAGAACCATTAGGGCCGACGACTGCAGAGAAGGACGCGTGAAAAGGTCCGACAACCTGTCGACCAGCATAACTCTTGAAATTAGTCATCACAAGCTGTCTGATGACCATTCTTGAGGTCGGTCCAGTGGACTCTTCCACCTGTGGGACCGCTTGTGATCGCGCTCTTATGACAATATCCATTGGCTTTTCGAACATCATAGTGACTGGACGCGTCTCCTTTTCTTGTGACAGTGCTTGTGAAGGTTTCTTATTCAAGGCATTTGCAGTAACATCACTCAACGGAGTAGCCTCAGCTTTTATGGGCGACATTGAAGGTGCAGGTATTGGGAGCGAAGGCACGGGAGGCATTACTGAGGATCTTCTGCCTTTTCGTGGAGCAGTGCTCATGCGCTTTCGTGGCGAGGCGGGTTTCGTGGGCGACGAAGGCTGACTCTGAGCAAGTTCATAGTCAGGCTCGACTGCCTGTGGGGTCTCTGAAGGCGCAACTGAAGATCTGCGGCTTTTTCGAGGTGCTGTGCTCTGTCTTTTTCGTGGTGAAGCCCGTTTGGTCGGAGACGCAGGTTCGCTGGGAGCCATTGTCTCTTCTGGATCAAAGATTTGGGATGGTTCAATTGCATCACCAGTCTTCACTTTACGTGTTCTCGCCGATTTCTTTGGCGAGTCGTTAATGTTGGCCGTGGTCTGTCGTCTCGTGGATTTTCGAGGGCTGCTCCTTTTTGGCGCAGGCGTAAACTCTTCATCGTTGTCTTCGCGAATGAGGCTCAGTTCGTCGTCGGACTCGTCGACAACGACAGGGCGACGGGTCGCTCGACGCGACGGTCGCACCGGAGACTCAGCTGACATTTTGTTTCGGTTGTTTATGTTGGGGTTTTCCTAGGCGTGAGTGAACACTGAACACTCGAAAAGATGCTTGGAAGTGTCTGTTTACTTCACGTGCCGAAAGCGGGCCAAGTAGAAACAAATTACCCGAAAGTCTGCAGTTGACGCCGCTTTTGAGTCTTGGCGTGTTTTCACTCCACTTCATCTCCAACTGCCCCTGCGCGGCGAGACGGTCAATGGGAACAACATACTCTAAGGTCCAATAACTCATCCCTAGGAATGTTTATCTCTCATTACTTGTATATTCTGTGGTCATTTCGTAGACTCAGTCAACACATAAAAGCTCTATGCTAACGTTCTATTCATCAACATTACTAAAGCAAGTCATGCTTTTCCAGCAGACTTCCAGCACAAGCTTTTATCTGCTCCCCCATCCTGTCGAGAATTCCGCCACTTCTTGCTTCCTAAAATGGCCAGACCCAATCCCTCAAGGGTTTCGGGTCAATGCCTTCGTTGAAAGCTTGGTTCTTGCACTTTATCTGTTCATTCAATAGTTTCTCCCTCGCACTCGCGCCCCTGTTTCCAAGATTAGGCATCCTATCCAGAGCATCAATAGCAAGGCTGAATCTGTCGGTTTGGTTCCGTATGGCCAACTCCAGCGGCGTATCAATGTTGCCTTTCTCTTTGTAGCCCCGCACATGCAGATTATGCTGTCCCTTTCTCTTGTATGTCAGACGATGGATGAGCCATGGATACGAGTGGAAGTTGAAGATGACCGGCTTGTCGTCCGTGAAAATGGCCATGAATTCGCGGTCAGTCATGCCGTGCGGATGCTCGCCGTGAGGAATGAGTCTAAACAGGTCAACAACGTTGACGAAACGGATCTTCAGGTCGGGAAGGTATTCCCTAAGCAAGGCTGTCGCTGCAAGAGATTCCATGGTTGGCACATCACCACATGCAGCCATGACAATGTCTGGCTCTTGGCCTTGGTCGTTGGAGGCCCAGTCCCATATTCCAGCACCCTTAGTACAGTGCTCGATGGCTGCTTCCATATCAAGATATTGAAGGTGATCTTGCTTGTCTGCGACGATCACATTGACATAATTGCTGCTTCGCAAGCAATGATCTGTAACAGACAGCAGTGTGTTTGCGTCGGGAGGAAGGTAGATACGAACAACTTCAGGTGATTTATTGGCAACGACATCGAGGAAACCAGGGTCTTGATGCGTGAAACCATTGTGGTCTTGTCGCCAGACTGTTGCGGTCAAGAGAATGTTGAGTGATGCAATCTTCGCACGCCATTCCACCTCCAAACACTTTTCAATCCACTTGCAGTGCTGATTGACCATTGAGTCAATGATATGGATAAAGGGTTCGTAGCTATTGAGCAGGCCGTGTCTTCCAGACAGGATATAGCCTTCGAGCCAGCCTTCGACGGTGTGTTCACTGAGCATCTCCATAACCCGGCCTTCCATGGCAAGGTTGCCACCATCAGCGTCTTCGTCGAAATATTCTCCGAGCCAGACTTTCTTCGATGCTTTATACACTTCAGCCAGTTTGTTGGATTCAGTCTCGTCAGGTCCAAAGAGCCGGAAGTTTGTGGGGTTTCTTTCGATGACATTACGAAGGAACTTCGCCATATTGGCCATGCTAGGTCCATTGGTAATACCGCCCTTCTTGACATCAAGTCCGTACTTGCGGAAGTCGTTGAGCTGTAAGGGTTTCTTGAGAAGTCCACCATTGGCCACTGGGGCAGCGCTCAATCTCTTGTTTCCCGAGGGGGCCAATGCCTTCAACTCGGGAATTAGTTTGCCGTCTTCGCCAAAATATTTTTCAGGCGTATAACTCTTCATCCAGTCTTCAAGGATCTTAAGATGCTCTGGTTTGGCGGCAACATCGGGAATGGGGACTTGATGTGATCTCCAGTAACCTTCAAGGTATCGACCATCAATGGTCCTCGGGCCAGTCCAACCCTTTGGGCTTCGGAGGACAATCATTGGCCAGCGAGGGCGGAAAGCCTTGCCAGAATCACGTGCTTTCTTCTGGTATTCTCGGATCTCCAGAACAACCTTTTCAAGGGTGGCAGCAAAAGCTTGGTGCATTGATTCAGGGTCACTTCCTTCCACGAAGTATGGGGTCCATCCATAACCAATGAAAAGAGCCGTCAGCTCTTCATGACTAATACGGGCGAGAATGGTGGGGTTATTGATCTTGTAGCCATTCAGATGCAACACGGGCAGAACGGCTCCGTCAGTGATTGGGTTGAGGAATTTCGTTCCATGCCAACTCGTGGCTAAAGGACCGGTTTCGGACTCTCCGTCACCAACCATGGTCAGGGCAATCAAATCGGGGTGGTCGAAAACAGCTCCAAAAGCATGTGAAATTGAGTATCCGAGTTCACCTACAAGGAGTTAGCCAATGCTGCAACCAATTGTGCGATAGGGTTGGTCGGAAACGTACCGCCTTCATGCAAACTACCAGGAGTTTCTGGAGTGGCATGGCTTCCAATACCACCTGGGAATGAGAACTGCTTGAAGAATCTCCGAAGTCCTTCCTCGTCTTCGGACTTATCTGGGTAGACTTCACTGTATACTCCCTCGAGATAGGACTGCGAGATGACTGCTGGGGCACCGTGGCCAGGGCCAGAAACGAAGAGCCCGTCGATGTCGTATTTCTTGATGAGTCTGTTGAAATGGACGTAGGCAAAAACCTGGCCTGCGTCTGAACCCCAATGTCCTAGAAGACGAGCCTTGAGGTGCTCGGTTTTCAATGGTTCCTTGAGCAGTGGGTTCTGCTTCAAGTAGATCATGCCCAAGCAGAGATACAAACTGGCTCTCATGTAGTCATCAGTAAGCCTCAACTCCTCCTTGGTTAGAGGAGCACCTTCGACGGTTGAACGAGCTTTGCCAAAGGGCGAGATGCTCTTCACCTCGACATCCACATCAGCGGCTGGTGCCATGATCTCAGTCAATTGAGGTTGATGAGTCTTTCGTAGTAGAATGACAATGCGTCTGGATGGAATGAGAGACGGACGGAAAGAAGAGAAACAGGAGATAGCAGAGCTATATATGAGAATTACGATGACGGCATGGGCCGGCCGTGCTCGATCGGACGATGCAATACGTAGGATTTACCTTCAAGGCCCGTGCGAAGCGGAGGAGAAGTGAGTTACACGGTGCATATGCCTCGAGCTCCAGAGCATGCACGTGCCCCCAATAGGATAGAGAAGCAGTTCCCACATGTTTGATCTGCATGGTCAGGCTTACTGTAGTTTCCCAGCTTCTGGGAGCTGGCTCGGTAAAGTTTGGCCACTTGCAACAGAGACTGCTGCGCGGGTGGTGGCATCTTGAACTCTAAGCAAGAATTCACGATGACCTCAAGCACAGCATGCGAGACAGGGTCAAGAAACCATACGATTGGATTGGACTCGAGCATCAGGAGACGGTGACGAGTTCAAGACATGTGTGCATCTGGTGGGGGTGTTGGCCGAGCCGTTTGGATGAAATAATACTCGTAATTACAGGGTCACGCCATGTTGGCCGAAGGAGGCTTAGCGTGTAATGAAATGTGCCGGAGCAACCGAAGCCGCAGAATCACAGACTACAAGCTACCCTGTACAGACGGTAGCACAGACAATCTAGCAGTATGGCCTCGTATGGCCTCGTATGCACAGGGTAGCTCTTCCTGATCTATTGCCTCTTGTCAATACTCCATACCGAGAGTGCTCATGTCACCCAGATTGGCAGTGCTCTCGATCCGAATGCTACGTCTGGAGATTCTCAGCTTGTCGCTACCGGGGGCTGCCGTTAGTCGCCCTTACAACCTCGATTCGAAATCGCTTGTTGGACTTGACAGCCAATAATTGCTCATACAGTACGTCCAGCCAGTATCTGATCTGATAATCTAGCTTCGATTATGCAGTTGCATTGCCTCACTTCTGAGGGAGACAGCTGGTGACATGGTGGCAATCCAAGTCTGCATCCTTTTCTTTAAGGACATCTCGAGTATGGCTAAACAGTAGGTTCGTCGTCGATATGATCGGAAAGCCCAGCGCGCTGGGTTCAGTAGTATCAGAAACAGGTGATGATATATCTTGAACGGATACAGATCATCTCTAGTCTTATGTTTGTGGTTTTATATCAATTAACCGTCGGAACACAGATTTACCCCGGATTTCCTCGAACGATCTGGAGCAGGGATGATATATGCATGGAGCCATTCCCGGATCGACCTTGCCGTAGGTCTAATATGCAGTCCTGGGACGTGCCCATTACCCCTGAGAAGAGGTACGAGGTCCTCAGCATGCAATGGCTGGGACAGCAGGCAGCAATAGGAACAGATCCGCTTCTCTATGTGGGTCTCAAAGTCAGTTCCTGACGTTGAGGTCAGGTGTGGCAGGATCACCTTGAAGCTCTCGGTACCGAGCGACACAATCCGTGAGTATTGTCGCTAGAGGGTAATATGCACATACCATTGGCCGAAGAGCAAATGGCTCCGGTTCCGCATTGTGCTGTAATGACGGCTTTGCCGGTCCATCAAAAGGGCGTTCGTGGATATTTGGTTGCTTGGACATGTGACAATCCATGAAAAGTGGTCAAATACCTTCAATATCGAATCGTGTTGTGGTTTCTGGCCCTGCTTCAGAATCTCCTCCCATAAGCTGCACCATTACTCGGACCAAACCGTTTGGACCCTCGACTCGGGAGATATTCACCGTCAGGCGGCCTTGAAGTTCCTTGATGACTGTTTCAATCTCCAAAGAACCTCTGATATCATATCCTCCGATCAAGATCTGATCTTGTGTGATGTGTAAACTGATCTCCGCTTTGAATAAACGAATCTGTTTCATAACAGTCAAGGTCCACTTATCAGAATGGAAAAGGGCAGTAGTGAAAGCTTGATATTCTCCCAGGTCAAAAGAGTATATTGCCATCTTCTTAACTGAGTACACACCACTGCACCTGCTGGACTGTGGTGATGTGCAAGGGCTGATGAGTGTGTTTGATGACTGGTGTTATTGCCATATATTGATCTGGATTTGCTGCGAACAACGTCGGCTGCTCTCTCGAGTGACGCTCATTCTTGGACGCAAGGACGATAGTAAGACCAACTATCATGAAGCATGGAAAACTGGCGGTTAGTTCGGACGTCTCAGGTCTCTCGCCAGCTTAGAATCTAGCCATCAACGCATGAACCGACTTGAGGTGGCCGGTAGTAACCTGACAGTAAGCGAAGCTAAACTCTCCTTCCTATCTGGAATGTAATGCGGAGAAGGAGCGGCCGCGGTGACGCGGAGATTCCCTACTTGCCTCATTTGGTCTTATCTTCATATCTTATATCTACTATCACATTGGGCGAGGGGTACACTCACTCCCAACCTGATGATCATGGAGAACGCTCTGATAATACGCCTTAGCTTCATCGTATAGCATCCATATAAGACGAGATTGTTCATCCCCTCCCCCTGCTGGTTTCCCTTAGAAGTTCAGAGACATCGACTTCCCTAACTACCGGACATGTCGACCACCACTACCACCACCACCACCACCACCACCACCACCCAGGATCTCCCTGTATCATCCAAGTCACCCCCTCAATATTATGGGAAACTCCGCTTCATTCCACCGGGGCAGACACCAAAGGGAAGCCCGCATAACTTCCACTTACCAGCCATATCTGAATTTGGGGACATTCGTTTACAAGCACTGGTCGACATGCGACCGGTCCCCACGACATCAGAACTTCCAGATGCACCAGTAGGCACAGCAAAACTCTCAACTCACGGGTTTGCTGCTGTCAGGCACCCGACCACCTTGAACTCGGCGCCATTTACTAAAGACAGCTGGAAAGACCCACAGTTATTGAAACAATTCTACATGCCAGAGACCGAAGAAATGGTCAAGCAGATCACTGGAGCAAAGACCGTGATTACCGAGTCCCTCCTTCTCCGCAGCGAAGTCTGGTCGGAAACCGATGCACTAGCCGCTCATGCTGGCCACGGTGAGAAGGCTGAGTCCGATGCAGAAGCACAGAGCAAGGAGCAGCGGCCTGAAGAGACCGACTTGGAGCTGGGCTTTCCTCAATTCATCGGCTTTTCACCCACCACCGGAGGCGCGAGTCCAGCACCCAAAGTCCACCTCGACTATGCCCCCAACGGCGCTCGCACGCACATTCGCAAATTCCATCCGACCATGGCATCCATAGCTGACTCAGTCATCCGGGCAGAAGAACAGCTCCTCTCAGAAGGCAAATCCCTCCGCGAGTCCTACGCCTCCTCGGGCGCCGGCCCACGCTGGGCACTCTTCTCTATCTGGCGCCCTCTGAAACGCGTGACGCGTGATCCTCTCGCGCTAGGCGATGCGCGGACGTTCCTCGAATCAGACTATGTCCCCGTCATTGTGAAGACGCCGAATCTAGGTATTCCAGGCGACAAATCCACCCATGATACCGAAAGCTATCTTGCGCACTGGTCCAAGGGCCAGAAGTGGTATTTCATTTCGCATCAGGAGCCGGAAGAGGTTCTCGTCATTGGCCTTTTCGACTCGGAACGCGATAATGAGACTGTTGCGGCCGGCGGGACCCTGCACAGCAGTGTTGATCTACCTGGAACAGAAGGTGAAGATGCGCGAGAAAGCTTGGAGCTGAGATGTCTTGCCATCTGGTAAAAAGGATTGATCGAGTAGACACCCAGTAGAGGCACCGAGTCTGGGATGAGGTCTGGGCCACAGATTATTTTTGATGATTAAGTTGTCTTGTTCCCGAGAAATGATGCAATACCAGGAGCGATACAGCGATACCACCTGGGTATTTAGTGCTTCGTGCTTCATTTTGACATAGCCGCGGAGAACGGTATGCTGGTTTAGGTTTAAGAGGATGCCATTCCAGTATAAATACAAGAAACGTGAACTCATTTGAATTCTCATGCAATCATCAAGCTATATTAGTCTAGTCATTGGAATTCCAGATGAGTCCAGGCGTCGGGCTCGGATCCACCCACCCAGGATCCATCACTGACGAATCTCGACGCCAATAGAGCTGAAATACAGACACGCGCCCCTCTTCGCAGCGCCGACAGTCTCCATCCCCGTGGACTCGCTGGTATTGAAGAGAAGCCGGTTCTGGGGCGTGGCTTGGTCGTCGACAGCCGCGCCGGCCACGGAAGTGAACGGCTTCCATTCGGGGGAGCCCTGCAGACGATGGACATTCGGATCCAGTGTGCGGATGAAACTGGTCCAGTACGACTGGATGAGCGGCACGACCCAGGCGTTGGGGCCGCCGGGGCGGAAGGAGGTTGGGCACGAGTGGACGTTCTCGGGACCCCAGATCGCGGCGATTTCGACCGTGTGCGGCACGCCGAGGCCCTGCGCGATCAGGGCCGCGTCGCGCACGTTGAACCGGTAGTGCCAGTTCGCGGCTGGGCTGCCGTGCCGCGCGAACGCCGCGGAGATGAACAGGTTCGGGCACATGTACCGCAGGTCGCCGTAGGCGTTGCTCACCTGGCGCCAGAAGGGCCCGGAGTCGGGAAACTCAGGCCCGTGGTTTGGGAAGAGGCTGTTGATGCGCTCGAGGTGGGCGGTGGTTAGGTACGGGAACTGATCGTGCAAGAAGCCGTTGGATTGTGCTTGTGTGCATGTCCGGCGGGGCGTAAAGACCGTACCGCCGTTGGTGTCGTCGCCGAAGATCACGGGCACCTTGATGAAGTCGCCACGCGCGAACGCGTCGTAGGTGTAGTACTGGATCAGTTCGGAGTCGAGCACCGGGTTCCACATGAAGAGAGGCGGGTTCCGCGAGCCAGGGTACGGGATATTGTGGTTCTGAGCTTGGAGTTCTTCAGCGGGTTTGGATCGGAGGCAGGAGAGCGTGTTGACGTTGGAAGTTGATGTCGTTGAGCCTGAACATCCGACGCGAGCGACGAAGTTGTCGTATTGGTATTGGCTTTCTTCCACGGTAAGGATGGTTGCAAAGCTGACTGACTCGGCAGCAGCACCGTGGAAAAGCTCATCATTACGACCGCCATATGCAGTGAGGTGTAAGGCAATAGACGCCGCACCTGCCGAATCGCCACCAAGCACGACATGGTCTGGATCACCACCGAATTGCGAGATATATCTCTGTACCCATTCAAGAGCCTTCCGCTGGTCCCTGAGCCCGTTGTTGACAGTTGCAGAAGGAGAGTCGCTGATTTCTTGGCTTGCAATAAATCCATATGGGCCTACTCGGTAGTTGAAGGTAACGACGACAATCTCGTGTTCGGCTGCAGAAATCAGTCCGCTACCATTGTAGTTGGCATTCGAGAGAGAATTGAAGCCACCTCCCTGGATGAAGAAGTAGACCGGTAGTTTTGAGTCAGGTGCGGCATTTGTCGGCGCGAATACGTCTAAGAACAGACAATCCTCTGATGTAGCCGTATTCTCTGGGTTGTCCCCTGTTGCGAGACAAACAGGCCCATGCTGGCATAGGTCAGAAAAGTAATGATACAACGACAGGCGGGCAAAACTCTCACCTTGTCCGCAGGCTGGACGTCATCAAAGAGAGGCGGATCCTGAGGTGCGGCAAATCGCAAAGGGCCCAAGGGAGCAGCAGCATATCGAATCCCAAGCCACTGTGTTATTCCGTTTGCGAGTGGCACTCCTCTGTATCCTGCATACTTGAGACTCACCAGAGGTTCGACGGCTGTCCCGGTTGTGAGAAGGCAAAGCAACCAAAATAAGATGAGCATGTTGGACTCCCTCTCTGCTCAGCTAATGTCCAAAGCTGCAAGGGGATAAAAAATGATTGCTACTGGGCACGACAGTTGAGGTTTGAGGAAGCTCGCATTTTCAATATGCAGGAATCAAGTCTGAGTTGCCAGTCGTACAAATTCTGGTTCATAGTTATATTCAGTAGCAATGTCTGGGCTGAATCATCACTCTCAGATCATACATGGCCAGGGATTGTTTCCACACAGAGCGTAAGCCTGGGGCGCAGCACTGAATATGAGGCGTACTGGAGCGGAATGGATAGCAAGAGTTTGAGGAGCTAGTTTGAAAGTGACGAGGCACTGACGTGCGTGGAGAAGGTCGATAAAGATCAAACAATGCTTGGCTAAGCTTGTGAAGAATGTGTTCACTTGTCATGGGCCCGGGCCAATCTTGAAATTGCTCGAGGTGGAGACGAATTCCGACGGTATCTATACCGGATTCCCGTGTGTCCTTGAGCACCAAGTAGGTGCGGGGAAAGGGGTGGAATTCCGCATTGAACAAATATCCACTACCTCGTATAGCACATTTTATACTCGTCACCTGACCAAGCATCAAAACGTTTCAGAACCCGGCCCAATCATATGGTGACAATCAGCCAGCCTCGAACACACGCGACCGAATATCCGTAATCGGAGTCTGAAATAAGCCGGATCCCTGCTTGCTGTATAAACAGGACTCTGATGGCTGGTGCTTGTCTTGAACCGCGCAACGAGCTCCACTAATGATGCTTTCTCGGACGATGCTCAGCTAGGTGTAGCTTCTGTAATTGACTTCCGGACTGTCTCCCAGCTAACCCCATCTATGTTTTCTCCCTTTTGTCTACTAAGCGCGGCACTTTCGGTCGCCGCGGTCGCCGATCTGCCTGTAGCAATGCGACGCACCATCACTGTGTCCTTGGCACCGGGAAGCTTGGATCCCTTGCCATCAAGTAAGAAGTTCTCGAACCACGCCTCCTCTTCGGAGCTAAATGGTAGTCCTGCAAGAAGGGTCGCTCGAGCAGCACGGGCATGGCCCGCTGTTTCCTGGTGAACTTTTGCAATAAGTCTCTCAAACAAGGATTTGTGATTCAGCTCGTCCTGTCTCTTTGCGAAATAGTATGCTTCTACCAGATTGTTGGAGGATAGTAATTCAAAATATGCATCCAATGTCTTCTGCTCTTTCAGTGGCGGCGACACGCTGATGTAGAAAGCGGCTGCCAATGACGAGTCACATTTGGGATGTTTAAGGAGAGTGAGGAGGACTTCGTCAGCGAACGGTAGAGCGAGCGAAGGGTCGGTCAGGTGTTCCAAGGCTCTGGAGAATTGAGCATGGTCAAGTTCCCATAGTCCTTGCACGAGAAGCTGGTATTTCTGCGGTAGATATGTCCTCCGTACGAAGGTATTGTCTGCGTTATGTAACCCACGACAGTCGAGGAGGACATAGAAAAGGAGAGCTAGCTTCTGCTCATCTGGCGCGGGGGAATGAACGATCCTAGACCACAGGTTTCTCAGATCTTGGTTGGATCTCGCTGGGTAGTTCTTCCTCGAGGCTGTACTAGATCAGTCGAAAGTGAGAAGAGTTGTTTTCTTTTCCTTACGGTGTGTTAGCCCAATGGACTTCCAGATTCGATCGAAGAACAATTCGTCTCCAAACTCTTTACGATGCCTTATGACGTTCTCGACCGTTTTCTGGTCTGGTGCATAGTCCGGTTTTTGTTGAAACACAGCGTCGAAGTCGTGCCAATTGAGTATCATGACGAAGACACAAGCAGTGGAATATTAAACTACACAAATGCACCTGCAGCTGCGAGTCGAAGTCTAGCGATCATAATAGTAAATATCGCCAGTCGCGACAGATAGACGTGCCAATGCAGGCTAAATGCTTGACTGTATACTCTACGGCCAAGCACAAGCACACAGCCGACCACCATAAAACACAACTTTCGGGTCGTCCTGGCCCCCCCCTCTTTAATGCATGCGACGCCCAACTCCTGGTACGGCTCAAGACACAGATTCGATGTATAAAGAATCTTCAACACCCCTAGAACCTGGGATTTGGTGATATGGGACATTCCATGCGTTTTAAGCGACTTAGCAAACGCGGTCTGACTTGGCATACCCAAACTTCCCACCGCAGACCCCCCGATGATGTAAAACCCTGGGGTCGAATGGAGAAGCAAAAAGTGAAAAAACACTCCTACTAGGATCCCAACCCCGCTCTTCCGGGTTCTCGACCATTGATCGGATCTTTTCATGCTATCTTCAGCATTAACTTTTACACTTCCACCGGCAGCCAAGCATGCGTATGTTGTCGACTCGGAAGGGGTAATATCTTCAAAAGGGTGATAGCCGAGGTGAACCATGCTCCTTGGAGGGAGGGATTGCTATGCATGCTAATATTCATTTGAAGCACCCCTCAGTTAAAAGGTTGGTGCTCTGACAGGTAGGTCGTTCGTTGTGTTGCTTTACTTCCCTTCACAACCAAAACATAACTTGATGGATGTCCATTACAGATAGAGTTGAGAAATTCTTTCCACGCCGGTTCCGGAATAATAAAAACGCCTTGCAACAAGAATGGGCTCTGAAAACTACCCCCTTCGAAACAGTGGGATCTACCACAACCTACCTACCTTTGACCCCGCTCTCAAGGGACTCACCGCGATAGTCACTGGAGCCAATGGAATATCAGGCTTCCATACCATGCGCGTGTTGCTCGAGAGCCCGGATCGCTGGAGCAAGGTGTACGCGTTGTCACGTCGGCCACCTCCCAAGGAGATGATGGGCCTCTTGAGCGAATCACAGCGTTCTCGCGTCCAACACATCGCGGTCGACTTTTTAGGAGAACCGCAGAAAATTGCAGACGCCATGAAGTCTGCAAATATTAAAGCAGACTATATCTTCTTCTACTCGTATCTGCAGCCAAAACCCCCTCCAGGTACCGCGGTATGGTCCAATGCCGACGAGCTCGTCAAAGTGAACAGTGCACTCTTGGACAATTTCCTCGGGGCTCTTAGCATCTCCAAGATCACGCCCAAGCGCTTTCTACTGCAGACGGGTGCGAAGAACTATGGCATACATATCGGTCGAGCCCGAACGCCTGCAATCGAATCAGACCCACAACCTGCTCACCTGGAACCCAATTTCTACTACCCACAGGAGAAGTCACTCTTCGAGTACTGCAAAGCCAACAACACCCACTGGAACGTGATCCGTCCAGCGTGGATCCTCGGCGCCGTAAATAACGCACAGATGAATGCATTACTGCCATTCGCATATTACTCCGCTGTCAATGCGCAAAAAGGGGAGCCGCTTCAATTCCCTGGCGACTTCGATACCTGGCAGTTTGAGCAACACCATTCATCTGCAATGCTAACTGGATATCTCTCAGAATGGGCCGTCCTGGAAGACAAGTGCAAGGACGAGGCATTCAATTCTCAGGACGGAGGACCCATGACATGGGACCGCTTCTATGAGGAGTTGGTAAGGTGGTTCGGCGTCGACAAGGGAATTGTGTATCCGGAGGAAGATCTTTCCAAGTTCACCGTCATCGAGGGAAACAAAGGCAAAGACACACCCATGGGGTAAGATCTCTTATGATGTCACACAACTGCTTGTGAGGGATACTAACTTCCAACACCAGCTACGGGCCTGCAACACAAATCCGCACCCTGTGGAGCCTTGTTGACTGGGCGAAGAAACCTGAGAATGCGAAGGCATGGGAAGAATTAATGAGTGCTTCTGGTGGTCAATTGACCGACAATCCATTCAAGGATGTAGAAGCCAATTTCGCCTTTGGAGATGCTGCGCTCGTCAAATTTGGAAGTCTAAATATGAACAAGGCAAAGCGATTGGGTTGGACTGGATTTGTGGATACCATGGAGGTGAGTACCAACGCGTGCCATGTTTGTCGAGATGGTGGCTATCAGGACTAACCAAAGCCCACAGGCTCTATTTGAAATGTACGAGGAGATGGGCAAGCTTGGAATGGTTCCTAAGATGAAGGTTGATAAAGCGAGGGCTCTTGTCTGAGCCTCAACTCTCGTTGGAAAAAGCTGGGTAATGCTGAAGGATTAATTTCGCGACTCTCATGCTTCTAAGAGGGAGGCGTCCTTCAATGTCTGTATTGTCCACTTCATACATTTATAGTCTCCGGGTCTGTCCTCTGATCTGATACACGCTTCTCCTCTTAACGTTCCCCTGCAAAGCATTCCTCCCCAAGTCTCTCCCAGTAAGGCGAATGTTGGGTCAGTCTGACATGAGACATTTATCTGCTATGACAGGGTCATTTCTCTTTGCTCGTCTGTTCAGCCATGAAAATGACAGTCTGACTAAATCCCAAGCCTCGTCACTTCCAAGGCTGCATCGCCGCCACTCTATGGCCACCTCGAATTGCCTCAAGCGTCAAGCCACGTAGCCCCCATTCATTGGCTGCCCTGTTGAATGCTACCAAGCAAATTGGCCAAACTGTCTCTTGTTCAAATCTACTGCATAACTTTAACAGCACGCCAAACCCCTCATCACTCCATTCGCAGGGGCCGGGCTCATGCTACCAACTGATTGGTTGACCCAGCTGGCATACGGCCCAAAAGTCTTCTCTTTCGCCTCGCTCATTCAGCCCTTGGTTTGCTGACATAGATAAACAAGCGTTCATGGCTGGGGACGAGGTGAAGAGAAAGAAGACCACTCATCGCAAACATGGTGAACACAGATCCTCCAAGACACGCACCAAACCTAACAATGACGACCTTACAACGAATCCAGCTCTTGCGAACGGCCGTTCTCCCAATATAAATGCCTTGCGCAGAGCTAGACTTGCCCACATCGACAATACCCCTGAGGAAATCCCAGAAGATATGAAATATGTATATGAGAAACGCACAAAGACGGTGGCGCATGTCAGCGCAGACAAAGGAAGCCGTCGCAAGTCCACTAGAGATCACACGCCGGAGCGAAAGGAATCCCGAACATCCCACAAAACTACTCATCGCACAGAGGAACAACGCCGAGTGGAGTATGAGGATGATAGCGAAGACGAGTATGAGTATGTCTATTCAACCCCGGGCGCAGAAAGGTCTCACGTCGATGCGCAACCAAAGTCCTCCACCTCTAGACGGCGGCGGCCATCAACAAGCCATTCGATCACCAGGAAGAAGGTGGAAACACAGCGCGGTTCCGAGCGCAGTCATACGGAACCACCACGTGGGAAGACGAGACGTAGACAAGATGATGAAGAGTATGTTGATTCTACATCTCCGCCAGCGTTGTTACTAATTCTACTGCTAGCCCTCCCGCCGCTGTCTACAAAACCAATTCAACTAGGATTCGTGACAATATAGCCACCAGCAAGCACGAGAGGCCAGCAGTCAAGAGAAGTGCGACCGCACCAGCGCAACCGAAGACTGAGCCTGCCAGCAGCAAACCACCAGAAGGTGCTGATTCTCATAGTCGAAAACCCTCTGGTATGTTTGGCGGATTTCTGCTTCCAATACAGCCCGTACCACAGAAAAAGGTTGCATGTTTGACTTGTGGGGCTGATGATGTGCTCATTTCACATTCTGCGAAACTGCCATGTACTCATCGAATGTGTCACTCGTGCTTGAAGCGGATTTTCACAATGTCGGTCAAGGATCCAGCCCACATGCCTCCGAGGTGTTGTACCGAGGAACATATTGATCTGAAGCACGTTGACAAGCTTTTCGACGCCAAGTTCAAAGTGTTATGGAATCGCAAATTCGATGAGTATCACACGAAGAATCGCATCTACTGCCCCGCCCGGAAATGCGGCGCGTGGATCAAGCCGAAATACATCACATCAGAGAAAGGTCGCAAAGTCGGTCGCTGCAAGTACTGTAAAACTTTAGTGTGCGCGATCTGCTCGCAGAAAATGCACACCACACGCGACTGCCCGAAAGACCCGGAGACCAAAGCGTTCGTGGAAGTGGCGAAGGAGGCTGGCTGGCAACGCTGCTACAGCTGTTCCGCCATGGTCGAGCTGAAAGAGGGCTGCAACCATATGACGTGCCGCTGCACCGCAGAGTTCTGCATGGTATGCGGGCTCAAGTGGAAGTCATGCGACTGCCCATGGTTCAACTACGAAGCCGTGGACGCGCACCTAGGCGATCCAGCACACGCACAGGTAGAACGGGACCGGCGTCGAGACCAGGAAACCCGCGACGAGGAAATCGCTCGACGCATGCAGCACATGGTCATGTTCGATGCCGGCACGGGCCACAACGGAATCTTTGCGTTTGGGGTTAATGCTGCCACCGGCAATCCGAATTTAATCCAGCAAGCCCGAGAGGCATTGACGGCCAACTACGCGCAAGCAGGCCAAGCAGCGCGCGACCTTCTCAACAACTATGTCATCGGCAGAGACAATCGTCCTCCACCTTATCCTGGAGACATCGCAGCGGTCTTGCAGGCTATTAGGGGCCAGCCGCAAGCACAACAGCCACCACGACCTGCCGATGCCGCTGCCCATCCAAACGACAGTAGCGAAGATGCGGTGTTGCCGTTGCCCTCGAGACGCGGAACCGCGACTCGTCGCAGAAACGCCAGAGAAGCTGACCAACAGAGGCGCCTACAGGACTGGGCGAATAGCGTTGCTGTCTAGCCAATTTACGAAATTTGACGACATTTCTTGATACGGTATGTAATCGAAAAACGAGAAGCAATGGGCGTTCTTTGGTTTCGATTTTTGCTCCCCCCTTCCCTCCGGGATTGTTTCGACTGGCTACGGAAAGAGCCTTCCTTCCCCTTGGATGGAAATTTATGGGAATTGTGTTTGGCGAAAGAAGGCGGCGATGGATTTTGAACGGGTACGAGTCAGAGAGCCCCGATCTCCCCCAGCGCTATGGGGTTGGTTCAAAACGAACGAACAGTGATGGTGTTGGCTTCCCAAGCTTGCTTGCGTTTTCTTGTTCCATCCTTGTGTTTGACGACGACAGTACTCATGAGAACGATCTTTATTGTTTACGACATCCTTTGGCCTTGAGTAAAGCTATCTATCTACGTTTTTGTGGCTAGATGTGTAAATGTGGAATCATATGTTTTTCATTACATTTTGGCTTTGGCAGGAAACCCTCACGATCTCATGTGATGTTAATAATGATGAAATTCTTTTATACTCTTTGGGGTCATTCTACTTGGGTATTGTGTGCAGGAAAATTCCTCCTTTTCTTCCTCTTTATTTGTGACATCTCTCTGTGAAGCCAGTTGAGTCTGGTGCTTCTGATTGCCTTTTCGAGATGGCAGGTACCGTTTGAAGGGGTGGTTGGTTTTATCTATCCACTGTCCGCACCAAAATCCGCTACATATGCAAATAAAAGGATCATGGGTCCAGAAATACTTCTTCCCTCATCTATACTCAAGGCACGGGTTTTGCTACTGCTTGAACAGAGCCTCCAATTCCTTGGCAACGGCATCGCCAACCTCGACTGTTGAGCTGGTTCCACCGATGTCCTTGGTGGTGATGCCTTTGTCGATGACGATGCGCACGGCCTGCTCGACCAGCACACTCTCCTTTGGCAGATTCAAGCTGTACAGGAGCAACATGGCGACGCTGAGAATGGCCGCGACGGGGTTGATCACGCCCTGGCCTGCAATGTCGGGCGCCGAGCCGTGAATGGGCTCGTAGATGCCGTTGCACAGGCCCTTGCCGTCTGGTACGCCGCTCAGGCTCGCGCTGGGAAGCAGGCCCAGACTGCCTGGGATCACGGACGCTTCGTCGGAGATGATGTCGCCGAAGAGATTGGACGTTACGATCACGCCGTTTAGAGCGCGCGGGTTCTTCACCATGATCATCGCCGCGGAATCAATCAGATGGTGTTCGAATTCCAGCCGGGGGAACTCCTTCTGCATCGTCTCCGTGAACACCCTCCGCCACAGGCGGCTCGTCGCGAGCACGTTCGCCTTGTCGAGACTCCATACTTTGCTGGGCGGGCTCTTCGCCAGCGCCAGGTACGCCGCCAACCGCGTGATCCGCTCGATTTCTTTGCGTGAGTATGGCTCCCGGTCCTCCGCCCATTCATTCTCCCCGTCTTCTGGATTGCCTTCGACGCGGTCGCCGAAGTAGATGCCACCGGTGAGTTCGCGTACGATCATGAAGTCGGTCCCCTGGCAGACTGATTCCTTGAGAGGCGAGTTCTTCGCCAGGCTGGGTGAGGCGAAGAAGCAGGGTCGTAGGTTGCCGAAGGTGCCCATTTCCTTGCGTAGTCTTAGGAGGCCTTGTTCTGGTCGGACTTTGCCAACACCGTATTTGGGCCCGCCGATCGCGCCGAGCAGGACAGCGTGTGCGGATTTGGCGGCGGAGAGGGCTTCATCCGTTAAGGGGGTGCCGTGAGCGTCAATCGAGGCCTGACTCTGGCGTTAATAACACGAAGTCATAGTTCTGCAGCAGTGGATCATAGAGGATCATAAAGGGGGTCTTGACCAGGGATTGACAATGCAAAATGGTTGAGAGGGAGACTCACGCCTCCAAGTAAATGATCTTGGAAATCGAACTGGATGTCCTTTGAGGATTTCTCAACCACTTTCAGGATCTACCCATGAATAGGTTCTGTCAGTATAAAGGTGCCCTTCAAACATGGCGAAGATGAAGCCAGTTCTCGAAGTCGAGTCTGTGTCCTCTCGTTTGGGCATTCTTGGAAACGAATTCCAACTAACCTTGACAGCCTCGGCGGTTACCTGGTTCCTGGTCAGCTTCAGAACTCAGAAGAGAGTACGGGAATTGCAAAGGAGATCTGACGCCTGTGTGAATGACATACTTCAGGGCCGGCATAATCACCAGCGAGGACCACAATCTTGTAGGTCGGCATGTTGGGTGATTCAATACTCCTGCCCCGATTGATATTGACCTGTAAATATTGATGGATAATCACAAGAGGATGTATGATAGCGATTGATCCCTGTCGTCCAATATATTGATTATTGTGAGATGTCCTTCATCTATAAATGTGTTTAGAATTCAATCCGTCATGAATGGACGTAAATCATCGCCGAGATCGGATACCCTGTCGCAGAATAAAACATCGTGAGTGCGATCGCCGAGTCACTCATGAGGGGTCGACAGGTCACCCCGCGATCCATGAAAGACGATACCGGAGGTACTGATAAGATAAGATGTCTATAAAAGAATACGAGGGTTCTAGTACTCGTAATTACGAGTATGTGTGGCGTCGGTAAGGAAAAGGCTCGCTGTGAAAAAGCGGACCAACTCTCCAAACTTAACGTTACTTCAACAGAAAGTGCCTCGTCAACAACACGTGCAGACGCGGGCCAATCTTCCGGGGAATGTCTTATTTTACTCACAATATCCCACAATCCATGTCTCTTATCCAGACCTAAATGCAAGAGGGAGGAGCATCATCAAGTCGGGATGCAGCCATCTTCTCGTGATCGAAGCCTGTGGATTACATGAGACTTTTGATAAGCCTCCACCATCAGACCACGGCCGCATCCGTTGTGCCTGGCTAAAGACTCACATTGGAGCCTCTTTTCTGCCCTTGCTCGGTCTGTCTCTTGAACCTTGCCCTCAGGTATCTTGACGCTCGAGCCTTCCTGCAATGTTGCCTCAAGGTAGCCTCCATTTATCGATAGGAGGAAGTTCATTTATGACGTGAACCTTGTTGCGTCTCCTGCTGTGGAGAGATGACGTTGCTCTCACATGCATATTTATTGACTTGAACACCCTCCTCCGCGCTCGCATTCGCTCCTCACTCTGCCCTCCGTTCTATATTCTCACTCTGCACTTCTTGATATTCGATATGGCTTCTAGCACTGATATTCGCACCGCGGAGCTGAGAGAGCCCGTTGACGTCGCGACTTACTTATTTACAAGGCTCAAACAGATAGGAATCGATTCTATTCATGGTCTGCCTGGAGACTTCAACCTGGTGGCTCTCGACTATCTGGAAGGGCTCGGACTCAGATGGGTGGGCAATTGCAATGAGCTCAATGCAGGCTATGCAGCAGACGGTTACGCTCGCGTCAAGGGCATCTCAGCAGTGATCACCACGTTTGGTGTAGGAGAGTTGTCCCTTCCCAATGCAATTGCCGGGGCGTAAGTATACTCACCATTGCCATCTCGATCTCAGTTCTGAACACGTTTTGGTGAACAGGTATGCTGAATTCGTTCCCGTCGTCCATATTGTTGGTACACCAAGCACAAAATCTCAGGCAAATGGAATGCTGCTTCATCATACCCTGGGCAATGGGAATTTTCACACCTTTGCCGACATGGCTGCCTATCTTGCCGTGGACGTTGCCAAATTGGTCGAACCACGCGATATTCCTTCCCAAATCGATCACATCCTTCGTGAGTGCTATCTCCAAAGTCGACCTGTCTACATCACTCTCCCAACCGATATCGTACAAAAGCAAGTGGAAGGCGAGAGGCTCAAGACAAACATCGATCTTAGCCCGCACCAGAACGACCCGGAGAAAGAGGACTATGTGGTTGACGTCGTCTTGAGATACCTCACCGCAGCGAAGAATCCCGTCATTTTGGTTGACAGCTGTGCTATACGCCACCGGGTCCTAGAGGAGACACACGAACTCATTGAGAAATCCGGTCTGCCAGTTTTCGTCGCTCCCATGGGGAAGGGAGCGGTGGATGAGACCATTCCACAATTTGGAGGCGTGTATGCCGGTGATGGCTCCAATGCTGGTGTACAGGAGCGTGTTGAGGCAGCCGACTTGCTTATAACAATTGGTAGTGTCAAATCTGACTTCAACACTGCGGGATTCACGTACAGGACGTCACAGCTGAAGACAATCGATTTGCACAGCACATTTACCCGGGTGCGGTATTCCGAGTATCCAGGGGTTGGCATGAAGGGTGTGCTGAAGAACCTGATCAGCAAACTGCCCAAACTTAATATACAGCCGGGACCTACACCCCCTCAGAACAAGCTTCCGGGAGACCAAGACAAGGCTAGATCGGTCATTACACACGGCTGGTTCTGGCCAAGGCTGGGCCAATTCCTGCAGGAGGGTGATATTGTCCTCACCGAAACAGGGACTTCGAACTATGGTATCTTCGACACTCGTTTCCCCAAGAATGTCACCAACATCAGCCAAATCCTCTGGGGCAGTATTGGATACGCGACCGCATCAGCCCAAGGAGTTGCTCTTGCAGCCAAAGATATTGGGGGCAAAGGTCGAACAGTTCTGTTTACTGGAGATGGTAGTTTTCAACTCACCTGCCAGGAGGTCAGTACAATGATTCGACACAATCTCAATCCAATAATATTCATCATCTGCAACGATGGCTACACGATCGAAAGACTCATTCACGGCATGGATGCAGGCTATAATGACATTCAAAACTGGAACTATAAAGATCTGCTACCTGCCTTTGGTGCCAAGGAGGGTAACTTCAAAACCTACCAGGTCAAGACAACAGACGAAGTAAACGCCCTTTTCCAAGACAAAAACTTTGCGAGCGCGCCTTACTTACAACTAGTTGAGTTGTACATGCCGAGAGATGATGCTCCTGTTCCGCTGAAAAAGACTGCTGAGAATGCTGCTAGGCTAAACGCAAGGAAATGAGAGCATGCATAGATTTGGAATAGATCGAGCAGTTTAAAGGGCGATAAAAGGTTGAAATTGGGGACGCAAAGAGGTATTGGTATCAAACACCACAGCATTTAAACTCCTAAGAAAGCGAATACAATTCTCATTCTCAATCTACCTCAGTGATGCCGCAGACCTCGCGCTGTCACACGTGCCCTTTTCCTATATTGCACGTGATCGCAGGTCCCAGAGCAGGTGGAAGCGATTGTCGCCTAAAGATGCCTGCTGGCGCCTGGCGTCTCCAAAGGATCCCAGCATCCCGCATACCACTGGCAGCGCTGGAATCCTTTTGGTTGCCAAACGCCTCTGGCTCCTCGTCCCTCGAGCCTTCGCTGTTGTTGGGGTACGCGCGATATCTTTGTATCTTCCACCACAACAAGCCTGTGCCCTTCTAATATCTGCTTTGAGGGCGTGTGCCTTTAGCCCCTCGGCGTTCACCCATAATGTCAGACGCTCGACTAGTTGGTCTTTGTCGCTCATCTGCTGCTGTTCCTGCTAACATCCTTCCCCGTCACTCCGTCAGGTGAGCAATCGACGCTGAGCCTGTGATTCCTCCCACTCCGGTTCAACGATCCCTCTTCATCCTCTTTATTCGATGCCTTGTCAGCCCTGAACCTATTGTTGGTCCCCTTGACCATTCAGATCCTGAGTGTTACTGCCTTTGCTAGTTATGAATGCCCCGACCACACATTCCGCCATGGCCAACAATGATACCCCTCCTCCAAAGAAGGCCACAGGCCGCAAATTACAAAAACGAAACCCCAAGCTGGGACGGTTGCCGTCTGCCCATATTCCTGCTCGCCTGCGTCTTGGTGATGATGCTCAGGAGGATGTCACTGCACCAAATAGAGGCACCAATAACCCTGGTCAATATATGCATCAATCCGTCTTCTCTATGATTGCCGCCGCCGGCTCCCGCACCGACTTCAATGCAAGATTCGACGAATCAAGTGACAGCGAAGAGGAGGCAATTGAGGAAGAGCAGGGAGATGCTGTGGCCGCCGAGCCATCAGCAAAAGCAACCGCGACGGTGACACCAGAAGGTCCCAAGACATCCAGTGACAAGAAGATGAAGCGTCTCTCTGGGAAACTTGTTCAGAGTCTGCCACGTCTATCTGCACGATCTTTGACAAAGAAATCCAAGACTTCAACTCAACAACCCAGCCCCAGCCCCCAGAGCGATTCAACCTCGAAATCCAGCAGAAGCAATCCTCGAGACGCACCGGTATTAAGCAGATTATTGACAGCTGAAGCCGAGTACCAAGAGGATGCCGAAGCCTCGGCCGAGATTGCATCTTCCCTAGAGGTCCCAAGCACCAGAAGCAGGGGCGATTCCTCACCACAGACGCTGCTTGCCACAAGGCTGATGGACATCTTTGGTTTCGCAAAACCTGAGAAGGTCGTTGCTGAATATCCTTGCTGGCTGCTAAAGAGTGTACTCTTACAGGGCTACTTGTACATCACGAAACAACATCTTTGCTTTTATGCATATCTCCCGAAGAAATCACACTCAGTCGCAAAGACCGGATATCTTGCAAAAAGAGGTCGAACCAATTCTAAATACAAGAGATACTGGTTTTCGCTGAAAGGAGACGTGCTGTCCTACTACTCAGACCCGTCGAGCCTTTACTTTCCTTCCGGCCATATCGATCTAAGATACGGCATTGCTGCAGCTGTTTCGGCAGAGAAAGGTAAGCAATCGGATGCAAGAGACTTCTCAATCACAACCGACCACCGTACATACAATTTTCGCTGCGATACTCCACAGAGTGCGAAAGAATGGGTTCAATCCTTGCAAAAGACAATCTTTCGGTCACACAATGACGGCGATAGCGTTAAGATCTCCCTCCCCTTGGAAAACATAATCGATTTTGAAGAGAGCCCGGTCGTGGAATTTGCCGAAACTGTCAAGCTCAGAGTTATTGAGAATGACGATTCATACGCCATTGACGAGGTGAGCAAAATCTGGAAAGGATCTTGGAGCTAGTGACTAACAAGACTATAGTACTTCTTTTCTTTCTTTAGCTTTGGTGCAGATGCACTCAGCGTACTTCGAGATCTGATCGTGCAAGCCCCAGGTGGGAGATCACCCGACGATGAGCAATCATTAGGAAGCAGAGGAGACTATAGTTCAAGTCCAGGACGGAGACCATTTCCTCAACGTACCACATCAGAAGGAGCAGTCAGCAATCCTAGAGTCGTAACCAGCCCAACTCTCAAAGAGCCCGTCAAGGCGACGCTAATGCCGTTCTCACTCGGAGAGGATGGCAGGATGTCCCCTCGAATGAGCGGAGAGTTTCAACGTACAAACAGTCCATCGCGATCTAGTGGCGATTTTGGTGCTGAGTATGGACGAGCAAGTTTTGATCGAGGCCGTAGGAGTGGAAGTACGAGCCGACTTGACGTGAGCAAAACGAGACGTACTGGACGCTCCCCTCTGGCTCGAAATCAGGATTCCGAGGATTCATACGTTCAGTCAATCGACAAGGAAACTGACTCGTCTACGGCACCTCTCTCACCAACAGTTGAAGCACAAATGTCAGCCAGTCAGATTCTGACACGGAGTGATGTGTTTCATCCTCCTGCAATTAACCGTATGGAAACCCTTGTTTCAATGTCGAGTGATGCAGGAAGGAAATCTTCCGAAGTCGGGACAATACTTTCCACGTCCCAAGCAGATGGTAGCGCACCAATACCGATAGGTGGCAAGACTGAGCCGGGCGGACGGCCCTCGAAAGATCGCCGTACTGCTGTGCAAGATGAGAGTGGAGACCTGGACCATGACAAGAAGTACTCAAGCTCCCCAACTCTACAGGACCTTGTCAAGGCCGGCTCGTATCCTCTGCAGCGCGCAGGAGCGTTTGCCGACTATCTGAAGAATCGCTCCGTGAATATGAGGAAATTGTTGGCCACAGAATCCATGACATACCTGGAGAAGGTGTCAGGGATGTGGACAGGCGGTCGGAAGCATTATGGCGAGAATGAGGGAGTGATACCTGATGATCGAGGTATTGACCCCGAAGATGAGGAAGCAAATGTCGGTCACGGTGACAGATTTCGCAGCCACTTTGCTCTACCAGCCACGGAAAAATTGCAGGCAACTTACTTTGCCTTCCTGCACCGTGTGCTCCCACTATACGGTAAGATCTACATCAGCAACCGCAAGTTCTGTTTCCGGAGCCTGCTCCCTGGTACGAGAACCAAATTGGTGTTACCACTCAAGGATCTTGAAAATGTGGATAAGGAGAAAGGCTTCCGATTCGGTTACCACGGCTTGGTCCTGGTCATCCGAGGCCACGAGGAGCTGTTTTTCGAGTTCAATTCGGCAGAGCACCGTGATGACTGTACTATCACTTTGTTGCATAGCCTAGAAAGCGTCCGCTATATGGGAGAATCCAGTATCTTCACACATCACGACGAGGACGATGCCGAAGTCGCAAAGGAAGAACATCGTTTGCTTCAAGAAGCACGACGAAATTCTTCTGCCGACCATCAGCTTGTGCTGCCAGATACCGCCGAGGCGATTTATAGCCACGTCGAACGTTCCGCCGTTCTCTTCGAGGATCCTCGTGCGAGCATTATCAATTTCAAGCCAGCTGAGTCTTTACGCATTACTTGCCTAACGATTGGATCCCGGGGGGACGTACAGCCTTACATTGCGTTATGCAAGGGGTTACTGGCGGAAGGACACAAGCCAAGGATTGCAACCCATGCTGAGTTTGGCCCCTGGGTTATGAAACATGGGATCGATTTCAAACCAGTCGATGGTGATCCAGCCGAGCTGATGCGTATCTGCGTGGAGAATGGCATGTTCACGTATTCTTTCCTCCGAGAAGCCTCAGCGAAATTCCGCACCTGGATTGATGAGCTGTTAGTGTCGGCATGGGAGGCATGCCAGGACAGTGATCTTTTGATCGAGTCACCCAGCGCAATGGCAGGTATTCACATAGCAGAAGCGTTGCACATTCCCTATTTTCGAGCATTCACGATGCCATGGACGCGAACCCGAGCGTACCCTCACGCATTCGCGGTACCAGAGCACAAGATAGGGGGTGCTTACAATTACTATACGTATGTCATGTTTGACAATGTGTTTTGGAAAGCAATTGCGGGTCAAGTCAATCGTTGGCGCAAGAAGGAACTTGGGTTGCGGAGCACCAATTTGGACAAGATGCAACCTAATAAGGTGCCGTTCTTGTACAATTTTTCGCCTCATGTGGTTGTACCGCCATTAGACTACAGTGATTGGGTACGGGTGACGGGATATTGGTTTCTGAACGAAGCACAAGGCTGGACGCCGCCCCCGGAGCTAACGGAGTTCATCAAGAAGGCGAGGTATGACAAGAAGAAGCTGGTGTACATCGGGTTTGGATCTATCGTGGTATCAGACCCGGCTGCACTTACCAAGACGGTGGTCGAATCTGTGTTGAAAGCTGATGTGCGATGCATTCTTTCTAAGGGTTGGAGTGATCGGCTTGGTGATCCATCAGCTGTCAAGACCGAGGTGCCGCTACCACCGGATATTCATCAGATCAAGTCTGCGCCACACGACTGGCTCTTCACGCAAATCGACGCCGCAGTGCATCACGGTGGGGCAGGAACGACAGGTGCGAGTCTGCGGGCTGGCCTACCAACGGTCATCAAACCGTTCTTCGGTGATCAATTCTTCTTTGGATCACGAGTGGAAGACCTGGGTGTCGGGATTTGTCTGAAGAAAGTCAATGTCAGTGTGTTCTCTCGGGCACTGTGGGAAGCCGTCCACAGTGAGCGAATGATTGTCAAAGCAAAGTTACTCGGAGAACATATCCGGAAGGTGAGCTCACACATTCTTAAAATTACACATGACAGGTGGAGGATTTCCAACTAACGTCGCTACAGGAGGATGGTGTGCACAACGCTATCCGAGCCATCTACAGAGACTTGGAATACGCCAAGAGTCTCGTCAAGGCCCGTGTGGCTACGCAAGAAGCACTAGCGAGCGCGGCAACCGATCTCGACGAGGGAAATGAGATCGAGGAGAATTGGACCTTCATTGGTGATGAGAGTGACCCAGAGTTACAGAAACGCATACAAGACTGGGAAGCACCCTCCCGCGGACGCGGTCCACGGGTCAGTTTGGATCGTGCGGGTTTGCGGGCAATGCAAGGTGTTGAACCCTTGCGGAAAGGGAGTATCAAGAGATTATAATAATGAGCTGGTGCGACGACCGACCCCTTGGAGTGGACAGCGGACAGCGGACGGCGGACGGTGAACGGTGTACGTTGTATGATGATGATCTTGTTTGCGCCGGTGCTCTGATTATCGAGAACTAGAGGATTTTTCACTGAGCGATTTGAGGTGCACGAGATCCCCAGTAGAATTTTTTCGGGGAAGCTCACTGGCGTTGTTTTCTGGGAATAACGAAACTAGGTGCATTGCATGCCAGACAGCCTGGTCCGACTAGGGTTGCGCAGAGCAAAGACCATGTAATGAAACGAAGCATGAAAGACGAAAGATAAAAGAATGACTCGACGATATCACGTACAGTAGAAGCACTCCTGAGTAAGGAATCCTTGCCGATTGTGTGTTTACACCGTTGAGGATGATGGTTGTTTCCGCGAACCAAACGAGACCGAAATCCGATCTGATCTTAAGCCACGCAAGTACAGTGGTAGGTAGTAATTATGTCCAGTACTGAGTACTGGGAGTCGCACTACTGCGAAACGTAAGCATTCCGTAGCATATACAGTATATCCCCCCTGGGTTTTCCAAGGCCGCGGCAGTATTTTCCATCGGCGAATTAGTTTGTCACTCGGTACACATTATTAGTCAATGAATTCTGTACTTGGTGCCCAAAGGCGGACCCGCAGGAGCGACCCTGCAGTATGAGGACGGAGCGCCGCGGTATCCGGCCGTTCTTCCCACCCTACTATAGTGCTATCTGTGTACTGTAGAGCACGAAAGGCAGTTGTCGTAAGCCACGCGGCAGAGGTGTCAATCAGCTTGGCGCAACGCAAGGCTCGACGGGGGGCTCCATGCACTTGGTATAGCAATTTCAGGTATGTAGGTAGTACTCCACAGGCTGAGATGGAGGCAAGTCATTCTGAATAATCAATCATTCGGTTCTCTGGAATGACGTGGCTCATTAAATTGTATAGTGTACAACCGAATGCATGACGAGGCAAGGAGGGCGGAGGGTTGAGGGCTGAGAATCGGAAGGAACGGATACCTCGTAAGCTGGCGGTTGGTTTGTGAGATGGTAGCTGCGCGTATTCAGCAAACGCAGAAGGGGAAAAAGGCGCCCTCGGGCGCCATTCCGCCGAAATCCACCGCCACTCCACTCTTCTCTGTGGTGGGGTTCCTTGAAGTAACACGGAAGTTGAGGATATCGACATATCATGCGTACAGTAGAAGAAGGGTGTGTGCTTAATTGTGCGCCCTCTGTGATTGGGTTGGTCAATTCGTTCTCCCAGGTTCTTGGCCACCTGGGGGTTGGAAATGCAGGGCAAAGGCAACGGCCAAGCTTGGGCGGAGCATCAGGGGCAAAGACAGACATCTATATCGGGTATGTATCTGCATTGTGGAGGAAGGACTGGAGGAGGAGGAGGAGGAGGAGGAAAGGAGCAGTGGGTATGGAGGATTTGGGGTTTGAGCCTTGCAGATTGATAGCTTTGCGATGCATGCCAGCAGTTGTAGGGCATTGTTGATGAGCATGAATTGTTGAATCAGGTATTCTTCGAGACGGCAGGGAGCCCTTCCGTCAGGAGAGGAAGAATGCCACTGAGGCTGACACTTATAGAATTACTGGACAATGGACATATGGTCTTAGCCTTTTTCGCGAGAATGACGAACTCGGTTCTCAGCTTGCATACGAGATACTCTGTATCTACCTCACAGCGGATGTGAACAATGCCTGGCGTGAAGCGTATGTTGTGTGTACCTTGGATGGGTTGGGTATCTGGGTTGAGAAAGTTGGAAGTGGCGGTGGTGGCGGTGACGGTGGTGGCGGGGTTGTTGGGGTTGATGGTGAGTCTGACCGTCGATGTGGTTTCTCCCCCAAGTCGAGTTAGTCCGGTTCCGGAGTACCAGGCATGCGATGCGGATTATTTTTCCGATTTATGGTTGAATTGCAGGTGCCGATCCGAGAATGAGGCGCCAGTGGGAAAGAAACTCGAGATGAACCTTGGACGGTGGTGATGACACCTCCAACACATGTACAACACCTGAGGTACTCGTACCTCCCCAGACACTCGGGTCGAATGGTTGTCAAGTTGTCATGTTCTGCTCACCGCTCAAGATTATTTTAAGCATGATGGCGGCAAAGTTTGTGGCTGCGGCCAAAGAGGCCAACTCCGTTGCATCCATTTGTTCCGTGCACGTCGGAACATGTATAGAGACCATGGAGTTTTCTCCCAAGTCGCAAAGTCTGCGACCAACAAGGGAAGGGGCATTCGAGCGCGCGTCTCAAGGTTTCGTCGATTGAGTACGAGTAATTAATTAGCACAATACTACCCGGCGAAAGTGGTTGAGCGTCGAGAATGGAAAGAGATTGACACTGGCCCTGGCATGTCAGACGTGAGTCTGTCGTAGGTTCGTGACTCGTGACTCGTGACTTCGCGCCAGGGAGTACTAGCGAGTGACACGCACCCGGACCTCTAGGACTAGATAGGACTAGCGCAGGCAGGTGTCCCTCCTTTCCCGACACTTGTTCCGACACTAAAGTGAATGAGGAAGCTCTGCGCCGGGATAAGCATATCCGTGGAAAGTCCTCTGCCCCCACTCGAGAGGAAGGTGCAGCCAGGTTATCAAGGAGGGAAATCGTGAAGAACTTTATGGAACCCGTGGTTCAGGGTGGTGGCCCGTGGGTGGGTGCAAGAGCAAGCACGTGCCTCGCTTGATCTGCCGCAGAATGCTCCCTTTGGGTGCGCTGTGACAGTGTAGGGAGGATTGGAGTCTGTGGGAGGGTAAGTGTTCCTGTAGTCAAGGTTCGATACCACTCGTAAGCACTGTAGGAAATACCAGCGTTAAGCAGCACCAGCCAGCACCTTCAAATGCTGGTTTCTTCTCTTCATTCTCGATTCTCGATCCTCGATCCTCGATCCTCGATCCCGTCTTGCCTGCATCCTGTCTTCCGTCCCAGTCTGACAGTCCGCGCAGCCGCCCAGCCGCCCATCTGCACAACTGCCATTGCTTCTGCTGTTGAACCGTTCCGTACCCCTGGCTTGTTTGCTCGCTTCCTCGCTTCCTCGCTTCTTCGCTAGCTGCTTGTCACCACCTCGTCTACCAATTCCTCACTTCAAGTTCGTCGCGAAAGATTCGGCTTCGGTTCCATGAGGTTGTCCTTATTGGTACCACTCTTGACTATTCCGCATTGTATCCGGAGTCATGCCGGATTTCTTATCCTTGCCAGCCAATGTATTCACCGGCGTCTGTATCGGTTGCACCACCGACTCTTACCGTGAGTCAGATTTCACCCCACCCCCAGCAGAGCGTCGTAGCCTCCTAGAACAGACCATGAGCGACTCGTCCGTAGACTGTATAACTCCGTACCATTCCCGGTCTCACCACGCATTTCTCACACTCGCAACAGTTTAATTGCCCGTCCACCCCGTCACCCGCAATGCACCGGGATGCACCGCAAAATGGACGATTGTGCTCCATACCCGTCCACCTGCCATGGCTGGTCACCGCTTCTGAGTGCTGCTGCTGCTGCTACTGTTACTGTCTGTGAGTCGAGCTAGTCAAGTTCTAGGCCTGCCCACTTTATACCATCGGCATCGGCAGTCATCCTGAAAACCTCTTCTCTGGTCTTGAGATTCTCCGCATTGGTCTAGATTAGCCTATCCTTCCTCGCCTCCTGTCCATCGGAAGATCCCTATGTCCACTTATGTTTCGAAAACTCCATTCCTCCCGAATACCGCTTGTCATTGACCCGTTGTCGCTCGCCCTCGAAACTGGCCCACTCTCGACTCCGTAGTTTGTGGTCTTCGAGTGCCCGCTAAAAACTCCCTCTTACCGTCCACGGCTCCCTGTACGAGTAGATCTGACCTCTCATACTACCATATGAGTGCGTGCCTACAATCTACTACTCAGTAGTAGGCTACCACCATCCCATGGACAGGTACTATTGTTCATTCTCCTACACTGGCCGTCATTACCCTTTTGCGTCCTGCTTCGACACACACACACGCTCACACACATCCAGATGGCCAACCACCCAGAGTTCTGAATTTCATGCCACCACCCACCACCGACCTCCGACTGCCACCATCGACAGTTATGCCCTACCACACTTGATCGAGATTGACTTGCTCCCATCTCCACTCTTCTCCCGCTCCCGATATTCTCCCAACACATCATTCGATCTAGACAAAAACACCTCGGGTGCCCACTACTACCTCTGCCCATACTCGCTTTTCTTCTTTTCTCGCTCCCTTCACTCCGTCGTCTGCTCTCCCCTCGTCTCGGATCACTCTTCTGGTAGACGACTCAGCAGTCCTTCCTGCTCGGTATTCCGTGGGTCTAGTCCCTTTTACCCAAGTATTCACGGATGTTGGACGACGTCAGCACTCTTGACCTCGGCGACACACTATGAAGTCCGTCACCATCTCAGCCAGCCTCTCACCACCGTTGGCCTCTCCTTCTGCGGGCGTGACGAAATCTGCCCCTCAACTTCCAATCTCGAGATCAAACAATTCCACATGGGAGAAGCCTGAGCGTGCCCGTACTAGTCATGCTTGCGAACCTTGTCGTGAGCGCAAGACCAAATGTGATGGTGAACGTCCTTCTTGCCGCCGCTGTTCACATACAGGCACTTCCTGTCATTATGGCTACGGCAAAGGTTGGAGAAAACGAAAGTCAGTCGGCGCATATTCAAATCCTCCCTTTGCAGCCCTTTCAAGCCGTTCATCCGCGACTTCTGCCAGTTCTGCAACCTCGGTTTCATCGAGCTGACTCTTTATCATTTGGCAGGACTGCTGAGGATCTCACGGCCACGTCGCGACGTTTGGCCCGCTACGAGGCTCTTCTAGCCGAGATCTTGCCCATGGTCTCCTTGGAAGTCAGGGAATTAATTGAAGATGCGCGTGACCAGGTAAGCATATGGTCTGCTCCAAACCGCTATCTACTTTTCTCATCCGTCTGGCCCAGGACGCCGCAAATTCAAATGGATCTGAGACGAATGAAACCGAGCAAGGCTATCCGCCAGTTCCCTCCCTCCAATCTGAGTCGTCCACCATGTCCAGTACAGCCAGCAGAATACTCCTTCCGTTCCCCGTTCCAAGTCCTCTGACTTCGGTTTCGTCGAGATTGTCAGTCACTCAAGGGCCTTTTGACCCGGTCTCGCCACCTACCATTGTATCTAACGCAACTGTACCAAGTCCTGGTGCAGGTATACCTTCGTCTCAGGCGCGACTTTCGCCTGACGCACTACCTCGGCTGCCATCAATTACACCCGACGGTCAGCTCATTGATCCGACCCGCCGAGAGCTCTCACCACCGAAGCTGCATCGACTAAGTGATGCGAAGCCAGAATTTGCACCTGATCGCTTTGGAATATCATCCGTTTCTCCTAGCAGTCAGATATTACTCGGAGGTTTGTTTTCTCCACCGAGTTTTGGACGAATCTACATTAACACTCGGATCAGTGAATACGAAACTGCAACAGTCTCCTGGTTGAGGCCCACTCAGCCAAAATTCGTCGTCATTTGACTTTGATTATTATTCCACCAGCAAATACGGGAGATGCGCTGTTATCACCGTATCAACTCGATGGCCATGGATCGAACTTTTACCATTGCTTTCCCCCGGCAGGAGATTGTCCTCCCTTCAAGGATAATCTCAAACTAATGGTGGGTCAAACGCTACCACTCAAAGCCTCGGTTTAACGTTTGATGACTGGACGTTATGGGAACAGCACACTATCGATGCGAAGAAGCATGATCGACAAGCTCACGGACATCTTTCCAGTTAGCGGATAGCGTTCCGTGGTACTGATTTCCTCCTCCTTTCCCCAGCAGGGACCCTTTTTCGCCTTGGCATGTTCCAGATCATGGCATTCATTGTCATTTAGATCATATCGATATGGGGATCTGCTGGTCAGTCGAAGCCCTCATTGACGATCACCCACACGGAGATTCGACAATTTGTGTTTGGAGATCGCGAAAGCGCCAATGCTGCATTGGCAACGCACACCAAAATGGAGAAATGGGGAATCGGGGGGGAAAACTTTCTTGCGCTTATGCAGGGCAAGGTGGAGCATTGCGATGTGGTTTCGGAAGAAAAGCACCGCCCTCCATCTGACTCCTCCGTTTCGGTAAACAAAGAGCCATGATTGGATCCCTCGGCTCAAATTTCCATCCAACCCAACCTCGGCTGGTGCCGCATAATTACATATTCCGATTTGACACATTATTCTGTCACAATTTATGCCCAAATCCCATGACGTTGTGTCGGCGTGTCACCTTTACCATAGCAGTATGAATGCTGAGAGCCCTTTGGCTTCCTGGCTGGCCGCCGCCTTGGACAATGTCTGTCAGCAGAAGAATACACTTGTCGTTATCAATAGCAGCGTGGGAGACGGCCCGAACACGGCGCTGCATCTTCCTTGGTCATCGACACAAGATCTGCAGTCTGCCAACGGACATACAAATGCTTCACCAGGAAAATGCGTGAAGGGCGTAAGGTGTCAACATCTCATGTTGCGAAATGAACGGAGAACAATTGCTGGACTCGGAATTGCCTGGTCGGCCATAGATTGAAGTCTCTCGTTGTGTCATTTTTACGTCAGGTTCAGATGCAAACACAACAGAACAGGTGAATGCACCATGTTAGTGGGGCAAGCCAACTCACCCACCAAGGCCTGAGGAATAGCGAAAACTCTAGAGGAACAACATCAGGGGCTCCTTCCAGTTCTGCCTACGAAATTATTTTTGACAATCGAGACTAAGAATAACTGGCCTGAGAAACGGGAGAGACTGGACTTTCCTCTCAGATTGTTTGACGAGACACGATGACCATGAATTTATCTTATGAATCTAGAGGAAACTTGCACTATAACGGGGATTATACTGCACATAAAAGTTGGATTTGCTCCAAGAGGGCCCATCAAAAATTCTGCTTTGTTTCAAAGAAAGCTACAAATGGCTAGGATGTAGAACTCCAAAAAGGAGATCACGTACCGTTTCCTAACTAGCATTGGTTTTATTGTGAAGACGAAGAAGCCTTTCTCAGCATTCGCAGCATTCGCAGCATCATATTAATGATATCAAACCCCTTTCTTGAAAGCGAAACTGGCCTGTACCGAACAGGTGTCTGTCTGTCTTTCTTCATTCTAGAGGTCCGGCGGGCAACCACTCACCACGTGACTGAGGCCCGATGACATCACCCAGCACGGTCCCTTGCTCCGTGCATAACCGGGCCAGCCCCGAGTCACATTGTTTCTGGATCCGAAGCCCTGTCCAATTCTTTTGGAGCTTGGATTCTTATTGGCAAGGCTGACTAGGCAAGCCTCTTCGTTGCATTCCATCACCACTCAAGTTTGGAGACATTGAAATGGTTGCGTTTGTCCATGCGTTCGGGTGAGCGTGCGCATACGGTGTCTTTCGGTTTCAAGAAATAATACCCATCTCCGGCGCGGATGTTCTCGATTGGACTTGTCAAGGACTGATTTGGGATAACAACTGGCGAGGTGCAAAGTGGAATGGCAAGGAGGACGGATGCGGTTTGAATGTTACCTTCTGCTCACCTTCGTTTCGCCGTTTACTCTATGTATGGTTGAGGAGTACGGCTTTTTTGAAAAAGAGAGTAAGGAAGGAACACAGGAAGGACAAGACAGGAGATCTCCACCTCTACATATCGGGGCACACTACGCTCTTCGCGGCGGCGAACCACGAACAAAGCCACCCAACGAAACATTACAATACAGTACTCCCAGAAATACCAGCATCTATGAACAACCAGACCACCAACAACACGGCAGGCATGCAAGCACAACTCAGCGCCTCGCTCCTGTCACGGCACAACCTCTCCGTGTCCCCAGCGTGGCTTGCGGACTTCCTGTCCTCGTCCTCGCGCGGCCCGAACGCGCCGCTGCTGGCCCTGACATCCACCGCACAGTTCCGCGTGCTGGCTAGTGACATCCGGAACTCTCTTGCACCACCGGCGCCGGAGAACCTGCTGCCCGAGGGCGTCGCAGATGTCAACGTCAAGGAGCGCCGCCTGAAGGGTGCCGTCGTTGTGCAAGTGCTAGATGTCATTGACATCGGGAGTAGTATGTGGTCCCAGGTTGAGGCTATTGAGAGGGTGGAGCGCGGGGAGAAGATTCGGGGGCGGGAGGTCATTCGGTCCGTGGGCGGTGCAGGTGGTGGCGAGGACAGCGGTGGTGCTGGCGGTCCTACAGCGGCGTCGATGTCGGCGACCGGTGACAAGAAACTTACTTCCGGCCCACACAAGCTCCTCGTCCAAGACGCGAAAGGAACCCAAGTCCTGGCGTTCGAGCTCGTCAAGATCCCCAAGATCGCGCTTTCCAATCCCGCCTCGGTGGCGGCCCCTCCCGCTGCCGCCAATGCTGCTGGCAACCCGCCTCAGCAGAGTCTACAGGTCGTCGACGACCCGGGCATGTTCATCGGGTGTAAATTGCTGCTGAAGCCTGGTACCGTCGTGCGGAGGGGTGTTGTCATGCTCACGCCTGAGGACTCTGCTGTTCTGGGTGGCAAGGTCGAGGCTTGGGATCGGAAGTGGAAGGCTGAGAGGAAGGATAGATTGACTGCGCTGATTGCTGAGGGTGATGGTGCTGGTGCTGGTCCTGGTGGATTGGGATGAGGATGGAGATCAAAGGGTGAAGAGAGAGCACGCGCGTTAAAATGGATCATGCGGGCTTGATTGGGTTCCTGCGTCGTACAAGGGCGACCTACTCGATTACCTGGCTATGCTGGGTTACAAGCTGATTGCGGAGCTAGAAGAGCTCCATCAAGCTTCGACTGCCACTTCCACACTCCATGGTGCCAACATCTTCGCCTTCAGCAAATCCTCGACACGGCCTGTTTCTTCATAGGCTCTGGCCAGGTCATCTGCCGCGAGATTGCCGCCTGGTGGTATCATTTTGTTCCCATTAAGAACTGCCATCTCCGCAGCGTACGAGAAGTCTGAGCCGTCATTTCCCACAGCAGTGGCTTGGGACAGCTCCAGCCAGCCTTGCGGTTGACCTGGGGCGAGCATGATGCCATAGAGAGCGTCTGTAACCACGGCCATTCGGCGCATTTCAGAAGCCTTTTGTTGCTGATTCTTGCAGACAACGATCCTAGCCAGGAACTTCGTAACCTGGATCTGATCGAGCACACCGACCTTATCGCTCTGCCTCAAGGCCTTCAAGCTCTCCTCCACCGCATCCAATACATCTTCGTCCGCATCCAGCAGCCCCGTGACCGCCAACAGAGCCACGGCTTGCACGTGACCCGGGTGAATTTCAATCACACCGAAAAGCTGCGATCGCGCTGCCTCCTTCTCCGCCTCGCCCCCTTTCGCCCAGAGTACTTGTGCCAGCATGCACACCACATCAGGCTCGTTGCCTGATGCTTCGAGCGCCGCTTGGAACATCTTGATCGAGGGCTCGATTTGTTTCAGGTGGCTGTGTGCAAGCCCACATGTGATATGAGCAGACAGTCTCCATTTACGCCGGGCTTCGCTGTACGCTGGCCCGAATTCGTCTGGGTCGTCGGAGAGGTCGAGAGCTGTTTCAGCGTTGGAGATTGCGTCTTCGAACTCACATTTTCCTAACAGAGCGCGAGCCAGATCTGCTTTGGCCTGCGCGAATCGCACCAGAAACTCGTTGGATTCGGATTTCTCGTATGCAAGTTCCGCAGCGCCGCACACTTCTTCTAGCGCTTCTGCACTGGTGCTGAAGTCGCCTACTCGCTCGGCGAAAAGCGCGAGGAGTTGCGTTGCGACCGTGTCATGTGGTGTTTGGGTGTGCAGTTGACGCAGCGCAAATAAAGGTTGGAGAAGTGCTGCGCTAACCTCTTGGGACGATGACCTCGGCGACGCTTGTTCTTTAAGCAGGTGGTCGAAAACAGACAGCGGGAAGTGGCGTTTTGCCGGGAGGAGAGACGAGTCTGCGATTTCGAACGCATGCATGAACAGCCCTCTTGCCTCCTTCACGTTCCCAAATAGTGTTGCGAGAATGCCCTGCCCGATCCACGCATTTGCATACTCTGGATCTTCGGATTGCGCTCGTGTGAACGCGTCGTTCGCGAGCTGATGGTCGTTGTTGATCAAGTAGAGCACCCCAAGATCCGTCCATGTCCTCGCGCTGTGGTCGTTCAAGTGCAGGCTCCGCACGAACGCGTGCTGCGAGATTTTCGGGCTGAGTGTCATAGTCACGACTCCCAATGCATTCCAGAACTCCGAGTTCCCAGCCTCCAGCTCGATCGCGCGTTTGAAGCATTTCATCGCCGCGCGCAGGAAACGTTGTGGTTTCTTACCTCTGCCGTAAGGAGAGCCAGATTCGGATAGGGATGTGTGGGCTTGGTGTTCGGCCCAGCCTAGGTTGTACCAGCTAACGGCACGAGCGTGTGTGTCGTTGGTGGATGCGGAGATTGCGCGCTTGTGCGCAAGGATAGAGCCGATGAGCCATTGGTCTGCTATGCTGCTACTGCTGAGTTTGGTGGAATATAGTGTCGTTTCTTCAGAGTCGGGCGCATGGTCGCCTTTCTTCAACAGGTGGATGCCGACTTTATCCACTTCGCTGAGAGTTTCGAAGCTGGATCCGTCCGCGGCTTGAAGCAGCAGAGAGTAGATTGTTTCGAGATCTGCGGCATCACCGGCAAATGACTTCAGGTGCCCCAGTACTGCACAAGCATCGCCGACTGACTTCCATAGATTAAAAACAACAGTGTTTTGCTGTGCGATATCCGCGGCGACCTTGAGAGCTTGAGCAGCAAGTTTCGATGCTTCGCCGAACATGCCCAGCGCAACTTTTGCCCAGGCGCTTTCTGAAATCGTCTGAAGGAGGGCGATCAGCACGCCGAACTCTCTTGGCTTCAGCGCGAGTACGTCTTCATACGCGGCGATCGCTTCGTTGAAGGAACCCATTTCCCGCTGCACGTTGGCCAGCATGTACTTCGCGAACCAGGTCTCGTCGGCAGGTAGGCCGTGGTCGATACTCTCTGCCTTCGCGAACGCCCTCGTGGCGGCGATATGGCGGCCCGCGTTGTGGTAGCTTTCGCCCAGGCCGACCCAGGAGTAGTAGTCGTTCGGGGCAATTCTCAAGGCCGATTGGAAGGAAACGATGCTTTGGGAGTACTGTTGCTTGTTCATCTGCACGACGCCAAGAGCTGCGTAGGGCCAACTGTAGGCTTTCTTCTTCGATCCTGGTGCAGGTCGGGCTTTCCCTGAGGTCACCACACGCTGTGCCACGAGCTCGACCAGGTCCCATTCCACCGTGTCAGAGAATGCTCTGGCTAGTCGGTGGGCGGCTTCTAGCTCCGATGTGGATAGCTCGAATGCTTTTTGTAATGCCACTCGTGCACGCTGCTTGCTCTTGCCATAGTCCTGGAAATAGACGCCGAGCAAGGTGTATGCCGGAGCGTTGCTGGGGTTGGCTTTGATGGCGTCGATGAGATAACGGTAGGGACCGGCCTTGTCCTTCCGAGCAGCTGGCGAAGGATTCATGTGCCACAAGCAGTACGCGATCCGGTACAGAGTGACGGATTTCATGGTTAGATTCTTGACTTTCTCTGCTTCAATCGAGGACAAGACACTTTGCAATTCGTCCAGGCCGGCTTGCAGCTCTCCGTTCTGTGTCCAACACCACGCCAGCTCCAGCTTGATCCTGGCATTATCAGGGTCACGCTGTGCAGCCTGGCCGAGGAACTTGACCGCCTCCGCCCAGTGTTCATCGTCTTCGTAGATGAGCCCAATGCCCAGCAGTGCTGGGGTAAGCAGTGGCTTGCGTTGAAGAATATCTTGGAATAGTTCCTTGGCCTCGGGGTGATGCCGCGGTGATTGGAAGGTAATCAACGCGTTGGCAAGGATGAGATTGACTCCATCGAGGCTGTTGTGCAGATCGAGACAGAGTTGCGCCTGTGCATTGGCATGGAGAGTCTGAGCCTTGCGAGCCGTGTCAACTGCGCTCTGCCATTCCTCAAGCTGCCCATATGTGTATGCCAGGACGCGGTGACCGAGAAGAGAATCCGTGGCTTCTTCTAGCCCTTCATTCATGAGGATCAGCTGCGCCGCTTCGGTCAAACGCGCGTGTGTTTCTGCGGCATTTTCTGCTTCTTTCTCTTCCACGGGCAAATGGGGGAAGGGTGAAGAATCGCTGTCAAGGAAACCCTTGAGAATTTTACTTAAGCCTTCGTCAGGAAAATACTCAATGTATTCGCGGAGCACGTTGACATCCCATTCGTTAATTTCTTCGGCGTCCACCCATTCGAGAGCAATCTTCCAGGCGAGCGGGTATGGTTGTTTGATGATGACCATGCCGTTTGCCATGTTGATGATCTTATCGCGATGCTCCTCCTTTGCTTCTTTTGGAAGCACGAGGAGGTTGTCGTACATACGCTGGAAAAGCTTTTGTTCGAGATCGTGGCGGGCGTCGTCATCTCTGGTCCAATCAATGAGTGCAGCGTACTTCTCCTCCACTTGAAACTTGCCAATGGCCTCGAACTTGACCTGTCGAGTCACTTGATCAATCTTTGAACCAATTCGTGTTCGTCTCTCTCCAATCTGCGAATTGACCCATTCCTTCTCCTCGGCCTGTGCAGATTCGAGAATTCGCTGATACGCGAGGCTAGGTTGAAGGACTCGACCTTCGAGGACAGGGTAGAGGCTTGATGTTGGCAGAATAAGTTCGAGGGCTCTTCGATATTGTCGCTGGCTTCCATGCTTCTTCGCGAAGAGCTCGTACTTGTCGATCACCGACTGACATTGGACTCTATCTTCAGCTTGGGCATACAGTTGTGCCAGGTTGAAAGCGGCATCATGATATTGGTCCAACTTCAGGCTGGTTTGCTTTTCGTAAAGTGTGATCAGACCTTTGTAAGCCTGGGGATCATGTGGCTTGAGATGGGAAGCCTTCTCAATTGCCTTCTCTGCAGAATCCAGATCACCTAGCTTTTCTCTTGCAAACCCTAAAAATAAAAAGGCAGTGTGATTCTTGTTGTCCCCTTTGATCAATTCTTCAGCCTGTTCTGCGGCCTTAGCAAATTGACCAGCATCAAGCGAAGCCTTGATGGCTTTCAAGGCTGCCTTTGCGGAAGCCATGTCGGCATTTGATTGGCAAGAGCCACGTTTCAGGCTGTGGATTGAACAGGCTTTATGAGTCTTGAAATTGGCATCTCAAGGCGTAACCCGAATTAACGACACTGTGTGGATTCCGAGGCGTAGTGAAGTGGGCATTCCCAGGTCAATTACTGCGAATTCAAATTCCAGTCTCCAGCACTCTGTGAGAGGCCATCAGGCTTCGAGCGTGGATAGAGTCCTAAAGTGGCAATTTCGTGCGATGGTACAGATGTGGCGGAGTATTGATACGTCAGGCGCAGTATGGTACCATATACAGCTAAAAGGTACGAATACGGTACGCGTAGTACAATTATTCAGGAAGGCATTGAGCGGACTACCGTCGCCGATGCCATCATCATCGTACTCTTCGGTTCCACGAGCCTCGAAAATGCACCGCAACTTGAACTAAGCCACCATGTAGCAACCTCGTTTATTTGAAATTAAACAACTATATAACCACGACCACCAACCGTGTCTCTCTATCGCATTCGTCCTACCCAATCCTGCGCTCGACTCTTCTTGAAGTCGAACCTAGCAAGCTGCATTGCGTCGTCATCCGCTTTTGCCGCATGCTGCCGTCGGACTCTCCATATCCCTCCGCCCCAGATGGCCCTCCAAGGCCTTCGAATTGATGGTATCCGACTGCGGGACTCAAAAGATCGTGAAGTGACCTTCAGAGGTATCAACGTTGCTGGGGACTGCAAATTCCCTCGCGTTCCGGACCAGCCCTCCCATGATCCCAATGACTTCTTCGAGGGTGCTGAGAGTGTCTCATTCGTTGGCCGACCGTTCACTGAGGAGGAGGCACACATCCACTTTGCCAGGCTGAAGAGGTGGGGTTATAATGTTGTTCGATATATTTTCACTTGGGAGGCTTTAGAACATGCTGGTCCTGGCAAATATGACGAGCCGTTCATCGAGCATACGATTAAGATCTTGAGAATTGCAAAATCCTACGGCCTCTATATTTTTATGGATCCACATCAGGATGTTTGGTCAAGGTTCAGTGGAGGCTCCGGAGCTCCTCTTTGGACGTTATATGCTTGTGGTCTGAACCCTAGAACCTTTACTGCCAACCAGGCCGCTGTCGTTCACAACACCTGGCCGGACCCGGCAGAGTACCCAAAGATGCTATGGCCGACAAATTATACGCGGTTGGCGTGTGAGACGACATTCACTCTTTTCTATGCTGGACGTGATCTGGCGCCAAATGCTATAATCGATGGTAAGAATATTCAAGATTACCTGACGGATCATTTTATCGCTGCATGTGCACATCTCGCGCAACGGATCCACGATGCCGGTGGGCTGGAAGATGAGTGCATTATTGGGTGGGAAACCATGAATGAGCCACATCGAGGATTGGTTGGCTGGGAGGACTTAGACGCCCTTCCAGACGAGCTGAAGATGAGAAAGGGTACATGTCCTACACCCTGGCAGGCCATCCTTACGGGTGCTGGTCGAGCTGTGGAGGTCGATGTATACTCTTTCAATACCTTTGGACCATATAAAAGTGGGAGAGAATTGATCGATCCGGAAGGTGTTCAGGCTTGGTTGTCAGAGGATCACGACGACACCAAATACGGATGGAAAAGAGATCCTGGTTGGAAGCTCGGCGAGTGTCTTTGGGCGCAAAATGGCGTATGGGACCCGAGTCAAGACCTATTGTTGAAGAAGGATTACTTCGCTTCCATACCGAAATCGGGGGAGAAACTGGACTACGAGAAGTTCACCAACCTCTACTATATGCACCATTTCCGAAAGTATAGAGACGCGATTCGGGCAATCCACAAGAATTGTATTATTTTGGTCCAGTCGGCTGTCCTGGAAATCCCCCCATCCATCAAAGGTACACTTGATGATGATCAGCGGCTTATCTTTGCGACGCACTACTACGATGGGGTCACCTTAATTCAAAAGCATTGGAACAAATTTTACAACGTCGATATCTTCGGCCTTCTGCGGCATCGCTACTCGAATCCAGTGTTCGCCGTGCGGCTTGGGGAGACAGCTATTCGAAATTGCCTCCGTGATCAACTCAGGGCAATCAGAGACGAAGGCATGCAATATCTGGGCGATCATCCCACCCTGTTCACAGAGATTGGAATTCCATATGACATGGACGACAAATATGCGTATAAGACGGGGGATTATTCAAGCCAAACTTCATCTTGTGATGCCAATCACTTTGCGGTGGAAGGATCAGGTGCTCAGGGGTTCACATGGTGGACGTATGTTGGCCAGGTAATGGTTTACACCTCCGAAGTTGATGATCAAAGACTAACCACTGCAGAACAACCACCAATGGGGCGATAAGTGGAATGGTGAAGACCTCTCGATCGTATCTGTCGACGATCAATTACTGCCAAGTGGCTCGAGTACTCTCCCATCGGCGAATCCTTCCACACTTTCACTTCCTCAGAACCGTCTGTCTTCCTCAGACACAACCTTGAATGATCCAACAGTGACACCTGCAAACCTCAAAATGGCCCTAAAGCGACCCTCGATCACACAAGAACGTTCAACTGCACCCTCTGACCTAGCCTCGAATCCAGGTGCCCTTCGCTCAGCCGAAGCCTATGTGCGACCCTCACCCATCGCCACAGTGGGTGATGTCGTCAGCTATGGCTTTGATCTACGCAGCGTGACTTTCAAGTTCAGCCTCGTGGCCTCGAAGCCAACAACAGAAGAAGTCCCCACCGAGATCTTCCTGCCAGAATTCCACTTCCCGTCAGGTAAGACGGATGTAACGGTCACTGGCGGTCGATGGAGGATCGATGTTCTGGATGTTGACGGCGAGGGCATGCAGGTCATGAAGTGGTGGCATGGGGCCGGTGAGCAGAGCATTACAGTCAAGGGAGTGGTGAGGAAAGCCGGCTCGCTCGAGGTGGACGATGATGCTGAAGCTGGGTATTTCGAGACCATGACTAAAACGGTTCAGAATTGCTCGGTTATGTGACGTTAGCATGATTCATAAGATGCCTTTGTGCGGTGATTTGGCGCATGGGTGTTCTGTCACTGCTAGTGAAAAGAAGGGTGGGGGAAACGTGATATTGTGAGTCTGAATATAGCAAATCTTGAGCGTCGTTGATCCAATGTCCTTTTTTTTTTTTGGATGCGATATATTTTGAATGGGTTATAGTTCCTACTGCGCAGTGGCGGGGACTTCAGCATGCGAGGTGTAGGAGGACTCGGCATGTTCACCGGTACCAATCTCACCACCTTGACCATTCGGATTCGGATAATCATCATCAACAACTTCGCCGTGATCTCGATCCTCCTCCTCAACACCACCATCATCTTCTTCCTCTTCTCCTTCGTCGTCTATACCATCATCGCCCTCCTTCTTCTCTTCCCTCAACCTACCACCCTTCCGCTTAGGAATGACCTTCAGGAACGCCTCCCCCCAGTTCCCGCACTCCAGGTAGCGAATCATGATCTCGACGACATGGTTCGTTGTCAGCACCTTCCGAGACTGCATCTCCAGGTACTCGCCGATAGGCAGCTTCGCCGTTTGGACGCCCCGATCGCACGCGGTCCGGTAGCAGATCCCTTTGTGTCGGTTCTTGTCTACTAGCCCGCCCACGATGTACGTCGAATAGGGGCGTAGAGTGGACAGTGTGTTTGGAGAGTCGGAGGTTAGGTAGATGATTTCGCCGTCGTCTGGACACGCCTGGGAGGCGAACGATACCTCGGACTGAGGAGGTGGTACTGGCTGATGTTGTGCGGAATCGACGCTGACTGCAGCGGTGGTGGAGGGTCTGTTGAAAGAGGGCGCCGTGTCGTGTTGAGTATTGGAGGGTGGAGATGCTCCGTTGGTAGAGGATTGAGGTTGTTTAATGTCGATCTGCTCCATCTCCTGTGGTCTAGGATCATTACTCGGTGCCACGGCTGGTTGAAAGATACCCAACAACTTCCCACCGTTCGACCCTCTCATGACTTCATTGGCCTTCTGTGCCGCCTGCACGAAATCTCCAGTCTCGAAAGTTATGCCTTTCCAGTTGAGATAGTGCTTTCTGAGCACAGTGTCAAATCTCTCCCTAAGGAGACCTCCCCACGAGCTGAGGAACAGGTGTGTCTGGAAGGGGGCGTGCCAGTTGTCCGAGTACGAGCGCGTGAGCTGAGAGCCTAAGGATATACGCTCCTTCTCCGTCATGAGATCGTCGAAGCCGCAGTCTATCATTATCGTAACAGGGAGAACGACTGGTCGCGGCCGTGGCCGGTGATGGTTGGTTGGTGGGGTCTTCGAAGCGCTGGTCTGCTGCTGCTGCTGAGCTTCGGCTTCTTCCCTCGCTTCTCTCTTTCTTTGTCTTTTCTCCTGTGTCTTCTGCTTCCGCTTGGCCTTGCGGTAGTCCCGGCCTGCTTCCCACTCTTGCTGTTTGCGTAGTTTCTTCAACTGGCTTTTTGACATGGGCTGTGCATGTTCACCATTCTGTGGTGGCGCCGTTTTGGCTTCTATCTGCGATCCTGGTGGGTTTTGGACGTCTAAATCACCCTCTGGCCCGGCGCCGGTTCCATCTACATCATTAGCAGTATGCTCGTATGGCTTACTGTTCTCGGACTCTGAAGCGACATTTTCGCATGGCTGCCGCAGGAGAGGTGTGGTGGCTTCGTCCTCAGGCACTTCGTTTTCCGGTTTCTCGAGCCTCCTGAGCTTATTAGGCCGCTCTTCGGTAGCCATGACGCTCACAGATTCAGCTAGATTCTCCACTGTAACTCGAATTGGTGAAAATGAAACCAGTTGTGTTACCACTACCACTGGAAGAAAATCGCCTCGGCTGACTTCCTCTATCTGGTTGAATTTTGGTGGGGAACGCCGACTAATAGTCCGGAGCCCACGTGAGACGCGATTCAAGCCAGCGCGTTACCCCTTTAGACCCTGACTCGCCAATGTGCTCAAGCCACCCATCTGCTCATTTTATCCCTTCAGCATTATCACCATTGTGCATCCCATGCCCAACGGTGTCTCTATCTTGATACAGTGAATCAGACATTCTAGCCTTCAAGCAGCAGGGCAACACTGCTTTGCGAGCATCAAATCCAGCCCGAGGATTTATCGCTGTGTATCCGAGTAGCATAGGTAAGACAGTACACTCGTGACCTGTGACTTGTGAAAGATCTAGTCCCCGTGTGTCGCGGATCCCTGTGCTTCCGCAGCGCCACCCAGCTGCAGGGGGGCGTACAAGAGGAATGCTTGCTGCTTCTTGTGGCCGTTAAGAGTTGACTACATCTGCCTGGACCTGGTGGTGGTTTGTGTGCCCACGGCATCCGGGTGTCTGCCAATAATGGCTTTCATCACATTAATCGCTGATCAAATCGCTGGGCCTCGTCAACGCCGCATGTGTCAGTCCAGCCTCAAGCTGCACTTCTTTTCTCGTATCAGTATCAAGGGATGACAGCCCTTGGCTTGGGAACCTCCCCTGCCAGACTTTGACACCGGTTGTGGAAAGCAGCAAAGGAGGGGATACGAGGTAGCCTGGTCAGGGGACAATAGATATTAAGTATTAAGGACCATGCTGCAGCCTACGAAATTCTAAGTGAGCAGAAAATCTGATCTCGCTATGGCTGAGTCTGAACCTTTTCTTCACGCAAAGTCAGAGGACTACGATGACGAAGAGCAACGTGGAATTCCGCTCGAAGATCAGTACCATGATGATTCTCGTCATCCATCCATCCACGACGCTGACTCACAGGGCTACATCCCGCGTGCCTCCTCGAGATCCTGGCGCGTCATCTCTGTCCGCGTCCTAAGCGGAGTAAACTGGGAAGCCGTCACCCGGCGGCCTACCACCCACGACCTCAAGCAGACTCTCATAGAAGCCCTCCCTCGGCTCTTCAGGCCAAGTTCACTCTGCTTGACGTCCCCACCGGGTCCAACAGCATACCTTGACGCTCTCCGTGGCTACGCGGCCTGGAATGTGTTTCTCGCTCATGGTTATAAAGACTTTCACTTCTGGTATAAGCACCAGCCGTTCCTCTCAGCGCTTATGGCCGGCGAAGCCATGGTGGCGTTGTTCTTCGTCATCTCCGGTTATGTGTTAAGCTACCGCCTGCTCATCTATACACGCAATTGTTCAGGTGACAAGCTACTGTCCGGCCTCGCTAGTAGCACTTTCCGTCGTGGTATGCGCCTGTATGGCTCGACTACCGTGGCGCTTTTCGCGGCGTTGATCTTGGTCCGCTTGCGCCTGTACAATGGTGGAAACTGGCCCTTGTACTTGGAATCCTTATGGCTGCAACTGTACGACTGGATTTATACGCTTGTGTTTTTCTTAAACCCCTTCGCCACCCAAGTCCACGGCTACTACACCATGGACGGCTTGCAGAACAAATACCTCGGCCCCATGTGGACCATCCCCGTCGAGCTCCGCGGCAGTATGATTCTCTTCATTTACATTGCGGCGACGTGCAAGCTCCGTGTCTACACGCGCCTAGCGTTGACGTGCATGCTTGTGGTCGCTTCCCATATATGGGCCGCGCTTTACGTCGCGGACTTCTTGATGGGGATGATAGTCGCTGAAATCGGCCTGCTGCGCTATCCTGAGCGTCTGGTGACGGCTCCCTCACTGCCCGAGCATACGATCAGCCCGCAGAGGCAGAGTCTGGCCTCAAAGTGCTTTTGGACACTAGTATTCGCCGTCGGGTTTTTCCTTCTTGGGGAACCTGACGGTGACACCAATGCCCTAGGCATATTCGGCGATTGGCCTTGGGCGTTCTTGCGATCGTGGATTCCGAGCTATTTAGGCGGCGAAGATAGGCTTTATTGGTACCTAGGCATCGGGTCTTTTCTGCTCGTGCTTGGCCTGGAGATGTACCCGGCATTGCAGGCGCCCCTGCGATGCGGCTGGAGTCAGTATGTCGGCGACCTCAGCTTTGGTATATACGCGCTACACGTTCCGCTTTTGGTCGCGATCATCGGCCACTGGTACGACGTCGACGTGCGGCAGGCGCTCGGATGGGATAATGGTTGGGGTATTCTCCCCGGGGCGATGATCATGCATGTTGTGGTGTTTTCTTGTGCAGATTATTTCAACAGGGTTGACAGACGCGTTGTGAGATTGGGAAGGTGGGTGCAAGAGAAACTTTTTGTGCGTTGGGATAAGTTCTAGGCAGTCCTGGATGGAGCGAGGTTGACTATACCCTACGAGTCAATGACTCGCTAAAATATACCTAGTTGGCTCCTTCAGTGGCAGATCGACCGTCTTCAGGAGATGGAATTCACATTCGGAAGGATTCACGCGTGTGTAAATCTTCATGGTGACGAAGGTGGGAATGATTCCGTTCTAGATGCCTCTCAGCGTTGCTATCGATGATGGTGACCGCTTGACCAGCAAGCCGGTTCTTGGTGGTCTGGTCAAGTATAAAGATCCAGTGCAGGCTCGTGGGATGGCACGCTTGCGTTCGCCTTGCCCTTACCCCTCTATCTGGAGCAACTTCAACGGGGATTTTATTATCTACTTCGGGGGTCATTTCGAGTCCATGAGGCTCTCACATTTTAGATGCTGAAGTTGACGCCGGTCAGGACGATTTTCGACAGAAACGGCTTGCTCGCTTCTGATGTTCTGCTGATTTCTCCTGATCGAAGGCATAGCTCGGGAATTCGTCTTCGACCACAGGCGATTGTAAGTTGTGTCAACATCGTCAACTTTTGTGGTATCGCCAGAAACTCGAGTGGACCTCACCTGCGAATGCGTGTTTGTTATGCAAGCAGGCCGCAGAGAGACAACGAAAATCCATCCAGCTGCTAGAGAGAAAGATCTGGCGGACAGGATGATACTCCATGAGGCGTTGTCCCGTAACTTATGGCCTGTGAAAGCCTCCAGATGAACTGGAAGATCTATGCAATTAGCCGCCTCGTACGGAGTCCTCGGTCTTTTATTGCAAAATTCGTGGTGCCACTTCTATCATTTGTGAGCCTCGTAGGATACGTCGCAGATTCATGCAATTTTCCCAAACTGCCTTTTAATCTCATATTGTCGTTGTCATGTCTTGTGATCTGGAAGAGGAAGGGTTTCAGGAATTAGGATCACTCACACTTGCAACGTCTTTCCCAGAAGGGGTTTATTGACCTGAATCTGCAAGGGTGGAGACGCCTGGCTTCGAGGGGCTGGACCACGCGGCCAGGTATCGATTATGGTTCTCACCAGAACGAAGAAGGACGCGGAATACTTACTTAAGCCCCCATTTGGTGGCGCAGATGGCTCTCTGGCATAGGTTCAAGAACCGAGCAATTGGGGGGACTAGGACGGCCGGAATCCAGATTGCCAACAAGACGGATTCGCCAAACATTTGCCTGTTCCTGGTCTCTGATATTGAGTAGTGCGTGTTAGCGCATGCAGCCCTGGTCTCGTTTGCGCACCCCGGGTCGAGGTCCAATCTAATGCGCTGCTGGGCATGTCTCGTGCAGATCCGGCATCATCGAGGTCTTCGTCGCAGTCACAAAGGGCCAGGCTCTCTGATCCATGCTGGTATGTTAGGGCGTTTAAGACCAGAGACCACTAATGTTGAAACGAATGATTACACCTTGCCTCCTCCAAATGTGGGTCGACGGCCATCATTTGCTGTGAGCAATCCACTGATAGACTGGACAGAGCCGAGGAGCTTAAGTGTAGTGAATGATCGACGCTATCATATTCTCACTCCTGAGTATCAATGAGCTGCTCGGCTGCAGAACGAAGTAACGTGAAAGGTCACTTACACCACACCACATCAATTCTAGCCATATCGACCTTGGCAACGCATTCATGACCTCTCCTGGTGGTGTACAGTTGATGGATACTCCTTATGTAAAAGCCGCTGTATATTCGCGACAGCAGTAGGGAGGGCTAGCCAAGAGCGCCGTAAATGAAATGCCAAACTTCCTCGATGTTGCTGTCCTGGAATGGAGCCAGCTGACAGGGACCAGGTTGTGGATTCAATGACTGATGAACTGACTTCCTCGAGACGAGATCCCGCATTCTCGTATCGGACGGGCCCGCTTCCTCCGCGTTTCTAGCGCCAAGCTGACTAGGGTCTTGATCAGAGCTCGTCAGGGGGATACCAACCTACCACGGTCCTCATCCTCTTCAACTTTTCTCATTCTCGATTATCCTAGCTGTGTCCTGTAACATAAGGCGCTGCGCGGGGAAACGTCCATTGATATCTCAGTACAAGCCACAAAAGCGATGGTGAGTTCGAGTATGAGCCGGACAACCTCCTAGCAACAAAATGTCGCACCCTGGAAAAAGCCTTTGCTCTTGATTCATCCCTCCCCTACCAGAGAACGGCGTGGATTTTGCTCCTAGCTTCATGATCCTGCTGAGCTCGTTCCGGGGAAGTTCGGCCTCTTTTAGCTTGAGCCGGGGAACAAATATAAAACGCCTCCATGGTCACGAATGGACGAGTCCACACGTGATCGACGAAGGATCCAGCGATCTACCAGTAGGAGACTAATAAGTAAAGTTTGTCCAAAAGGGAAGAGTTCTGATGCCAATTCAACTTTGTGCTTGGATATATGAGAGTGCCACTTCACAGCAATGTGTCTCTCAAGGATCTTTTTCTGCATCGCTAGTCTGACTCTCAAAGGGCAATTCTGTTTCTATTGCCTTTGATACTCACTGCAGATGGCAGGATTTCTCATTCCCCCATGGTACAAAACGGTGGCACCAGGCCCCGAGGACATGTATATCGCCAGTATTGTCTGGGGTTTCACGCTTAGCTGTGGTGTCTTCAGTGCCAGCAAAGCTGTTCGCCAGAGCAGCGTTGGTTGGAAGCGATCCCGTCGACTCACTCCTTATGCCATCATGGTTTGGCTAGAATTGCTAGCATCATCAACCATGGGAATTCTGACGTGGTTATATCTTCATGGAAATCTGCAACCAAGGTAAGAGCAACATACCAAATAGTGGGGGAGGGGAAATATTGATTTAGACCGGGTTCCAGTTTTCAACTATTCTTCCTACTCGGTATGATAACCTCATCCCCTGGGTTGAGAATGCTCGTGGCTAATATGAGACCTCGAAGTATGCCTCTGGGTTGTCCAAGTAAGGTTTCATAATTCGGTACTCGTTTACTACCTTGCAGATCCTGACGAATATAACAACATAGATCCAAATGCTTATGCAGATCATCATCAACCGGATTTCTCTTTTGATAAGAGATCAACATCGGGTTCGGAATCTCAAGTGGATTGTCGCTGCCGTCTTGGGCGCGATCAACATTAGTGTCTTCTGCATCTGGATCCCAGCTCGCTTGCAGATCTCAGAGAAGATCATTTTCGTTAATGAGATCTGGGACCGGATCGAGAAAGTCATCTTCCTGCTCGTTGATTCCGGCCTCAGCCTCTACTTTATCTATTTGGTGCGGGCAAAATTGCTTGCCAATGGCTTGACGAAGTACATGGTACTCTTCAAGTTTACACTTGTAATGGTTGCGTTCTCGTTGTCCCTTGATGTGAGTGTCTCTACCCCCTAGAAACGATGTGCCTTGCTAACACGGTGTAGGTCGCTCTTATCGGAACCATGTCTCTACCGAATGGTTTTGTGTAAGTGATCCCCGCTGCCTTGTCGTCCAAGTGGCTACGTTCGTGGGGCAGAGTTAATTTGCAGCCTCGTTTTCTGATAATGGCATAGCTACGTTCAATTCCACCCCCTTGTCTACCTTCTGAAGCTTCATATCGAAATGAAGATAGCCGACCTTATTGCAAAAGTTGTCAGGGCAACTAGTTCTGATGCAAGGCCCTCTACAAGCGGTGGAACCGAGCTGCGGGCGAATCGAAGGACCATAACAATGCCAAGAGATCAAAACGGATCAAAGGGATACTCGGCCCATGTCACCGCCAACGCGCCAGACCGATATCATGGCCACGAGGACCTGGGAGACGATCAATCCCCTCATGAATTTGGAGGGATCAGAAAGACGATTTCCACAACGGTGGTGCAGAAGGTGTCGGACGAGGATGAGATCGGGAGCGAGTCGTCCTCTACACGCCATCTGAAAAAGTAACGCTATTCCCTCGTATATCATGAGTGGGAAGTAGTCTGATTTGAACTTCCGCATTACTTGTGAGCATCATTGACATCCCAAGCCCTTTCGGACGCTAGAAAAACCTCAAATCATACTAGCATTGTCAAATAGTAGTCTGTATATATAGTTTAGTGGTACTCGCGACAGAGGTTACCTAGCCTGTATTAGCAGCGATGCTCTTGTACGTAACGGTCGAAGGCACAACGCTCATAGACCCTTGAGAAGACGGCGAGCCTTGCCACCACGTGACCTGTATTGCAGCCTCGTTAGATGTAGCACTAGCCCGCTAGCCGAGGGCGATTACTGGCCTGCGCGATATTTAGCGCGTTAGGCGCTTGCGCACCCAATCGACAGCAATCGAATTGTGAGCTTCCCAATCCTCACCACCACAGGCGAACTGTTGCTTTGCAGGCCACCACCAACACCACTTCAAGGCACCACGGCAAGACGCAACAATGCCTCAAGATCTCCCGCCAGTTGGCGGCTACGAACCAGTTCAATATAGAGTGCGTCGCACCCAACCCCCCTGTAGACACTTCTGCCAGCTCACTCAGACGACCCCTCCCTTCTCATCCCCGTGCCTCTCTCTCTCCATAACATCATTAAATTAACACGGCAATCTCTCTGAAAACAGCGCAACATCCCCGTCCGCGGTCTACGGCCGGTATACTACATGCTCGCGTTCGGCGCCGTCATGGCATACGGTTGGCGCCAGACGTTCATCGGCCAGCGGGAGAAGCTCGAGCTGGGCCGCGAGAAGATCTGGGCCCGTCTGCACCTCATTCCGCTCCTGCAAGCCGAGGAAGATAGAGACCAGGTCCGCAGGCACTATGCCGATCTCGCCCGTGAACAGGAGCTGTTGGGAAGCCAGAGTACTCCGTATAATAGTGATAGGTACGTTCCCGGCATCTTTTCCCTTCCGAGAGATTTGTGTTGTTTGTGGTTTTGGAAAGAGGGAAACAGGAGGAGGAAGAGGAAGTCGTTGGGGTATACAAGAGACAGCCGAGGGCAATATCCACGGCCATTGAGAGCCTGAGCAGAGAAGGGCAATGCGTACATTCTTCTTTGAAGAACCACATAGCTAACCACCCGATTTCATTCCCAAACAGATTCGTCAGACCCACATACGCACCTACACCCCGGAGAAGCTCATGACGAATTAAAAAATACAATTAAAAAACAGAAAAAAGGAAATCCAGAAAGCCGGCATCCTCTCTCTCTCTCTCACACACACCTTGTTTTCCTGCAGCATTCAATGCAAGTCTAAAGTATTATCGTGGACGGGATTTTTGTTTCCTCGTTATCAAACCCAAGCGAAACCTACACGATGGAAGGTGAAAGTCGAGAAGATTATCCGTTCGACTCTTGACTCAGTCTACTGTACATATTCCAAAGGAGAGATTGAATGAATAATTCAGGCCGCCCCGTAGACAGAGAACTTTGTTCCGTAGTTAACTTGAAGCATGGAGCTTGGAACTTGGAACTTTTTTGGAGGCATCTAACGTACATCAAGCCTCATGGAAAGACCTAGGATTCTGTCCATCTCCATTTCTTGAGAACAAAATTTGCCGATAAGCACTCCAAGCAGGCAGTTTTCGTCTTCCGTCTACTCTTATTGTTTGGTATTGTTTTCTTCTTTTCTCACTTGTATGGCACACATATTGATATCACGTGGTTACAATAACAACAACATCAACACTGCTCACACCCTCTCTCTCCACGGCCTCCGCAGCCGAGCGGCCCAAAAAGAGCTCTAGTGAAACCATTAACTCGTGTCGCAGCTAGGAAGCAAACATATCCGCGACGCCGCCGAGATCCACGTCGTCGCCACCAGCACCGGCCTCATCCATAGCGGACTTCCCAGGCTCGTCCGTGCCGTGCATGGCAGTGGTGAGAAGTTCCCGCTGCTTGTACTTCTCCAAGATCCGCGACTGTTGCTGGCGCATATCGATCTTCCCGAGCTCGCTGAGCCGCACCCCACGGACGCCCTCGAGGAGCGAGAGGATAATCGCACGGAGTTTCTTGGACCGTGCTCCAAGCCCCTCATGCAGCAGCTGGGCCGCAGCGCTGTCGACTTTGGCTTCCGTCATGCCGGGCAGGCTGAGGATGACGTCTCTCGGCGCAGTGGTGAGGGGTGGGCGGTCGTGTGCGGGCACAGACTCCGTCGCCGGGATGTGTGCTGGCAGACCGTACGAGATCCAGATGGTGGCGATCAGCTGCGCGTAGTGTTGCTGGTGGTCGGCGAAGTAGCCGTCGTTGAGGCATGTGATCGCCGTCTTGAACATTTCTGTCGAGATGAATCCCCGCACTGCGTCTGCGGCGTCTCCGGAGATGTACTGTGCGGTCGCGAAGTCCGGGACCAGGCGTTGAGCGGCCACGAGCATCGTGTAGCAGCATCGTGTATCCTTGAATCCGAGGGAGTGGTCGATGAAGACGAGGAGGCGATCGAGCACGTGCGTGTTGGACAGGAAGAATTCGCGCATCGATTGTTGGTTTTGTTGGGTCAGGTAATCGCCATTTACGATGGTTTTCTTGGTGCTGAGCTGTTGTTCACGCTTGGGATTGAGCCAATGGGCGACCAGATTGACGGCCTTGTAGGTGGTTTGTCTGAGGACCGAGTCGTCTCGCATCTCGTCGCTCAGGTTCTCTTCATCGTGCTTGGTCTGCTTTCGTAGGTTCATGGCTGCCCATTGGCTAGACAGCTTTGTGTCCATTTGCTCTAGGAGCGCTGCAAGTATGGGTGTCAGAAAACCCTGCCGCCTACTGGGTGGGCATTCGTCTATGAGCTTAGGGAGCATCTGCAGCATCACTGAGAAGTGGTGCGGACTCAAAGGGTTGGCAGTGGCAATGGCTGCTTCAGCAATCATAGCTGGAAGCTGCTGCAAGCTGTAAAATGCATCACCCAGTCTGCCGAGTGTGTGAAGAATGCTGTAGCATTGTTCCAGGTTATTTCGCACCCTGCCACGTACCGAAGATGCAAATCCTTCGAGAGTTGAACGCGTTGATTTGACCTGGTTGTGAAACGCATTCATGGACCCTGCTGAGATTCCAGATTGCCAGTACCTATCTCGCAACAGCCGCCGAATTACGGGTTCCATGTTCGGCGAAACATTTGGCCAGGAGCTCGGGTCATGAAGTTGGTGATTATATCTCGTCAGGCTCAGCACATGAGTCAGCATATTCGGTATCAACGGGGACCACAACTTAGTGATCATTTCGTGGAGAGGAGAATCCTGATCCAGTCTTTCGGTTGATATGCTCAGTAAGATCCTCGTCTCCCTCAGAGGCAATTTGGCGAAACCACTCAGCATTTCCTGCTGAATTTGGGCCCCACGGTCATCAAAGGCTACTTGGGACCAATCTTCGATGGTCGCAGCACCTATTTCTCGCAAGTATGGGGCTACTTTATCGAATGCTTGAGAGCGTGCAAAGCTACGTAAGTCTTGAAGTGTAGCCTGCAATCCTTGATCTGCCCATGCTGTAGCAAGTGGCTCAAGAAATCCTTGCAATTTTGTCAGGCGTTGCGAATAGTCAACTGCCGATGCACGCTGCACGACAGAGAATAGCGTTGATTTGAGGTCGATCTGAAGTCGTTCATCAGCGCCAAGCTGATTTATGAGCTCTGTGAACTTGGCTTGGAGTTGATCATAGAAAGTAACAAAGTAGTCAGCATGCTGGAGTGAGAGCCTCCTGAGTTCGCTAACAGCATAGCTGTGGAGCTCATGAACAGCTTCCGCAAACAATTGGTGTTGCTCATGATTTATGATGAAAGAGGAAAGGATGTGCTCCAAAACCTTAAAGGCAAATTCGGTGTCCTTCTGTAGAGCTCTGTTGGACACCTCCACCGCACTTTTGATTTGACGATGCCTTATCTGCGGATCTCTGAAGACTCTCTTTTCCATCATGCTGAGCATCCAGCTCTTACTACTCTCTCTGATTCTGTTTCCCAGCTGTTCCTGTTCAGGGGTCAGTCGGTCTTTGTGCGCGGATTGCCAGCGGTCAAAGCCTTTGAAAGCCGCATCGATTATGGCGAAATCAGCATCCGCCCTTAGAAATGTCATTGAAAATCTTTCATATCTGGCGATGTCTAGCTGCTGTTCAATTGCTTGGATTTCATCCAGAAGATCGTCAACTCTCTTCAAGACGGCCTGCATCGCATTCTCTAGTTGGGCGTAGCAAATCCACTCAATTACCGCAGAACAAAGCCTGCGGTAGTTGAGATAAAAGCCTTGGCGCTCGGGGAATAGTTCTATCTCTTCGTTCACGAAAAGCACAACGGGTGTTTGGGTGTCTTCTGGTAGTTGATCATATTGAATTAGCCGCTCGGATGCAACTTGTAATATTGGGCCAATACAAGAAGAGACTGCAGGCGTCTTGCGCCATGATGGTACCTCAAGCAGCTTCACCCAGGAATGAATCATTGGGATAGAAACTATGAGGCTTTCATGCTCGGCCATATAGGTAAGAAAGTGCAAAAAGGGCGCAAGATCCAGGGTGTTAGGGTCAGGAGATGTATAATGACAGATGTGGTCAGAGAGAAGAGACATGAGCTCAGACAACTTCTTCGAAAGAACATATTTGCTGCTATCAACCTCATCAATCGAGACAACGGAGGCGGAGTAAAGATGCCTTAGTGTCACGATACTCTCAGGTTGAAGCAGTGGATGTACGAGTGCCTGCACCTCGATTTCCTCAAGACGAAGTCTTCCATATAGCGAAAGGAGTGCTTGCACAGCGCCCATTACCAGATCCGGATCGTCAACTGTCAAGAGATTGCATGTGGTTATCAGAGCCCTAGAGTTGACAATGGAAGCAGTCATGATCCAAATGAAAGAAGACCGTAGAGCCGCCAGAGCCTTCAATGTTGCTTCTTTGATAGACGTGTTGCTAGATTGCGCCTCGACACTGTGAGTGAGGAAATGATTGATCCTGCTGAGCCAGCCCTCTTCACCGTACCTCACTTGTCGGGTCACGTCGCCAATTTTGATACCTCCTGCGAAGTTTGCACTTGAGGTGAAAATCTCCACGACAGCCGAATTTAGATCTCGACCACGGAGGATGGCGATGCTATCATCGCGCACGAAGACATCCTCGGAGAGATTTTCGAGCACCGTGAGCACGAAATCCTTGTGAATGAGGTCTCGAGACCACAAACGGACTAAATGCTCGTCAAGGTCAAACCAGTCCAAAGCCCAACTCCTCTTGGCCATCTCTATCCAGAGCTCAGAAATCTTGTTGCGGATGAAAGCAAGATCTGAAGATTCGACTGTGCGGCCGAGTTCCAGGATACAGTTCCGAAGTTGATCGTTCTGCTCTTCGGAAAGCTTGTGGCTGTCATGACGAATAATATAATTCAATAAAGACAATCCGTAATGACGAACGAGTGGCGGTTGTGACCGATCCGTTGAGAGAATGTAACCATATTGGGGAGCATCACTGCTGGTTTTGAGTTGTTCTAGGTAATCCGATGCTTGCCGTCGAACGTCGTTTTTGGTGCTGGGGTTATGGATGATCTCCAATGCTTGTAAGATATTCGAAGTGTCAAAGGTGGTTGGTTGTGCACCACTTGAGACACCATTGGCAATCGGTGCGGTTGACATGACTTTGCGCTTGAAAACCTAATTAGAAGCTTAAGACATCCGCTTCATATCGAGGTTGTTCAGAAAGACAAAGCACAACTCCCTGAGATGGACTGTGATGTCGTGCACTTTTGGTCTGTGAGGTTGCGCTGAGTGGGATCGAAGCCCCTAGATAGTCTTCCTTCGCAAAAAGAACGGAACCAGCTCCGTAATTCCAGGCAGTCTTTGGAGCCTGTTCTTGGAATTTGCAGAAAGATTCGCCTGGCGGTGAAAGGTGCGAAGAAGCACGAAAGATGGAGGCCAGATGGCGGTTCTAGGTAGTTGGTCACGTGGATATGGTGGTCAAACCCTTAGAAGGAGATCCTGCATATAAATAATCCCAGGTTGGCAAGTTATTCAGTTTGCTACGGAGGGCACACGATACAAACCGGGGTCAAAGGGTCCTTCATTCTCACCAAAGCCAGCAAACAATTCAGTGACAAGGGTGGCGGGTGGAGTGGCCCAGAAGAGAAACTTAGCCGGTCATTTCATCCCCTTTTCGTGCGTCAGACGGTGCTTGCTATTATGGGTTCTATGACTCGGTGTATCTGCCCAGGAACAGGGAAACAGGGCTGGGTCTCTAAGGTTAGGGAGCCTTGTTCACTTCAACCATGGTTCGTCAGCCATAGTGGTCCTCTATCGCACAGTGCTGCTATCATGAGCCGTATCACATGGCTACTGTGCTGGAGGACCGGCCATACCTCTGCCCATCTTTCGTGCTCTACCTTCCCTGCGATTGTGACTTGCTCCCCCTCGACCTTTCCCTTGTTCCTTTTTTCTCCTTGCCGCTTGGGTAGAAGAGTCACCAGCAGGACCAGTAGTGCTCCCTCCTCGGCCGCGACCCCAGTTACGATTACCACGTATCTGGGCCTGCCCCACACGATGGCCAGCATTGGCCGATTCCCCTTCTTCACTATCCTCTGGCGTTTCACCTTGCCATCGCGAGGTGGCGAGAGCAGGTTGATTGCCACCGTGGGTTCTCGAAACAGAGTATCTCTTTTCCAAGCGCTCTTGTAGCCTAGCATCTTTCTTTAACATGATAGCCCAACCTTCGATTTGTTCGTCACTCATTCCCGTTTCCCGTTTCAAGTCTTGTCGCACTTTGGAGACACGGGTCTTACTATCACGCCCAAAGACCTCTTCGTTTGCCTTCCAAGCCTTGAACATAAGCTCCTCGTGGGCGTCCTGCTCTGGTGCGTTGTCTGGACGCGGTCTGCTATCCGTGTCAATTGTTGAATCGACTGTTCCTCCAACGTCAGCCACATCATAACTGTCATCCCTTTCATCATCATCCGAATCAAATGCAGCCAACGCGGCCAGAATCGCAGCTTTGCTGCGGTTGTGAGAATTGGCATCCTGAGGTTGATCGACATTGATATCTTTTCGGCCTTTTTGCAATCGAGACCTTGATATTCTCAGATTATCAAAATCGTCCCCATCGAAAACATTCTTCCGTCGAGGCAAGAGCGGTGGTGTCGTGTGTGGCGCGAGATCGTGGGCAGGTCCATCGTAGGACTCAGCTTGTCCTTGAGTTACCTGTGGATCTCGTAGGTTTGCCGGCAACGAGCCAGGTTCAAGAAGGGCGGCAATGACTGCCTCTGTGTCATCGTTCAAGTGATCGAGCAGGTTAAGAATGTAGTGATTGGACAGATCAGGAAATAGTTCGTGAACCTGTGATATCTGGGAAGCTTTGTGCATATGCATCTCCTCGGCCGCGTTTGCCTTTCCTTTTCCCTTTGACACTTTGCGTCTTCTGGGCGCGAGAGGTGGATGAAGGTGGATGTTATTCTGACGATAATTTGTGAAAAATTCTAGCAAGTCTTGGCCACGTTTACCACCGCTTACCGCATCATCTGCAGCCAAGTGTCTGAGGAGAGAAGTTGTGCAAATCAAACTTGAACAAAGTGTTCGCGCATGTAACTGAGCCTTCGCCAGCCGTTCAGACTCGGACTTCATATGATAGAGATGATCCAAGAGCATCGATCCATGACGAGAACCATCGGACATGAGACTTCGAAAACAGTAGAAGATATGTTCAGTCAACACTTTCTGTACTGTAGCCGGGTTCGGTATCGATTGTGTGCGATCATAGGCTTCCATGAGGGATTCGAGGTAGTCTGATCCTGTCATGAGGACAAGGCCTACCTCGGGTGAAGCCTTGACCAACAGATTGAGACGCTTGTATGTGTTTAAAAGCTTAGACGACTCTAGCTGTGCACTTAGATCGGTCAACGCTGTCTTCTTCCAGCCGTCCACCGCGGAGGACAGTTGGACTTTATCCCGCTTCCACAGAGCACTGAGTGTGGCTTTCCAATCTCCGACTGCTGAGTAGACCTGGCTCGCAAGGCCTAGTAAATCAATCAGGTTTGCGCTATCGTATTCAAAAGGTGTTTGGGTCACCAGGAGAAGCCTCCTGAGTAGCAGATACGCTCGCTTAAGCAACAGACGCTCCTTCTGAGCCACCGGTGATGGCGATATATGGGAACCCTCCAAGGCTGAGCAATATAGGGAAACCAGGAAATGAACACCACTCGGCCCCTGCGACAACTTGAATTTCTGAAATTGCTCATCTGCGAGTCGCAGACGATATTCAAGACTGAAGAGCCAGGAATCGAGACACACTTCCCACTCGGTGGATGGTAGAGTCGATTTGACGTTGGGTCGGGGATATGTTGCCAGCGGCGGGACGCCGCCTGGGATCCCTGTAACTTCTTCCATTCCTTTAGCAACTTGATCGCGGATTGGTTACTTCGTCAAATTTTCTCTTCAAAGAAAAGTAAATCCTCTCTCCTAAGTCATGTCATCACTAGATACGCTGGTGGTGACTAACAAAAGCAGGCACTGAAAACACCGGCATCTATGCTCCGCCGAAATTGACGATGCCACTAGATCTATTATAGGCTTAGTGTCATCGCCAAGATTTCCGCCCACACGCAACTTTTCAGAAACGTCAAATCCATTCAGATCGTCGAGACCTTAAGCCTACATCTTTCTTTTCCCCTTCTCCAGCCTCTCATCACTTTACCGAGCCGCAGTTGTTCAGGTCTTGATTGGCGCCGACGCTCTCTCTTCCGAGTAACAGATCTCACAAAGTCAAAACTTCCCACCAAAACCAAATCCACCCATTATTACAAACATGTCTTTCCAAAAGCCCGAGAAGGATTTCGGCGAAGGCCCAGTACGTTTTCATCCATCCTGCATGGGCGTATGAAGTTCTTGCGACAACGGACATATACTAACAAGCAGCCCTTCTCTCGTCTAGAAAATCCACAAGATCCGCATCACCCTCACGTCGCGCAAGGTGCAATCCCTCGAGAAAGTGTGCTCTGAGCTCCTGGAGCGCGCGAAGTCGAAGCAGCTGCGTGTCAAGGGCCCCGTGCGCCTGCCAACCAAGACCCTAAAGGTCACAACCCGTAAGACCCCCTGCGGTGAGGGCTCTAAGACCTGGGACATGTACGAGATGCGCATCCACAAGCGGTTGATCGACTTGAACGCCCCCACCGAGGTCGTCAAGCAGATCATCATCAACATCGAGGCCGGTGTTGAGGTCGAGGTCACTATTGCTGCTTAATTGTGGAACCGAGACTGGTGAAGATCCTGGATGGTTTGGAGGTGGAGAGCCGGGGAACTGAGAGTTCAAGAGAGGGTTGGGAGAAGTTACGACCCACGAGTCATGGACGTACCATGCCATTGGAGTTGACCGAGGCTGTTCTCGATGTTTCAGCGTGCTCCTTATCTGCTCCATGGGATAGGATGCGATAGAGACAAGAATCCAAAAGAAATTGTGCTCTGACTGCACATTCCATACTGCTTTTCCGATAGCGTGCAACGCTACATACATAAGCTATGCATTTCTACGAATATTCGCTCACAGTAGTCCATTCTAGACAGCAGCACCCAAACATGAAAGCGTTCTGCACCACGTCCTGGCGAGAATCAAAGCTCAAAAGTCGTAAACAGCCCATTCACGCATCGGAGGCACCAGCGGGATCTTGCCATGCTGGAAACTGCCGTTGTCGAAGAAATACTTATACTGCTCCTTGATACTATCTGTATACTCATCTGGCGATCCTTGAAGATCATCTAATTTATCTTCTCGATTCAATGCGACAACGTCAGGAGCGGCGGCTCCATCAGGGAACCAGATTTTTTGAAGTCCCTTGCGGTCTGGGCGTTGAAAGCATGGCTCACCATCGACGTATTGGACTCGTTGGCCGCGGTAGGATATCAGTTGGTCTCTGTTTTTCTGAGGCGGTTGGAAGGGAAGTGATTGCGTGACTAGTACAGCGGCGGGAGGCTTTCCGGTTAATGGGTGCGGAGTGGATGAGGTATTGACGATGGCCTTGGGTGGTGGCGGCGGTGCTACTGGTTGAGACGGGGCCGACGGGGCCGGCATTGGTGAGGTAAAGGTTGGCGTAGCAGCATTAGCGAACTGGTTTCCTGGTGGTATGGCTCGTGGTGATGCGCCGGGTGAGTTTGTTTCCATGGCTTGATCACTTGGTTGTTGCTGTGTAGTATTTCCACCGAAAGCATTGCCTTGTGTTGATGGCTGTCCAAAAGAAGGAGTGGCACTCGCTCCAAATGTCGGTTGGGTAAAGCCAGATGATGGCTGACTGGGTTGCCCAAAAGTAGATGTTGTTTGTGAGGGCTGGCCGAAGCTAGACGTGGTCTGACCTGATTGCCCAAAAGGAGACGCAGCTTGCCCGAACGCTGTGGGCTTACCAAACGTCGAATTCGTTTGGGAAGACTGTCCGAATGGCGAGGCTTGTTGCGCAGGTTGACCGAATGTTGGGGTCGGCTGGCTTGGCTGACCAAAAGCCGAAGAGGGTTGAGCTGGTTGTCCGAATGTTGAAGATGGTTGGGAGGGCTGTCCAAATGTCGAAGAGGGTTGTGAAGGTTGACCGAAGGTTGAGTTAGGCTGGGATGGATGCCCGAAGGTTGATGTTGGTTGAGAGGATTGCCCGAATGTCAAATTAGACTGTCCAAATCCACTTGATGCAGAAGCTGCTGCAAAGGGATTCTTCTGCGTAGCGCCCCCGAAGCCGGTAGATCCAAAGGCTGAGGATGGTTGCGAAGGCTGACCGAATGTCGAAGATGGTTGCGATGCCTGGCCGAAGGTCGATGTAGGCTGACTCGGCTGTCCGAACGTAGACGCCGGCTGGGATGGTTTTCCAAATGTAGACGTTGGCTGAGACGGCTGCCCAAATGTACCGCCTGAAGCTGCCTGACCGAAGGGGCTAGACGAAGAACTGCCTCCAAAGCCAGTTGAGCCGAAGGCCGGCTTTCCAAATGTAGAGGAACCCGCACCAAATATAGAGGGTTGGGTCGCCTGTCCGAAGGTTGACGTAGCGGGTTTTGAGAACGGGTTGGATGCAGCATTCGGGGTTGAGCCAAAGCCAGAGCTTGCTCCAGTCGAGCCAAATGGGGAGTTTCCAGAGTTTGCATTCATCCCTTGTGCTTCACTGATGACTTGTTCACGCGTCTTGGTCCCGTCCATCTTCAAGAAGTCCCACCTGTTGGGATGCTGTTTCTCTGCTTCTCTCATCATGTCGCCGATATCATCTACTCGGCTCGCCAATTGCCTCATCTGAGAGTCAGCATTGTTCCACAGAGTGATTGCCTCCTGATCAGCTTCGCCCTCTTTCCCTTGGGCTGCGAGCTCGTAGAATCGCCATCTGACCTCTTCTGGGCTGTAGTCTTCGAAGAATCCTCTGGGACCTTCTCTAGGACCCCACGAGGATAGTAGCCATTTTGGACGACCTTTGCCTTCCGTGAGGTCATTCGTGAACTCAGTTGTGCTAATGAAGTACTCTGAGGCGATGTCCGTTAGCGAACAGGTCAGAGCTAAAGGGAAGGACTTTTGTTGGCAGAGAGGTTATCAGACAGGAACTCGTACCTGGGTTGCGTCCCCCTCCAAACCGATTGCTACCGCCAGACAGCGGAGCGAATCTGTTGCGTGAGGCATTGCCAGCACTATTGGCACCAGGATGTTCAAATCTGCAGTTGTCTTTGAAATTCAAACAGTCAGTAAGAAATGCCGATTTCAGCTGTATGGCCCCCCGGGCTTCAAGGCTGGCACAGAGGGGATAACACTCACTGCCATTCCTGCAACCGTCACGTGTCTGATAGAATTTGCAAATGGCCATTTTGATGAAGGTGATTGCTTGAGGGTTTGTAGGGCTGAGAAATCTCAAGATGTCAAGGCTAGGGTCGCAAGCCGCTGGTTATGATGATATATACCTTCAATAGACCGGCATGGCTAGCGGGTAGTCGGATGACCAGTTGAGGGTTCACCTCGTCCGGGAGGCTGCTGAAATGTGCGCCGAGGCCAATAATGCAAGAGGCCGCAAACACAGCATGCGCTGTACAAAGCAGATCAAGCAAAGCTCAATCTCTTAGAGCCCCTTTACAAAGAATTAGAAAACTTAGGTCAGGCTGCATTTTAATCATTACTGGTAATAGCATTACTTGATATTGTCGTACCCTTCCCCAAGTGAACAAAGGAGAATCTGAGCCGTCAGGGCGGAATATGTCGTGATCACCTGTTGATTGTGTTGTGTTATGTTGTGTTTTGATAGTTTGCTGGGATTTTCCAGGAGACGTGGTTGCGTCGCTGTATGTATAACAATGATATTGGTGTGAAGTCGTCGTTAGAAGAAACAAAGGAGATATTTCGGGACCGCCAGTCAAAAGGCCCCAAGTGTCTGTCTCGTCCCACGCATTCAATTTCGCGAGACCAGGAAAACGCGTGTGCAGAAGTGGCTTAGTGTCGCCCGGCTTACTTTCCATTCCTGACACCATCCATTCACTTCACCTCCTCCCATCGTCCCCGACTTGCACACCGTCTTATTTCCCTCCACCTCATATACCTTTCCTTCCATCACGACCTTGATGATGTCCCAAAAAGATATAACCGTCACTCAAACAAAGCAGCGACCAGCTATCCAACATAGAGGCCAGTGCCCTCCACCCTCTTCCTCCCCACCTCGCCACTCTCATCCACCACCGTCCGTATAATCCACGTTTATTGCGTGTCTATAAGTCGCTCCGTTGCTGTGGGGTGTTGCAGGTGCCGAATGTCTGTACTCTAACGGGCGGAGCAACCTCCTGACCCAGCCATACTTGGCAAGTGGCTTGCTTGTCCATGACCCCTTCGGTCCTTCGAGTGCCATGCCCACGAAGAGTGATTCGATGAATGCATGTGTGTTGTCGGTTGCCGTCGTGTCAACAGCGGTCAGCGGTAGTGGTGGTACTGCCTGAGGATATTGTGCTGATGCCGATGCCGATGGAAGCGACGAATAAAGGTAAGGGTGCTCATCTACCATGATCCCCACAGGGCGTGTAGAGTAGTCGTGATGATGATTGTGATGTTGTCGTCGTTGATGGAAAATACCGTCCTGGAACCCGCCAGAGCTACTCAACTGTTCTGATCTCGTAGACCAAAGAGCCACGATGGCCACCAGCAGCCAAATGGCCGCGGTGCCCGAGGACTTCCGCAACGATGGTGTTAGCATCGCTGTTTTGATCCCGGGTCCCTCTGGCTAGCCTGTAGAGAAAGAAAAAGAGAAGAAAGGTTGAACACACCGTCCCTAATATATAAAATGGCTCGCGTACTGTAACATCCAGCGGTGTCCGTTCCTGCAAAGTCCCAATCCTGAAGTAAGGTAAGCGCACACTTTGAGGCCAGTCAAGACATACCACTGTCCAGAATAGTCATAGACTCATAGCGGTGGACACGTGGAGCTCGAAACAGCGCAGGAGAAGCCACAATCCACGCGCTATTTAGCAGGCCTAAGAAATTAATACCCCATTGGAATACGTCCCGCAGCCGCTACTGCAGAGTTGACCAAGGCCCAACGTTTGGTCCAATATGCATGTAGAAGTCGGTGAGGCGCTACAAGCGAGGTGCTAGCTTCCGTGCCTGGCCAAAAAGCACTTCCTACGCTCAAGCAGCAGACGGAGGACAGAGTTCGGAATGTGTGCTAACATAGTCCGGTCTGTTGATACAGTGTCAATATAATGCAATAGCCACGGAAAAGCCAGGTTCGCAGTAAGACAGAACGATCACACAGAACATAACAAATCTAATTGCCTGCAAGATGATTCCTAGTGGCTCAGACCGTTGTCTGAACTACTGTCCGAATGGGTACCGCCCCATTCCAGCACTGTGGGTAACGATTGACCGCCTTCAAAGCAAATGTGGAAAGAATTGACAGCCAGCTGAGAGGCCGTGAGGTCGGCAGTTTCCCCTTCCCCAAAACTACCAGCCGACGAAATCGATAATCAAGGGCCAGGTGAAGTATATCGTGGTCTCATCAAGTCTGTCAGCGGATCAACCCTTGGGTAGTTGCTCTCCAGAAAACGAACGCTTTTCGTCTGTGTAGGCGCGGGATCAAGGGCCGGTTTCTTTTCATCATAACTAGGGTCTAATTTCCGTCGTTTTGCACTCTGCTCCCATGCATCAAACCCATCGAAATCTGCAGGGTCATCGGAAGCAGTAGCAATAGCAATCGACCTGATGGATTTCCCTTCCAGCGCGTCAACCCAGCGATGTGGGAGACGGGTAGGTCGAATTTCGGCCCACGCTTTGGCAAACATGTATTTGAAGCCAGGAAGCATCCGAAGCAGACTCCTCACTAAGGGAGACCTCTGAAGCAACTCATCGCTGTGGCACACCATCCATTTGGCAACGTGTTGTCTCAAACCCGATAGGGAAGGATTCGTCATTTCTTGGTAGTACAGCAGGTCAAAAAATCTTTTCAGGCTTGTCAATGTGCTGCCACTTTGCTCATGCAACCGTTCGACTTGGCGAGGGAAGAATTCCTTGATACGCCGTCTGAGCCTATCCAACAACATGGAATAGGGATTTTGCTCGATGGAAATGAGCCAGATGAGCATATCAAGACTGCCTTCGAGGGCGGTGGGCCAGAGGTTGTTGATCAGAAGCAGCGTGGTCTCAACATTGCACGTATATGTCCAGAATATGTAGGTCTCAATTCGGTCTTCACATACGCCTTCCCCAGCAAGGCTCAGCAATGATTGGTGCGTGTTTTCGATGTCTTTCTGAGATGTAAATCCACGTCAGGCCCAGATTTCTCCTTCTAAGACCTATGTTGAAGACTTACCACACAGAAGTAGATTGAGCTGCATATACTTTCGCGATCGACCTTCTAGTATCGGCTGCAGCATCGGATGGTCAAGTCAGGATGAGGATTCGTAGTAAGTGCACTTCAAGATGTTGGTGATCTGATAGCACAAGGAGTGATTTCCATACAGCAGACGCAAGACAAGGTCTTCGTCAAGGACCACCTGTTCTTCAAATGTCTGTTGGATGTGGTATTGTTCGCCTTCTAAGCTGGTAAGGATTCAAGAGCCCAACTTACTCTCAATTATGCCCTTCTCTTCGTTGTCGGATATGTCTTCTTGGCAGGATGCCATACTATCATCCGTATCTCGACCGGAAGACCCAAGAGCAGCCTCGAGGTCATCGAAATAGGGACGAAATTAACCAGATGAATGGAAATGCGATAGATAGGCCAAGCAATCCACGATCTGCATTCACAGCGTAAGCACGACGTCGAGGGAGGCTTCAGCAGCGAAAGACCGATTCAGGCAAAGAGATACAAAAAATTAAGTCGCTAGAGAGACGGGTTCAGTTACGCGGTAAACAAGAATTAGATATAACAAGTTGAGATGGGTGATGATGCAGATGCTTACATTGCAAGACTAGCGATGAGACTGGTATGAAAGACGAGTAGTTCCACGACAGTTGGTTGATTCCTGCAGGAGCTTGGGAAATAGTGAAATAGGAGGGGGGAAGAAAATAGTCGAATGGGAAAGCATGTATCAGATCTGTGCAGTGAACGGGGAATCATAGGCCAGGTGTTACCGCCAAAGGTAAAGATGCGATCCCAACATCGCTGATTCAATATTTCATGAGTAACTTTGCATCTGCCACTTCCGGATTATCTTGATTCATCTCTCATTCCGGAAGGTGAATAGAACCGTCCTGCTGAATTGATAAAATTACCCTGTTGATCGTTTGCAGCTAGGGACCAAAGCAGCGCCAGTCAGGAGTAGCGCACAGAGGCATAGACTTAAATGCGTGGTTGGGATGAAGTTCCTTATTTTGGCATTCTCGACGCAAAGGCCGAGAGGGACAGTCCGGCGATTTGGCTTCCGACACAATGGCTGTTTCGGCGGGATCTGTCCAAGCAACTAGATGCCGTTTCCTTTGCGGCAGCACAAGCATATGAGATATTTCTCGTTCGAAGGTCTGTGGACAGATGTTATGGACATAAGCGTATCCTGCTATGTCGTTTAGCAGTCTCTTATGCGAGTTTGGTGAGGCTGTCTCTCTGGGAAGTGAAATCCTTGCTTGTCTGTGATAGTGCCAGAAACTTGGTTTATAAAATTGTACGGGGCCGAATCCACGTAGAGGGCTAGAATAACGAGAGAAGATCTTCGTTCGTCTTCTTTCCACTGGCATTGTCCAACTGTTGCTGTGGTGGTGGTGGTTGAGATCCGGACAAATCCATCGTTGCAAAGCCATTCATAATGTCGCTGTCTGACATTCCACCAAACGCAGAACTGGATGGGCCAGCTGATGTACTTCCGTTGCCGAACACTCCAAGGAGATCATCCATGTTGTTTGCTGGTGCAGGCTGGCCTGCAGTTGGTGATGCCACTCTTTGAGGAGTGCCTGCCAGCCCCTCAAGACCAGAGAGGCCATTGGACGGCTTTTCTGTCGAGGATGCCGGAGCAGCACCATCAAAATCGATGTCAAGCAGGTTTTCGATATTGTTTTGAGCTTCCGGAGCCTTGCCTTGCACCACTGCTGCTATTGGATTTTCTCGAGCATTCTGCATTGCCTCTTCAATGGCAGCTTGCTGCACAGCATCGGCGCCAAAGCGGCCTTGGCCAACGAATTGCTCGGGAGGCTTGTGGTAAACGGACGCTAATGTCGTGAGCTCACCCAGCAATCTTTCCAGTAATGCCGGAGGTAGAGACTGTATAGTCGTAGTAATGGGAGGTTTCTCGGAAAGGATGATATTCTTTGCTGCATTTTGGTCGGTTGTATTCGAAAGGAGGCGCCAGTAGACATATGCCCTGTCCCTTATGTCGGGGTTATCGGACTCAGCTGTGGCGGCATTGAGAACCTTCTGGACGAGACCTTGGGCAGCTTGTGGTCGTTTCAGGAACAGTTTTACCACGGCAGTCAATATTTGTAGTTGTGTCTAGTATTGTTAGTAGAGTAGATCAACAATGGTCTGCTGTTGTACATACCTGAGTGAATTCTTCCGCAAAGCCATCCACAAAACCGCCCAGAATATCGCCAGCGTTGCTGATCTTCTCAGCATATTCACCAACAATCCAGATGAGCGATCCTCTGGCATTGGGCTCGTCGAGTTCGTCTATGCATTTGCAAAGGGTCGGAATAATACCCTCGTAGCCCGGATACTTGCGGAAGATGTCCTTGATCACAACAATTACCTCCTGTACGACATAGTTGACTTTAGTATTGATCAAGTCAAGGAGAGTATTCACGCATCTCTCGCTTGCACTTTCGATCTTGATCGCAACTTGTCCGATGGCTTTCACAGCCCGTCGTACGAAGTCCATGTCCACTTCGAGGGCATATTCTTTCAATTCAGCCAATAACTGATCGACATTAGCCTCATTAGCGATTCGTACCATAATTTCGAGTTTTTGGAATTTGAGATAAGGGGGGTCATTGTATTTGCAGAAAAAGACTCGAATCTCCTTGCTGAGAATGTCGGGTTGTTTCTGTAATAAAAGGTCGATATTTCGCAGCGCCACATACTGTACTTCCGGTGCGGAGGACACCAAAGTGACAAGCGGCGGTGCCATCTTCTTCAAGTATGATTTCTGGGCGTCATTTGGGAGATATTTCATGTGCAAAAACACGGCCTTGACGGCTGACACGACCACACTTGAGTTGACGTGTTGAAATTGCGGAGAAACGCGTTCACAGATATGTTCTGCTTCCTTGACATCCTGCGCTTTATAGTCCGCCAGTGTGCTGAGAATGGTTACTCGGCCCCATTCAGTGCATTCGTTGAGCGCCATCAGAAGCTTCTTCAGGGTATTTGGTGTAATTTGGAGTGCATTTGTCTCTGGTGCAGATTCCCCAATTTCAGACAGGGCTTGAACGGAATTGGCCACCACCATAGGATTAGGATCGCCGATCATCTCTTGTAAGATCTCAAGAAACCCGTTTTCGAGACACATCGCAGGGTTCAAGTCAAACAATTTGGCCACACATATGGCGGCTGTTTTGCGAACGTAAGGGGATTCATCTCGCAATGTCTTCCGTAGAGGCTCTTCCATGTAGTCGATCATCTTGTCAACTCGTATACAGCCCATAGTTCGAATGGCCAGTGCTCGAATGAGGGGATTCGGGTCCTCTGAGTCCTGGACGAAAGTGTTGACCGCGAGAATACAGAGATCGGGATGGGACTTTGCGTAATTCCTGAGACGAAATCAGTATCGAACTATTCACAAATTGTGAGATTCAGCCAACATTAAATATAGGTAGACCAGCTTCTTCTGATCCAGATCTGCCGTCGCGATGTTCTTCAGGACATCTGGAAACAGCTGTGAGACATCTTTGCCCAATGTCATGGCCATGATGGTTTTCTGTATTGCCTCTTTCCTAGGACATCGTATTAGCGAGCGATCGTGGTTACGAGGTCGCTGAGCTCACCGTTCATAAGCATATTGCGATCTAGCATGATTCGGTCAGCGAAGATCTGGGTATAATTAAGAAGCACCATACACGAGCCCTGCCCTAAGTTCAAAAGTTTCGCCCTTCCGAGGAGGCGCGAAGGCGCTCCGCATTCGGTTCATCGCCATTGTCATTAAGTCGTGGAACGGACAGGATTTGGTTGGTCGTCAATTTCTCGTCGGGGGCTCTGGGAGATTCACCGGGCTATCGTGCCATGACAATGAATCCGAACACAGTACTTATATGGAGACCTCTGATCCGAAAATTGGAACTGGGGATGTGGCAGTGGAGAGGAGTGCCGGAGAAGCTGCAATGAATGTTTGTGCCTTGCCTAACGAGGGGGACGAATTGTCAGTTGACATCGAGACACGGCGGGCGCACTCCAGACGCCAAGATTGATTACCCGTTGAGGGTTAGGGTGACGCCGCCTTGTGCTTGGCTCACGTGCATTGCGGTTCAGCTAGAGCCTTGCCGCTTTCTAACACTTCTACCACATCTTTCTTCTTTTCACATCCAGCTTGTTCCTTTGGTGATCTTCTCCACATCAACGACGGTGGACAGCAACGAAATAGGTAAGCTTCTATGCACATCAAATTATTCTCCCCTCGCTCGCCGGAGCAAGCGCGAAGCAGCTAAGGAGATGTGCTTGACATGGAGGACATGCTGCTTAATTCCTATTGTACCACGTAATGGAAGCAGTCTCTGCTTACAAATTTCATCCTGTGGACTGTCAGCGCCCAAGTTTTCAATACACATTTGAAACAACGATTGGCCTCTTTCCACGAGCTTGCCCTCCAACTCAGCCTTATCAAGCTCAAACCTCAATGCAGGAGGAACTAGTGTCCTAGGAACTGCGCGCAGATATCCCTCCGTACTTCTGTCGCCACTTGCACCTGGTCCACTACAAAGCATTGACCTGGCATGAATTTTGCCCACTAACTCAAGGTCAATGCCAGTGGGTGATGTCGGCCATGAACCACCTCTGATATCAGCATAAAGGTCTAGATATTTGCAGCATCGTTGACGCATGGCGTTTCATACGTCACATTGTCATGAAACACAGCTCCTGTATCATATAGATCTTGAGCTGTAATCTATGCACGAGCATTCTCACATACACGGTCAACCAATTTGACTGCCGCGGTGAACTGTTCCCGCTCAGTGAGCTCAACGGCATGATTGAGGTCTCTTTGGATTTTCTACGTGGGAATTCTGGACTCAGTGATCACGGCTGTGTTGCTCCGAGGAGGGCTGGACTACTCTCAGATTTTCCGGCTGCGTAATTGCGGGTGGCATACAGCGCCCTCTGGAGGCCATCGAGAAAGGTAATTTTTGCAGGAGCACGGCAGGGGCTCTCGATCGACCGTGTGCCTGGCAATGCAGGCATGGCCGAGCCATTCACAAGGGCTCTTCGAGGATTGGATTGTCAAGCATTCCCTTTTGTCATGAAGACGGACATATTTGTTGTCTATGATTCGGCCACTGCTCAGCATCATGGTTGAACGTGCGCTTTGATCTTCGTTGCCAAACATTTGCTTGAAGGCCTCTATGTCTTCATGTTCAAGGCCATACTTGCGGGTGTGCCACTTTCTCAAGCGCTTTAGCGCTTTTTGTACCTGGAGGGTCTGGCCAACCCACCAGACATATTCATTAGAGGGAGGAAGCCGATACTTCGCTTTGGAACCGTATTTGAACTCCATTGTAAGCGCGACCTTAGCCCGAGACATATCGTCCTCGAGGTGGAGTCTCTCAATGTGTGTATGCACACCATCCCATTGTGGAGCTGGAAGTCCACGTTTCCGAGTACCTGCACGTTGGTGCTGCATCACTGGGGATGATTGACACCTTTCGCAATGGTTAGACTTGTGCTGGAGCCCGGATGCCTTGAGTTATAATACCTTCTGTCTCTAGTACGCAGTATATTCCTTCATGAAAGTCTGTCGTATACATGCCACTCATCATGGAGAGTAGTAATTTTGACTACGGTCCAAGACGAAGGAAAAATGCTACTGCTAAGGGCAGGTGGATAATCGCGATCCAGGACGTGGGCACTCGAGAAACGGTGAGCACAGCAGGCCATCGATCTCTCGCCATCCTTACAATACCAGGTCCATTACAGTGTCGCCGTCTATCCGAGGGCGGACCAGGATCTCCTTCTTCCGCGAAAAGTTAGTACGGGCAGCAGGCAGAATTAGCTGTTTGGAAAGTGCCGGGGGCTGAATACCAACTACTCTCCAGTAGTACGCATACATAGGAGCCAGCGCCAGCAAAACTATCGTTTTCCCAGACCCAAGTAAATCAACGCCCAAGTCTGCCTCGCCTTGTGCAGCTGTGCTCAACCCCCAAGGAAATACCAGACATAATCTGACAGCTTTTTCTGGGCCTGTGGGCACGCATGATTGCTATGCCCAAGCCATCTACCTTCTCTCGGGGTCAGGCGCGCGAGGCCCAATCCATAGCGGAATATGAAAGCATGCATTGATTGACCCTCTATAAGCATTGTTGAAGGTTGGCGTGGCCTCATGCTGAGCATTGCGTGGTGTAATTAACTCGAAGGGTTCGCTGACAGGCACCAGATTCTCCGTATTTCGTGTCATTTATTACCCGGTAGGCGGGCGACCCGCTTCTTCAAGTCTCGTCTCAATTCTCTTCAGAGATAGCCCCCAAACACTCCCATGCAGGACCACGTCTCACATTCGTTGCAGCGCCTAATACACGCCACCGCTACCAATGACTGGATGATTTGCGGTCTAATCTCAAGCCATGTTTCCTGAGTGACGAATAGCTTCTAGCGAAGCATGAGCCTAGACAGGCCCTCAAGAGGTTGCATTGCCTCCTAAATCTGAGTCTTTCAAGCCTATATCTTTAGACCAGGCGAGCTCAAGTCCCCAAATCCCCTCGGGGGAGCTCGAGCGACAAAATGTATCCTCTTCGCTCGCTTGCTGTCCTTGCATCTCCTCTCAACATTCTCCCCCCATGAGGAGCCTGAAGGGTCTCTTGAACCCGTTTGAATTGTCAAATTTTGCAATTTGTTTCCAATGCACAGAGAGACAATGCCAGCAGAGCCTTGCGAATATGGTCTCTCTCTTTTACACACTAGTACGGGCGTCGCAGAGCCCTTCCCAAAGCCATCATGGATGACAAAGCCACTACCAGAGGTCTCGGAACACCTCCTCCTGGGAAAGCCCGGTCGCAAACATCGCATACCGAGAAGAGATATCTATCTCTTGTTGATCGAGCTCCTCTGTCTCGTCGTTGGAGTTCTCGTTGGCTTCTATTCACGATTCGCCATTTTCTTGGGACAAATCAACCAGCTAATTGCTGTTGGGTTCCTTCTGGCCGTGATGTCCATCTGTCTCGAAGGCCTAGTCCTACGCACAGCAGTCATTCATACAGCCAGTCGGAGTGGCGCAACGATTCAAGACCTCGATGCCTTGATGAGGAAGGATCCTCTCGCATCAAAAGTTCACGCTGCATACCGTTGTCTTCTAGTTTGTCTGTTTGCCCTGCCCTTATTATTGAGCATAGGATATAAAAGTTTCACTGGAGGAGAGAGCACAATGAAATTTGATAATAGTGATGGATTTTTTGGTTTCTCGTCGACCCCTGGGAAACAGAGAATAGGTGATGGCCTTTCTCTGCTCCCTGATATCTACGTGCCATTCTGGATTGATCCTGCGCTGAACCAAACATACGGCTTCAACATGTATGTAGCTGCTGACAACAAGACCGCCGCGATACTCGACTCTCCTTTTCCGTCATACTTGACTAGCCTCCAGTCTGATCTCTCCGAGGGTGAAAACCTAGTATTGTCAGCTACAGTCAATGCAACTGTTTCGGAGATGGTTAATCCGACCGACGCCGAACGTAACAGTGATGAATACTGGGAATCTGTTCAAGACGAGTTTGGGCATCAAATGACAGTCAACGGCGGGGATACTGGAGGGGCTAACAATGCTCTCTGGGCAGGAATGAGTGGAGGCTTCCTCACCAACTTCTCCGTCATGTACTTCTCAGCCTGGAATACAACAAGCAACGAGACATTCGTTTCTGAGGCCATTCGAACGGAACAGACTCGTCGAATGGCGCGAGGCAAATGGCTGATATCTTCCAAGAACATCACGCTCGTTGAGGCAGACCTCATCGACGAAGGACAGGCAAACCAAGAGCTGATCCAACAAAACGCTCTGGGTCTGCAGGAGATGTTCAGCACCTTCCTAGGAGAGTACGACTGGCACAACAGAGCCGGAGTTTTCGACTTCCCTTACCCGGCTCTCGGGGAGAACGGCGAGCCCCGATATTCTCAAAATGTCAACACAGTACCAGCGCTGGCTGCAGCCATGGCCTGGGCTCGTATCACCAGCTTAGACACCATCGACCGGTCACCCGGCAGTCCTCTGCCGAGTAGCGGGTTGAGAACGCATACCGGATACGACAAGGTAGCGCAGGACATCCAGATGGTCAAAATTGTGCCTACGCTGCGCAGACTACCGTTGCTGGTGCTGATCCTCGTGGCCAACCCGCTACTGGCTATCATTTGCGTCGTGGTCAAGGCCCTGTTCCTGTACAAGAGCCCGATTGGGGACGAGTTTAACATTGTTTCACTGTTTGCAGCTGTAGAGGGCAGTGACTTGAGTGTGGTCAGGGGTGCTTCGATATCTGGCGAGTTGACCCGCCGAGTCGCCGTAGCCTTCAATGTCAAACAGGAGCCGCAACGGGCCGGTGATCCTGGGCGAACCGACCGTCTTATCATGACCTTAGACACCGGCAGTGGAAAGGATGGTTAGATCTGACATATGGGATTGTAGATTTCTAGAGCTAGGCAAATTCACTTCTACTGACTGCACATGTGAACGTACGCATGATAATGTATATTTATTTACGATTGGCCACAAATGCTGAACCATGAGCAGGAGGTTGATGGCTGAAGCTTTGATTTTGAAAACGCCCACCTCTAGCTATGATAGAATCCCTTTCTATGTATTAACTTTGCTCCAAATCACTGCCATTATCATCAACAAGGTTCAAAGGCGCGAGCGATCCTTCAATTCCCTCGCCACGTCCTTCCCCAGCACCTCAATATCCTGCACAAGTCTCTCAACCGTCTCCCTAACCATGCTGATATTGGTCACGACACGAAAGAACGCCCCTTTCTCAGTTTCATGCCCCAAAGCAGGCGCGTAATCAACCATGAACCCTCTCCGCACCAGCAGTCGCGTGATTCTGGACGTCACCACAGAATTCCTCTTTCCGACTTTGGTTTTCTCGCTCTCATCCGCCCTGTTGGAGACTTGGTATACCGAGGTCCGGCCAGGTGCATAGTAGAAACACACCTGCAGGCACGGGGGGGGGTTCTGGCTGACGAGTTGGAAGTTGCTGTTCTTCGAGACGAGGTCTGCGAAATATGCTGCCGTGGAGTACGCGTTCTCGATTTTCAACGCATAGCCTAATGTGCCGTAGTATTGCCAGCTCAGGAAGAGTTTCAGACTATCGCCGCGCCGGCCGCATTGTAGGGTGAGATCTGCGAGATCCACCGGCTGACTCCACTCGTCTGTGTTCTCATGTGAACCTTGCCCGTTGGCTTCTACTCGCCTCTGCTCGGGGTTCTCGTCATTGTCAAGATCCTGCGCCTCCTCCACATCGTGGAACAGATAACCCGCCCGCAGGGTACATGCCCTCTCAGCATCTCGCAGATCCTTCAGGATCAAGAAACTGCAGGTGACTGGAACACCAAGCATCTTGTGCGGATTGATCGCGATGCTATCTGCCAATTCCGCGCCGTTCAACCTTTCCTGTCGCAGGGAGTTCGAAAAGGCAAAGCTCCCACCCCATGCTCCGTCAATGTGCATCCACAAACCATGCTTCTTCGCAATCGCAGAGATCTCTGTGAATGGGTCGAAGGATCCAAGAACCGTCGTGCCTGCCGTGGCATTGACGTAGAACGGGGTGCGGCCCTGCGATTTCTGCTCCACGACCAAATCCTCGAATTCTTCGGGACGAATTTGACCCGTCGTTTCGTCAACTGGAATGGAAATGACAGCGGCGCTGCCAAAGCCACATTGTTGTGCTGCTTTAGTGATGCTGTAGTGCCCGTGCTCAGACGTGAAGAGAACAAGGTCGAGTCCATCTGCATTGTTTCCATGAACTTTCGTATTGGGATACAGTGTATTCCGGGCAATGACGATGCTGGTCATGTTGCTTGCCGAGCCCCCTTGGACATTTATCCCGCCCGCTCTTGAGCCTTTCAGACCAAAAAGAGATGCGAGTGCTTTCGTGACATGGGTTTCGATGAGCGTGAGAGCGGGGCTGACTTGATAGACATGAAGGTTCGTGTTCAGCACGCTTAGCGTCAGATCAGCTGCGATGCCTGGTGCGAGCGGTGCAGAGTAAAGTTTGTCCAGGAACCCAGGCGAGGAGGTGTTTACGGAGTAGGACAATATCGAGCTTAAAGATCGGAGCAAGCCTGCCTGACTAGATCCATGCTCAGGGAGGGTCAAGGTTCCATCCTCAGTGAGAATGTAAGTCAGCTCAGATGGCGACTTGGTGTCTACCAGAGAGGTTTCAACGACTTCGTCATGAACCTGGTGTGCTCGAAGTTCCTGGTCTGCTGAGGTAAGGAAAGGAATCAACTGGGCAAGAACGGATTTGATGAGACCCTCGATTTCTATTGCTCGTGAGGGTTGGGAGTCAGTCTTATATCCATTAGTGACATTATGGACCTGGGTCGCGGTCACGGCAGCGTCGCCATTCTCTTGCTGTAAGCTTCTCATTGTCTCGGTTCTAAACGGGGAATATCAGTGTGACGGGTTGAGAAATTCGGGGAGGCCATCAATCTAGCGAAAATGACAGCACAGATAAAAGGAAATCTAATTGTACAGAGAAGACCAAACCAGGCCTACATGAATAGCCGTGAGTCATTGGTTGTTTTGGCATTTGCTAGTTAAGTACTCCATACATGCTTGCATCCGTTTGAAATTTCTCCAAATGACGCAATCCGGGCGACCCACGAGGCTGAGGTGTGTCATGCAAAATTCTCAGCCTTGTCACTACTAGCTAGCCCCCTATCACCCGAGCCGCAAGGTTGGCCAACATGTCGCGGAAACGAGCCTTGCTCATGCATTTGTTGAAACAATAGCATTGGATCCTGTTGCCAACTTGGACGGTTTTGAGCCCGACCCATGCGGTTTGCGGTGTGCATGTCGCTCGCGTGCGAGTTGAATTGCAGTCTTCTTGGTTTCAGACTTTCCAGCTCCTGTCCGATCACTTCCACCTATGCCCTGTGCTTGGTCCTGAGCAGTTTGGCCTTTTGCTAAAGCTCGCCATTCAGCTTGTCGCCTCCGGAACAGATCCATCGCCCAATTCTTCCAAACATTCCTTCCAAAAGGTGATTCTCGTAATTGCGTCTCGCTTCCAGCCAGCTCGCCAGCGAGTTTCTCCTTCATGAAATGCAGGCCATCTGTTGCAGCGTAGAGAGCATCCGCCACATAAGAACTTGTCAGTTCGAGAGAGAGCGGAACCATGTGACCAGAAAAATTGGGGATAAACTGTCGGCGGAAAGCAATATTGGTGTGAGAAGGACTGAGCGAGGCTTGAACGAGACGAGAAGCCGGGGGATCACGACAAAGTGCCAATATTTCATCTGTGGAGAGTGATAGAAGGCTCTCATGGACGACGTTAGCGGTCGGTTTCGCCTGGAGCATTGCTTGTGCCAAGAGTGAGCCATGAACATCGGTTTTGTGACGTGATGCCTTGGAGTCGGCGTTGGTGGTATCAGCCGATGATTTCTCTTGATTTTCCTCTTCCAATTTGGCATTCAAGACATTTGATATGAAAGATGATTCGCCATTTCCGTACTCGGCTTTGATTACATCTGCCAGATCTTGCAGATCAGCTCCACGCACTGCAGATCGTTCGATCAAGACTTTGATTAGCCCTGTTCTTTGCCGTGATATCAGAGTGGGTATCACTGGCAATATCAGACGCTTGGCTTCTATCAGATCATCTTTTCCAAGTCGTTCGAGAATCCTAACGGCAACATAACTAGCAGCATCGTTCTTCGCCATACTGTCTAGTTTTGGCTTTAAAACTGCCTTGTAAATGGTTTTGTATTGTTTCCCCGGTAGTCTCTGCACGAGAAGTTCGACTAGATGCGACCCCGCTGGGTCATAGATCAAGCCTGACAAGAATTTAGCACTGTCGGAGTGATGCTCCAAGTTCGCCTCTGGGAATAATTTTGAGAATAATGACGTATCTTCGGTCGACTTGTTCTTGTTCGAACTGGAAAGCTCGAGTTGGAGTAGTAGCTGTAATACCGGATTGCCTAGTGGATGTGTCGCTAAAGCCCGCAGGTATGTGGTATCCAGAGAAGATATGGCGCTTTGAATCAATTCTGACAGTGCCTGATGGAAGCTTTTCGGAACTACTCTCTTAGTTTTTGGCATTTCTGGGTTTATTTTCTCAGGCGTATCGATCTTTTCCTTTTTCTTGCTTGCGAGCATAGACTTCACTGACGAGTCGTCCAACGGCAATCCAGAGAGAACAAGGAATAGTACCCTGACTGTATGAGACGCAAATCTTTCGGTGAGTAGAAAGCCCATATTTGGTTTCAGCTCTCCAGATGCACGGAGGAAGAGTTCCTCTAAGGAGGCGGGAGTGTCTTCGCTCTCCTCCTTGGACGATCTTTTTTCCTGACCAATAAATTTGGCAGCTTGAAGAAACAATGTCTCACAACAGTGACTGCCAAATCTATGCTGTACCAGAGATGTGAGATTTCCTAGAAATTTGCTGAAAAGGCCGCGTAATTGAAGCGGCGTAGACAACAAGATAATTTTCTCTAGGTACCTCGAGCAAGACTGACTCGATGCTACTTTCAGCTCTTTTCCTTCAGTTTCTCGATGAACAGCCTCGATGAAGATCGTGCGATCGTCTTCAGACTCGAAGTCGTTTGATACAATCTTGGCATTAACATTTGAGTAATATTCTTGTTCCTCGGGGTCAAGGAGGCCATGGAATTCACCTTCGGTTACTGGGGCCTGAACTCCATCGGGCGGTGGGATTTCAAAGCTGATGAAGTCATCTCCTGCTTCACCACTCACGAGGAATTCATTTCCGAAATCTTCGGGATGGTGATCTTCTGGTTTGAACCTTTTTGAAGGCTTTTCAGCTTGGTCGTTCACTTTGCGCTTCTTGCTGGTCTTTTCCTCCCGACGGCCGCGTTTCTTCTTCTCCTGAGGCATATTTCAGACCTTGCAACTATGGTGCGATAGGATGGCTCAGTATTGACATTCGGCAATCGGTGTGCGTAGTTTGGTCGTATGAAGTTGTAATTTGCCGACGATCAACAGACTACACATGTAGTATCAGAAATTTGGGGTCTACGCGAAAAGTTCCTGCCAAGCCTGAGGGGGTTAGCTCCCTCTCTTTTGGGACTTGGGTGACGCCGCCTTATGCACACTCTTTCTTTCTGTACAAGGTTCGGCCCGAGGCGCCCGAAAGTTTATGCGTGTTGGGTCGCGGATGGGCCATGGTGGCTGCCAGCCAGGCTCAGCGTGCTTGAATCACTGGATTGCTGATACCTACTTGTAACTAGTGATCGGCTCCAGTGCCTCAAGAAAGGTCTTTCTTAGAGTCCATCTCAAGACCAAATGAGAACTCAGACGGCGACAAAAGCGGCGCATTGGTAGGGACGTTTTTGGTCACTTACGACAGGATCCGTTGGCGGTGGAGGAAACAATTTGGAGTCTCGCCTCTAGATTTCAACATAGCGACGAATGGGCCTCACCAAGTTTTCAAATGATGGGCTCACATCTGCAGTCACTGTTGCTTCACTCGACACTACCGATCTTCTCATTCGCTTACCTAGAGGCCACCTGACTGCCCCTCCACTCCAAGTCCCATCGTTTCCGTGACCACTGGGAGGTTGTTAAACGCCTCCTTGAGAAAGGCGCCAGACCCGATGCATAGCAGAAATTACGATAGTTGGTCGAAATTTGCCAATGCGGTGGCAACTTCGCCTGGGGTACTGTGATGTACGGGAGCTTGCGAGCTGTGTACGCATAGGTTGTGTGAGAAATTGTATTGGCAGGCAGTGTTTCTCGGTCCTTTCCAAGCGTTTTTGTGAATACGTAGGTACTCTTTGAATTGAATGTTTCCGTGCATATAGATCTGTGGGGAGAATAGAGTCCAAGCTACTGGTTTTCAAAAGAATTTCACCTTCTGACGGCTTTTCTGTGATGACCAAGCCGAACCGCAATTTCAACAGATCGGTGATGCCGCTGAGAAGAAGCACGCTACTCCACGGCGGCACATTGGGCTATCTAATTAAATTCAGCTATATATCCCCCCGGAAGTTCGGCTATCCCTGGATGGGCATGATGAGTTGCTGCTAACCTCTCGGGTGAGAACTTTTTATACAACTGAGACTCCTGCATTGTGGTTGGACTCCAAGTCTGAGCAGCCTGGTCTGGATATTCGAAGCCAGTTGAACGCCCCACGTTCGCGGAATCTATTTGAGTTTGTTTCGAGCCACGATCCCTACTCTTGAAGACTTTGTATCCGAGAAAAACGGCTATAAGAGTAACAGATGCTAGACCTGTACCCAGACCAATGACTAGAATGTTGCTATCCTTTGATGGCGGCTGTGCTGGGTTAGCGTAAGCTGAAGACGCTGCTGCAGATATCGATGCTGTGGTCGCCTGAGTGGGTGTCGTTCTTGACGATGCTGTTTTGGAAGACGACTAAGTGGATGTAAAGGTCGATCTTGCACTTGAAGTTACTTCTGCCTGAGTGGTGATGTTGAAGTAGCGGCTCTGAGCTGCATATACAACGTCGTCACTAGTTCCAAGTGCCACTGAGAAACAGAATAATGGTGAGAATTCTAAGCTAAAAGATCCTGCTTTCACAATCGAATCGAACGAATTCTCTCCAATGTTACCTGAAATAACAGCTAGCAATTTCTTAGAACTGTTTATTCTTCGACTGTTTACCAGCGTGATATGAACATACCTTGAACAGCGTTATCGTCGCAGAAGAGACCTTCTCCGTTCAGCCCCAGCTGCCATAAATGGATTGCATAGGTGGTTTCGTCCGTGCTTCAGGTGATGGTGAACGGTGTGTTCAGCAAAAGTTGGGGGTTATCTATAAAGTCTGTAGTTGTATTGTTAGAGAGTTCGAGTGGGTTGATGAAGTAGTTTGAAACTCCATCGACACAAGAAAAAAAGCAAAAAGCCAAATGAAGAAGATAAGAATACAAGAGCATCGCGGCTCTCCTGCGGCAGCCAGATGGTAATGAACTGCTCCGCAAATTTGAATGTTCACTAGAGCAGGTCTGAGTGATTTAATACTCGTCTCCAGCATAAACATGGGCAAGACAGACAGTCACGGAAGGCTGAGTGCCTGGGTTGCGGAACCTTATTCATGCTTCTACCGTCGATTGTCCCCATGAAGCCAGATAGTTCTGAGAGCTATTGGACGATGCTAGCTGCGAGATACAAACTGTACGACCATCCGAGACTTCTGCTTCGGATAACTGCGTGTTTTTTCACTCAGCTGTCCTGTCAATCGTAGATGCCTTGCAACTGTTGGCCCCAGCACGCCTTGATTCAACTCAGGTTGCGAATTCGTACCACCGTTGTGTCTTTCAATCACGAGGGCTTGACAGGCCCATCTCCCCTTGGTCGGGCGTTTGACTTGTGGCAGTCGAGTATCGGTCAACTCGATGGCCACTAGGAATGAACGCAGCAGCATTACCTCGTACGAGGCATGAGCACAATCTACAACGGGGCAGAGTATCAGTAGCGAGTGCGCTGTGGGCACTGTATTCCCCGAAGGAAGTTATTTGTACGAGGGCGTTGGCATTACTGTGTCATTACTAACACCATTATTACTATTACTCTTGTCTTACTGATCAGACTGGCATGCAATCCTGGACGCATTTGATGATGGTGTAAATCTGGCTTTCAAAATTTTCCCGGTTGATTTTATTGATTTTTCCGTACATTTATTTTGGTTGCTTGATGGTCTGGTCAAAGTTAATGTTCACGGTGGACAATTGCGCCATGTGATGTATTCCCTTCCGATGTCGTTAAAGTGCAGACATGATGGGACCATATTCAAGGACTATCTTGCAAAATTATATTGAGGCACAGCCAGCTAACCTAGGAACGTGCCTTTTTGCGAGGACAACGCCGGATTAACAGAAAGTCAGACTTTAATGTACCCGACCCCGCACTGTGAAACGAGTCAGGAGATCTATTTCACGGATGATCGACAGGCCAAGACAACCTTATTTTCACTGTTGACTTATAACCTTGGAATTCCTGGGGTCTGCATCCGTTCAAGTTGGCAAATGAAGTTCAAGAAGCTCTTGTCAAGGAGCTCGAGCCGCGAAACGTGTGCAGCCTATAACATCTGCCCCAGACGCAGGAACTACATGCTTTACCGATTGTCTCAAGGCTGCCTAGTTCAAGATACATCATATCGGGGCCAAGTTCCACCCTGAATAGGACAGATCGTACCCCAGAACACATCGAACCGCTCTCGTTCTAGACGGAATTGTCCTCGATCTCTGACTTCTCGCGTGCCACAGTGACCGAAGCTCTCTTAGAAGCAGCAAGGCCATCGGCGCAAAGCCCGTGATGCTTTGCAGGAGCTTCTAACAGCATTGACCGCCTAGCTGTAGAGCAGCCGCTAGCCAAAAGAACAATATATCGTCGAACACATCACGCGCATCAAGCCAGATGCACCAAGCCATTCTCGGACGGACTTCCACTTAGCATCCGAAACCATCCCTGGAGGGACACCAGTTTTGGAACTGCATTTGCCATTTCCCGGCTAGCACCTTTGTAACCCAGTCCCGGCCCAAGGCATCGGTAACAACTCTTGATATTCTATCCCAGAAAGCAAAGTAATTTACCGATTTCTCCCGCAAAATCGTCAACGGCAGGTTAGTTTGAGATGGTGACTTGTGACCTTGGTCGTGTAGCTTTAGAATCAGGCCATTGCTGGTTAGTGCAAATTGCGCAGCCCCAGCAGAATGGCTGGAGGCTCTCATCCTGTATATCGATGTGATGACGGTGATCGATCTTTCAGGTGTGACTATTGACCGAAAGCTGAGGCGTCAAGTAGCATCGAGAGGGATGGGACACGCTTTGGGTACCTAGGTACATAAACAGAGTTACATGATCCTACACTACCTTGGTACATGCCTAGGTATCCAAAGTTACTACCGCCAGACCTGTCCCACCGATCACCATCTTCGGGCCACTGTTATCATGACGTCACCCAGGATTGTTTATTAGAGCCCCTAAAGCGGAACTTTACCACATCTTGTGCTCATCAATGAATTCACCTGTGCATGCATAGTAAAGTCAATATTTCCACACTTTTAGCAGTCAATAGCCTGACCGGCAGAAGCTCCGATGGGGCGGCGGGGGTTTGATATCATCACGTGCCTTTTGCCTGCTGCCTGCCTGTTGAGAGCCGGAAATAGTCTCACGATGCAATGCACAGCCATGGCAACTTTGCCATGCAGTTGACACAGTGACAGCCACCATGCAGATGGATACAGATAGATACGTGGCATATAAACTGGAAGCAAATCCGGCATGGACACTGCCATGAAGTAAAACATCCAGTATAGACAATACACCCCCAATGGAGGCCAACGCTTTGAAAGATGCCTTATACCGACTCTACTACATCACTCCACCATCCGTTCCAAGGACACATGGTTGGCAAGAGAATTGGTCAGTTTTGCGAGTGGCTCCCAAGTTCACGTGATATGGTCAAAGATAGAAGCAATAGCGGCAGGGTTATTAGATGATCATGCGTGTTTCTTCTCATTCGTTATTTTGTGTCAAGCAGCTGGCCGCAGCTGGGACATCAACCTTCCATTTTGCCCTCAACGACCAGGTTCTACACTAGGAAGAGAATATAGCAGCTCCCAAGGAAGGCTCATTATCTTGCTGGCAGGGCAGGATCGGAGATTCGAGCAGTGGCGAAAGACTGCTTGCCACAGACGCAAAACTGGAATCCTACAGAGCCGTCCTTATCGTGTGAATCGAGGTTTTGGCTCGTTCCTGCAAAAATGAGGACATGGTCCGGTCATCACATGCCTGTTTCGGGATAGATATTGCAGGAGGATGGAAATGTGCTCATGTGTAGAAATTCCCCTCCTGTACTGCCCACCTGAGCCCATATCATTTTGCACACAGGTCTGCTTTTTGTGATCGACATCAGGGCCAGTTGCTTGACGGCCGACGTATGCTTTCGCAGACCAGGCCCGGGCAGGTATGTTTGTCCATGAGCCTCAGCATGGTTGGGTGGGGGTCGGAGAAAGACGTGACTCAGCCACTGCTTTGCTCTTGTGCAGCCAACTGTAGCTTTTGCTGGAGTTGCAGCAGCTCTATTCTTTTCTTCTCGGAACCTTCTTGCAACTCTTTAATTCTGATCTCAGTCCTGGTGATCTCCTTGCCAATAAACTCAAGACGTCCATCGACGGCAGCAGTGGCGTCAGTCTTGTCCTGCTTCAACAGCACCGGGCCGACAAGCTTGTAGATTCCGGCATCTTCGGCCAGGGAATTGAACTCATTCTGGACCGCCTTGTTCTCCTGTTGTTGGGCTTCGAGTGTCTGGCGTGCATCGATCGCGGATTGGAGATCTGTTGGCGCAGGTTATTATGCAAGCGTTGCTAAGACGCAGGCGAGCTAAACTGACCGTCTTGAAACTTCTGCAGAGCCTCAGACAAAGTCTGCAGCTTGTTTCTGTCTTCTTCCATGGCGCGCTGACCAAGGAGGAGGGTTTGAGAAGGACGGCAAGATTTGTAACTATTTGACGGGCGATAGTGCCTGAAAATGTGTTAGTTTGCGGTAAGTGGGGGCTTTGGGCGGCTAGAGGCCTCTTCTTAACGGCTCCAGCGCGTCTACACGAGCAAGGCAGTCGCCCAGAGCCACCCGCAGGTAACTGACTAACTGACTAACTGCCTAGTGGGCTGGTTAAAGCGCGGGGCGCCCTCGGCAGTGGCATCCAAGTGGGCAGGACCACGATTATCCACTAACTTCCAGCTAACCAAATATCCCACCTTCCACTAAACATCCAAGCCGGGGTCTTGTCACACCTTCTCCCATAAACCATACCACTGAACCGAAGATCAGCAACGAATCTGGCACAAAGGCTCTGCTTTCTGCTTCCTGTTTCATACCTTTTGGCGTTTTCTATAGCAGCGGGCGACTGTGCGCAGCAACCTCTGGTATCTTCCCACTTCATCCTGCAGTCTTGGTGTTCTGACCGGTTCCGCTTGTGCACACTCTCCTTCAACACTGCTACGACCTGCACTCTAAGAACAAACCAAGACATAAACTCATCCAGAGTCAAGCCCAAAAACTACTGCCTACATCATGTCCAACACCGACTTCCTCGGTCGGGCGATCGATACGGTCAAAAAGGCCATTGAACTAGACACCGCGGGGTCGTACGAGCAAGCCTATCAACAATATTATGCCGCGCTCGAACTCTTTATGCTGGCCCTGAAATGGGAAAAGAACCCCAAATCGAAAGAGATGATCCGTGGAAAAGCCGCTGAATACATGGACCGAGCAGAAAAGCTAAAGACACATATCCAATCCAACGACGCAAGTAATCGGAAGAAACCTGCTGCAATGGGAGTCAATGGGAAGGCCGTGAATGGTGCCGGAAAGGGCGAATCAGGCGACAAGGACGAAGAAGATGCAGACAGTAAGAAGCTGAGAGGCCAACTGACTGGTGCTATCCTGACCGACAAACCCAACGTCAAATGGGAGGATGTTGCAGGCTTGGAAGGTGCCAAAGAAGCCCTAAAGGAGGCTGTTATCTTACCGATCAAATTCCCTCATCTCTTCCAAGGTAAACGACAACCCTGGAAGGGCATATTACTCTACGGACCACCTGGAACCGGAAAATCATACCTCGCCAAAGCCGTCGCCACGGAAGCCAACAGCACATTCTTCAGCGTTTCCTCCTCCGATCTAGTCAGCAAGTGGATGGGTGAATCGGAAAGACTCGTAAAGCAACTGTTCAACATGGCGCGAGAAAACAAGCCCGCCATTATCTTTATCGACGAAGTCGACGCACTCTGCGGGCCGAGAGGCGAAGGCGAATCCGAAGCCTCAAGACGTATCAAGACCGAATTACTCGTTCAGATGGACGGTGTTGGTAAAGATTCAAAGGGTGTTCTGATCCTTGGCGCGACAAATATCCCATGGCAATTAGACGCCGCCATCCGAAGACGTTTCCAGCGGAGAGTACATATCTCGTTGCCCGATAAGCCAGCGCGAATGAGGATGTTTGAGCTTGCTGTCGGAGACACCAAATGCGAATTATCCCAGAACGACTACAAGACATTATCGGACCTGAGCGAGGGCTATTCCGGAAGCGATATCAGTATTGCCGTCCAAGACGCTCTGATGCAGCCAGTCAGGAAGATCCAAACTGCAACTCATTACAAGAAGGTATGTTAAAAAGAACATTGCATCCCATCTCCCCACCTTCCCTGTAGCGGATCCGTCACTAACCACCCATCTGACACAAAATAGGTGACGGTCGACGGCGAAGAGAAACTCACCCCTTGCTCACCGGGCGACAGCGGCGCAATGGAGATGACGTGGGTGGATGTCGAGTCGGAAAAACTGCTCGAACCGCCCCTGGCCGTCAAGGACTTCATCCGTGCCATCAAGGCCTCGCGGCCAACAGTCTCCGGCGAAGATCTGAAGCGCAATACAGAGTGGACGGCTGAGTTCGGCAGTGAAGGTGCTTGATAAATGACTTGTTGTCAGACACATGAGGCGGGCGGTCGTGGAGAAATAAACGAAGTCTCACGCGTTGATTCGCCGCTCTTACTCAAGGCCATGTGAAGGTTGAAGTTTTCTGGACTTGGCTGGACTGGCGCAGCTCAGCTCGAGTCGAGAGAAACGAGACGAATGAAATGAAATGAAATGCATGAAATGAAATGAAATGCATGAAAGTAGCCAGGTCTCCAAATGCTCCAGAGTCCAAAGATACAGCCAACACGGAAGAGTAAACGCCCAAGGGGGCGGAGGCATCTTGAAGTCCAGCGCTTGTTTCTCGTGCCCACCTGATTTTCTGTGCATATTCTTGCGCCATCCCACTCTTCGCTCCATTGGACAAAGAATTCCCAGAATAAGAACACACAGGCAAAGAGCTGTTCGAGTGATCGAGTCAGCCCGTCACACCCTTCCGAGGAGGTACGTGGGAGGCAGGGTAGTCATGTACGCAGCCCCATTCCAGCGTAGAGATGTTTCGCGGCGACGGCGATGCAGTTCCCGCGAGCGCGAGCCTCCTCACCCAGGTATAGGCACAATATTTTATGTTAGAGTTTTCACAACGGAGTCGGAAGGGCTTGAATGCTTGGATGGAATGAATGCTCATATATGCCAATACTTTCTGGGTCGACTCTGCGACGCATCCCTGGAAAGTATGGGGTTTAGTAAAAAAAATACAATACGATCCTTCACACCGCAATTTAGATCCGCATATATTATGATCATATAACGCAGGAACTCACTCGGTATATAATAATAATAGCCAATAGTCTTGAAAGATATCAGTTTAGTCCAGAAAATCATCGTCATCGTCATCGTCATCGTCATCGTCATTAAAGACACATCGCATCATGGAAGCCCTTCATAGACTCGCTCAGTATCAGCTGTGGGAAGTGGCCAAACCTTCACCGATGCATATTTCTCGGGGCTCCGTGAAATTCTCCCGAGCATCAGGGATAGAGATAACCCTTCTCGAAGTAATTCCCATACATGTCAACGACACCGGTGCGCCCTTTGGGCGACGAGTTTCTGACAACTTTGATCTCGCCTTTCCAATGACCCTCAACGAATTTCATGTCGATGTCGATGTCGTTAACATCACTAGCGGGTCCCGCGGTCGTAGAAGGGCGGGAGGCTGCGGAGGCAGATAGCGGCCCGTTGGTATGCCCAGCTCCAACCCCATTCGTGAACGATGTCGCGCCAGGGTCGTAGCCGTATCCATACCCTCTGGGACCTGCCGAAGAAGATGGCCGTGAACCCGCTGCATGGAAGCCATTGGCGTGACCATTCATTTTACTGGCGCGATGACGAGCAAGTTCTTGTTCATATGCTAGCTTGCGTTCTTTTCTCCAAGCGGCTAACGATACAACAACATCTACTTCAGGCTCGTCTTCCTCGATTGCAGAATTCGGCGCAGGATTAGATGTTGGCGCCAACCTATTCTGCATGAGTTTTGGTGACGCGGGTGTGCCTTGCATCTCTGCCCAGGAAACTCTAGAGTCTCCATTTGAGAAAGGAGGGCCCATGCCACTCCGCTGGCTCTCATTGGAAGGTCTCCTATTCCTTCCCAGGGGTAGATTTCTCGGACTCCGCAGCGTTGAGTTGCCACCGCCATAGTTCATTGAGAATGGATTTAGTGTGCCGTGGCCTTGTAAGCTCCCATGTGGACTGTTCGTACCGCTGATATTGTCAAACGAAGCATCATCCACTGTAAGAACAATTTTATCGTCAAACCGGGCCGTGGGGAAATACTTCTCCGGATCGTGCTGATAGATACCACACTCATCTTTCTCCTCACCTTCTTCTCCAAAGAAGCTGAAATCATTTTCGGCTGCAGACCATAGATTCTCACTGTCCAGGTCTCCTGTAGAAGATTTGCTCATACTTATGCGCTGGCGTGAGTGCTGCCAGGCACGTTGTGCATTTTCGGTCTTGGCACTGGGCGACTCCATCTCAAGAATGATGGTCCGGAGAGCAAACAAGGAGCGAGCATGCTCAATTTCAGCCAAATGACGCGCTCGTCCTGGAGGAAGCGAATAGTCTGTTCGCGCAAGGAGATGCGACAATGCGGATTCGTCTGCGCAAGCAGATATGAACGCTTTCAAAGCAGGAATTACTGATGATGATTGTGGCACTTTCAGCGGAACGTTGGTCAAGACCAAGGTCCGGAGATTCGGAAGGAGACAGGGATGAAGAACGCTCAAGTTATTTGCAGTAACTTGAGGCATTTTCTGACCAGGTTGGTACTTTTTTGCAGACGTGCCAGCTGGCCGCTTCGAGAGAAGTGCTTCTATGCGTGCATGACGATGTTGATTCGAGGGTGATGTAAATGGCACCTTTTTGGGTGGTGGTGGTTGCTGCTGCTGGAGAGGTTGGGAAGTACCCACCGACGCGTGAGGGACAGGGCTTGAGGTAGGTACTGAGGTAGGCGCTTTCGCAGCAGGCGGTGCGCCAGTCGGGACTGTTGGCTTAGGCGTGACACTAGGAGGAGCAATCAAGGGTTGAAAGGTACCGTGTCCTGGGTGAGGAGTCATTGGGGATACGGGAGACAGAATAGATCTCGTTGAGCTGTTAGTTCCGGTACCCTCAGAAATCTCTGAGTCTGCTACTGTGTCATGATCGCCTTCATGTTCACTTTCAAGCTCTGGGTCACCGACAACTTCGGGTGCATATGGACCTTCACCTCTGATGGGAGTCTGCGTTTCAATGACAGGACTATTCACTTCTGGCCTCTTGCCCACTGGAGGGCTGAGAGCAAAATAGATGACATCGCCGATCAGCTCAGCTCGAGGTGCGGCCGGGGTAGCATCCATTTCAAATATTTGGTCACCAGGTGGTAGCTCGACGGCATAATGTGCAGGGGCTGGAGCTTCCACCACATGTCTTTCCTCTGAGGGCAACTCTGCTGAGAGTGGCGCTGAACCTGCTAGTTCGACAGCAGTACCTTTTGGCTTGGGCACACCTTGAACAGCCTCAAGCTTTGCTGTGATCAACGCATGATCAACGCGGAGGTAGGTCAGGTTTCTACTTGCTGATTTTGCAAGAACTGGAATGAGTTTCTCGGCACCGGGAAAACGAACCTCATCAATATAGCCGCTCTCGGTGGTTAACGAGATAGTCCGTGCAATGGTTTTGACGGTATCTGCTGTACCTCCATCGAGAATGTGCAACCGTTCAGATTTCAGGAGGCTTGACAAGCCTTCGACAGATAAACGATTTCCAGACACATATAAATGTGTTAAGCCTCGGTGGGGGATGTCTTCAAAAGCAAGGCGCCCCGTGAGTGGATTGGTTAATTGCTTCAAGAGCTCATGATCGAGATCTTCACTTCGCAAAGCGTCGAGGCTGAAAAAGTTGGGACCGGGTGCCATCCCGACCGGCCAATCTTCGACATTGAGGGAACCCAGGTTGGCGGCGTCAGCATCTAAGAAACAAGCTTGCATTAAAGACCTCACAGCCATGTCCGTTAACAGATTGTCTCGAATATCCAACAGCCTGACCCGAATACCGATTGCATTGGCTAGAACCTCGGCCTCTCCATCCTTGAGGCCCACACCGCGCAGTTTTAAAACTTGAAGGTCGCGCTGGTGCGCCAGGGCTGCCAGGACTGCTGCATCGCGAGCAGGAGGGGTATATGACAAGTCAAGATAGACGAGATACGGAAAGCGTGGTAAGGCGATGGTCAAGCCGAGAGAGGTGCTATTGGGTTCGCTCGATGCTAGTAACAGCTTCAGGCCAAAAGGAGGCAGTACATTCTCTTCTCCCTGAGACAATCTCCTGTTGACGGAGGTAGACTTGAGCGCGGCAAGGCTGTGATGGTCAAAGAAGGGCAGTTTTGTTACAATGAGACTCTGGAGATTGGGTAGAAACTCGAGGACTTCGCGCAGCCAGGTAGGATTGGGACCGCCATAGATCTCGCTCAGGGCAGGTGGCAGGTGGAGGGTGTGGGTGAGGCTTCTCGTGGACAGGCGGGCCTTGCGTAGAATCCTCTTGAAGCGAGTGAGGGCGACGTAAACGGCATCATTTGCAATGCCAAAGTGAGAGGCGGGGTCGCCCCAGAGGAAGGGAATGAAGATGGAATACCATTTTTGGCACACGAGGCATGCTGAACAGAGGTCGCGCGAGGGTATCCAAGGCGCAATGATGGACCAGGCCTCGCGACTAACGGCTGTTTCGTAGGAGGGAGGCACATCAGGTTTCATTTTGATGTGTGAGAAGGTGGTGTCGCATGATGGGCTGCGGTGTGGAACGGGATGGGAGACGAAGGAGAGGCCAGGCGAGGGAGAGGCAGTAGAGGTATCAGTTCAGTTAGGGATGTATGAGTACTCGATTGTAGTAGTGGAAATAGCAGGAAGACGAAAGGCCCAAGATGTCCCAAGACCTTTTGCGAGTTGTTGCCCAGGTCAGTACGAGGAGTGTTGAAAGAACGAGCCAAAGTACTGCGTGAGGGTATGACGAAGGACCTCGTATGAGTAGGTAAAGAACGAGCGAGGCGTGATCGGCAGGTTGTAATTACCTGTACCGTCCCTGTGAGGATGCGAGGAGGGGAACTGGGAGAAAACGGATGAACAGGCAGAAAAGTGGGTGGGCTGAACTTCGGTATGCTGGTGTCTTGGGCAGTTTGGACAGCACGTGCAAAATCATGTGCCATTGCCATTGCCACTGCCACTGCCACCAATTACTGGCACGCCCACATCCATTCACCTTCTAGAACGCGGAGGGAGGCGGAGTACATCCGGGAAACACATGCCGCCTGCAGTGTGCCAGTGGCAGACAGAAATAGCTCACGGGGCACCAGGCAGATCACATCACATGGCCCTGTTGATCATTTACGAGTACCAAGTACATAGAATGGGATGCATGCTTCTATCATAGCAGTACAGCATAGGACTCGTCAGGCAGGCAGGCAGGTATTCAATGGCACTGCCAAGAAGCCTGCATACACGGTCACTCGAGGTAGCAAGGTCGAAAGGGATTGAGTGGAATATAGTAGAATGGAATGGATTCGAAATGGTGTGTTCAATTGGTGGCCATGAGTTGACGCTCATGCTCCTTCCTAATACCAGTAATATGGTCCTAGAGTAACTGGGGCAATGCTTCCGTCGTGCAATACTATTGCGTTCGGTAATACTAGTGAACCGCTTCCTGTCGTCTCGACAGCTCATATTTCGTTAGAGATCTTGCACTGTCCAAGTGCTTTTGCCTCCAGTCCAAATGCGTTGCGTTCCATCCCAAGCCAAGAGAGCCTGATGCCCTCGGGTATCGATCATTCCACATCCTTTCGTTTCCATCTTACATCACATACAATAAGTCGGTATCTGCCTTCACGTTAGCCTCGAGTTGCATTTCCAGAAGGACGGAAAACACGTACTCAGTGGGTGAGAGCAGCTCAGCTGTGGTTTTTGCGAGTATTTCGTCGCCAATTCGTCTCGAATACTGTTCAGAAGCTGAACGTAACTCTGGTGTGGGTTCTTCTTCAACGACGTTACGAACGCCCAGCTCATGGCACCTGTAGCCTCTCCTCCAATTGTGGCATCTTGACTGGTCTGCTCGTCCTTGCTGCCGGACCACATGATGACATCAGCGGGTGAAGTCTTGGTTTGTTTGTTGCGCTCGTATGTCGAATTTCCCGAAGTGACCTTTTTGAACAGTCCCATTGCGGTGGATGCCATGCCGCCCATATCGCCTCTAGCATATGACGAGACAATCGAAAGTAGCCCTTGACCTGCTTCCTTTGCCAAGTTGGGTTCCTTGAGCACACCTGCGGTCGAGTAGATATATGGAAGGTCCAGTGCGGAACCAGAGTGGCATGAGTCAAAAATGGCTGTCAGTCGCACTCCGGGAGCTAATGACTTGACCATGATACGGTGCATTTCATCGTCCACGATGTGACCTTGCGTTCGGAAATCGACAGGATAGATGACTTCATCATGGCCGTCCTCCTCATCGCCATCTAGATCAGGTGTTTGACCGCCGTGGCCACTGTAATGGAAAAACAAAGAATCGTTGGGTCGTGCGTCCTTAACGAGCCAATGCATGGCCCGGAGAATGTTTGCCTTGGTTGGCTGTGACATGGGATTCTGTTGGTCGTCTGTCAACAGGACCATGTCTTCTCTTGCATAGCCAAAGTTCTGATTTAGGTAGGTTGACATGTTCTTCACATCGTTGATACAACCTCGCAGTTGACCTCTTTGTCCGAAGTAATTGATGCCAATCAGCAAGGCTTTGCGTTTTCCTGTGCAGTTCGAATATTGGAAGGTGTAATTGGAAGGAGCGCCGTGGGCAAACTGCTGAGGGGCGGTAGGAGGGGCGGCGGGACCTGGGCGGCCGCTTTGTTGCTGCGGTGGTCCTTGTTGGTATCCCGAGTTGTTATTATATGGCATCCCAGGTCGAGGTCCTTCAAAAGTCAGTCAGTCTCCTAAGATATATGGTGGCATGATTTCACATACCTGGATAGCCGTTTGGTTGCGGAGCTGGAGCGCCGTAGCCACCATAGCCTCCCTGAGACGGCGGTGGAGGGTTGTTATAGCCATACGGTGCCGCTTGTGGTGGTGGCTGACCATAACCTCCTGGCGCTCCGTAGTGTCCATATTGCGGTTGGGGTGAATGTGATGGAGGAGGATATCCGCCTTGGTTGTAGCCTCCAGAGGGATATCCAGGTTGAGGCGTGTGTGTCTGTGGAGGGTAACCGCCATAGCCGCCGCCTTGGTGCGGTTGGGCACCGTAGCCACCCTGGCCTGGATAATAGGACATTGCCTTGGAAGGAGGATTCGATCAGGAAGCTGAGATGTTTGTCGTTGATATGCTATAAGTGGTGCAGAAGTGAGGTTGGGAAGGTAGGCAAGCGATGGGTAGTAGTAAAACGGCGACAAATCCTGCGGGCGCAGTTGTACTAGTTAACAGCAGTGGTGCTGATGCTGGTGCCGCTGCTGGTGCTGGTGCTGGGCCTTTTGATCACTTAAGCGGAAAAAGGGTCCTTGGATGTGGAGTAATCTCTGTGCCGCTGCGTGATGGCGCGACTGACACGTGTGGGCGGCTCTTCTCGTCTCAAGAAATATGATTGACAATGGATGACAGAGTTGGATGACGAATGTTTTGCACAAGCGTGAGAGAGAGGATAGTCAAGGGAAATATGTCAAAAATAGCTGACCATGAGATGTGGAAATAACCTGATCGAGTACTCTGTACCTCGTAGAAGCGGTGGCGACAGTGGAGGGAAGAAAAGACACGAAGCAGCCAAGAAGGTGGAGGAAGAAGCTGACGGAATCAAAGCAGAGCAACAACTTTGAACGAGGCACAGCGCCGCGTTGGCGGTGACCCAACCGCCAACACAGGCCTAAGGGTACACACCACAAGGCCCAAAGCCAACCGCTATCGGCCCTCTAGTTCCGGAATCCGCGTAGTTAAAGGAATCCCGGTATCTATCGCATCTCTCGGTCTGGGCTGGACTCCTGGTCCCCCTGTTCACGTCCCTCGGTTGATCGGAAGGGTCCCCTTGTCCCCTGTCATGGCCTCATAGGTGCCATGCTCCCGGTCACAGCCCAGGCCAGTCCCTCCTTCCTCCCCGAAGGCAGTCATCTTTAGGCGAGAGCAATGCCCCAAACGGCCCCCATGACCACTTTGAGAAGGTGTTTGAACTGGGAGAGCCCTGCCTGAAACTGTGAAACGGCTCTTGGGGAGAGGAGCCTAACCGGCTCTGGGGCTCACTTGCTTTTCTCCCTCGTAAGTATCCCTGGCCCCTGCATGCACATTTGCGGACAACGTCAACAAACATTTGATTGCTCATCATTCCTCCATCGACCATTGAACGGTCTTGATGCTCATAGCGAATCCAAGCAATAATTTTGATCGACTGAGCACAGACTTCATTTATGCTCATTCTAGCGGGACATCTGTCATCTGTCAATGGTAGGCGGGCTCTCCCTTCACCCCGTTACTCGAGGTAAGTTAGTAATCGACTTAACGTAAGAGCAAAGACCATAGCCCTGAAGATACGCATACTCTGTTGTCGCGTATTGGCAAATCAACAAGAATGTATTGGCACCTAGCTCCTACAAGGTACTCCGTATGTTTGGGTGGGCATGCATATATCACCATGCCTTTGTCATGGCTCATCACCAACCACGTGGAGGCCTTCAAGATCAGAAATTAGTGTCCGTCGAAGAGCCTGGCCTCTCGCTCCCCTAGAGATTCTCACCATGTCAGGACGGAGGACCGAGAAGTGCCGAATCCTATCTCGATTCTGGGACCATGTGTCTGTCTACTCGCCTCTACGCGATACACTTTTTCGCTATCCCTCAGCCGACGCCACCACGATGTTTCGGTTGTTGGCCAATCCTTAGTCGCTCTACAGTGACAACAAGCGGCATGCTCCATCAATCACCCCGCAAGCTCGAGTCTCTTGGGGCTCAGCTCCGCCTGCATGCAGTCCCATCGTTCACGGCTTGCCCAGCCATAACGCCCAATCCGGTGACGACTCCAGACTGCATTCCAGTCCCAACGGCAGACAACCTTAATTGAGCAGTCCTAGCCCTGACCGAACCTTGGACTTACTGTTCTGAGGTGTCTGTCTTGGGACTGCCACATCTTGAGGCGGTGCCAAGTTTACTGACCTGCGTTCAATTCCCATCCCACGATAACTAACTACTGCTTACCCTACTCCCATCTGCATCAGTGTCTGCAACTCCCATGAATGGGTCGTCCGATGACTGGACGAAGAACGCACAGAGCAGGACCACAAGCACTCAGCACTCGGCACTCCCGTCTTGAAGTTCAATCGGCCAATGCTTAGCAGAGACTTTAATTCTCGGATGCTAACTTGGTCCTGGATCCCTAACTACGGAGGACTCGGTCAGCCTTTACATTTCCAGGAAGTGTTGAGTGTGAATTCAAAAAAATTTTAACTCTACCTAGAAGCTCTTCTATCTTGTCTACTACTTCTATGTTTGAGTGACATTGGCATTTCCAAATGGTTGGAATCGGTCGGCTAGCCAGCCTTCGTGTCGTAAGGTGATCTCATCCTTCAAACCTTGCAGATGGATAAACCTGGATTGGACCTTTTATCATCTAAGCCCAGCATCCAGGTCATCATAGGGTGATTTCGGAGGAATTCTCATTGGGCATCCTCGTTCCAGTCTAGTTGGTTTTGGTATCATGTTCCACGGGTAGAACCAAAGCCCAAGGCCATCGGAAAGGGGGAATCTCATGCTCGCTAACAACTAACAAGTCGTTACTCGTCATGCACTCCCTCATACTCGAGGAACCGTTTCCTGTTCTTTTCTTTTCTTCCAGCAACCTTATTTTACACATCAGCTCACCTCCTGGGCATACCTCGACCTCTTCCCCTGAGAGCTCGTTGGGCCGCACCAGGCGGGAGGCCTCTCGCCGGCGCCTGAGGCCCTTGACTCTCCTCATTCTTGATCGTCTCATCCACACTTAGGATCAAACACGCTGCCTCCACGGCTGCAGAAATGGCATTGACCTTGACCAGAGCGGGCTCCCACACGAATGCCTCCATGTTGTTCCGCACGCCCTCATTGTCAAAATCCACACCAGCCCAGGTATTCCCCTTGCGGTGCTCGACTCGAAGTCGATTCAGGATGTCCGTTGCATCGAACCCGGCGTTGTCGCAGAGCTGTCGGGGAATGATCTCCAGAGCTTTCGCAAATGCTTTGACGACCGCTTGTTGTTTGTGCGGCACGTTCTTGTCGGCAAATTGGTGAAGATACCCGGAAATTTCCATCTCGGTCGCTCCGCCGCCGGCAACAATTGTGTTGTTCCTCAATGCGCGCTTGACAATCATGATCGCATCGTGTAATGACCGCTCGACTTCGGCGATGAACTGTTCAGCCCCACCTCTTAGAATCAACGTGCACGTTTTCGCCTCGGGGCAGTCGCTGAACAGGTTGTATCGTTCGCCTCCAATTTGGCGTTCTTCAAATACACCGCAAGTGCCCAGATGCGAAGGCAATATATCGGAGCATGTAGATTGTGTAGTGGCACCTGTGGCTTGACACACCCTCTCCAGATCCTCCGCTGCCACTCGACCAGCACAGAAGATATCTCTATCTGCGAAATACTGTGTAGCCAGATCACCAATCGGTAAACGAGAGAGCACCACTTTCGCACCGGTCTGGTATAGGGCCTCCATCTTGTTGTAAATGATCTGCCACTCGGCATCCACGATCGCCTGGTATTCTGAGACCTGCTCCACGCGCACCTCTGCGTTGTCCTTCTCGGCCTTCAATTCCAGCTCGACGTTCAACGCGACGATCTTGGGGTTTTTGAATGACTTGGGCTGTTGTTCGAAGCCGGCGTAGGAAAACGTCTTCTTGAATGCCACACCGTCAATGAACAACGAGTCTTCTAGCGCTCCGCCCGTGATCTTCTTGATTCCGATCAGCTTTTCGTTCAAGTCGTCCTGGTCGAGAGAGAGGACAGCGTCGACAACCACTGTGCGTCATGTTAGTAACGCTCTATCAACCAGCATTCACGGGCAATATCCAGAAAACTTACTCTTCGTGAAGAAGCCGGCATTGCGATGGATCAGTTTACTGCTCATGGCGGTGGCGGCCAACTTCCTCAATGTCTCTCTCTTATTCCCCTCGTTCGTACTGACACTGATCTCCTTGACCTTGTTGATGGCCATCTGCGAGGCTCTCCTCAATCCTTTGATGATAGTCTGTGTACTGACGCCCTGCTCGACCTGCTCCTTGATCTCCTTGAGGATTTCGCCTGCGAGCACGACCACACTGGTCGTACCATCGCCCACTTCCGCATCCTGTGAGCGGGCGATATCGGTTAGAATTCGGGCGGCGGGGTGGACAATATCGAGCAGGCGCATGACCGTGGCGCCATCGTTGGTGATCGTTTGCTTGCCGTTGGCATCCACGAGTAGCAGGTCTCCGCCGTAAGGTCCCAGTGTGGTCTTGATGGTGGTCTGCACAGCTAGACAAGCGTTGATGTTGGAGATCACTTGTCCTTTGCCCTGAGATGCATCGGTGCCTGTGGTGGGGGAACAAATTAGTACTTGGTGATATTGCGGGCAGACGTTGCGGACCAAAACGAAGACACCCAAGGGAGGGGCTGTACGAAGGGAATGCACAAACCTTCTTTCAACACGATGATCGTCGGTGTCTGGCCTCCGAATGCTGCCATGTTGGTATATGTTAATTGAAAGGGAATGAGAGATCGTTCAGAAATCAGTGGCGGGGTTATTTGATCTCGTCCGCCTGCCTGCCTGCGTTCCTGTTCCTGTCCACGAGCCTCACGAAACTTTTTTGAAATGATAGAAATCTTGGCATGTCCTCAACTGCGGATCATTAGGGCCGCGAGACGCTGGTCTGGGCCTCCCGTGCCCTGGTTCACCATGAATACCCCGTTGCTGCTACATATTATTATATAAACACCACCTCGGAGTCATTAATCAGAACCCATCGAAAGCAGCACTTATGCCAACACCCGGGATGCGTCCACTTTGAAACGGTGAGTCATTGCTAAGGGCAGGTATAAGCACAATATCTAGAACGTATATCAGGGGAGAAGAATAGTTCTTCCTCTGCAAACTCGATGAATATTTCATCCCTTCAGAGAGCTGCATACCCCAGTTAACCACCCGTCGCATGTCCTTGACTCCTCCGCCTTCTAACAGTAGCGACACCACTATTAGCACTGGACGAGTTTTCGTACGCTGCAACAAGCACTTTCTGCAAGAAAAGCGAACAGAAGAACCAGGAAAGAATGGCAGCACCAGAGCAACAACCCTCGAAGCCCGTTATCCCTGACGTTCTCGTTCCTCTCCTACAACGCACAGAGGCCGATCCTCGACCTATTGTGGTCATGACCTGTGGCATAGCAGGTAGGTGAGCAACTCCGTATTCCATTTCCACAGAAAGTGGACCGGCTTCTCGGCCCATGCAACTGTACCAGCCTGCCCTCTTTTCGTTGATTTTCCGTCTCAATCTCAAAAGTAACCAGCCATGGGCTCTCATTGTTTCCCAAATCCCATCCAAAGGAAGTCGTTATTCATCCATCTTATAAACAGGAGCGGGCAAATCAACACTCGCGAAAGCCATCGCCGCCTCACCGCACAACTTCACACGACTCTCAATCGACAATATCCTCTTCTCCCGCCACGGGCTCTACGGGACCGACTACCCACCATCCCTGCTCGCGACCTACCAAGACGAAGCGGACTCTATCTTCCACTCGGAAACAAAGAGCCAGCTCCTCGAGAAGATCAACCTCGTGCTCGACCGCGCATTCTACGCCAAAGCCGACCGCGACGAGTACCGATCCCTCGCGGAGCAAGCGGGTGCACGTGTCGTACTAGTCTTCCTCGAGGCAAGTAGAGATGTGCTCTGGCGGCGCATTCAACAGCGGAAGGCCGCCGGGAGGGATGCCGATTCCGCGCTGGAGATCCCGGAGGAGCTGCTGGATAGCTATCTTGCTGGGTTTGAGAGGCCGGTGGGGGAGGGCGAGGTTGTTCTGCAGGTTGCGTGACCGACGATTGGCTACGCAAGGAACGCCTCTCATGAGCCCGCGTTCCAGTACCAGCAAGTCGGAAGTCGTGAGCAGCAGTTAACGAGCACCTAGGAACATGGTCAGAGTCATAGCATGTCATATCATATCATATGTAATGTTTATATAAGTAGTCATGGCCTAGATATATCGTCAACCAGAGAGAAAAACTCTCTTGACCAGCCCCATGCCTGTCTGCCTGAGCTATGCACCAAGTACTAAATACCATCTCCAACGCTTTCCAGACTCGATTCCAATCTCTCAGAACTGCTTCGAGACGAAATACTCATACCTACCCGCCAACCTCGCCCTCCAGCTTCGTCCCCAGATCATGAGGGGCACGGACGTGAGCGCGACGGCAATCGAAAGGCAGCCGAGCAGCACAAACATGTTGTAGACGCCCATGCCCTCCATCCAGGGCGTGATGGCGAAGACCAGCCCCGTCGAAATAATGTTGCGCACGAACACCACGGATGTCAGTGCGTCGCCGAGGATCTGTGATGGGGATTTTAGTCAAGTGGATTGTGATATGGATGGAAGGCAGGCAACTCACGTATTGGTAGCAGTCCTGGCAGTAAGTGAGAGAGATGTCGCCACACCCACCGATCGCGGCGCCGATGAAGCCGGCGCCCACGGCGTTGATTTGCCATGCCATGCCCTTCGAGATGGTCAGTCCGTACATGAACAGGCCGATCGGCATGCAGAAGCCGGGAATCAGAAACAGCCACAATCTCGTCTCGGGCTCGTAGATACCGCCTCGTCGCTTGGCCACCTGGACGATGAAGTAATCGTTGATCGGGCCGCCGAAGACCGAGCCGATGATGGCACCGATGGCGGGCGGAATGTTCATGTTGCCGACGCCAGCAGCACTGAAATTGTAGGGCTCAAAGGGATACAGGCTCGCTTGAGTGACGGCGAGGACCGCCAGCATGGCGATGAGAAATCCATACTGCAGGGCGGTGAACATGACGGCCGGGAAGGTGCAGAGGATCTGGAATGGTTGGTAGATGTGTGCCCAGACGCTCCTGGTTTCGGTGGACGGACTGTCCGGTGTGTACAGGGCGAAACGCTTCTTGTATGAATGCATGGGAATAGAGTGGTCGATGTCGACGATGCGCCGGCGCTGGTTTTGGGCAGCTTCGGTCGCGTCCACGGTGATCGAGCCACGGATGGGCGTCTTTGTGGTGCTGTTGACTTTTTCGAGTGTCCCTTCGTCTTGCGTTGGTGCCGTCACGTCGCGGCCCTCGATCACGCTTGGGACGTATTTGCTCTCTTCGAGGCAGAAGACCATGGCGGCACTGTGGGAAAGAGAGGAAAGTCGTGGTCAGTATAAGGAGGATGCAAAGAGATATCATCGTCCTTCAGGGGAGATTGTACCTACCTGCAGATCGCCAGGAAGATAGTGCACCACCAGAATACCCAACGCCAGCCTTGCGACGACACAGCGACGTAGCCCGCGGCGACAGGGCCAAAGTAGTTACCTATGAGTGGCACAGACATTGTCAGCCCCAATACGCGTTGGCCTCGGCGACACGGGGGTAAGGCTTACCAGTGACAACCAGCACGAGGTAGATACCATTCATCGTTCCACGCTGGTGGACGAAGAAGAGGTCGGCAACCTATATTTGTGGTCAACTCTAGTGTCCTAACGCAACCTCCAAGCACAAAGCAATAGAAATACTCACCGTGACCTGAAACAGCGCCTCGTTGACCGCACCTGCGATTCCCATGATGACATTGTTGCCGATCATATCTCCCACCGTGTTCATCTTGGCCTGCCAGATTGCAGAAGCAAGCATGATGAGCACGGTGACAATGTAAACAGGCCGCCGTCCAAGTCGGAGCGCAAATGGAATGAAAATGATACATCCGACCGACAGCGCTGCCATGTTGGAGGCGTAGGTGTTATTGAGATCGGCATAGCTGATCCCAAGCTCGGTGTTGAAGAGTTGCCAGAGAGGAACCGCGACGCAAAGACTACGATCAGAATCTTCAATGTCAGCATCGAGATGGCTTTCACCATTCTTGTCTTGCTGCTCAGAGAGACACCAAAGATTGAAAGGCGAGACGAAGGAGGCCTCTTACGTTGCAAAAACCATCAGTGCATAGAAGCAAAGAATGACCATATGGATACTCTTTCGGACCTTGCTCCAGTTCTAAATGTTTCAAGTCGATTAGCACAGACTGTCTCCAGCCGTGGAACGAACGCTCTCGGCGCACGACAGTAGCTGGGAACGACATACCAGAGGCTGGTTAGGATCAGCATTGGGCTGGGGCGCGAGTAAGATATTCTTGCCCGTGTCATCCTCAATGCGCTGCGTGCCCGGAGGAAGCTTCTCGACGAACGACATATTGATAGGCTTGATGGATATCGCGTGCGCGTGTTTACCAAACCAACAGAATTTCAAGCAAGCAGCAAACGACAATCAACAATCAGGAGGAGACGACCATCCGCCCGATCGAATGGTGGGAACCAAATGAACCTTATATGGGCCAGACACACACACACATACATCTACACCAGGAGGTAAGTTGACAGCGAGCCCATCACCAGCGAGCCACTCAGTTTCCCTTATCAGCGATGAGCTATCTTGCCTGCCTATTGTGTTCTCCGTATTCGACCACCCCAGACTCCTGGGAATTTGCCACGAGACGGACTCCCAGACACCAGGAAGCGACTCATCAGTCCCGAAGCGGGGTCTAGAAAGGTTGATGCTGATGTCCGACGAGTTTAACACCGTATGCGAGGACTTTAATCAGCGGTCCCGAGGGATTCTGCCAATCAGTCGACTTTACGCCGGCTGCGTGGGACCCTTCGGCCGGGCTATGTATGTATGTGGCTCGCGGCCAAGACGGACGAGGGCTTATCAGAAGTCAACCAGGGTCCGGGGAGCTTCAGGAGCCAGGAGTCAGGCAGAGGTCCAGAGTTTGCTTAATTACTTGGGATTTCTGGGCTATCCAGGCTATATTGCTGAACTAGTTAGTTAGTGCCGAGTATCACGCTTCACCAGTAACTACTGTATCGTAGTTATGGGTTCAGCTTGCTATTCATGGAATGGTTTCATTCTTGGTAGTAGCTGCTAGCCTGGCTATGCAACATCAACATTTGTTGACCGACGAGAACACTGTGTGATAATGAGATTGCCGACACATGACCCGACTTCATGGTTGTTACTGTCCAAGATCCGCCTCCCCCCTCCGGGCTGTACTCATATGAATGCGGCAGGTATAACTCCAGAGTAATTGTGAGGTTCGTGTTCACGGTGGGTATCTTGATGGACATCAGCAATTGTGACACTAGGATGTGCCCAGGATAGGCCGAACAGCAAGCATCTGATGAACCATCAACAGAGAACTTAATCTCGATCATGTTTTTCTCTTCCGCGTCTTCTATCCAAAAAAGTGTTTTAAAGGCTCATCCACCAGATGCTGCAACCTATCCCTGCCGCACGCAAACTCATCCCTCGGAAACCAATCCAGAATCTCCTCCTCATTGCCAGTCAACATATTCGCGAGGGCCTTACCGGACAGCCAAGAATGGACCATCCCATAACCATTGAAGCCTGCGGCGATCCATTCACCACCAACAGCAGGATCGCAGTTTTGTCGCCCTGAGACATCAGCACTCAACCTGTCTACCAGCGGCATGTAGTCCCCCGTGAAGCCCATGACGCCAGTCCATTGCTTTTCCACTTGGGCGCCTTCTGCGTGCGCGAACACCTTCGCCGGCGCGGCTTCCAAGTGTCTGAGCGGGTAGATGCTGGGCTGGCTATCGTCGCTGTTGCCGATGTCCTCTTCGTTCTCCAGGCCTCCTTGACCAAACCCTCCGCCGAAGTATAATGATCCGTCCTCCCCTGGAGACTGTGTAATGTAGTCGAACCCCTTTGCATAGATCGCGCTCCAAGACCGGGAGCCGCCCACGCGTGGAAACTCCGGTGGCATGGATTGTACCGTCATTTGGCCTCGCAGCGGCCACACGGCGCCTCTGAGGGACGGGAGGAGATGCGCAACGTAGCCATTCGTAGCGTGAACGACGTGCTTGGCCGAGATGTTCCCCCTCGAGGTCTGCACCTGGTAGGGGTGCGTCGTCGATTGCGTCCGCTCCACACCCTTAGCGGACGTGTTTGTCTCCAGTGTAACATGCTCTTCCTGCATGAGTTTCGATAGAACAACGCCCAGAAAGCGATACGGCCAGCCTGCTCCTGCGGGTCCAATAATGCAGCCAGAGGCGTTGATCAGGCCCAGTTGCTGCACAGAAAACAGTCAGCGCCCTATGCCATCAGAGTCCCATTCCATGTGGAAACCGAGCTCATCCAACCTACCTTCAGCTCCTCCTCGCCCTCATGCGCTGTCCAATTCTTCCTTTCCTCAGGGAAGTCGTCCAGCCACTCCTCCAGCTGCTTCTTCGAGTTCTCCCACGCCCCATCATCATAGACACCACACAGAGCCTGCACTCTCCTCACCAAGCCGACCTCTCCCGCCTCACCCAACAGCTCAGCCTCGTTGATCAACGCATCCAAATGCGCCAACCTGAACTTGGTGATCTTGATCGCCGCCTCCCTGCCAACACCAGCCTTGAGCGAGCCGTAGTCTGCGAAGGGCACCGTCTTGATATGGCCGCCATTCCGCCCCGTCGCGCCCGAGATCGCGCTGCGGGCCTCGAGCATGACCACCTTCAGGGAAGGGTCTATCCGCGACAGATGCAGCGCGATGCTAATGCCCGTGATGCCGGAGCCGATGACGACGACATCGGCCTCTGTGGGCAGCTGCTCGGATTGCTGGTTGGCGAAGGCGTGCGGTGGTTCTTGCCAGAATGCGGACGTGGCATTGGGAACGGGAAATCCTGGGTCCTTGTGCAGGCGCGCGGCCAGAGTCTGTAATACTTCCGGTGTCGCCATGTTGCCCTGAAGGCGCTATGGTATGGGTGTTCGATTAGATATGTCAAAGCGGGAGAGGTTGTACTCTCCAGAGATCGCTATTATAACAGGGAATTATCAACTTATCATGTCCGGACCCCGAGGCCACCGGAAAAGCAGTATGTAACAGCCTTGTAGACTCGGCGGCAGGGGCTCGCGGGAAGGAGCAGGAAGACTCAAAATGGACGGCTTGATTGAACGGGCGACGAATCCTTTAGCCAAGGTGATCCTTTAGACATTGATACCAGCAAGTGCGTCCCAGGTCCAATTCATAAGGCTCTCCATATCATGCATCGATCCAACGACGCAAGGACTTCTGATTTGACAAGCGCCTGAACTCAAGAAAGGATCGTACTCAGCAGCCCGGGCATTTTTGGATGAGGCTGGGGAATCGGCGCAACATTCAATGACGATAGCAAGCGCAAAGCCCATTCATTGGAGGGCGCAAACGCATCTGATTGGATGACCTGGCCTGCGGAGAAAGGCGACCGGTCCTCCTGTTGTACAAAGGCCATTCTTCCCCAGGTTTTCCTGTCTCTGTATGAGGACAAATGCCGAGGGATCCTTGGAAATTGGAGTATGTACCAGGCCCTCGTCTTCAGAGCTTAAGGTGTGCTCAAGACTCTGCTCCGGGTCTATCATTACATATAAAGTGATGAATTGAAAGGAATTCTGTTGCAGGATTTCCCTACACTGTATATACATATGATTTCAACACGTTTGCCATCGAGTGAAATAGTACAAACATTCTCAAGTTCCGTTGCCAAAAGACACTGATTAAGATGGGGTCCATCGCTCAAAAAGAACAGCCTTCTTCTTGGGAGACCAAAGTCGCTGAAAAACAAAAGCAGACTCACGCCGCCATCCCCGAGGCATGGCGGCTACCAGAGTCGATTGTCAAGTCGCTGGCATATCCACTGGAAGAAAAACCCAACCGCCTGATGGAGCTCGACATCCCGAGAAAGTCGGGCATCCTGTCGGAAAAGGAACTGGCCATCACAGAACAGAACACAGTCGCCGGACTTCTGGCGAAACTCTCTTCAGGAGAATTGACTTCTCTGGAAGTGACCACGGCGTTCTGCAAACGTGCTGCAATCGCACAGCAACTGGTAAGTAGTGCTCCTCCTTCTGCATCCCTTTACGGTCGTCCATTTCGAGATTCTGACTTCCTCCTCCCACAGACTTCATGCCTCACAGAGATCTTCTTCGATGTCGCACTGGCCAGGGCTGAAACTCTGGACAAGGACAGGGAAGCAGGGAAGCCACTTGGGCCCCTGCACGGTCTACCGGTCAGCATCAAGGACGGGTTTCAAGTGACGGGGCAAGAAGCCAGTATTGGTTACGTCTCCTTCCTTGGTAAGAAATCAGAAAAGAACTCTCCGTTGGTAGACACTCTGCTCAACCTCGGCGCCGTCCTCTATGTCAAAACCAACATCCCCATGACGCTGATGACCGCTGATTCTCACAATAATATCTTCGGCCGCTGCTTGAATCCTCACAACACCATGTTGAACGCGGGAGGATCAAGCGGAGGAGAAGGAGCCCTGGTCGCATTCCGTGGCTCACCTATCGGTGTTGGAACGGACGTAGCGGGGAGTGTCCGCATTCCTTCGCTCTGCTGTGGCACGTATGGATTTAAACCAACGTCAAACCGAGTCCCATACGGTGGGCAAGCGATCCCGGGCCTTCCTGGATTCAAACCCATTGTCGCATCTGCCGGTCCGCTGGCCAATGATTTCGAGGCGCTCGAAATCTTCACCAAGGCTGTCATTGACACAACTCCAGCACTGCTAGATTCAACCACAATCGATGTCCCCTGGCGCAAAATCGATCAACCCAAGAAAACCGCTCTGCGCTTTGGCTTACTACCAGCAGATCCAGCATACCCACTTCACCCCCCGATCGAGAGAGCACTAGAAGAAGCAGCAAGGAAGCTTCAGGCTCAGGGCCATGAAGTCGTCACTTTAAGCTCGGGTGAAACCCGCACCGCTGATGCCATCGAGGTTGCCTTTGCCCTCTTCAGCTTGGCGCCGGAAGCCGCTAGAAAGCACATCCAGGCGAGTGGTGAGCCTCCGGTGCCATCGGTCGCGAACCAACCAAGTCCTGCCAATCAGGGAAAATATACATATATCCCAAGCCTGGAGGGGTTGGACAGGCTAGGACAACTTGCTGCAGTGTCTGTGAAACGGCAACAATTTGTCGAAGACTGGAGGAACTTGTGGGTACAGCACAAGTTGGATGCTATTATCGCTCCTTCCGCCCAAAACACTGCAGTGTCACATGATACCTTTGGCTGGCCACCTTATACCTGCCTGTTCAATCTCTTGGATGTAAGATGTCCCCTGATGATAATTGCTCAAGTACTGACCTTGCAAGTACCCGGCATGCGTGATACCATTTTCGAAAGCGTCAAAGGACATTGACAGTAAACCTCTGGTGATCGAGCCGTGGCAAGCCGGGCCTAAATGTGAGTCCATTGAGCATGTCTGGCATGGGATTCTAACGAGCCATTTCTCGCAGACGACCCGGAGATCATTGACGGTGCCCCGTGTTCCATTCAAGTAGTTACAAGGACCATGCGTGATGAAGAGTGCCTCGTTGCGGCAGGAATTGTGGACGCATGTCTCAAGTGAAATCTTTCGACATATCAAAAGATCGTGTGGTTGTCGAGCAGGTATTCGACTTCCCAAGATACCGTCTAGTTTCGGTCAAGGAAAAAGTCCTGGTCCTGGCCCTTTCTTAGATATCAGGGCAATTAGACCATCGTACAAGGTCTCCTCGTCCGAATCCGAGCCATATTCACGATTATTACTGCGTAGGACGTTCGGGATTTTCCAGATGTTCTCAAGCGCTGTTGCTGTACGTTTGACATAGCCAGAGAACGACACTTCCCAGATCTGAAGCAGTAGGGCTTGGATCAGATGGCGCGTTTGTGCCCTCACGGCCGATCCGCTTTCCCCATCTTTATCTTGAATCATCTCAAATAATGTCACTGGACAGGATGCACAACCGAGAACCAGCATTGGCCAGGTGATGAATTGCCCAAATAGGGCACTCCCGTCATATCGCTTCAACAAAGCCAATCCTGTGGCAAGCAAGGCTTCTATCCATGACGAAGTGCTGGAGACGTTGTCTGGATCAATTACCTTTGCAAGAAAAATTCTCAAGGCCAGGGCGTAGAGCTTTGCCGCGATATCAGAATTTGACAGATGGTGAAAGTCGGCGTCGTTTTCATGCAACAGAATGGGATGTGCATCCTGGAGACTGTCCAACTCCGAAAGACACTGCAGAGCGAGATTCTGGTTTTGATCATCTACGAACGGAAGTTGTCTGCTCAGCCACGTAACTTGATAAATAGCCAGAAACAGCGCCGGAGGGATCTTTCCAATTACTGGAAGGACCGAAGCGCTCGCAGCATAATCATCCCGTTCTGAATCGAGGGCTTCGATATACTTGGCCACCGTGGCAGTAGGAAACGAAGCACAGGTTGGTTCGATATCCTCCGCCAGCAGTAGTCTGGTCGCGAAGTGATACAGGACAGAGTCTAGTAGCGTACGCTCAAAGAATGACATTGAAGATAATTGCAGCCGCGGCACTCCGGCGATCGTCTGTTCTAGAACTTTGCCAATGGCACGATAGTGAGTCAAACTGGCGCTGGACGCCGCGGGATAGAAATCCTGATTTGAATCAACACGGGTCAAGACCGAGATCGGGGTCTTTACAACAGCTTACCTCAAAAATGCCCATGAAGAGAGAGGCAGTGAGAAACGCGTCTCGCGCGTCGCTTGAGTAGGCCAATGTCCCAGTCGCTTGTCGAAGGCCTTGAAGGGCGCTTTGCGTGTAGACCATAGCATCTTCTCTAGGGATCAAGGCAGCGAAAGACGCGTGAAGGGCAGCCGGAGCAAGAGCCGCGTGCATGACGAATGGATATTGATAGCTGATGTTAAAGAGGAATGACATATCTCGAAATCCAGTGCCAGCCTCTGGAAAGACTAGGATATTCATGTATCTCCTGGCGCAGTACTCAAATATGTTGAAATCTTGTTGCGTCCTTAAGGCCTGTGGAAGAGACCATATCGAGGCCTCAAGCGAGGCAGGCATGGAGATATCGACGACCGATTCCATGTCAGATGCAGCATCGGAGGGGACAACAGATGAACTTGTTGGCGAGGCTGGAGCCCTCGAGTCTCCCAGCGCGGCATCTCGCCAATTGCATGGGATATTTAACCGTTGACATGCAAAACAGATTGGCTTGGCTTCATCACACTTCTTTCGTCGAGTTCTGCACGTGCTACATCCTGTCTTGGTTCTTAACCTCGGAGGTGGCCTGAATGACTTTTTGGCTTTCATGGCTCTCTTGACGAGATGGCATGTCCTTAAGCGGACAATTGGTACTCATATTCGTGCTTCAGCTAGATAATGGGAGTGGCACGTTGACATTGTCGCTATTTCACAGAGGAGAAGCATGGCGGACGGTGAGGTGTCGATAATCGATAAGTCGATGAGATGTCGATCGAGGTGGAAACGGGAAAGTCCAACCGAGGCTTGGTTGTGGAGGGTTGAACTTGGCCAGTCGAGGGATGAACAGGGAACTGCACAGTACTCGAGCTCTGGTCAATTCCACAGATAATGCCCTTCTAAACACATGCTAGGTCCCTAGACAGATAGCCCCCCTTTCCAAAACCCCGTTGTAAGTGACTACATTTAAGCCTGACCAGCAGTCAAAGTGAGACTTCAAGTCTTGTCTATGACCTTCTAAACGTTCATTGCCCTGGGTGATCTCTCTGATGTGCTGAGGCTGCTCAACACCGTATCCGCAAGCAACATATTTCCAACATACTTCCAAATCTTCGGGGGACTCCTGCTTTTCTGTGATCCCTCGAACAACAACACAGGGAGAAACACAAAACAACCCTCCCGCTCGCTGTTGATATATCTGCCCCACTGACCTGCTATAACACCACGCGCCTATTTTATTGCTCGAGCTTATACTGCTGGTTGTTCTGTGGATTCATGTAATCCATGGGTAACACATGCTGCATTGGTTGCATATTGTTCAATCCTGTTCCAGCACTCCCATCGTCCATAACATGGTCGTGTCCCATCATTGTCGAGTTCGGATCATGCAAGAATTGGTGATCTGCTTGCTGCGCTGTAAAGTCGTGAGGATCGTGGTGTGTCTGCAGATGAGAAGTATCTGCAAAGGTTGGCATGCCAGTCGGAACAAAATTGTGTGGGTGTTGAGCGTACTCCGAGTCCAGTTGAGCCTGTATTTGTTCCATGATTTGTGGATCAATTGCCATGTCGTCGTAAGCGTGAAGGTGCGCGTCTGCATCTGGAAGATGGTCGTTCGCAAGATCCATTGGTTGCTGAATCGAGGCGAAGTCATGATTCGAGAGATGATTGTTGGTAAGGTCTTCCGGAGGTGGCACTTGGACTTGGACATCAGGAACGGGAATGGGTTGCGGTAACGTAGCGGGCGCTTCATCAATAGTTTTGCTCCGTCCTGGTCGATTTTCTGAGCGTAATATGGGTGGCTTGTTGGTGTCCTTACATTCCGGGCAATTCTTGATGACGTGGCTGACTGTTTCTTTTATCCGAATCCAATGGTATTTCGTCGCTATAATGGCTGTAGTCTTGTTGATGCCACCGTGTGCCTGGAGGTGAATTTGTTTCGCGATCTCATACTGGGCTTGGGGATCCGAGATGACTTCTTTGTCCTTCAACATCAGCTTCTCTGGGACACCATCTTGCCCCCCTACTAACTTGTAGTGCGTTGCCGCACTCCTCAGTCGACTTTTCTCCGATCTGTCAGCTCCTTGAGGATAGAGAGAATGACGGAGATAGTATCGAATTTTGTCGAAACGCTCCTCGGAAAGAACATTTTCCCCTTCGGATTTGAGATCTTTTCCATATATGATCGCATCAACTGGCTCATCGGAAGACTTGAGATTTCCACAACCAGGGACCCGCCCAATGCGTTTAAAGCCAAGTGAATCCCAAATCCTCGTCGAAGCAGTATTGCTTTCATAAACCAGATTGAAGACAGAGTACGAATAACCCTAGTCGAAGTTAATTCCACTCGGTCGGGCCAGCCCTTCACGCCCGCAGACTTACCAACTGAGGTGCCCAATCCAGATAGCATTGACCCATAGACTTTCCAACACCCTTATTGCGAGCCGCGTGGGTCACCAGAAACCCACCATTACAGACGTGGCTACTTCTGCCGGGGTAGTTGGGTTTCACATAGAAACTCCCCAGGCAAAGTTTACTCCAGTCGACGCCATTGCGCTCCATGTCGTTGACCGCCTCAATACCACCAATGTCACCCAGTACCATGACAGCGCCAAAATTCCCAAACCAATAAGGCCCAAATGTTTCGAGGGGCAAAGTGTTGATCATGGGGTATGTATCCCCACCCTCAATTTCCTTGTTGAGACTTTCGCCCAGGTAAGCGAGAAGTCTCTTCGGAACAGCATCAGGAGAGAAAAAAGGGATCAATGTCGCAATCGTGACCCGATCCCTCAAAGTCACCGGTCGTGGAAATATGGACGACGGTATCTGTGGATTGTCTGCAGTTGGGTACGGACCCTGGCCGGATGCACGATAAATCACGCCAGACTCGGGATCCTCCAATAGAGCCGGCATCGTGACACCGCCAACCCACCAAATGATCCCAGGAAAACCTGCGCAGTAGTTACGGCAATGATTTGTCAATCAACAACGATATAATGGTGTTTGTTCTGAAAGTGAGTGAAGCAAGGAAAAAAGTTGAATTGATGTTGTAAGAAACGGGCGAAATGATTTCACCTTGGCAGAGGGAAGAATACACCGATTGGCTATCAAGGAACTATATTAATCCGTTCCGAAGGCCCAACCTACCGCAGAGCCACCCAATGAATTCACCGAGGCAAAGGCTGTTCCGTCCGGATAGGTTGAGAAATGATCATGGGTGCTTTCTTGATCCAATGACTATTATGAACATATACTATGCTAGTCTTCTATTTCATATCTCATAAAACGTCCTGCAAAATTGCTGAGAAAGGTGTGGCATCCAGAGAACACAAGTCTCTGATTTAAGGTCTACAAAAAGGTACCTTGAAAATATTGACTTTGCTTCTTGATGCGTGGCCTTTGCGACCCTTCGCGGGAAGGATGAATGTGTCGTTGCTTTGGTGCTCTCATTCATAGGCGGTCTCGCAACGGCTTGCAAATATTTTCTGCAGGTGGCGGCTCTCCATTTGGCGACTCAAGACCACGAGAGTGTGGATCCCTTGTGGCAGGAAATTTGTTTGTTGAGCACTGCATTGGTCGTAATACGACTCTTGTAGACAAGGAGGTTGCTCGTCGTTGAGGAACTTGCTAAGCTCAAACGCTGACGACATGTGGGAGTCAGCTGTAACCCCCATACCAAAGTCGATGCATTTTGCCATTATGAAATGGTATTTATACACATCTGCCTGAGTCGACAACTCCAAGGTGCGGAATCTCTCAAGTGGCGCATGTCCAAGTTGGTGGCTGCGCCCTGCTCATGAGACAGCACGAGACTGCAGATTTTGCATGCCATCGCTCGAGTGCGCTCTCATTGACGCCGTTTCATGAGCCGCAAGACAATTGCAATTGCACCGTAAATTCTGGGGGAAAGAAGCGATGGCTTCAAGATTTCTCATACTCTTTCATACTCCAACGCTTACTGCCGCTCATATGAGCAGGCACTCCCACATACATAGGAGCGTCACCCTTTTTATCAAATTGTGGCAATGCCGATAGCTCCGCAGGTTCATTGTAGGGAGAATAAGAGGGCGAAACACCACATCCGGGCATCTCATAGGATTTGCCACTCACTGACTCCGAGCCGCTCCTCGTTTCGGCAGTGGCGAAGGAATAGGGGTGCATTTTTCCGGTTGACATCTCGGTAGGATGTCGATTCGAACCAGTCAGCTCGTAAGGACGACCGGCTTGAAACGCGTCCTTCTCATGAACAGTTGCATCCGGTAAACTTTCCACGTAGTGACCGTCAGTACTGCGTCGTCGCGAATAGCGCTGACCTAGTAAAAACCCCGCCACGACAAGCGCGGTCACTCCAAGGATAACTCCAATCGCTATGCCAGCCTTGGTCCCTGTCGCTAGACCTCCTCCCGATGAATGCGCCGCCGAACTAGATCCTGCCGACGGAGAAGGAAATGTTGGAGTCGCATCTTGGGTGGTCACGCCGGTCACGCCGGTCACGCTTAAGCTTGCAGTGGTTGGATCGGCAGTTGAGAACGCACCAGTACCAACCCCGCCACCTGAAGTGACAATAACTCCTGATGCTGATCCTACTGTAGTGGTAGCTACTAAGTCGGAAGTTGGCTGCGACAGGAATGTTCGTTAGACCAGTTCTGAAACTGTACTCCGATTCAACTTACCTGTGGCCCGGATGTTGCACCGAAGATCGTGGTAGAACCGATGGTACTCTGAATTACTTCAGTTGTGGTTACTGAGACTGTCGATATAATCGTGTTCGTAATCGTTTGGATTACAACCGGTCGCGCGTTGGCCTCCCCGCTTACAGTTGATAGAAGCGTTGTTTGGGTTCCGCCTACGACAGTGGTGATAGTTGCGATCGAAGCAGCGACGGGCTCCGTTGAGGTCGATGTGACGACGGAGTAAATAGTTAGCAGCGACGGTACCACAGTCGAGACTGTCACCGCTGAAACAATGGGCTGGGTTGCGACGGGCACGGTATCTTGCGCGTTGCAAAGCGACAAGATGTAAAGCAAAGCCCAAATGGCTCTGCAAGGGCTGATTGTGCCCATGACACGAGTCTTGGGATCGTTACGATCTCACCAGGTTCAAGAAAGGCAGAAGGTCCCGTGGAACAAAGGAAAATGTGAGAAGAGAAGCGGACAGAGAGACTGTGGTACAGAGTCCTCGGCACATGTTGAACTTGCAGTCGAGATTAAGACCGGTAGCATCAAGTCCGGACTCAGGTTGGCGGTGGATGCACCCTCAGGCAAATGAAGCGATGCCACAGTTTCGCTACTCTTACGAGTACAGCATTTCTTCCGGGTTTCCTAGCGAGGGGGCGTTGTTCTGGTCATTTAGAACTGGGGGCGTTTTGATGGTGAGAGGTTCGCTTATCATCTAAGAAAAGGAAGTGGCTCAAAGTGGCCGAGCGGTCTCAGAAGCAGTTGAGGTGAGAGGGAAGCCAATTGGTCAGCCTTGGACGCCATCCCTCCTGTTCTGGAACATACGGAGATTGCAATGCTAGACAAGACCCTTTTATTTGAGCAACTATGAGATTCCCTCAGCCACTGCCGGCGCCCATGCGGAATTAGGTTGGACGCAACGACAACGTTGTGTGTTGATAGGCGCGACCAAAGGTATTTACAACTCTGTACATGGCTCTTGCATGGTACAATAATGATTGTATTTGTTGTCGTGTCAATAGCCCACCATAACTTGACCAGTTGACCAGTACGAGGTACGAGGTGCTCGGTACTCCGGCCCATCACCAGAGGATGGATCTGCTATCTCCTATCCGTGGCGGCGTGTCATTTCCGGACTTTGGCGAGTCCAGTCTCGGTGAGTGCCCTGTTCGAGACGCGTCATGCGCGGAATCGGTTGATCACGTGAACAATTCCAAGCTGAGCACAGCCACCGGCAGAGTATCTGTTGATCTCGTCCATGCTGCTTCCTACGGGCATATGCCGGAGGAGTAGGAGAGTCCTGTTCTTTCACGGATGTGGCTTGGGCCTTTGGGTGATATCCAGCTCTCTAGATCCGTGGCCAGAGTACTCCACAACTTAATCGTGTGATTCTGCATCCAGGACTCACTTGCCCAGCTGAACACTTTCGAGAGTCTTAGTAACGATGGGCAAAAGCTCTGCCATTTGATTTGGATCTCTAAGCACTGCAGTCACATCGTCTCTGCGACTGGCCAAGTCTTCTCGAACAGTATCATATGCCTCCTCTTTTTCGACGTACTCTCTAATAACCTCCTTCTTTCCAAAATCGATGTATATCCGGGTGTCTCGCAGGCGCAACAGGACATTGTCCAGTCTCATGAAAAAGCGACACAGTAACAGTAATCGCGCTGGCATGATGCGGATCTTGCATGAAACCATGGTAATGCCATTGTCTGCGAGTTCATCCTCGTAGAGGATCACATCGTCGAAGAACAGAATAGGGTCGGGTCTCTTCAATAGCTCGAGCGGGATGGCTTCGGAGGAGGGTTGGAAATCTGGAGAACCAGGCGCGAGGTCTCCCTTGTAGTCAGTGGTGTAGGACCAGTCAAAGGGTTTGATGACCTCTTTGATGTCATGGGTATCTTCCCTACTCTGATGCCATTCCTTGGAATATGCCACTTTCAATCTCTTTTGCCCGGTCTTGTCCACACGATCCAGAGCCCCGAAGGCGTCAAACTTGATCCCCCAGTGAGAGGAAGGGTGCTCGATGGCTACAAGATTGTCGCCAAAGATCATTTCTGGAGGGGCGATTCCAAGCTTGGAGGTCATTTCTTCAATGGGCCCAGCTTTCAGGATAGGCAGCTTCTGAGTTGTCACACGGAAACCTTCCACTGAGAAGACTCGGGGTGCGTGAGCCGAAGGAGAGGGAAAACTGGTGTCGAGATTGTCTCCAGTAGCAGTCGTAGTCGCATGGTGTTGACCATTGAGCGCCATGATGGGCGCACTGCTCTGGTAATCGGGTTGTAGGCGAATTGTAAACAGCGAACAACGAGCAACCAGGCACCGCAGGAAGTACGGTCGCAATGTTCTGCAGGTTGAATTTAATGGACGTGACACTGGTGGGGGGACCAGTGGGTGAGGGGCGCAGATGGATTTGGCACCGGCTTGCCTGGGGAAGCGGCGATGTGGTCGGTTGCCCCGTGCGACGGCGCACCTTCCCTGTGTACCACCAACCACCAACTCCGAACCGATCTCTATTCTTAATGCTGCTCCTCCAGCTCACCATTCAGTACCAACGACGACAACAGCAACAGCAACAACCACAGCATAGTATCTTCCTTCTCAATTGCCCTTCTCGATTGCATCTGCACCATGGCAGCCAAAACTCTCGAGAGTCGGTTCGAGCATCTTTCTGTCAACGATGAGAACGATGCCCCCGCCTCAACAATTCTAAAGTCAAAGGTGAGCCTAAACCCTCTTCCTCTCACATACTAGCATCTCTGAACATATATTGTATAGGCTGCAAACCAAGGAACGATAGCAAATCTACCCTCCACCCAATCGCGCGCAAACTTGGTCAAGTATGCACTTCAAGCTTCCAATGAATCCAGACAAAATGCTGGCCATATCATCACAACAACAACAACCTCTACCGTTCCAACTCTTCCCCCGTCGCCTGTCAGAAAACCTATGCAGTCCTCTCGTGCATCAGATGAAAGTGACAACTCTCTACAACGGCACTCCAACTCAACAAACTTCTTCGACCAGCCACAAGCCCCCAAAAGCTTCCACTTGGGCATGTTTGAGATCGGAAAGCCATTGGGCAAAGGGAAGTTCGGTCGCGTGTATCTTGCACGGGAGAGGTCTTCGGGATTTGTCTGTGCTCTCAAAGTCCTGCACAAATCCGAGTTGCAACAGGGCAAGGTCGAGAAGCAAGTTCGTCGAGAGATTGAGATCCAGTCTAACTTAAGACACCCAAATATCTTGAGGCTCTTCGGGCATTTCCACGACAGTAAGCGCGTCTTTCTGATCCTCGAGTTTGCCGGTAAGGGAGAGCTGTACAAACATCTCCGCAAGGAGCATCGCTTCCCCGAATGGAAAGCAGCTCAATACATCGCCCAAATGGCCGCGGCCCTCAAGTACTTGCACAAGAAACATGTCATGCATCGCGATATTAAGCCGGAAAATATCTTGGTTGGCATCCACGGCGAAATCAAGATCTCAGACTTTGGCTGGTCTGTACATGCTCCCAATAATCGTCGCAAAACCATGTGTGGTACATTGGACTACCTCCCACCCGAGATGCTCAAACCCGGCAGCTCAGACAACTTCTACAATGAGAAGGTTGACCTCTGGAGCTTGGGGGTCCTCACATATGAGTTCTTGGTGGGAGAGGCACCATTCGAAGATACTCCTGTCATGACCCAGAGAAGGATTGCTCGGGGAGAGATGACTGTCCCCGGTTTCGTCAGCTCAGATGCCAAAGATCTGATACATAGGGTAAGCCAAATCACGTCTTCTTCTAACGAGTACTAACAATATTTCAGCTACTGGTGCTCGACCCCGAGAAGAGAATCCCATTAGAAGACGTTATGCGCCATCCCTGGATTGTGAAGCATTGCGTGACCAAGGGTGGAGAACGAGGAGCCCAAAGGGCATCTGGGAGCAAAGACGGAAACTCTGATTAATGACCAGCGCATAAATGGAAACGAATTTCCTTTCTTCTACTACTCCTACAGTTGCTCGGTCAATGATATGGTTGAATGGGGTTGGATGCGATGTAAAATCTCTATTTTGTGTGACATGAAGAAGTAGCTCGCTGAAGTCCATAGCATGATCGGTGCTTCAAATGCACCGGGTTGTCGTACTGAGCTATTTATCCATCAATGTGATACTTGATGAGCTGAACCATTCTCCCATAGAAATGGTATTGGAACTCTCAAACGGCATCCAACACCGTTTCGTGCATCGTCTGGCCCTCCCGCGGATCGACTCAGAATGCGATTAAGTGTCTCATCAGACTCATAGATTCGCGACTCGATGATAACTATGGCTTACAGTATTCTTGCAACGACTTACATAACAAATTTTGTCGTTGTAGTCGGGGGAAACGATGTGATTATCGCCGACGGGCGTCAGAACCGCAGAGATGAATATCGTGATTGTCATTCTAGACCTTTCCCCTACCGATCTTGATCACCTTCTTCTTCTATCTTTACGAAGTACAAGGAACCCTCGTACAGGACACACAGTTCTCAGTAGCCGGTAATGCCACAAGCTTTCTTTACTTTCATCTCCGTAGCTCTGGAGGTGCATTATTAGCGTGGCGGGCTCGCTGAGAATTTTCTCTGGTACCAAGGCTGCGCGATGTCTTGTGGTTGTCGGCAAGCGTTACAAGTCAGCCTTTCCCCGGTTTGCGCAGACCTTTATACCTTTTTAATCTCTTAGAATCGCTTGACGGGATCGTTGGCTTCAATCACGCCTTGCAATCCTCTAGACATTCGTCGGTGGTGGGGATACCATGAGTTCATCCTTCATGACACCAATCCCCTCCTATCACCCTCTCTCAGCGATGGCGCTATTTTCGATTGGGCCAGGATGACACCAGCACATGTCTTGGGCTTTTACTTATTCTCTCCTTCACCGATGCGATCATGTTGAGATAATGCGTGTGTGTCATATTTCCCCAGCCTGTGGAATAAGTATCTGTTGAGCTTGCTCTGCAGAACATATCTCTTTCTCACTCCACCGTCTGTGACCCTGAAGATGTCGGAGGTGCCAGCTTCAACGAAAGCCGGTCATTTCGTAGCCAAAACACTGGGTATCGAAGCCGACTACCGCCGTGAGCTTCGAGAAGACCAGAGCGCCTCATCGTCCGAGACCTTCTTCGACCGTGAACCAACGGCGAAAGAGTGGCTGGCCAAATTTACTCCAACAACTGCTTCCGCCAGATCTTACGTATCAAGTTTATTCCCATTCTTGCAATGGATATTTCACTACAATGTCCAGTGGCTTACCGGTGACCTCATTGCTGGTAAGTCATCTTGAGATCTTGTTGAAGGCGCCATTCGGCAGAACTTGGTCTTCCTTTGACCCATACATGTTTCTTGGGAAGCATGTATCAGCATGGAATAATCTATGGAATCCATATCCTTTCTAAGCAAGCATGCTGTTAGAATGCATCTGCTACCCCACAAGTATTACTGTCGGCTTTGTGGTCGTACCCCAGGGGATGGCCTATGCCCTTCTAGCCCAGCTAACGGCTGAATTTGGATTGTATACATCCTTCGTCGGCTTCATCCTCTACTGGGCGTTTGCCACATCTAAAGATATTACTATCGGTGTGAGTATAAGCCTCAAATTTTCAGGGCCCAGCTAACCAGCCAAGACCGTTGCCGTTATGTCAACCATTGTCGGCAACATTGTCCTGAAAGTCCAGCAGACTGATCCTGATATCCCTGCGGAACAGATTGCCAGAGGATTATCAGTCATTTGTGGTGCCGTGCTCCTATTTATTGGCTTGATCAGGGCAGGCTAGATTGTCGAGTTTACTCCCTTGGTCGCCATTACTTCCTTCATGACAGGTGCCGCTATTTCAATCGCAGTTGGCCAAGTACCAGCCTTATTGGGCATCCGGAGGATAAACACCAGAGAAGCCGCATACTTGGTTCTCATCAACACACTCAAAGCCCTTCCAAAAGCCAAAGTGGATGCAGCAATAGGGCTAAGCGCCCTCTTTTTGCTCTACGTCGTCAAGTACTTTTGTACCTTTATGCAAAAGAAACAGCTGAACCAAAAGAAGACCTGGTTTTTTATTTCGACTCTTCGCATGTCCTTTGTTATTCTATTGTATACGTTGATCAGTTGGCTAGCCAATAGGCATATCAACGGTGATGCAAGCAAGGCCAAATTCAGGATTCTAGGGAGAGTGCCACGAGGTAAGGCAATCCACGGCTCGACTGTCTTCATCTAACCAACAATTCCTCCTAGGCTTTCAGCATGCAGGGGCCCCTGTGATCAATACTCGACTCATTGGTCTATTCTCGTCCGATCTGCCGGCCAGCTTGATTGTACTGGTGATCGAGCATATCGCCATCTCGAAGTCGTTTGGCCGAATCAATAATTATACTATCGACCCTTTTCAAGAGCTAGTCGCTCTAGGATTTACGAATCTACTAGGGCCATTTCTAGGAGGCTATCCAGCAACAGGCTCATTTTCTCGAACGGCTATCAAGTCTAAAGCTGGTGTTCGCACCCCTCTTGCTGGTGTATTCACTGCTGTCATAGTCCTTCTAGCACTATACGCATTGACCAGTGTTTTCTTCTACATCCCCATGAGCAGTCTAGCTGGGTTAATCATACACGCTGTGGGCGATCTAATTACTCACCCCAATGTGGTCTACCGCTTCTGGGAGATCTCTCCCCTGGAAGTCATCATTTTCTTTGCTGGCGTTCTTTTGACAATCTTCACCAATATCGAAAACGGCATCTACCTCACCATTGCAGCCTCGGCGACCTTGCTACTTTTCCGAGTTGCTAAGGCCAAAGGAAACTTCCTTGATCGCGTCAGGATTCACTATGTTTCGGGAGAAGAATTGCTACGAGAAGCGGAACGAAAAGCGTACAGACCGGACGAAAAATAAATCGAAACAGTGAGAGAAGCATTTTTACCACTTGAGCACCAGGACGGGTCCAATCCGGACATTGAGGTCGAAACCCCTTTCCCTGGTATCTTCATTTACCGCTTCAGCGAAGGCTTCACATACCCCAACCAAGCTCACTATCTTGACAATCTTACGACTCAGGTTTTGAAGGCCACAAGACGTATGCAGCTCGGGAACTACGCTAAGCTTGGAGTAAGCTTCCCACGCCTCACTCCTGTAACCAGAAACTGACAATGTTTTCTTTTATTAGGATCGTCCTTGGAACGACCCCGGCCCACGAAGAGGCGAGCAAGTCAATCTAGACGACCAACGACCCATCCTCCGGGCGATCGTACTCGACTTCTCTTCCGTAAACCACGTAGACGTCACCTCAATACAAGGGCTAATCGACGTCCGCAACCAGCTGGATCGGCACGCAGCCTCCGAGCTCGTCGAATGGCACATTGCCAACATCAACAGCCGCTGGACCAAGCGCGCCTTAGCAGCAGCAGGATTCCGTTACCCAACCGAGGACTTCATCAACCAGGCCGGTCAGTGGAAACCCGCCTACGGCGTCGCAGAGACCTTCGGCTACCGCGTGGGCGAATCGTCCAGCTCCGATCTCAGCGAAACACAGGTCGAGGCCCGCAAGACCCGCTCCCGCGACATCGAGCAAGCCCCCGAGGCCGACCATCCCAATAGGGAAATACACGATAGAGTGGACGAACATTTCCAGTCCAAGGGCAAGCTCTCTTCCGTCCACGGCGTCAATCGACCTTTCTTCCATGTTGATTTGTCTGTCGCCGTGCACGCCGCCATCAACAATGCAGAGCGCAAGGTCTCTTCTGGACCGAGGTTCTCCGTCAGTGGCGAGAGGCTCATCTCTGAGGAGGACAGAATTGTTGTTCACGAGGATGATATTAAGACTGCATGATGTAGACAGAGTCGTCAAGGAAATTAGGGGGCCAGGAGAAGCCAGGGGAGCACGGTAGGCTAAAAACAAGGGTTCCAGCGGCATTGAAGGCGACTCCAAGGTTATAATCAAACATAGCCAGAACGATGGTTAGAAGTGCAAATGCTGCTCGTAGAGACTCTTGATCATCCTTTCGTGGACGGTTCTACAACGATTCAATGGACTTTTAAGTTCTAGTCAGCCGTGATTTCTAGCAGACGTTCAAATCTCAGAGTGACAGGTCAAAAGTCATGCTTCCTCCATATCCATCCCTTTACATGAATGTAAGACTCGAGTGTTGGAAGTCTTGCTTGTGGGCTCCGTGAAGAGGCAGCAGCGGCGGACAGGGAGAGCCGTCATCGGAGACCTCAGCGAATCAGCCGATGACGACATATTACAGGTGTTTCGCTCACTCAACCGCGGGGTCTGGGAAATGGGATATGGTTGCGCCAGCGATATCTCACTTAATACTACGGCAATGGAGATGAGAATTATTATTACGAAGTACCGTGCCTCTTACATCCTGGGGAAACTACAAGGTCCCGCATATATGAGGCCAAAAGACCATCGGGACGCCGAGCCGATATACAGATGTTTGGCATGCACATTCCTGCCCAAAACGGACGGCCTGCTCTGAACCAAGTAATTCCATGGCAAGCATATCTATCGACGTCGATTAATTTTGTCAACTCTCCTACCAGGACGTTTAGAAGCAGGGCAACTTCCTCGGAGCTTTATCTTTCGATTCGTGGTGCTTACCATACTAATCGATCCCATTCTCCCTTGGCTTTCTTGGGGTCGTTTGAGAGCGGGCTTCTCCATCAGATATATTTTACTTTTGGAGTTTTATATTCCTGCTTTGTAATTGATATTGTACTTTTCCGAAGTAAGAAAGTCTTCTTCATCAAATTCACTGGAAAGGCGAAGCGTAAGCCCAAGCTAGGGTTCTCTGGAAATTTCCCCAATCGACAGAGGAACCTAGGGAGGACAGGATGGGGGACGCAAGCGGGTCTGAGAAGGGCATCCGCATTGCCATCGATGTGAGTTCAGAGATCTCTTTGTTGCTCTTGGATCATAAGCAAATCACCTTTATCCAATCTCAGTACCGCAAAAGGATAAATCCCTTCTAATACAGCATGAAAAAAGCGAGGCGGTACGTTCACGGACTGCGTCGGCAACCCGGGAACAGGGCGGATGGAAGATGATATCATCATAAAACTGCTGTCTGAAGACCCGTCGAACTACGAGGATGCGCCTCTGGAAGGCATCCGGCGGCTGATGTCGAAGTTCACAGGCCGGGACATCCGGCGAGGTGAGGCACTGGACACCAGCAAGATCGAGAGCATCCGGATGGGGACAACAGTTGCGACGAATGCGCTGCTGGAGCGGAAAGGCGAGAAGATGGCCCTCGTCGTCACCCGCGGTTTCAAAGACTGTCTAGAGATCGGGAACCAGTCAAGACCCAAGATCTTTGACCTCGCCATCCGCAGACCAGACGTTCTCTACCAGAAAGTCATCGAGATCGACGAGCGTGTCACGCTCGAGGACTACGCTGAGGATCCCGAGCGGAATCAGACCAAGGTGGAGGCCAAGCACGAGGATTATAAGGACCATGAGCTCGTGGGCGGCTTGTCCGGCGAGGCTGTGAGGATCTTACATAGACCTGACGAGGACAAGGTCAAAGAGCAGCTGAAGAGCCTATATGACGACGGGTTCCGCAGTGTCGCCGTGTGTCTGATGCATGGCTACACGTTCCCCGAGCACGAGGCATTGGTCGGCAAGCTGGCACAAGAAATCGGATTTGAAAACGTCAGCTTGAGCCATGCGCTCATGCCCATGATCAAGCTTGTGCCGCGAACAACCTCTGCTTGCGCGGATGCGTACCTCACGCCGGCAATCAAAAAGTACATCTCAGGGTTCCAGGCGGGCTTCGAAGGTGGTCTTGGAACCGAGAGCGTCAAAAAGGAAGGTGGGGATAAAGGCGCCAGGTGTGAATTTATGCAATCTGACGGTGGGCTGGTGGATGTGGACAAGTTTTCAGGACTACGAGCGATTCTCTCGGGCCCGGCGGGTGGTGTCGTTGGGTATGCTTTGACATCATACGACCCGGAGACAAAGACACCGGTCATCGGCTTCGATATGGGAGGCACGAGCACAGATGTCAGTCGGTATGGCGCCGGTCGATATGAACACGTGTTCGAGACTACAACGGCGGGCGTCACTATTCAGTCTCCTCAATTGGACATCAACACTGTGGCGGCAGGGGGTGGGTCCCGGTTGTTCTTCAGAAACGGCCTCTTCACAGTTGGACCTGAATCTGCAGGCGCCCATCCTGGACCGGCATGTTACCGCAAAGGCGGCCCCTTGACAGTCACGGATGCAAACCTCTTCCTCGGACGCCTCCTCCCAGATTTCTTCCCTAAGATCTTCGGAAAGAATGAAGACGAAGGCCTTGACCCCGAAGCAAGCAAAAAACTCTTTGACGAGCTAACCCAAGAAATCAACAGCAAGACAGACAAGCACATGTCTGCCGACGAAGTCGCTTATGGCTTCATCAAGATCGCGAACGAAACCATGACTCGACCAATCCGCTCGCTGACCGAAGCCAAGGGTCACGATACATCACAACATCGTTTAGCGACATTCGGCGGTGCTGGCGGCCAACACGCCGTCGCGATCGCCGAGTCACTCGGCATCCGCCAGATCCTGGTCCACCGGTATTCCTCTGTGTTATCGGCGTATGGCATGGCTCTCGCAGACGTGGTGGACGAGTCACAGGTTCCCGAGTCTCATGTGTGGGACCTCTCTGGCGCTAAGCGCGAAGGCTTGCAGTCGAAGCTCGACGAGCTGAAGCGGCGCTCGCGCAAACGGCTCCAAGACCAAGGTTTCGACGATGACTCCATCCAGTACGAAGAATATCTCAACATGCGCTACCGTGGCACCGAGTCCGCACTGATGGTCATCAAACCGTCCGCAGAGGAGTCCAAGGACCTGTACAAGGGCGACGAGTTCGCGTTCGGCGCAGCCTTTGTACGTCAACATGAACAAGAATTCGGCTTCACGCTACCAGACAGGGATATCATCGTCGACGACGTCCGGGTCCGCGGTATCGGCAAATCGTTTCGCGGCATGTCGAAGACGGCCGACCAGCAACTCAAAGAAATCAAACCTACAAATGTATCCTCTGACAAGGCCTACGCGACCTCGCAGGTGTACTTCGAAGGCGGCCGGCAAGAAACCAAGATCTACAAATTAGAAGACCTTGATGTCGGAACACGCGTAGCCGGGCCCGCGATCATCGCCGACGGCACGCAGACGATCGTGGTGACGCCGGGCGCAACGGCGCTGGTGATCGAGACGCACGTAGTGATCAACATCGGAGAGGAAGCGGCGGCGAAGAGAGCGAACACGTCGGAGGTCGACCCAATCCTGCTCTCGATCTTCGCGCACCGGTTCATGGCGATCGCGGAGCAGATGGGCCGGGCGCTTCAGAAGACGTCGGTCAGCACGAACGTCAAAGAGCGGCTTGACTACAGCTGCGCCCTGTTCGACGCCGCGGGCGGCCTCGTCGCCAACGCGCCCCATCTGCCCGTCCACCTGGGTTCCATGTCGACGTGCGTGCGCACGCAGGCGAAGATCTGGGAAGGCAAGCTGAAGAAGGGAGACGTTGTCGTCTCGAACCACCCTGAGTACGGCGGCACCCATCTCCCGGATATCACGGTCGTGACGCCCGCTTTCTCGTCGAGCGGAGAAATTGTGTTTTACGTGGCGAGTCGCGCCCACCACGCGGATATTGGAGGCATTCTCCCGGGCTCCATGCCGCCGCACTCCCGTGAGCTCTACCAGGAGGGCGCGGCGATCAAGTCTGAGAAACTTGTCTCGGAGGGCCAGTTCGACGAGGAGCGCATCACGCAGATCCTGTACGAGGAGCCTGCCCAGTATCCGGATTGCAGCGGGACCCGGTGTCTTGCGGACAACATCAACGATCTCAAGGCCCAGATCGCGGCAAACCAGAAAGGCATCAACCTGATCAGCACCCTGATTGAGGATTATGGCGAGGATGTGGTGCAGTACTATATGCACGCTATCCAAGACAATGCGGAGCGGAGCGTGCGGGAGCTGCTGAAGGACGTGAGCAAGAGATTCGAAGGCAAGGATCTTCAGGCCACGGACTACATGGATGACGGGTCCCCAATCAGCCTGCGCGTGACTATTGACGCAGAGAAGGGAGAGGCGGTGTTCGACTTCGACGGCACCGGGCCCGAGGTCTACGGCAACATCAACGCTCCAGAGGCGGTGACGTACTCTGCGATCATATACTGCCTGCGCTGTTTGATCGATCAGGACATCCCGTTAAATCAGGGGTGTTTGAAGCCCGTTGATGTGAGGATCCCACCTGGCAGTTTCCTGAGCCCGAGTGAAAAAGCGGCCGTGGTGGGAGGAAACGTTCTGACCAGTCAGCGCGTGACCGACGTGGTGTTCAAGTGCTTCGAGGCCTGTGCGGCGAGCCAGGGCGATTGCAATAATCTGACATTCGGTTTTGGTGGGAATCTCAAGGGCGGTGCGCAGCAGAAAGGATTCGGGTATTACGAGACAATTGCTGGTGGGAGTGGTGCTGGTAAGGACTGGGAGGGGACCAGTGGAGTTCACACGCACATGACGAATACGAGAATAACAGATGCGGAGGTGTTTGAGAGAAGATATCCTGTCATTCTTCGGCAGTTCAGCCTGAGGGCTGGGAGCGGTGGTGTTGGCCAGCATAAAGGGGGTGATGGTGTGGTTCGTGATATTGAGTTCCGAATCCCTGTCCAAGTCAGTATCCTGAGCGAGCGCAGAGTGTACAGGCCGTACGGTCTGCATGGTGGTGGCGACGCACAATGCGGTAAGAATATCTGGGTTAGAAGAATCAAGAAGGTCATGAAGAAAGGGTCGGGTGGTGAGCATGAAGGAAAGCAGCGTGAGAGTGGGAAAGACGATGAGTACGAGGAAAAGTATATCAGGTATGCCACCTGTGATTGTCCATGCCTTCGCTAGTGCTGGTCGTTTGTTGGGAGAGCTCTCAATGCTTGAGCTTTCCCATCTTCGTTGCATATGCCTGGAGGACCATGCTAATGATCGGCAGTCTCGGAGCCAAGAACACAGCGTCCATGTCCCCTGGTGAAAGAATTATTGTTGTAAGTCCGGCAGATCCCGACATTTTTGTCAAACGGAACAGAGTGCTAATCCTCGACTTTCAGCTAACTCCTGGAGGAGGCGGTTACGGCAAAGCTGGTGAACAGAGCAAGGTGCAGCTCAGAGAAGATTATGAGAAGCACTGGAAGAAGGGCAGCTTGGGTTCCCGATTAGCTGAGTGGGAGAGTAGTTCTTGAGATCATTGGTCAACTGTTGATGAAAGAGCCATGCCGCCCTGCACTGTATCACAGCAGCATTCATAAGCTTCCCCACCAACCAAGACCACGAATAGAGACACTTAGAACATACCTGAAGGTGTTGTAAGCGCAAATGTTTTATATGAAGCACAGGTCTATTGGATTATATCTTCAATTAGGCAGATGGTGTAATCATCCGTAATGCCAGGAGTGATGGTTCGTGTTAGTGAAGCTGGAGCATCACTCTTCTTCATCACTAGTCGCTTCGATGTTGGCCTTCTTGTCTTCGATTTGGTCATCGTCATCCCCTTGGTCATCCTGGTCACCACCTGCTGCTTGCTGACCATAATTGGGTCGAGGGATCGTTTCACCTTTCTGCTTCAGGGCGCTTTCGATTTGAGGCATGATATTGATGAGGGCGGAGTATTGCTCAACAGTCATGGAGATTCCCTATCCGATTTTATGAACATATGCTCCATGGTCAGCCTTGCGGTTAGAGCTCACCTTTTTTCCGGGGAGCCATTCATCATCCTTTTGATAATATTCCCGGACATTGACCATTTGTTTACCCTTGAAATCAGATAGGGTGACACGCCTGGCTTTTGAGATCTCCCAGTATCGGTTCCCATCCGAGTCGAAGAGAGGTTCCGAGGCAGGTTTGAATGCAGCTCCAGATGATGCCTTGCCGCGTTTTGTAAGGACATCAACATCAACGTCACTGTCGTTGTAGGTTTGGTTCGCTGCCTTTCTCTTCTTTGATGGGAAAGGCATTATGGCGATTGTGGAGTTGCGGAAATGTAACCTGTAGTGACGAGCAGTGTTTGTTGAATCCAAGAGGGTGGATTGTGAAGATTCGCTGGTGCTCCTACGCGTGTGGTGCCAGTGCCCTCGAAACTACGCGTCTGCACGTGAGTCCGAGTGTTCAACGCGGAAAGAGCAACCCCAAAGGGCGCGTAGATGCGAAAACGTCATACTTTCCAGAAGCTTGGCGCTATTCCAGAAGAGGGCTAGCGGAGTTTTAATGGGGTCCCTTGTCCGTTGGTCGTTGGTCCCCGCTTCGCTCTTCTCTTCCCGCTCCAAAGATTTGCCTCCAGGGTTTGCCTTCTGTCGTCAATCATTTATCCAACACACCCCAATCGTACAAACTCATCAACCCATTCCACCTCTTCACCATCTACAACTATCTCAACTTCTCTCTAGCAACCTTATAACCTCATCAAAAAGCCCTCTGCACATATACACAGTCTTCAGCCATGTCTCGAAGAGCTCTTCTGAGCGTACCTCGCACCATCACCACTTCGGTCCAATCTTCCGTCCGATCACCACTTGCCTCCAGAATTGCATCGCCATTTCTAAGACCCGCTGCCGTACAGCCATCTCAGAGACGGTCATATCATGAGAAGGTGCTCGATCATTATTCGAATCCTCGAAATGTAGGGTCTATGGACAAAAACGCAAACGATGTTGGTACAGGTGTGTCAACTACTCATATCTTATGGCCGAGCCCGAGGCCGCGCAAATTCACCGCGGACACTCCGATCATCGGTCTTTTCATGATGGAAACTGATTTTTGATAATTCCTTTAGGTCTTGTCGGTGCCCCCGCCTGCGGTGATGTCATGAAACTGCAGATCAAGGTCGACCCCGATAACCAGACTATCGCCGATGTAAAATTCAAGACCTTTGGCTGCGGATCGGCTATCGCTTCGTCCTCATATTTGACCGAACTCGTCCGCGGCATGACCCTCGAGCAGGCCGGAAAGATCAAGAACACCGAGATAGCAAAGGAGCTCTGTCTACCCCCAGTCAAGCTGCATTGCTCAATGCTTGCTGAGGACGCCATCAAGTCGGCGATCAAAGACTACAACCGCAAAAGTGATGAAGCATCTCACTGATTTCGTGTTACGTGACTGACTTGTTTCCAGATCCTCGTGCGAAGGTTACTGATCTAGGATCAGCATCAGCTTCGATGCCACGAATCGAGATCGAGAAGGTGACAAGCGCCACAGCATAAATCCAACCTCCTGGACACGCATTGCGTGTCCAGGAGGCTTAAATTGTCTGTACCTGTAACATCTTAACGCATCGAGGCAATGATAGTCTCGATCCCAAGGCACTCGAATCACGACTCATATCTTATCTGGTTTGTAGTCCTATTGCTGGAAATGGCTTACGGAACAGGGATACCGGTCTTTGGGATGCTAGAAGTGTCGGCAAACTGAATGGACCAGGTAAATGGACCAGGTCCATGAATTTAAAAAATTGAATGGAGAGGAGGGCGAAGGCGGGAGGATCTCAACCACATCTCCATGGACCTTGCGGAGTGGAGGACAGGGAAAAAGTGAATGTTTCATCGCTCGCTTTAAACATGTCTTTCCTTGGCTGGAAAGTGTCGAGTTTGCTATTATGCAGTGTGGTGTTTTTGAAATTCAACTTCAAATTCAAATACCTAGCCCACCTGATGTGCAGGCGTCATTGCCTGCCTTGTATGCTAGCTAAATATATAGTCTTGAAAAGCACGAAAAACATTGATAAGAGACACAAGCTCCGCTGATCGAAGTGTTTTTCGTGTCTTTGGGTCACCTTTCCCCTTGAAATAGTTTGAAAATACTCCCATATCCACGTGGAGAATTAGTTGCAAAGTTGAACTTGGGATGGATCAGATAAGAAACCCAGGTGTCGTTGGCATGCCAGTGTGCCCGGCAAGGTCGGCTTCAACTAACAACATGATGAGCTGCCGTTGAAACAGAGAAAAGTTCGCACTTTCTTCTGGAATCAATACGCGTTGTAGCAGAAATATTATTGTTTTATCTTTCGCTCTCTAACGTGTACAGCCCTAGTTTCGGCTCTTCATAAACTCATAACGCCAGTCGCTTGCTGAGAATGCTTTATGTTCATATCTTTACTTCATCAATCGTCGGCCAGTCCCATCAGTGCCAAGGGTTCTATCTCTGATGATTGTCTGTCTGACACGTTGGACAATTTGACTTCGGGTGAGATTGCCGATCCTCCCTGGCGTCTCGAATGCTCTCAGTGCAAGAGTGAACTTCCATACTATCTAGTTGGGGCCCTGCGAACCGAATGAGAAATCGACTCAGTGACTTGGAATATGAACACCAGGGAATTGGCTGTCTACTCAGGACTGGGTACCCCATATTTCATCTGTGTGGCAGGGTTCGGCTAAAACTCTTCCATCATGTCTTCATCGAGGCCGTCGACCATTGCTGATCTTCCGGGATCGGTCTTCTTCGCTTCCTCCCTGGCCTTCTTTAACCTTTTGAGATAGTCAATATACTCCTTGGAAGTCTCCATTCGGTGCTCAGTATCTTGGATATGTCTGAGCAACCCTTGGAGCTGTAGAGTCTGAAGTGCGAGGGCTTTCTCCACTTCAATTTCGCTCTTGAGTGATACTGATGGAAGATGAAAGCGTAGGATCTCTTCTCCGGATTCTGAAGTTACGAGCATGGCATAAAGCTCTCTCTCGGCAATAAGGCTTTGAAGATACATCCTGGTCTCGGTCAGATCTTCTACATCGGCTGATGTTTTCCTTGCTACCGCGGTCAGTGGAAGAGCCGCGAAAGTTCGGCCCAGACGTAGGATTGTGAATTTCCTGAATGCTTGGTAGACCTCCATCATGAGACAGTAGTTTCCATCCTCTTGCCACAAAGAACTTCCTGCCTCAATCTCTGATCGGAGTTTGTCGAGGTCATTGCTCTGAAATGCATCAACAACGCAGTCATAAGGTTTGGCGAGCGCCTTGATGTGCTTCAGAGAGCTTTGTGAGACGTTCTTAGGTGATTCTGGGGTGGACCCATTCTGAATCAGACCAACAAGCGCCCACTTCCGGTAGGCTTCAATCTGTAGCATGCTCGCAACATTTGGTATTGTCGGTGCGGAAAGAACCACCTCAAGAAAGAACAAAGCATCCTTGTAGCGTCTTGCTCCCAGGTACGACAGAGCACCCAGTAGATAATATTCCAGGAATATTCGGGAGGTGATGGGTTGGGTGAGGCCAGTTGCTGGGTTCAAGTATGTTGAGTTTTGATCTGTGCCTGAACAAATGCAATTTTTCGAGCGGTTGTCAAGTATTGTGGGTATGTGATAAACTGGGCGATCCAGAATGTCGACGGCCTCAGCATAAGCTTGGGCAAGAAGACATAGGCGAATGAAAGTTCGGTGAGTCGAGGTCAATATTGAAGACGTACTGTCAAGTCGAAGTATGACATGGTGAAGTAGTTGAATGGCAGGGATGTAGTTCGAGGTTTGCTCTGCACCCAGCGCGACATATTCGACTATGCGTACCAACTGTGTTCCACAATACCGGACCTGTATGAGATCGAATTCTAAAAGTATTTGGGTGATGTATGGCCACAACGACCCCTCCGGCAACACGCTGGAAGGTAATTGGCGAGGTGCAGCCTTTCCACTGGCTGCAGATGCGTCGATGCTCGCTAATAGCACATAGAGGAAGGTGATTGTATGCGTAGATGGTTGAATCGCCTACAACGGTGATCAGTTTCATTCCTAGTTGGTCGCTGGGTTGGACATACATCAAGATGATCTCTTGCGGCCAACTCTTGTGCGGAAAGCTTGGTCAACTTTGATAGCAGGTCCAAGGCCTTTTGCTCGAATTGACCTTCATCTGCGAGAAGCAGGGTCGGATTCAAAGCGTCACTATCCTCCAAGATCTTATCCATTGGGGGCAGCTCGCGTGCGCGCGCTGAATGTCCGCGAGTGATTAAGAGGCTGCCATGTGGGTGCGCGAGTTTTGAGGTAGTTCGGCTTGGTTGTATCTAAGGTGGTGAAGGATGTGGGAACAATGGACGACGACGGGTGGCTTAAGGGGAGGGGAGGCCAAAGACTTGAGATAAAGCTTTAAAGACAGACAATCTGTGGTGGACAAATACCAGCCAAAGTGACATTTCCTTTAGGCTGCGCTTGCGTCAATCATCGCTAGCCCGATCATGCCTGCCCGCACGCACCTGCGCTTCCCCAAGGTCTTGGCAATATTAATCACGTGAGACTGATGAGAGCCTGATCTTAGGTAAGCAGGTGGTGCCAGGACGCCTGGGTGACGCCAACCCAGCCAACCTCATCACTAAACCACAATTGGTGAACAGCCACACCAAGATCGGAAAATTGTTCAACGACACAATCGCAATACCTGCCTTCACAAAAGCCTGCATGCTGGATTGTTAACACCATGGACCATTTTCAAGGTTAAAGGTTGGTGAACCATCCAGCAAGTATGTCATGCGTATGTGAACGAGGAAGCTGTACTCCATGGTAAGGGCCAGATATGCAGGACTCACTCCCTCGTCTATCTTCTGCATTCTCCGTATCTCTAGAGCCTTTTTCACAAAAGGACCCCATATATGTAGGTAAGTGACACCCAGCCACTCACCAATAATCGACCATGGAATGCGGCTTTAGGCAATGCCCAAATCATTACAAAGCTTAACACAATCTTGGTCAAGCCAAGGATGAACATCGAGTCTGAATCAGCCTGGCCCACGGATCCTTGCTGCTCGGCTTCAGCCCCATTTGACCACCTCGTACTTACCAGCCACAGACAGAGTACGAAATAAAGGATTTTGATCTGGTATCTTGCCAATAAAGTCACAGTCGTGTGGTCCAACCTCTGCAACACACAATTTGCCAAGCTCACACCTCGCCTCTACCAAGCACCGATTTCAGCTCTTAAAAGCTTGTAGCCAATACTTTCGAAGAGTCTACATTGGCAATGGCTTGGGGACGTTGGCAATACCATCTAATGCTCCCAGACCCTGAATTCTTGCAAGGACTGTCCTTGATACTCGACTGTTCATATATCTCCGATAAAGCCGTCAGTTCTGCCCCAAGTTCAAACTACAGCAACCTGCATCAATGTGTACCTAGGTAGCAAAAGCAAAGCTCATAAGTCAAGACATGCGGCTCACAGTCTCCGAGATGCTGTGGATATATTGAAGACGGTCTGTGTGAGAACGCCTAGCGGTGGTACGCTCGTGTTGCGAATGAAAACAAGCAAACACAGCCGAGTCCAACACGAGCATGGGCTATACGGTCAATAGACTCACTGGATCGCTGGGCTGCCGGGCACCAATAATTTAAGACCCTCACGAACGCCAGACGGAGGCTAGAAACTTTTCTTCAAAGGCGAGCTCTTTCTCTCCATCTCTAACCCCCATCACACATGTCAAACACTACAATGCTGTTCTCATTGTTGTTAGGCACCGTAGCCTTAACGACAGCTTCTGATGATCCTCATCAACAGGCTGATTTGTCTATCATGAACGCTGTCACACCCAGTCCCAAACCAACCGTGAAGCCATTCCTGCAACCGGAATTGCTTCGGCGAGACTCTCAAGCGTTGCTGATGGCACCAGATTACACATGCGGATACGTGGATGGTCGGGCTGGTGAGTAGTCCTCTTGTACAGGAGTATCGACCCTTTGCTCACCATCTCACCAGGTGCTCTGGTCACATGTGAATATGGGAACTGCATAGTCTCGAGTGGAGCGATTGGATGTTGTGATAATGGTCTCGAGGCCGAGTGCGAATACCAGAATATCTGTATCGACTATGTTGCTTTCTACACCTCCTCAGCTTGTCCCCAGGGTTGTCAAATGGACCCAAATACTGTGAAATGGTACCTGCACTTGTTCGCCTCCGCCTTGCAAGAAACGCTCTGACTATATGATATAGTACTAACCAAAATTGGCCATACTGTATCCCACACACCTTTCCAGCCCTAAACGCACTTTACTACACTTGCGAAGACTCGATCATTGGAACTCTTACAGTGGAAACAAATCCTAGCGGCCAAGAACCTCCGCGCAGTTGGAACACGCTTTATGAAGATGCCGCATCGTCAAATACAATCGCGACCACGGGTACGGGCACGGGCACAACCGACTCTTCGCCTACCCAATCCAGCAGTGGTACTGGGGCACCCTCAGGTACAGCAGCGTCGACGAGCTCCAGTGATTCCCAGAACATAACAGATGGATTGTCTACACGTACTATCATTGGAATTGCTGTTGGTGGATTCCTTTTTCTCTGTGCAGTGCTTGCTGCAGGTGTATGGTTGTGTTTGCGTCGACGAAAGTTACATGGTACCAGCCACCGTCCACCCCAGGAAACACACTATAGTAGTCCTCCTCCACCCTTACCACCTCCAGCATTTGTTGCAGCACCATATCCTCCTGCAGGACCAGTGCCAAAGCCATTCGAAGGTCGTCCGTATCCAGGATATGGAATTCCTACCGGCAATCCCCAGCCTCATAACTACGCCTATGGCCCTGTCTCACCTATTGCATCGCCACCTCTTCCGGCCCCACGTTCTGAATTGAGCTCTCCACCTCCATTGCAACCTACGAGCTACGAGCTCAATTCAGCATCTCGTATCTCTAATAATTATGCTGAGCTACCTGGCGGAAGGGGTTACAGGTAGCCTGATCGGGTCACCCGACTCTTCTGCCAGGACCTAATTGGCTCTGCCTCTAGGCTCGTCGGCGACTGCAAGCCTTGCAAGAGACCTCGCACGAGACCTCGCACGACCATGACGCCGCTTCAACGGCACACCTACTAGAGAACTAACCAATCTATGTACATTCCTTACCGTATCGAGTGCCCTAGGTGCCTGATATTTATGTTTTGAGACGAGTTACGCCAATGAAGACCAGACATCCACTCACCCTGTCTAACGTTTGATAGCAACGATTAGGGCAAGCCTATGTTTCCCCAAAAAGGATTAACTGACACCTACCCCTGCCCCTTGATGCCACATAGCATTGTCGCAAGGAAGAATGAATGCATTAGGACGGAGATCAGAGACACTCCTCCTAGTTTTAAAGCAAATGTTACAGCCCTCGCCTATAAATGTTTCACTGGTCTTTGACTTCCCGCATCCATTAATTTCCCTTTTCAAGTCGAATTTGCATGGTGGGCACCGGTGGCGGTGTTCCTTTTGACTCCCGCTTTCCTGAACATGTATCTGCATGCCTAGGTTGACCGACCATAGCCACACTGTTATTCAAGAACATGTGCAACATAAAGCAAGTCATTTCTCCAGAGCGTCGAACGGGATGTCCTACATAAATATCGTATGCCACGAAGCATCGCATGGCGACAAGAATTCCTCCACGGTCGCATATCTCGTAAGCCATTTCCAAGTAGGTGCAAGACAAGTGGAGCCAAGATTACTACAACAAAGCGGTGGCAGCATAGGCGACTCGTGAATCGTCTTTCTAAATGGAGTATAGACAACTACCTTCTGTCTATCGTGTCTATTTATTCTGGGCCTGTACCGGGTTAGGATTGCCTTTATAATGGAGCGGCTTCTTCGCGAAGAAATCCTCCCTGATCTCATTTGTTACCGCCTTCCTCCTGACCTGGAACTGTGCGACGTACTCCTGCAAATACTTAATACAAATCTGCTTGATCTCGCCAGTCATCATCTCGCCAGACTCGTAAGCCTTCTTGATGCGGGCGAGCTCGACGTCGTCCTCCATGAAGAAGGTCAGGTACTGGAACGGCACATCCGCTTTGGTGTTGCCACCTAGCTCGCGCTGTTTCTCCGCCGTGTCCTGGCCCCCGGAGAAGGCAAAGCGGTTGATTTTGTTCTTGATCTGGTTCGGCGTGTCGGTCAGGAAGATCGCGGACGAGTCGACGCTCGCAGACATTTTCGACCCCGGGCCCTGCAGCGCGGGGAGGAAGATGGAGTGGATGATCGAAGGCTTTTTGTACTTCATTTTCTCGGCGTTGTCGCGGCATTGCCGGAAGTATGGGTCTTGGTCAATCGCGCACGGAATCAGGCACGGGATGTTGCGCACGCCAGGGCCGGTGCCGAAGATGTGCGGGAAGGATGTCGCGAAGGCGGTTGCCGACTGGATGGAGCAGAAGAAGAATTCGCCGACGTTGTTGCTGTCGTTGAACCCGAACGTGCCTTTGATTTGGTTGATGGTGATTCTCGTCGCCATGCGTGTCACGTTCTCGTAGAACGGCCCGCCCATGAAGCCGAAATCGGAGAAGATGAATGTCTTTGCGGGATCGAAGCCGATGGCGATGATGTCCTTGGCGTTTTCAACAGAGAATCTCTGGCAGTCTTCGACCTTGAGTTTGTCGGAGGAGTGCATGTATTTCTCGTCGTCGGTGAGCTGGATGATGAGCGGGCAGTCGAAGACGTCCTGGAGAAACTTGGTGAATTCGAAGGGGACCGAATGGCCGACGTGCATGCTGTCACTGCTCGGCCCTCGTCCTGTATAGAGATAGAACGGCTCGCCCTTTTCATATCTATCCAGGATTTTGGTGAGATCTCGGTGTGATAGGACAATGCCTCGCCGCATGAAGCGGTGTGGTTTCTTGCCAGTCACTTTCTCAAATCGCTCAAGGAGCTCGGCCGTGATGGGAGTGGCTCCAAATTGTCGTGTGAGTTTGTCATAGTCAACTGGCAATAGTTTACCTGTTGCGTCTACACCACCAGATACCTCGAACGGTGTGATTTTTTGTTCAACGGGTTGAGAGGGGGCTTGGTCGGCAAGTGAAAGTGTTGTAAGATTGGGTGGTTGACCCGGCTCATCTGCTGGGGTAGCCATCTTGGATGAATAGCAGGCCAATCTGTTTTCGAGATTGTTGGCCCTGCTTCACGGATATTTTTATATGTGAGTCAGGAGCAAGTAGGCTGGATCCCCGACACGGCATGGACCACTTGATTTTGGGTGGAAGTCGCCCACTTCCCCTTTTCTGGGCGGGTAGAGCCGTGTGATATCTTGGCAGTCGTCGATGACTCAGCTATAGTCACGTGACGCATTATTGATTAGATTAGATTTCGCGTCTGTTCTGTGGACGGAATTAAAAAGCCACATCGGGCTGATGTTGTACAAGGGAGCATTTGGGGGCATTCCACCTCCGCAGCCAAGCTTCTCTTCTGTGCTTTTCCATGTGGCTGCACCAAGTCCGAGTCCTTGATTCTGCCGATCCAAGAGAGCTCACGCGAGAGGCAAATTCATTTCATCACCCCAGCCTCTCCTCCTGGCCTCCCCTCTCTCATCGTCCACAGCCTTCAGTATCTACAATTCTCATCTCATGCTCTTGTTGCAGCATGAAATTCTATGAAAGCTCTTTCAATTATGATTACACATTTCCCGCAGTCACCCTGGCCTATTTCCTGCGGTACCCGAACCCATACTCAAGACATGTCTTAAGTAGCGATGTCATTGATCGCTATGTCGATCCTGAAACACAACGCCTACACACCATCAGGCTTCATCTGAAGAAGTCGAAAGTCCCACCTGGCATCCTCAAATTTCTCCCAGGTGGCCTTGCTGGACCCAATGGTTCCAGCCAAAGCTACATCTTGGAAAGGAGCACAATCGATGTCAAAGAAGGATGGATGGAAACGGAGTCCAAAAATATGGAATGGACTGGCATTCTGAGTGTCATTGAACGTCAGAGCTATAAGCGTCAACGACTCTCTGAGACCTCGGCTACGGATGGGTACCGCCCGCAGGAAAGCACATCCTGCAGGACCGTGGTGACCTTTGTATCCAAGCTAGGCCAGGGAAAGCTTCTGGGACGGAAAAAGCAGGAACAAGCCAACACCTCTGAGGAAGAGGAAGTTCCCAAACAAGGCTTTTTTGCTTCTTGGTCGACAGCTGGCATTCAGCGCACGGTTGAACTCATTGGAGTAAAAAGAACAAAGACAGCATTACTTAATGGAAAGGAAGGCATGAATGTTGTCTTGGAAAGGCTCAGAAGCGGAGGGGTTGTGGCAGTTTTGGAGGGTATGAGAGCAGATCGTCAAGAAGCCATGGCAGGACAAGAAGGACCCTACAAGCGTGTCTGGCTGAAGCGGCATGAAGGCGACCACGATTCGGATTGAGCAGCTTGATCAAGATTCCTTTTTCAAGACTGACGTGAAAATGTACCACTACTATGTTGAGCTGTGTTGTCTGGTTTGAGCGAGGCGCTGGGGTATGAGAATTTATGTTCTAACATCTTCCGTCGGAACAAGATGTGTGCCGATGAGAGTGCGCAGAGGTATGTATCTAGGTAGGAATACCAAACAAGATCCACTCAATACTGTGCTCACGAGCTTCTCATAACCTTGGGATTGTTCAACAATGGTGTTCGCGGGCAGGGGCAATCAGTTGTGATGGTCGGTAGGAAAGAGCCCCCTCAAAAACTCAAAGTCCCATTCTGACCAAGTAAAGCGACGGCCACCACTTCCATCCTATCAGCACAGCATGCAAGCCACCTCGAATTCTTTGAACGTTAATGGCATGTCTTCACGGCCTTGAATCTGCACCCGCTCGATATATCGCTTGGCGGAGAATGTGTGAATCTGAACTGATATGATATTGCCTATCTGACGATGGAGTGAAAAGATTGCCATCTTTCCCCTGTACAACCTTCCAAACACACTCCTTCCGCCTTTGTGCACAGTCATTCTTTTATCTCTTACCATCGACGCTGCTTCTCTTTTCATTCATTCAAAGAGCTGTAGGCCGTTATGGTCGCCATTCCTTGCCACTTCTGGTGGCTGCTCGTTTCCCTCTTGCTCGGTTGCTTTGGAGAGGCAGCATCGCTCAGGACACTCGAGCGTCGCGAGGATCTCAAAGATGTTCCTCCCGCGTCAGCTTCGGGTTGGACTGTCCCTTTAAGAGGTAGCAGTACATGCGGGCCGACTGGATTCTGTAAGTTCCAATGTCGATTGAAGCCCTCGTCGAATCTGTGGCTAATTTCCCATAGGCAGTGACAGTCTCACTCCACCACCTTCCAACAAGCCTCTTTCCTACCTTGCATTGGCCGTTGGCATCTATGCCTTCACGTGTGATGGCCAGGGTCCGAGTGAAGACCCTATGTACCAATCACAGTCGACCCAGCTATACAATGCAGCACCTCTGGTCCCAAAGATTCCCGATGAGGAGACATTCCACTCGCTCGTTCCACAGCTCCACCAGTTCGACTACATGGAGCTCAAGAACTCGACGCTGGAATGTATGGGCACGATTGGGACTATCAACGATACTGCAATAATCACACTTTTCGAGATAGCCACATTTGAGGCTCATGCGTACGAGACAGTGCTGCCTCCTGAGGATGAGATATCCAATGGACGCTGGGCTCATTCACGAAGTCCTGGTAAATCATGGGATATTTATCGTGTCGAGATGGCTGGGGGCACACCACCTACCTGCGGAGATGCGGCGGAAATGGTGGAAGTTAGGTATGCGGCAGAGTATTGGTTCTATCACTCAGAAGGGGAAGACTTATGGACCGACATTGACGACCAAAACTCGGAGGACGCACAGGGGGCCTCACGAAACACAAAGCTGATGATATGAAGTCATTTGACAACTGGGAGAGACCAGTGGAGAGACCAGGACGTGAAAGTGAGCTAGGGCTAGTAGTAGATACATGGAAAGAGCTACAACCTAAAGAATAATAGTTCGCAAAGTGGAAGAACACAGGGCAACCCAAGTTCAAGATATTGGGCAGCGCTTATGTCGAGGAGATTTCCCAACATGGTTGATATCATTTGCATGAACGTGCAACAAGTCGCCATGTGCCAGTACAGGACGGGACAGGACAGCATAGCTTTTTGTAAGAGACCAATATTCAACGAGATGAAGGGTGGATAATGCAACGACTACATATCATGTTCTCGATTAGTGTTGAGATGAGATGAATCGACCTCGATATTCCTAGGGAGAAATAATACCTTGCAAGCCTGGGCACTTGGTTGAACGGAGGACCAAACCTCGCCGATGTTAGAACTGCTGAAATGATGGCATTTTTAAGCCTACCGAGTCCCCATCAAACCTCCGATGTATGCTTTCCTCGGACGTGGCCCTTCGGGAGGACCTGGTGCCCGAGGGTCTCCCGCATACCCCACTAAGACCTTCTGGAGCGGGAGCGTAGGCTTGGTGGAAGCCTTGCCTTTAACGGTAATATAGGCGAGCCTCCAGTGACGTTGTACGTAGGTAAAGCTGCCCACGGCCGCACCCAAAGACACCCATACTCCGTACTCCGTATTGATGTTCCGCAGGTCATCGCTCAGTGTCCGCTTAGCAAGAACCCAAGCGTCCAAGCGTCCACGTCTCTAACTTCTCGAGTCCCTCAATTCCCGTCCCCCTCCACCTCCCACCATCTCTTCTGTGCAAACAATTGGGAAGATGATGTGCAGACGCTTCATCCCGCCGCAGCAATCATCCACACGACAGTTCATTTTTCTGACCCAATACTGACATCGTCGTCCTTGGTACCATTTGACCTGGGCTTCCAACTTATTTGAATCCCAACAGCTTTAGCCCGCCACTCACATACCTGCTATCTTCCACACCTCGTATTTATCCAGCGATCGATCTATCCACTGATACGGTTCCCTGTTGGGAGGCTTGGCCTCATCTGTGAACGACTGACCGTGCCTCTTGCGCCGCAGCACGCCTCGACGCTTGAATTTCCGAGTCTGCAATCTTGAGATGCTTACGGTACACACCAATTCAGTGTCTACTGGTGGAGCATCGATTGCACTGCCTACAATACCTTCTACACTCTCCGCTCAGCCTAGGTGCTCAGTGATAACCAAAGCCGGTCCACTACTCGCGCCGGGTCACCCCTCGCGCTGAGCAACTTCACCCCATCATGACGTCCACCATTAATGATGATGAACTGTCCATGTCCCTTCCCCAGGGGGACTCTACTCGAGTGCGTTCCTCACTCCCTCCTATTGTCTCTCCACCTGCCAGGATAGACCAGACTCTAGCCTCCGAATCACCAGGCACTGCCCGAGCCATGAATCGCCTGCATCAATACAGCTTCGTTCGCAATATCGGTGAAGGCTCCTTTGGCAAGGTCAAGTTGGCCAGACACAAAGTCACCGGACAAGAGGTGGCAATGAAGACCATTAGTCGGCGAAAATTGATTAGTCGAGACATGGCTGGTCGCATTGAGAGAGAGATCCAATATCTTCAACTGCTCCGCCACCCGCATATCATAAAGCTCTACACTGTCATCACTACTAAGACCGATATCTACATGGTCTTGGAGTACGTCCCCATGGAGTTATTCGACTACATTGTCAAACACGGCCGCCTGGGTGAGGCCAAGGCAAGGAAGTTGTTCCAACAGATCATATGCGCAGTAGAGTACTGCCATCGGCATAAGATTGTTCATCGGGATCTAAAGCCAGAAAATCTTCTGCTTGATAAGAACATGAATGTCAAGATCGCCGACTTTGGTCTCAGTAATATCATGACGGATGGCAATTTCCTCAAGACCAGTTGTGGAAGTCCAAACTATGCTGCACCTGAAGTTATTGGCGGAAAGTTGTATGCTGGACCCGAAGTTGATGTCTGGAGTTGCGGTGTCATCCTCTATGTTTTCCTCGTCGGCAGACTGCCTTTTGACGATGAATTTATTCCTGCCTTATTCAAGAAAATTCAAGCGGGCACCTTTCACATCCCTTCACAAACCCCTCCGGGAGCGGTCAACTTGATCAAACGATGTCTTCAAGTCCATCCCGTCCACCGAATCACCATTCCAGAGATTCGTCAAGACGAGTGGTTTGTCAAAGATCTGCCCGCCTACCTCGTCGACCCTGTGGAGGAGTTCCTAGATACCGGTGTCGATCCTTCCAAAGCAATTGATCCTCGGCAACTTGCCCCTGGAATGTCGCTTGAATTTGTGGAAAAGATACACGAGCAAGTCGTGGGTAAATTGGGCCGGACTATGGGGTACGCCAAGGAAGACGTTAAGGATGCACTGAGCAAAGATGAGCCAAGTGCTATCAAAGACGCATACCTGATAGTGCGAGAAAACCAGCTGATGGTCGATACGCCGCAATACCTTGCCGAGAACCCTGAGTTGGAATCATTTATGGCTTCGTCACCTCCAGTCGAACCAAATTATCCAAACTTCCCCGGTTCACCTCTTTCGGGGCGACAGTTCGAAAGCGTGAAGCCCCTAACACCCACCAGAAGTGATGGCCATCGAACAAGTCGCGCACTCTCTGACACACCTATGCCCTTGAAGGAGGTAGAGAAACCAAGGGTCTCAACCGTCCGTGCTCTCAACACCTCTCTACCACATGTACATGAAGAACTTATGCAGATACGGGAACGAGCAAAAGCGAGAGGTGAAGATCCAGATCTCGCCCTTCATCCCTCACAGGATGTAGACAAGAAAGATTTAGAAAGCCCCATACCCGAAGAAATCAAAGACGAACAAGGGAATCCAATTTACAGGTCTCAAGAAGAGCAGGAAGCTACTTCGAGAGCTCTGAAACCCCACTCAAGGTCAGTCACGCAGCTGAATTCTCTGCGCGAGTCCAAAGACAAACCACAAAGTTTGACTACCGCGAGCAAAGAAGAGAAGCGCACTGCCGCTGCTAAACCCAAGACCAGAAAGTGGCAATTCGGCATTCGGTCTCGGAACGAACCATATGAAGCCATGAAATGTCTGTATGCAGCGCTCAGTGCCCAGGGTGCAGATTGGGAGATCAATCCGTGGCTAAAACCAGAAGTATTTGCAGATGGTGAAGACGAGAGAGATAATCTTCCTGCACTGCCAGTTGACCTTGCTCCTGGCGAACGACACACAATTCTACAGCAGAGATATGATTTTGTGGGTCCTGAATATTACATACCTCGCGATGCATATAGCATACGGGCGCGCGTGCTTAAAAAGGGTATGCTGATGCCTGGTGAGGCTCCGTCCCTTTCGGCTCATAGTTCGGCCGTTAGTCTCCCACAGGAAGCGCAGAATCAGCTAAAGAAGCACATTGAACAGCTCGGGTTGTATGCGGAGGACGAGGTGAAGACGGTTTTGGGGGTGACTCAGTTGAACGGCCACAACACTTCCAATGGTGTACCATCAAAGAGCAAGTCACCTCTGAGCAGTGGACACAGTAGTAGACAGAATACCGGTACAGGCGAATTCATCTCCTTAGGCCAAGACGCTTTCACTGGACCTGGACAATCACTAAGTCGACCGGACAGTCTTGCAGCATTGAACAAGAAAATACCAAGTGAAAACATTGGAGTATGGGTTTTCCTTGACATTCAGCTCTACGCACTCGAGAGTCAAACTTTTGTGGTGGACTTCAAGTGTGATGGCTATCAGAACGTTATCTGGCATGATCCAAAGAAGGACCAAAACAGAAACAAGACACCAAGCAGTAACAGTGCTGTTACAAGCCCTTCAACCAGCCGGCCAGCCAGTGGGTTTGGAGAGATGAGCCATGCGAGTTCCGACCGTTTGGAAGATGAAGCTGCAGGAGGATATTGGCGACCAGTTAGCAAGAGATACAAGAATGTTGAGAAGGAAATCTCAAGTCCTTACCCATATCTTGATGTTGCGAGCGACTTGGTAGCACAATTGGTGAGTCTCCCAGAATCGAATTAACCTTGAAGCCCCGGGACTAATTTGGCGCAGTGGGGAGGCAGTGCATGAGCATGGTTATCAAGACCAGGATGGCAAGGCGTACTTGCGTGCATGATGTGAAAAGATCATGCTTTTGAGAGATAATGAGCAACGAGGCGCACTGGCGTCGATGGACCTGTAATGGAAGAATCAACTCGCTGAGTCTTTGGGATAGTAAAAGAGGATACCCTGATGGTCAGCTTTAGAGTCCCAAAACTGGCTCGCGGATGGATTGAAAAGGATCTTCCCTTGGCTGGAATCGATTGCTGTCTCGACTTAAGGCAGATAGTTTGCCCCAAATGAATCATTCAGAATGTACTATTCGACAATAGAGGTCAAATAGGGTGGGAAGCTGGTCGAACTCACCTCCAAAGCGCCTCCTGCGTATCAGTTACAAAAGCAGCAACCTCGTCAGCCTCAAGGTCACGTGTTGGGTAGCTTAAGCCGTGGGGACGATCTTAGTTCCAACGACAGACAGCTTTCGACATCATCATACACGTACCTCTCTCTTTTTCCGACTGCCCCCTTTCCCTCCACGTCTTAAGATGTATCTGCCATGAAATCACTTACAGCTTGCTGAAACCAATGTGAGAAGAACTCTGCCTAACGCGCCGCGATTCTTTTCTCTCTACTGAGAAGGTCGCTCGACAAGAAGATCCTGCTGTTGTCATTTTCCCAGGATCCAGGAACATTAAGAAGCGTCAACAAGATTTAAGATTACGACTCGAGACGCTCGATGCTATAGATAGCCATGGCATCCATTTCCAAGTTCCGCGCGTGGTATTCCAAGTTGACGCCTTATTTCATCTATGTCCTTCTCTCGGCGACCCTTGGCCCGTTGTTGTTCGGATACCATCTCGTAAGTCCACTGCTCGCTTCCTAGCTTCTACCCATAAGTGTTTCTACGGGAACTCTCTCTCCCTCTACCAGGCCAAACACGACGTCTCTATCTTCAACAACAGCTAACCATGTGGAATCAAGGCTGAGCTCAATGCACCACAAGATGTGCTCACGTGTGTTCGGAAGATTGGGGTGCCAAAGACCCCAACGCCACCACCGTTGAATCTACCACAATGCATCCCCATGGACGCGAACCAACTTGGCCTCGTGTCCTCGATCTTCACGCTCGGTGGGCTCTTTGGCGCTCTGGCGTCAGGCTCGCTATCCGCTCGCTACGGTCGATTACGCGTCATGCGGATCAATACTCTCCTGTTGGCATTCGGGCCACTAGCTGAGGCGTTGGCGCCGAACATCGGCGCGCTAGCATTCGGCCGCTTCATCTCAGGCCTGGGTGCCGGCGTGTCTGTCGTCGTTGTGCCGATTTACATCAGCGAGATCGCGCCACCCAGCGAGAAGGGCTTTTTCGGCGCGTTCACCCAAATTATGACCAACATGGGTATCTTCACGACTCAGGTCCTCGGCTATTTCCTCAGTCGCGGCTCATTGTGGCGCATTATCCTCGCCGCCGCTGGAGCTATCGGCGTGGTGCAATTTTTCGCATTGATAGGCGCCGTGGACAGTCCGAAGTGGACAGCCGAGAATAGAAATCCCAGGCAGGCGAAATTAGATCTGTTGAAGATCAGGGGCGAGGCGGTCAATGTGGAGGAAGAGACTGCTGGCTGGAATGGAGCAGATGACAGTGATGGTAAGTCCCAAATCGCAAAACTGTAAGGCTGCTGAATGACTTCACAATCATACTTACACACATTTAGAAGAGCAACAAACCCTCCTCTCCGCCCCAGATGCACAGAGCACCAATCGACCCACTAAACAACCAACCCTATCCATCTTCGGCGTCCTCTCCTCCTCGACGCACCGCGGCGCGATCCTCGCCGTCGTGGTCGTAATGATGGCTCAACAACTCTGCGGCATCAACAGTATAATCATGTACGGCGTCTCTTTACTCTCCGATCTGCTGGCGGCAAACTCCGCCCTCCTCAACATCCTCGTCAGCGTACTCAACGTGCTCGCCACCACGGGCTTCGCGCCCCTCGCAGACATCCTGGGCCGCAAGGTGGTCCTCCTCGCCAGCATCGGCGGGATGGGCACCTCGAGCGTGCTCCTCGCGATCGGCATCCGCGCGTCCATCCCGATCCTCTCGGCCGTCGCGGTCTTGGCATTCGTCGCGAGCTTCGCATTCGGACTGGGGCCTGTCCCCTTCATTTTGGCCTCGGAACTGGTCGGGCCCGAGGCTGTGGGCGCGACGCAGAGCTGGGCGCTCGCCGCGAATTGGATCTCGACGTTCATCATTGCGCAGTTTTTCCCGCTGGTTAATGAGCAATTGGGCAAGGGGCTAGTGTATTTTGTTTTTGCGGCGCTGGCGGCAATGTTTTTCCTTTTTGTGGGCTGGTATGTGCCCGAGACAAAGGGAAAGAAGGATGCGGATGAGGTTTGGGGGAGGCAGCCAAGAAGGGAGGATTGATATGTTGATGGCCAATGAAGTCTTTGCGGGCTAAGTCCACGGATGCTTTGCAAGTCACTAGGATCTGTGCTCTCTACGAACGCCCAAAATCATACTGTTATTACAACCGTGTCCACGGGCGAAAACTAGATCTAGAGCTGGAGTTTGTCATGGACGGGTTAGAGACTTTCATGCATTTTGGCGCCACTTTTTCCCTCCTCGGTGGGCCTTTGCCATCTCTTCGCTGGGCACATCCAAATCTCTGGCCACTTAAAGTCATAAGATATTACTACTATACTCGGTCCTGGACACTCGTCGCAAGAGGCCACCCGAAAAATCTCTCCAAGGAGGCCGGCTGCCCGAAAAGACAACGACAGAGAAAACAGAAAACGCCCACCTTCGTTCCAGCTCTCCTCGGCCGGACGCTCTACACTAGCTCTCCCAAGCGATCTACCTACATATTCTCGAGGACTATTGTGGGGACTCTGAGGACCGCGCCACGGTTCAGAGTCTGGATAATTCTTGTACTGAGAGAGGATATGGACACAACGCATTGTGTCACTCCCTGGACAACTTGGATATGCACTGAAACTGCGTCTCGACATCAACGCACTCCGCAGAGCAGCAATGAAATGAGCCAGAACCGTGCGCCCCTCAGTGACTGTCTCTCCTCATTCGAGGCAGTGCTCCGTACACGGGCGCAGATGGCAATCACTCTCTCACACCGCGGTGCTGTCTGCTGATCACCACCATGACAAAGAGACAACGGAAAAGAACACATCCGCGCAGTAAACAGCAAAACAGAAGAACCAGGAACGGCCATCATCTCGATGCCAAGGGTTTACAGCACTGAGCTAAGGGCACAAAGGGGGGTGGCTGGCTAGAGGTAGCATGCATGCCTCAACTCCACGATGACCCGACCAGGGTATGATGCGACTTGTGTTTGAGCCAGCTTTTCAGCATTTGGAATCCCCAGCTCCCAAGTCTGTCTAGCTCAAAGGATCCGAGCATGTCGCCCGAATACTGTACATACTAGTCACGACAGCAAGTAAATTCACGGAAGCAATCGAGCGCAGAGATAGGAAAACTGACTTCAAGGTAGAATTTGGATCTTCCTTAATTCGTGGATCCCCAGGCTGCAAGGCTGCGCTGGCAAACCTCAGCATGTAATCTGGAAGGACCTAGTCTGGAGTTTTGGTCGATTTGTCAATCAGACCTGATTTCTATTTCCATCAATGGTTTCTGCTTTCCCCTTGGACCCAGGGACATTCTCCCAGATGATTTCTATGAAAAAAAGCTTCTTCTCTTTCCAAGCAACCCCTCTTCAAAAAGCTCGAGCAGTTGATTCTTGATTCTTTCCCTTCATCTTCCTCCACACCTGATGACTGGTCTCCCCGCTGCCGTCGCGGATAGATTTCCCAAAAAGCACGAAAAGAACTCCCTTTCCCATGCAGAGGCATGGGCTGTTCTCTCGATCACCTCGCTAAGAAGTAGACAAAACAAAAGTACACACCATAAGCAAATCAGACAAAAATGGTTGAAGACGTAAAACTTCGTCAATGAGAGACATGAAAGCTAGGTAGGAGGGCTCGGTCACGTCAGTAGTGAGCGCAGTAGCCCCCCTAGTATTGCAGGCCCCATACACTTTTGTCTTTCCCTTCCCGCAATGCAGCAAATATAACTTTCTTAAAGCCAATGCAGCATTTAGAAGCTGAGGGATGGGAATGCTGGAGCGACTGGTGGAACAAAGTTAGTTCGAATTCTGTTTCCAGGAATAAAGTAGAAACTTACCTTCCATGATGGCGGGTCCGAACAAGATGTCGGAATCACTGAGACGGCCGCCAGAGATGTCGATAACGGTGATGAAGACGAAGACCTGGCCGCCAATACCAGTTGGGATGTTGACGTTGATGCCTCCACGGTTGAATTGTACAGCAACGGAGATGACGTTGAAGCCGGAGACGAAGGTGACAAATACCTGCACAACTCTGCTGAAATCGTGTCGAGAGGCACCGAAGTCTGGAACCAAGTTGATGGAGGAGCCGCCAAATGGAGCGGAGCAGCCACGTTGACGGGAGCTTTGGCGAGCAGAAAGGTCTCGTCGTTCGGGAGCAGCAGTTGGCTCAGCACCTTCGGAGGTCTCAGTGGAGGTCTCGGCGGTCTCAGCTGCGCTGGTAGCTGCATCAGTAACTGTAGCGCTGTCGGTGACAGTCTCGCTCTCAGCTGCAACCGCGGTCTCGGTTGCAACAGCAGTCTCACTTTCGGCGCTGGTCTCCGTGATCATGGCGCTGTCCATGCTGGTCTCAGTTGGGGCAGCAGTTGTCTGGGCGGCCATTTCGGCTGGTGGTGGAGGAGCAACTTCTTGAGATGATGGGGGAGGCGTGCCGCTGTTGTCATGAACCATTTGCTGGACGCTCTTGCCATCAAAGCTGTTCTCGCGGAAGCAGCTCTGAGAATCGGAAATTGCAAGGCCAGGGAAAGCAGTGAATGGCAATGGTGGGTTGTTCGATGGGCAAGAGACGATGAATTGAGCAGCAAGAGTGAAGACAGCGTTTGCACCGAGAGGAGTGGCAAATGGATCTGGTGCACCAACTCCTCCAATGCTGGTCCGCTGCAGGGATGTGTGGAAGGCTTCGACGGCCATGATGGAAGCAGCGATTCCGAGAATGTCTTTGCTTCCGACGAAAGGAGCAGCACCAAGATAAGCAGATGTGCCAACGGACTCGAGAATGGCAGACAACGTGACGAAGGATTGGATATCGGTTACCGGGAAGTTGTACTGGCAAGGCTGGACAGGGAAGTGACCAGCCCCTTGGATGGCTCCGGCAAGCAATTCGACATGTGCGGCTTCATCAGCAGCAATGAACTGCAAGTTGAGGAAGAAATCCTCGTCGAATCCAGCGTCGAGGAAGTGCTGAAGGGTGAAAGTGCGGAAAGCGCTGCGGTAGAACTCATTCTCCAAATGCTCCAATGTCAAAGCAAATTGAAGAATGGTGATGTCGACATCGCTAAAACCACTCTGGCGCGCTTGGAGATCGACAGGATGGGCCAGCGTCAAGCCAGCGAAGAGAGTGCTCAAAGCGGAAAAAGTGAATGCTTTCATCTTGGGTGATTGGGTTTAGAAATGTTTTTCTGTAGGTGTAAAAGTGGGGAAAGATTGTTGTAAAAGGTGGAATGAGAGTGACCGGCACGAGTAAAGAATTGAAGACTTATCAAAAGCCGTAAAGATTGAAAGAGACTTGTCAAAAGTCTTGAAAAGGAATGAAAGACAAGTGCTGTGGAGTTGATGATGGAGAAGACGGGTCTAGACAGAGAACATCAAAGGTAATATATACTCCTCGACGAAGATGATTCCAAGATCCAGATCCAGGAAGTGTCATCTTCCGAGTCGATCACGAACTACTGCCTACAAATTGTGACACCGGATAATCGAGTGTATCGTTTCAACTTGAGCTATGGTGTTGTATCAACCACGAACGCCAAGATATAAGGGACCATGTGAAAGATCATACCGGAGACTGCTAACTTCCGAGCGAGGCGAGGCTTGGAAAGGAATCGCTGGGATTGTTGAGCCTCTGGCCTAGCCTTCCAAGGAAAATGTGCCTTGGTAGCTAGAGGTTATGGGCGGGTACTCGCTACTCCGTACCCTCGATGGGCACGGATCTTGAGAGATCTGGATTTCCCTTGCAGCGTGGTCGAGGCTTTCGTTTTTCCGATCAGGCTAGATGCGAAAGGGAGAGAGGGGTCGCGGCTAACAGTCGCAGAACGGTTTCTTCTCACAGACCTTCAATTTCAGACGACAGGGAAGAGAGTGTGGCGAGCCTGGGATACTGGGGGGGTTGCCTCATTGGGACAGCCGACCAAGTAAGATCTGCCCAAAAGGCTCGGGTCAGGCTGACCGGCACCAGATCAGGGTGCATCCATTGAAATGATGAGACGTTGAAGTGTCTCCCAGTGACCTTTCACGACCCCGAGTAGGAGGAGCCTTGGGGTGGTGGAACCCAGACCGGAGGCTCATGTAGCCGGTCAATGGTGAGGAGAGCGAGGAGAGTGAGCAGGCCTTGTGAATGGGCTAATCTGCTAGAGTGTTTCAAGGAAGAAAGCGATCCCGTTCTTCTTGTGGGAGAAGCCTCGTCACGTGCGGGCCAGCCTCTCGCTGCTCTCACAGCAGAGTTCCAGATAAAGCTTGGCAGGAGCTTGTGCGGCTGATCTAGACCAGAACAGGCTAAGTACGGCCAGTTAGCCCCAACATTTGTTGATCATTGATGTCGGCAGGGGCGTCGCTTCCCATCAGACAGAGACATGCCCTCCTCTTCAGACTTGTTATTCACCTCATGCCGAATCGGTCATGGCAACCCGTCGGTTGCTTTACTTAGAAGTTAGTAGCCCTCGCTAACAAGGCGACAGCTACCGTGTACTCCCTAGGACGACTATACTGGCAAAATTTTCAAGTTGCCTGTTGAAATGCCGAGCTGGGGATTTTGACGAGGCTGGTGCGGCTCTCAATCCCTCTCTCCATCTGCCCTACATACAAGCACATGCATCGTGAATATCTCAGTGTATGCCTAATGCCTTTCGCCACACACCTCGGAAGTTCCTATGTCTGGCATTTCTGCATGACACGGATGCGTCTTTGACACGACTCCAGACAGAGGAGTGGCCGTGCCATCTGGTTAGGCTATCGGGGCATCCGAATGCCACCCAGCCGGCAAGTCAGGACTCTCGAAATGTTTGATTTATATACAAGAAACCATCATTGTGCTCAGAAAGTGGCGTGGAAGAGGACACCGCCGAGTATACGCATACAAAGATTCACATCGCCAACATTGAAATTCACCAAGTTGCTATTTTAACCTCATTGGCACTGAAGAACTCTTGCCCACAAATACAGCACGTTTGTGGCAAAGAGGGGTCAGAAACCTGAATGAAACCCGACAACTATATCCGCGCCACATGTCCGTATAGCCCCGTGGGCGCTTGGATTTGTGCTAATGCTAGGGTGGCTACACGTTCTCCGGTAGCCATAGACATGATTAGGACCCGGGTGCCAAATCTCGGAGGTCTACCCGGAAATAAAACCTGCCATACATTCAGACTATATCGATGCTTAGAGATCAAACCAAACTCCTCCGATATATATATCAGTCTTGCTACTCGAGCGTGGCGCCCTTTCGAATGCATGGTGTCAACTTCTGACAGATTGTTGCGAATCGCGGCGAGCTCAGACATCCAATCAGATACACCTATTCTACCTAGCAAACGAGCAATGGATTGCTTGATCAAGGCCTTCATTGTTCATTAAAGCGATGCATATGTGCTACAAAGCCTTAGACCAACTTGAACGTGAATCATGTGGGAGCTTGGACACATGGATCTTAGGGTCTTGAAAAACATGACATCGCTCTTAGACTCTCATGAGCAGGCTTCTTTGTCGTCGGGAAGCCAAACTCGGATATCAACATGAGGAAGTCGGTATTTCTTGCTCTAGCCTAGCACTTCTCACTAATCGCTGGCCATAATTTATCACATTCTAATCATACGGACACATGGAGATGATGAGTTTGTAGCCTTTGCAGTGATCTAGCCCGGAGCATTGAGTGCTCCCAGCTCCGCTTCAGCTGGGCTACAAAGCTGTCCATGGCATATTTAAAATGCATCTGCATGAACCTTCCTCTTTGGCGATGTCAATGTTCAACGAGGTCAGTAGCCGGATCCGAGACCACAGTTATTTGTTATCCTGTTGTCAGGCGGGTGATGAGTGAGCAAGTCGTTGATAAGCGCTTGATGGCACTCAAATGCCCTATCTGAGGGAAGGCGCGATTGTGTCGTGTACCTCAAAAAGCTCGTGCTCTCGATCGGATTGTCGATATCATTGATGGGATTCCGAGATCACACCTTATCCAGCCAAATTGGAGGCTGCTGCCCGTTCTAATACATCTTCAGTACGTGCGGCAAAATTCACCCAAATCGACTTACCACTCTGGAATAAACTTCCCCCCCTTGGCGGAGTGCATCAAGGAGCATAGTGAGTAGAAAGTTCTGGGAGCTGATGGGATCAGCCCCTTGGCTGTCTGCTGCTGTTGAATCCCAATCCTGGCCAGCAGCAGCAGGAGGCGGGTGAGGAGGAGTATTGGTAGGGGCTGGATGTGCGTTGAGGAACCTGCAACGGCGTCAATTGAATCTTCCTCGGATGAATCGTGAATCGAGCCCTCGTCAGAGCTGGAATAACGCGTTGGAATGACGACTTCAGGCTCGACCTTGGTAAGTGCAAGCGTACGGGTGGCTGCTTGGGGATGGCTGTCCGTAAGAAGATCTGTGGTGACTTCAGGAAGATCTAGCTTCCTCGAAGGAGTGGGACGAGCTTTGGCAGTAGATTTCTGAGTTGGTCTCGCCTTCTGGTATTCAGGATTGATTTCAATACAATCATTCAGAGATTTAGCCAAAGCATGGATGGTCTTGACGCTGGGTGCTCCTGGCTCGCGTCTCCTCAACGCTTCATTCATGGCCAGTAATCGTGACCTATCCTCTCTTAGAGAGGACGGGAGCTCCACTCACACCGAGGAAGGACCGAAAAAACCATACGGGCGCGCAAGCCCGGCGCAAGTCTTTGCATCGATTGCATCGCGGTCGTTTTCTCACTCGTACAGCCGAACTTTCGTAGGTACAATTAATTTCAAGAACGCCGATGTTCCTTTCGAAGCGGAGTGAATTAACGCATCTCTGACAAGGGTTGCGGAAAGCACGCTGGTGTGCTGTTCTTCCAGAGCCCGAGTTGGCGCCCTATCCGCGCCCACTTGAAGCACGTCCTCCGAGCTGAGCTTTCCTGTGTACGTGTAGATTCGCCGGGCTCTGATTCGCGTCAATAATATTGTAGGACAATCTACATTTTGAGCCTCAAAGTCAAGGGCGTACCTTGGTTTATTGTTGAATGTTGAATGCCGACTACTCTGACGACGCGTCTCAACACCGTTCACGCTTAAGGACTTCGACATTCGAGGATCCTGTGATTTCGACGTTGGGAGTTGGGTTGGTGATACGCTGATCCTAGAATTGACTCGGAAAGTCGCCTGAAGACACACCCTTGCATTGGCGCCACATTGGCGCCCATGGGAGTCCGAAAGACTGGGATCGACCTAGATTTTACACCGGGTTTGGGCTAGTTATAAGTTTTAACCTATTAGTGGTGAATCAAAGATTCAAATTTGACTTAATATCATTATATATGATTATATTCCTCGGAGCGTTTATCCGCATCAAAAATAATTAGCTGTCAGGAACGGACAAGGTATATATAGTTCCCTCAGTGGAAAGAGAGATAGGGAGTCCGGAACCTTCTATAGCGCCGCCAAGCAGGCGCCAAGACTCCAGTATATAAGAGCTGCTCACCGCATGCGGTTCCTCTGGGAACCTCATGCTTTGAGCTTGCTGCGACTGACACGTCAAGGTATTACTTGTAATTGAGAGATAGATCCAACATCGAGACTATTTAAGCTACTCTACTAGTAGTCCTGCCTGTTAGCACGAGTGGTGCCTAACATTAGCAAAATTTTAATTATTAAATTTTGTAAGAGCTTATATTAATTAATATTCGAGTTAGTATAGACTTTATAGTATATTTCTAACTCCTGAGTTAGCCTTTAAGTATAATTTATGCTTTATAAACTGTTATGTGAGGGTTTAGTTAGGAATTTAGAGTAATTCGTCTAACTACCGTATAACGAGGATTCTAAAGCTAAGGAGAGAAAAGAAAAGAGAAAATCTATCTACTGTACGAATAAAGGAAATACTCCCCAGCCTCTCCTATAGTGGGTTAGTATGGTTTCCTGGGAGATAATCGATAGAGAGGAATCACGTAGCTTCGGCTGTACAGTTGTACAGCCCAAAGGTGCACCACGAGTAATCGCTCTAGGGCGTACTCTAGAGCTTTGTACGGGTTCAACCCGTGACATGTTACTAGTATACCATATTAACTTTCAAATTTAATGGAGTTTCTTAAGTAAAAGTAACTTTAGGTTTCTATAGCACTATATACAATATCCTAATCTTTCTAATAGCGAAGAGACATTTTAATGAATGGTTTGCGCCGCGATTTACTAGAGCATAGAAGCAGCGGCTCATGACATCACAGTCCACATTCAGTTCACTGCGCGAGTCTTGAATATTTGTTCACTTTCGGAGGGTCAATCCCTTCAAGTCATTACTACATCCTGTGATTCATGGCCGTCGACAGTCAATATTGTGCCTGCAATCTCGTCCATCTCTCTCAACGTGTAATCAATCAAATAACTCTCATCGACCAATTCTTCCATTCTTCTGTAATGTCGTTCTGTGTAGACTTCCAATGCCCTAAGAATCTCTTTCATCCCTTTGTCGACATCCCCGAACTTCCTCTCCTTGGCCATATCGACAAATGCACTGGCAGGATACTTCTTGAAAAGACAATTTAGAATTGTCTGGGCCACCGTTGCCGTTCGGGCATTGGTATTCCAGTCTCGGACTCTTTCAAGCAAGGAGAAGAGCTGCTGATGGTCGAGAGCAGCAAGCACATCATCGACGGCTTGCACCCCCATAATACTGCTTCGGTCTTTCTCAGAATCGGGTAAACTAACGACGTCCTGGAAGATACGTAGGAGACGACCAGGATGGTTTAGTGCCAGCGACAATACAATGGCTTCCCTGTAGTTCTTGGTAAAGATATGATTTTGTAGCAGTTGATCTTGTTCAATGCGCTCGGTGGCGCGTTTCGAAGCTAGATTGGCAGTTTGGACTGTCGTGTCAGCCCAGAACGTGAGACTCGCGTCAGCCGCTCCAGAGATCAAGGGGTAAGAAATTGCATTTGTAGGACTCTGCATTTTCACCTGAGATGGCTGTGAGATGCAAGATGAGGGAGATGTGAGGGCCCAAACTCTATCACTATGGTTGTCGAGCGTGGCAAGAAGATGGTCTGACTCCGCAGAGGAATAGGGAGACCATATTTTGACCAGAGTGTCGGAAGAAGCTGACGCGATCAGAGGTTGATTTGCATCTGACTGAGCTTCTTTGTCACGAGAAGGTGCCCTTGGTGGCAGCCAGATCACTTTCAGCACAGAATTGCTGTGACCCTCAAATGTCTGGAGGCAAGTGTAGGTTGATAACGACCAAACTTTGATGGTCCTATCCCCCGAACCACTAACTAAAAGTCCACGAGATCCACTCGTACCACCTTCTGGTAGATTCAAGGGTGCTGTTGAAATCGGAGAGAACTGGATCGACCATACTCCTCGCTTATGACCACGTAGGATGCCAGCCACCGACCCATCTTCCAGTGACCAGATCTTGATGGTCCGATCTTGTGAGGCAGAAGCAAACAAAGGAGCAATCGGGCTGGAAGCAATAGCATTGATATCCTTCTCGTGGGCCACTCGTGTAAAAAGGGCTTTGATTCCGCGATGCGGCTCATTCATTGTGGGAGAATATTTCAATTTAGACATGTCCCAGCGCTTGATTGTCTTGTCCTGAGAACCTGTTAGAAGAAATTCAGGCGGGTGATTAGCCGGATTTTTCATTGCAAGACTGTCAGAGGGTTGGGTTCTGGGTAATGCGATGGCGCCCAGAGACTCTGCATGACCAGCGAAGACAGCGAAGCACTCGTATGACGAAGATGCAGGATCTAGTCTCCACAATCTTGCTGTGTTGTCCTTGGCCCCTGTTGCCAACCAGTGACCAGACCAATCCACATCAAGACATATGATTATATCTTCATGCCCCTCAAGGAGAGCAACCTCACTGCCAAAGGAAGGCGGCACCAGTAACGAGGCTTCTGGGTCAATGCTATCCATAGTGGAAATTAACTTAATGCTCTCGGTGTTTGTAGCAAGGGCAAGGAGAGACCTATCCGGCCCCACGCACGCCATGTCAATAATCTCGTCGTAGTTCCCTGATACGGTTCGAATGACGGGTGGTACCTCGGTCAGTGTTGTGTCTTGCAAATTCTGAAGGGGCGAGATGTCGTGCAAACGAAGGGTTTGATCTTGGTGAACTGATAGAAGTTGTTCACTCTTTGAGATTTGTATGATGGACAGGATGGAATCGTTCTCTAGCTTTGCTTTCTGCTTTGGTGTTATCTCACGTCCAGTACCAGTACTCCAGATCCGGAGCACTCCATTTTCGCCTCCAGCGTAACAAAGTTGGCCATTATCCAACAGCCCCCCTGTTTCAAGCGCTTCAAGAGCCGGAATAACTCTTTGCTGCTTCCAATTCTCGGAATTCCAGAGGATGATCGTTCTATCCCTGCTCGCGGAGAGTAAAATATCTTGACCAGCCGAGAAACGAATCGATCGTACGACACTGACGTGAGAGTCCAGCAGGGCTATCGACTTTCGAGAAGCTAAATCCCAGATACGGATGTTGCCATCTTCGCTGCCAGAGGCAAGGCAGATCGAGTTACATGTTGGAGACTCGGGGTCATTGCGCTCACCGCCCCTGAGTTTCCGCTTGCGAGTTGAGTCGGTACCCGCTCTCGAGGCTATGGTCCTTGACTTTCTCTCGAAGAAGGTCAAGGCAGAAATGACACCTCCGTGTCCATGGAACGTGTGCGAAGCATATCCTCCCCGAATATCCCATACCTTTACGCTGCCATCTGCGCCACCCGTCGCCAACAAGGAGCTGGTAACATCAATAGCAGATGACACAACTGGAGTGTTATGGGGTTTCAAAGTCCGAGCCAGAGAGGAAGTAAAAAGGTCGGAATCGGCGGATTTCGTGAGGGTGTATATACGGAGTGATAGAGATCTCGAGCAAACAACCAGATGTGAGCTGTCTGGTGCCAGACATAAACTCGTCACAGGGTCGCCATCTCCTTCTACTCGGCATAGAACGATTGCCGTCTCCGATCTCACCACCAGAACATCCTCATCAACGCATGTCGCGATCAATGTCCCGTCGAGATTGCCAGATATCTCACCCCCAGTGTAAATCGGCTGGATGGTCTTGGCGGCTTCAAATGTTGTCTTGAAGCTGACCTTGGTCGCCATTTGAATCACAGATTGGGCTTCAGGACTGTTCCATGGAAACTATAGAGTAAAAGTCGAAACTCCTTTCAAGCGTGTTCGTCAGTTTGTAATGTAAGGCCTCTGCGAACATCCATGAGGTCGCTCGTCTTCTGATTATTTCTCAAATATTAATTTCTCCCCGGCTCAAATTTCTGCTTCTCCAAAATTTTGAACTGGGATTAGAGTCAAAGACCAAAGGTAACTAGCGCCTCTAAACTAATTAGTTCCCGCTGCATGTTCTTGGCGTCGATCACGTCCCTCCGCTAGTCGGTGGCGCTTCCATGTCATCTCTACCACACGTGGAAATTCACAGGACAGCCTGCATTTGGTTTCGTGGATGCTTCGTCTCGACAACTTCTACTAGACTACGCTGCTTGCGCTTAATGCGATCCAGCTAATTAGAAGCAGGCACCGCGAGGAAGTTTGGTGCAGGAGTCCTGTTGCAACCTCCCAGCAAACACTCCTTCACCATCTGATCGTCTCATGTGACATGATTCTTTTCAAGTCTCAATTCATCTTATTGAGGCTGATGATTCCACCCGCTCTTGCGACCTCTTGAGATGGGCCGACAGTCTTACCTGACGCGATTAGCTTTGGTAAGCGTTGTGGGGGCCCCAACACATTTCCTGTCGCCACGACCGTGACCTCAGACTGACTGCGCCGTTGGCGGTGCCGTCCATTGATGTGGTCTACCAATTATGCATTTCGCACCCATTCTAACAGTAAGGTTTCAGGGAAGATCGCCTTTTGATCCGCCGCTGCACGATGATCATGATCAATTCATTTTAGGACCAAATGTGCAACATGACACTGCGCGGAACTACGTTCAGCAGTTCGATTTCAGAGGTCATCCACGAAACCTCGCTTCAGAGCACTCGACAAAGCGACTTTATCGAGCACAGAATGATGCTCTTGCGACTGTTGGTGTCGTCGTCCGCAAAGCCAAGATGAGCCGTAGTAACTGGCAAGCTCTGACTAACAGCCAAAAGCAGAGTCTAGTTCTGGATGAAAATATCGCTGGGCAAAACTGCGGCATGGTCGACGACCTATTCCAAAAGCTGGCCCTACGATGGATCATTTCATTTCGCAGAAGGCTACTAGTGAGTATGAAAGCTTTCCAATGTGCCTCTTTGCTGATACACCCAGACCTATAAATCATATCTTGGCCTACCTGTGCTTGTGACGATGCAGTCCGAGTGGAATATTGTAGGACCAAGAGCATTCTTGTTTCCTGGATATCCCATGGCAATTATTGCAAGCCTTAGCAACTCTCTCAGGCGTGACACACTAGGCTCCAATCCAGGTGCAACTCTACCTCGCCCATTCACAACCTTCCAGCTCAAAGAACTGCCTAGAATCTTGCTTCGAGAATTGTAAGTTCTATCTTGTGCACAATTCCGATGAGCTAACGATACTAGCCTGAGACTGGTTTGGTTTGGCGCAGAATATCCATTCTATGCTACCTCGATTCTGCAGTCACTCTATCTGCTTCCTCAAGGCGCCATGCCGCCTCTATCAGCGTTGATCCCATCCGCCACCGGTCCTCCCTTGAGTGTCTCGGGAAATCTAGTCTCAACCTCGTGGACATTCTTCTTACATAGGGCCAGGAATTTTGCCCTGAATCCTTTCGTTCTTGCCTATGTACACGACCTCCTCGAACAACGGCTTTTTATGTCCATTTATGCCCGCATCCGCCATTTCGCCCTCAAGCCCGACCGTGCGGATCAAATTTCTTCGTTGCTGTACGCTCAAAACGATAATCAGATCAATTTCGAAGCTTCTACGACCAGCCCCTTGGAGGAGAAGACGAAGGATTCGGACGTCAGATCTCAAACCCTCGCCGAGTCGCTTAGAGTGATGTTCCCCGTCCTTTTTACATTATGGGATAGAATTCTACAGATGCGAAGTGCTTCTCTACACGTGGTCCTAAGTGAGGACATGGAAGCGGAGCTCATCAATCGAAGCTCCTACTACTATTCACAGTTACTTCGGGAAAGTCGTAGGCTGAGTCCAGAGGACCGTCCCCCACGACAGATGTTGCGCATGCAAGCCATCCGATCCGCCTTTGGCGACTATAGTTTGGACCCCGACCACGGGACGCTTAGCGTTGAATTGGCCGATGACGTGGTGAGCCTTGCCGGCAACAGCAACGCCTCTACCTCAACCCCAGACCCGCAAGACCTCTTTTCAGCTGAAGACGTACTGGAACAGCCTTCAGATGCACGTTTCGCGGATGCAGAAAGTCGTGTTGACGCCCAGCGTGTAGATGATACAGGTCACCTCGTGAACACGGATGAACCCGCAGTGACAACGGATGACGTAGCAAGCATTGTTGCAGTTTGGGCAACAGAACCGTCGAGAGTCCCTGTGACATCAGCTTTTGAGCCCACAATTCCTCTAGAATCTCTTCTTGAGGGAGGACCCCCAGACGCACGACAAACTCCAGAGCCGCGACCTGCAACACCGGTGGCAGGAATGTTGCGGGCCCCTAGCTTACCACAAGCTACACCAAGACCACTGCGCCGACCGACCGACCTAGGCGACAATCCTCGTCCCACTCGAGAAGAACTTTTCCATCACCGACGACTGCTGAGGAACGGCGATGACAGTCTATATCGCGTGACAACTTTATCGAATCATCCTGCCCACACTCTTGCTCTCGGTTTTGCCTCAATAATAACTCCAATCTTGATGCTACCTCTAGAGATGATGTTTCTAAGGTCGCTAACCCGGAATTTCCTGATCTCAAGACTCAATGACACCGGAGCGGCAAGGCGAGATCCAGCTCTTGCTGACATTTGGCCATTATCACCACGCATGACCTTGAAGGACGTTGGGGCGTTGAGCTCTCCGGGTTTCTGGGGTAATTGGTTTCTAAGCCTGGGAATGCAAGCCGTCATTAATCTGATCACATGGACTGCCAGCACTCATTTCACGTTGCACCTCAGTCGTCAGTTCGGATGGGGCAAATTTTAGAGACAAAAGGCAATCTGAGTATTGGGTATTGAGGCCAATTCTGAATACACTAGATAGAACCATGTTATTTAGTCTGCAGAATTCCAGCCTGCAGAAGTCCATTTCAAAGGTAGCAAAGATCAGAATAGTAGTGATTGTGGAGCACGCAAAGCCTTGTACTACTGCTGAGTCATCAAGGGCAAGGCTGGTCCACGAGTGCCACCCCGCATTAAAGATGTTTGTTTGGTTTGCTCAATGTCTGCGTTCATGCTCAAATTATCCGACCTGAATTTAACAAGAAATTTTACATCGCTCACAATGTCGAAGAGGAAATCGGAAGAGCCCTTGGAGCGGATTCTGGACGACGAATCTCCTGTCAGCAAGAAGGTGCGCATTGAAGATGCTTCAGAGGCAAACACAATAAGTACAAATGGCGTATCTCAGCAGGCACACCAGGACATGACGGTTGACTTGAATTGCGCTGGTGAAGCGAATACCTCGATACAAAACAATGATGATTCCGACTCGGAAGCTGAAGATGACAAAATTTCTGTGGTCCCTCTGAGGCAGAGCGCCCCCACTGAAGGCTACAACGACTTGTATCTGGACACAATAAACCGATCCCTCCTCGATTTCGACTTCGAAAAGCTTTGCTCCGTTACCCTCTCAAACATCAATGTCTACGCATGCCTAATCTGCGGGAAATACTTCCAAGGGAGGGGTCCAAAGTCAGTTGCATACTTCCATGCGCTCGAAGTTGACCACCACGTTTACATCAACCTAGAGACTCAGAAAGTCTATGTACTCCCTGAAGGCTATGAGGTGCACAACAAGAGCTTGGATGACATCAAATATGTGGCCGATCCAAAGTTCACGGAAGAGGATGTGAAAAAAATGGATAAAGAAGCCAAGGAAAGTATGGATCTTGGGAACAAGAAATATCGGCCAGGTTTCATGGGAATGAACAATATTAAAGCCAATGACTACCTCAATGTTGTGGTACAGGCGCTTGCACATGTTGTGCCTATACGGAATTTCTTCCTCCTACACCAGTTTCCACTAACAACGTCACAATTGCCAGTTAGAACGAGCACACTGATTCGGAAGCTTTGGAACTCAAGGGCATTCAGATCTCATGTGTCACCACATGAACTGCTACAAGAGATCGCACTACGATCATCGAAGAGATTTACGTTGACCCACCAGTCCGATCCAGTGGAGTTCCTATCATGGTTTCTCAACAACCTGCATTTAGCATTGGGAGGGTCTAAGACGAAGCCTCTATCGTCGATCATTCAACGGACATTCCAAGGCAAGCTTAGAGTGGAATCGCAAGCGATAACCGCTAAATCAGACACAACTGGCGATCGTCTGAGGTTTGAGGACTCTTCCAACATCACGACTAATGTTTCTCCATATTTAATTCTTACTCTCGATTTACCTCCTGTCCCGCTATTCCGAGATGCAGTTGAATCGAAAAATATCATTCCTCAAGTCCCTCTGACCACGTTACTGCATAAGTACAACGGTATAAGCGCCTCTGAGAGACAGGCGAATCGGATACGACATCGACTTCTACACCCATTGCCCCCTTATCTCTTTTTCCACATCAAGCGGTTTTCCGTCAATAAATTTGTGTCGGAAAGAAATCCAACTATTGTGACATTTCCGTCGCCTCGGGGGTTGGATATGTCTCCGTATGTCGAGCCGAATCCTGCCATTCATCCTCCAGGGGAACCAATCTATTACGAAATGGTCGCCAACATCATTCTAGACACTACATCTGTGTCCACGGGAGGTGGAGAAGACTCAAACGCCGCTGACGCCGCTAACAAAGCCGTTGGAGGCGATGGACAGAAATTCGCTTGGAAAGTCCAGCTTCGAGATAAGGCAGCCGCATTCTCACAGAGATCTAATTTGCCCGAGTGGCTCGAGATACAAGATCTTTGGGTGGAGCGTGCCGAAGCCGAGACACTGTTTACAAGGGAGGGCTATCTAATGGTCTGGGAGCGTAAGAAGGAAAAGTCGAAGACTGCCAATGGTAAGGCTAGAGCTTAGGAATCTTCATGTACGAGATACTCCAATGATACGCTTGTGAAATATGTAGCCCATTACACACGACGAGCATGTGCGTCTGTTGCTCCCATTGGGACGCCTTGTCCATCCTTCTCTTTGCCTTGAACCGCTGTCATGAAGAGAACTAAGGCCTTTTCGCAAGCGGCGAACTCCGCACAGAATTTCCCTCTTTCCTGAATTCCTCAAGCACGATGATCGTGCGAGTATGTTTGCTACCGTAGGCGGATGATAGGTTCAAAAGGCGGAATGACGAATTCTAATGATCCTTGCAAAAGCTAAGAACTGAATCTCTAAGCTGTCTGCCGCTCGTTCATCTCCCAACTCTTTTATCATTTATAGTTCCGCTCCAAGTGAACAAGGCGCGTTGAAACCATGAAGATGTTGAAGGCTACGGCAACGTTGCTTTTAGCAGTGGCCCTGGGACATGCATCTGGGCTGAGTGATGTTCAAGAGCCCATTATAGCAGCGAGCTTGAATGTAAGCGGCAACGGGAAGCTCTCGGAAGTGATAGCTTCATCGCCCTTGCTCTCGCTGCACAGAGCCATTTGTGAGGTCGAATCCGTGTCGGACAATGAGCTACCTGTTGCGAAGCTCATAATAAAATTCTTGGAGGCCCACAATTTCACCGTGAAGACCCAGAGCGTTCCGCCTCCAGATGCTACAAACGATACTCAGGTACGATGGAATATTTACGCATATCCAGATCCGTCAAAGTACGGTGGCAGTCAAGCAGAGACGTCGCAACCATCACCGAAGATTCTCCTAAGCTCACACATCGATACTGTGCCTCCGCACATCCCTTACTCCTTGTCGCTGCCGAAAAAGGCCGATGATGGCCAACTTTCGTCCTCGCGGAAGAATATTTTGATATCTGGGCGGGGCACAGTTGATGACAAAGCTTGTGTCGCGGTTCAAATCCAAACAATCTTAGATCTCCTCGCTAACCATTCTACGGAGATTGATCCGTCCGACCTCGCGCTGCTGCTTGTTGTCGGCGAGGAGCAACGAGGGGATGGAATGAGGCATTTCTCGAACTCAGAGCTCTACCGGAAGACCAAGTCGAATTACAAGGCCGTGCTCTTTGGTGAACCAACGGAGGGAAAGCTGGCTGCAGGGCACAAGGGGATCTTCATGGTCAAGGTCAATGCACACGGCAAGGCCGCGCATTCCGGATATCCCTGGCTTGGGCGGAGCGCAAACAGCATGATTCTACCTACGCTATTGACACTAGATAAGTTGGGAGATGTTCCCGAGGCAGAAGGAGGCCTCCCACGCAGTGAGAAATTCGGCAAAAGCACGGTCAATGTAGGCTATGTCCGCGGCGGAGTTGCTGGAAATGTTGTCCCAGAGTTTGCAACAGCAGACGTGACTTTCAGGCTGGCTGGAGGGACTCCGGAAGAAGTTCAGCACATAGTGCGTGAAGCGATTCGAGCAGCTGACCCAGAGGACTTGCTAGACCTGGAGTTCTCTCAGGGCTACGGTCCAATAAGTTTGGATGCTGACGTTGAGGGCTTTGACACGATCACAGTCAACTACGGTACAGATATTCCTAACTTGGAGCTGCTAGAAGGTGTGAAAAGGTACCTGTATGGACCTGGGAGTATCCTTGTTGCACATGGAAGAAACGAAGGACTGACAGTGGGTGACTTGGAGGAGGCGCTGAAGGGTTATAAAAGTTTGGTGCAACATGCACTGAGGTCATGACTTCGTATATAGCATACCGAGCGCATGACCACCTGGACTCTCGTACAAGAATCTTCCACACGGTAGAATAACTCATAACTCTTCCAAGCAATCGTATAACAGCTGTAATGACCTTCATCATCGTGTGCAAGAATCAACTTCGGATACTAATTGAAAAGTTTCAGCCTTCCCGGAAGGAGAACACGTAGAGGCTACGGAGGAGCATTAGGACCCACAACGATTGCCAAGACCTGGCATGCGCTTTCCTGCTTTGGAACACCACCAGTCGCACTTTCCACATTTTCCTTGGCGCAGCCGAACTTTTGCGAGTTGTGTCTTGCAGTGCAGATGAGTTTGAGGTCGACTTCATTCAACCCACCAACGACATCTTACACATCCTCAGTCTCCGTCGCCAATATCATTCAAGATGGCGAAGGAAGCCGCTGAGAAGACTGGCATCACTGTCGGCTTGAACAAAGGCCATGTGAGTCCTCCCATCCCTCATTCGATCCGCCGCACGATCCGAACAGGCACGAAAAGTCATCCTCCAGTGGACAACACCAGATCCCAGCTCTTTTGCTTCTACTGGAGATTACGACGCTTCGTCGTTGTTCTAATATTCAGCAATTAGACTATATACTAATCTTTCTTACCTCGAATAGAAAGTCACTGTTATCACCCCCAAGCCTCGCATCAGCCGTACCAAGGGTCACCTCAGCAAGCGCACCGCCTTCGTCCGAGAAATTGTCAAGGAGGTCGCCGGCCTTGCCCCCTATGAGCGTCGTGTTATCGAACTGTTGAGAAACTCCAAGGACAAGCGTGCGAGAAAGTTGGCAAAGAAGCGAGTATGTTCTACCCCTCGACTCCGGTGGCTCAATGTGGTTGGCATGGCAAGATGGACTGCACAAATGGCAACGATTTCCCTGCCTCATTCTTGACGAAAGATACACGCGACTCCCATCCTCATCATATGTTCTTAGTGGGCTAAATTGCTGACAATGTCTCATAGCTTGGTACCTTCGGACGCGCAAAGAGGAAGGTCGACGAACTGCAACGAGTCATTGCTGAGGCGAGAAGAACTGGTCATTAAATTTGATCTTTCATGAGAAATGGTGGTCTGCAGGAGACTTGATACAAAGCTCAAATGACAATTTTCATTTCCGGCGCCACGAAAAACATGTGCTTTTTGGGGCCCGACTCAATCGATGAATGAAGCAACAAAATTTCCATCGTTGCAAAGAAAACTTTCGCCTAGATGAGAAACAGACCTCGTGAGGTGTGGTTCATCCGGATTCATATGCACCAACAAACACCCAGGGAGGACAGCCAAGGTCCGAACCATAAATCGATGAAATCTTCAAAACATTGCCTCGTCTCATATCATTGATCGATTTCGTGTGAACAGACGTTCCTATCAATTGGCCCAAAGTCTAACGGCTGCGTGATGTGGTATACTCATCAACGGATATGTACCTCAATCTCATCTTCATCTTCCAGGCCAAGATCCTCAACGGTACTTTGTGGTTCCAATCTCTCCCCATCAAAAATCAGCCAAGCGGTCTTCCCTTCCTCCAGCCTCTTTGTCGCCGCAAATCCCTGCATCATCTTGCCTACCGATGTATGGGGCCGAACGCGCAGGTTCATTGCGTCCATGGTCTGGCTGACGAGGCGTACGACGATCGTCCCTTTCATTTTCTCCTCGGCCTCCCTCTGCGCCTGCTCCCGCGTCGCTTCTTGCTCTTTGTAATATGCATCGTCGCTCTCATTCTCGTTTTCATGCCCATCTTGATCTCCAGACGCCAGCGCCTTTCGTTCCTTCTCGAGCTGCCGTTCATCGAATATCTCCTGCGTCATAGCTTCTAGCGTGATACGGCCTTGACTCGGGTCTTCGACGTTCCGCTCTACATCTGAGTCGCCGTCGTGTTCATCATCATCATCATCAACGTTGTAGTCGTCATAAACCATCCTCTGCTTTGCTGCGTGGTCGTTTTTCAATTTCTGAATCGGCCCTCGCATGGTCGTGGAGTCGAACAGCCTCGTCCCTCTCCAGGTGAAGAATATCTGTGCTGTTGTCTTTGCATCGAGATTGTTTCGCTGGCACCAGAACTCTCTCACCTGCCTAAGTGGCTGTGAGGCTTTCCGCTTGACGATCAGAGCGTTCGTGTCGGGGATGGTTGAGGTGATGAGGATTTTGACTTCGGGGTCATCGGCCTTCTCCTTCCCTCTTTGCTTTCGCGAAACAGACGTCTCATTCTGTAGGTCCGCATTTGAATTGGATGACCTAGGACGGTTTTGCTCGGCTGACGAGGCTCGTGGGGGCACAGGCGCCGTCAATGCAGATTTCGGTAAGGTGGCCGTGGTTGCAGGAAGGGCCGATGGCCTGTCCCTATCTGACAGGCCTAGTTTTTGCAGCCGTGCCTTTTCTCGTGCCTTTTGTTTGAGCTCTTGTAGGAATTCGTCCTCTTCTTCAGACTCGTAGTCGTCCAACTGTGCTTTGAGTTTAGACAAGGAGGTTCGTCTCGCCTTCGACTTCGCTGGAGTGAGCATAATCAGCTCGTCGTCCTCTGCTTGGCCATCACTGCTAATATCAACCAGGGTCTTCTCCTTATCTTTCTTCTTTGTGGCTAGATCACGCCGCCGTGAGGACTTCAACGACCCCTCGACCTCATCTAGGCCTATCTGCAGGCGTTTGTCCTTGTTTGGGGTACTTCTCGTCACTGGATGATCCTCGACTATCGGCGACTGAGGCTTCTCGCTGGCGCAGCTCGAGGAGGTTTCGAGGTTGTCCGAATCACTGAGAATATCCGTGTCGTCGGCCACGGCCTCCTGCTCCGTAGAGACGCGCCTCCTCTTCGAGTCTCTGCCTTCGTCTTTCCTCCTCAGGGCGCGTTCTCTTGCCTTTTCCTGCCTCCTCTCTTGCCTTTTCTGTTCCGCCATGAGGATGTCCTCGTAGACCGTGTTGCGTCCGAAGACCGTGTCGTCGCCCATAGAGGGCTTTTCCGACCCGGCGGGCGCAGCGGCAGCCCAGGCCGGCTTGGTGAATAAAGATCGCTTTACACCACTTGCCATAATTTGAGGAAGGTGGGCCTAAATTCTATTGCTGCGTGTACATAATCGCGTATATCTCGCTTTCATTGTCGAGGATGTGTCAAGAAAAAGTTCGAGGGGTGATATTCTGGCGCCGCAAGGCAGACGGCCGGAGGCAGCCTTGTGGACAATTGTGACAAATTTGCCAAGCAAGTACAGGCGAGGCTGATTACCAGTTGGAAATTTCATGGCCCATCAAATACGAGAAAGATCTGCCGACTCCGACTCTTGATCCATCGAATGTGATAGATCTCCCAATCTGAATCTCGGTCTACATACGAAGATTTTGATATCACACTGAATCAATCAGATAAAGGCAAATCATTCGGCTTTAGGATAGTCGTTCTTGTTCCCATCTACGAAGGCAGCAGGAGCCGAATATCATCTCCCATGAATTTCGTGGTTCTATATTGCAGCTGTTGATTCCCGCGTTGCTTTCCTAGTGATACGAACATCCAACAACTTGTAGCCTTAGAGGCGCGGTGTCCCATGTGTGGAAGGGCCCACCCCAGTCGGATCTTCTCCAGACGTCCACTGGATTGTAAGTTTGACATGCTCGATGTACCATTTGCCGTCCGACTCCTTTCGTAGGATCCAATTGTAAAAGCCACCTGGAGGCTGTGTCAGTATGCAAACCAATCTGGATAGGATGGTACCATGTTTAGTAGCGCTGACCTTCATCAAAATGGTCGTGATGAATATCTTTATTCTTCAACCATTGTGCGATGCAGTTGGTGCGGACATGTGCCTTTTTCCTGTCGGGACTGAAGCTGATGTCAAAGTTGCTGCTAAGCAGCTGACATCTCTCAAAATATTGGACGGAAGTGAACGCCCAGCTGCCTTTTCCAGCTCGGCCTTTATGTTGACCGAATGGATAGACTGCGATGCCATCGTCGGCAAAAAGGTTTTCCCATTCCAGCCGCTTTGCTAGATCAAAACACGCATCATCGTGGAGAGCCGTGTAGTGATTGAGTAACCATTGGATGGCTTGGACGTCTTGGACATCTGAGAGCTGCCGTCGCAGGAGTTCGACATCAGCGCGAAGAGCCGCGATCTCTTGAACTTGGTTTGGTGTTTGCCCCATGGCGGAGTGAAGGATGCAAACGTTTCAAAGAACACAATCCGTAAAATGCTACATCAAGGAGATTCGAGCGATATGGGTATCAGACCATCTTGGAGTGAAGCTCCCAAGATTTCTTTTAACTTCAGTAACATTCTGGACATATGCTCAAACCCGGTGCAATAGATAGTCGCCCTGAGATTCCAATTGGTTGATCCTAAACCCGATATTCAGACACGCGGTACGCGGTCTCGATCCCCGGCAACCCCACAAGCTACTCCGTGGGGCTCCAGGTCCCGGATCATGTACATGCAGCATCTCTTCGCTTCAAACGTCTCTTTGGCAGTCAGGAAGCAATAAAACATGGCTTTGGATTCTGTGGGGTGAGGTGGATTCAGAACGCTCTGGGGATAGTTCGAGGCGCCAAGAGTTGACCCTTGACACCGAACCAATGGGAATTCCTGGAGGGCCGCGGAGGCTAATATGTCTGTCAATAGGGATATCTGGAAGGAAGTGGGCGTGGAACGAGGCTGGCAACGGCGCCATGTGCTCACTTCCGACAGAGACAAGAAAGCTCGTTAGGCTATAATACTCAGCACTGGGATTGAATACACAAGGTGCACAACACCGTTTCAAAGCCAAGTCATATCCCAGCCTGACCGAAACTGATTTGCGCAAAACACAGATGCTAATGGCCCCAAACAAGCCTTTCTTCGGCCTTGAAGGGGTTGCACTTTCATGGGCAATCAGTTTGACGTCCGCAAGTGCTTTCCTGTTGTTTGGTAAGAAAGCAGACGAAAGCCTGGATAACTGTATGCAAACGATTCTGACCATTGTTCAGGATATGACCAAGGCATCATGGGGTCCATCATTGCAACACCCTACTTTTTGGAAGCTGTAAATATTGAAGTGAGTTTTTAGGAGGCATAAATGCCAGCTTGCTAAAGAGCGATAAGATCAGCGATGCTGAAACAATCTCCACGGTCGTGTCCATATATGACATCGGGTGCATGGTTGGATGTCTTGTTGCTGCAATATGGGGCGGTAGACTTGGTCGCAAGCGAACAATCTTTTATGGAATGGGAATCATGGTCGTCGGTATGCATATGCTTCCATGGCAGATCCTGTGCAAAATTGACTTGGGTTAGGCGCCGTTATTCAATCCGCCTCGTACAGTGTGGCGCAGCTGATCGCTGGGCGAATCGTATCTGTGAGTCTGTTCAGACTCGGAGTAACCATTGCTAATTCTGCTTGCGCAGGGCATAGGAAACGGCATGAATACCGGCACCGTACCAACATGGGTCTCCGAAACGTCGAAGGCACAAAATCGAGGAAAGCTGGTAGCAACCCAGCTATCCATAGCAGCATTTGGCATCGTCATTGCCTACTGGATGAAGTAAGCTGGCCGTTGAGTCAAAGTCGAGACAAATTGTGCTGACTGTATGCTTTCAGTTATGGCTTCTTCCACCTCACCGGTCAGATTGTTTGGCGATTCCCCATCGGTACGCTTGTCCCGGTACTTCAATCTGCCTGATCAAGCTGACCAAATATAGCGTTTCAGATTGTTTTCGCTCTCATTACCATGTGCATCATCCCTTGGTTGCCCGAGAGTCCGCGCTTCCTATACGCAAAGGGACGCAATGAAGAGGCTGACAGCGTCATGAGTGCATTGAAAGCACTTCCAATCGAGCATGAAATCGTTCAAGCCGAGCGTGCTGAAATCCTAGCAGCCATTGCATTGGAGGACCATTTCGGGGAGTACAACTTCAAAACAATCTTTTATGATAAGTCGGGCCAGAAAATCCCTCTTCGCATAGGTCTTGTCTGCCTGATCCAGGCAATTCAGCAGCTTCCAGGTGTCAATGTGAGTCTCTTGTATCTTTTCGACGCAGATCATGTCAACCCGTCCCACTGCTCGCTGCTCGACTGCGTCCGAAGAAATTTTTGAGGAAGCAACGCTGACTGTTGGCAGATGGTCATTTACTATAGCTCGAGCATTTTCTTGAATCTGGGCATCGCTGCAAATATCAGCTTGATCCTTGGGGGAGTCGCTTCATTGTGTTTCTGGCTAGGCTCTTTGGTGGGCATCGCAGCCGTTGAGAAATTTGGGAGGAAAAAGCTCCTCCTGTCCGGATCCCTGCCTATGTTGATCGCGACCTGTATTTATTGTGCTATGGTCAAAGACGGAAGAGATACTCATCTTTGGGTGGCATTTGCTTGCACATGCGTGATCTGCCTCTCATTCGGATGGTCATGGCTTCCTGTGTAGGGTCCCAGCTGGGTGCTAAGTGAACGGGTGCTAACAACTCCGCAGGCCTTGGTTGATTGGTGCTGAGCTCTGTCCAGTGCGTTATCGCCACGTGGGTTCAGCTATGAATGCATTCACAAATGTAAGCTTCACTCGATGTGTTTTAAATTGGACATTTGCTGACGGTGGTAACCCTTAAGTGGAGCTTCACTTTTATCATAGTCAAGGCTGGACCAGTTGGTCTTGCTAACATCGGTTGGAGGCTGTACATCGTAAGTGGAAAATCCTGGGACAACGGGTGGCTTCTTCGAAGCTAATATCAGTCAGATCTTCATCATCTTCATCGCCCTCCACTTTCCAATAGGTAAGTAGTCCTCTAAGTAATCCTCCGCCATTTGTTAAAATGGTATAGTGTGGTTCCTATACCCGGAAACGAAGAGCCTTTCGTTGGAAGAGATCGACACTCTTTTTGTAAAGGACGAGACGTTCGCCCAAACCCTGAGTGAGAAGGCCGAGAGGGTGCACCATTTGGAAGGACAAACGAGCTCAAGTGCTGCATAGTCTCGAGGGTTATTCCACTTATGATGGGGATCATTAACAGCAAGATGGACTATGACACTGTTCTCTTGCAAACATCTGATCCAGTGCGCGAGCCTGCCTCTGGCCTTCATTAACAAGCTGAAGGAAAAAATTCGTGCCCAGCAATTTCATTCTCAACAGCGTCATACAGCCTTCTCAAGACTAAATCCCTGTAATTAGCATGATCTTGGCTGCCAAGCTGAAACAATATTCATCGTCTCTACTAGATACGAGGACCCTCGCGTTGGGTTGAGTGTGCTCATCAAATAGGCTTATTGAAGCTTCAGCAATTAAGTTATGGTAAACTGTCGTTAGAAGTGTTCCAGCATATGACATCATGTGATCCGGGTCACATGATTAAGATGTTGCAACTCACTGCTTACTCGGCCATAGTTCCTTAGAATAACCCAATGGATCTCGAGGAGACAATCTTAATTTATTTGATCCGAGTTTTTGTGCTCGATGCTGTTCATGATGTCAATCAGTGCTCGTGAATGTGGGCGTGGTGTTTTCATTATATGAAGGCTCTCCAAGATGCGTTTTCTTATGATACGTTATCTCATTGAGTACACATCCTTGCGCACAACGAAACGACAGCCATGAATCCATATCGATCCATAGCTCCAGATCTAACGTCCGATACCGCAGGACAGCCAGGGCACATCCCTCAGCCGGCAGTCATTCCGAGAAGAAAAACCGAACAAGCATGCAGCAACTGTAGAAAACTCCGTCGAAAGGTCAGAAGTGCTCACACTCCTAATCATCTGCCGCCAGCCACGCTGAAAATGTTAAGTGCAACGGTGCCAGTCCTGCGTGCCAAACCTGCCTAGAAAATGGATTGCGATGCAGCTATGGAGGAGATATACGTGCACCAGAAAGGCTGACGCTTGCTCGAGCAGTGAAGTGAATTAGCTCTCATTGGGAGATTTGTCAAAGTGTACTGACCGTTATTAGGAGAATAGCCAAGTTAGAAGAACGGCTTCGACTTTATGAAGATGTGAGAATAGACTCAAATTTTAAAACAACAGGGAGGGGCTTCTTAAGCGTCTCTAGAGAACAGCCCACTCATTCTCAAAACGAAAATTCAAATCAGGAAGATGATATGGATCACCTGCTACGAGGGGTGAATCACTTGACTATTTCTAAGAATCCAGAATTCTATGGTGGGTCCTCTCTGAATGCCATCATTGATGAGGTTGAATCTTTGGAGCAAATAGAACCGCCAGCTGTTGAGGAGACAGAAGGGACTATGCCCTCAATAGACACAGACCCATGGTCGATTGGCGGAGAAGGACTACGGTTCGCAAATATGGCGGGCTCTTTCCTCCCACCGAGGCTAATTGCAGATGGATACGTCAACCAGTACTTTCAAACCTCGCATAACCTCTACCCGGTGTTGGAAAAAGCATCATTCATAGGACGCTATGAGCATTTCTGGGGAGGTCTTCCAACTGAGGGACAAGGCTTTGAACTCTGGATCGCGGTGCTGTACATGGTAATGGCTCTTGGCCATCAATGCAGTACCATTGACCCAGATCCCTCCGTCAGAACGCGGGCTCTTGAATGCACAGATGGCGAAATGTGCTTTCTCATGGCCAGGTCAACATTTGCTGACGTACCCTTTCGTGGTGGAGATTTGTCGGCAGCGACCAGCATGTTTCTGGGCTTCATTTGGTTGTATAATCAACAGCGTTTTCACGAGTCTTATGCCATTCTTGGTGCCGCCGCTCGTGTCGGATATGCCATCGGCTTACATCGACAACCAAGTCAACTTGAGAATCCAAAAGTTGCAACTATGAAAACCTTGTGGTGGTGTCTTTTCATATATGAAACTGAACTTGCCACATTCTCTGGACGCCCATGCGCAATACAACCGCGTGAGGTTGACGTGGAGCCATTTCCTCTTGACACTTCACCTACTGATCTGCAGTACATTGAGACCATGAGGCAATTTTCGCATATGACATGGGATGCCTATGAGAAGGTGTACAGTCTGTCATATAGGCACATGACAATAGGTGACAGGATTGATGAACTCCGAAAACACGATGGAGTTTTCGTGAGCTGGTACGATTCATGGCTGCATGAGTCTTCCTGGTCTCGAGAGCCTTATGGTTTGATCCTGAGATTGCGGTATCTAAACATTCGAATCCTTTTGCACCGTGCCTTTCTTAACCTGACAATATTGAGAACCAAGAAAGGGAGAGACTCACGGCAAGAATTGATCTCGGCGGCAGCATCCTGCGTCAAAATGGCATTGTCGTTCGTTACAATAACGACCGAGTCGATTCACATCAGTAGCAGTGGTATCATTCAAGCTGCACTATTCCATGTGATTGGATACCTGTGGAATGCAACGATGACATTACTCCTCTATGCCAAGAATCGATCGATACATGCCGTTCTGAGCGAGAAAGGGGTCCAGTATCAGGAAGTGGTTGCACGGATAGAGCTGGCTATCGAGTTCTTCGCCACTCACCAGGACGGATCCTCAACCGCACAGACTGCAGCCCGAAAAATCACACTCCTGGTGGGCAAACTCCAGGACAGTCAGCGTGGCTCCCAAAGTCTGTCTCCCGAGACGTCTACTTTCATGGCCGCACCCGGGTTGGAATCTCCAGATCAGCCACTTGAATTTCTTTCCGAGCTAAACGACCCAGGATTCATATTTTCTGACAATTCATTCCCGACTATCTTTGGTCTGAGCCCTAGCCCAATTTTCACGAGAGGTGAAAACACGGAAATACTCAGAACTGACTGGCCTGCTCAAGATGATGCTCCACCATTTTATGAGGCGTTTGGTTAAGATTGTTTGTGTCTTGCACCCAGATACCAGGTGCGATTGACCACGCTCCATTGATTGGGTCCGCGACTGACCAGTCGAAGCTTCTCAGAAACTTTGAAAATACTGTTAGCAAGACACAGCATCCTGTAAGAGAAGGAACAAACCTCAACGATGGCTTTGTTTCACCTTCTGGAGGAGCTCGTTTGCTCTGGAGACCAACAAGCGGTGGATACATCCTCAGACCCTCCCAAAAACGGCCTGGAGATATTCCAATTCTGTTGCTTCGCTATGTCTGATGATTGGATACTAGACAATGCCTCTCACGATAGCACTGTCGATTTCGTGGACAAGTTTTCGGTATGCCACCGGGTTTGGCCACCAGGAGCATCATCGTAGTGCGCAGGGTGCCCGCTGTTGAGTCCGACTCGGCAATGATCTGAAGGTGTGATTCTACCTCAGCCTCCTCCTGGGTCATGCCTTTTGCCAGAAAGTGGCCCAACATATCTTTCTTGACTCTCGCGTCTGGACGAAACCTTTCGGAGACTGCTTTCTGAGCTATCCCAATTATAGCCCCTTGTCCAACTTTATCCTTACCCTTAGGCGCGAGCAATCTCTGGACGATGCTGTTTTGAACAAATAACTGCAGGTTTTCATGATTGACTACCAGTTCGAGAACACCGAAGAATTTGTTCGCTATCACGTGATAGTCGTATAAGTCGCTATTTGCCTCGACGAATCCGAAGGAGTCTTCAAATGCCATCCGGATCAAGACATCGAGAGTAAAATACGAAGCAATCTGTGCTATATCAAGGCCTTTGCCGATATATTCTCGTCGAATGTGGCCCAGAGCCTTCACAAGAACACTGTCAATATCCAATTCCAAGGTTCGACCTCTCTTCCAGAGTACTTGAGGAAGTTAACCACCAGAGAATATATCGAGGAAGTTGTTCTGAGCCAGAGTTTACGGCACCAATCAACTTGTCTCTCATTTCTGCATGTTTCTTCTCGTCACGTTCAGATAGAATGTTATTCATTCTGGGATCGAATTTGACACCACCGTACCATCCTCCTCGGGCCCATTTGGACCTTGGCGCACTCAGATGCCTCAAGAGCTCTGAATCATCAGTGACAAGGAGATTCGGACCGATGCGAGCAGACGAACATATAAACATGATTTTATTAGCCCGGAGATTCCATGTAATCTCTTCAGGTAGGCTTCAACCCACCATACATCCGGAGGACGTTTTTCCGTGCCGTGGGCATATTGGCGGAAATGGCTTATTTTGCCAACCAGAGGCCCGTCCAAGCGGCCACTGGAGGTCCCTTGAAATGCGCGAACTTGCGATAGGTGCTATAAGCCGTGGTTCCATGATATATCAGAAATGCAGCGAAGGCCAGAGGCAATACTGTGAAACGCAATGGAAGGCATGGCTACAAGTTACTCGTGTTGGAGATCTACGTAGGTCCGAGAAGCTCGCGTCCCGGCCTGACCACCAGTGCAACGTTTCGCGCTTGCAGATGCTACTCTTGTTGATCAGCCGTCTGCCAACAAACCTTTTGACCTTCGAGTTCGTAGACACGCAGTTAGATCATCATGGACCTACTCCAAGAAAGAAAAGGTCGGTGAAGTTCAAAGATGTGGGGTGTCGCAGACGCAAAGGACACTTGATCGAGATTCACTAACTGCTACCATTTTTTCCCTGACAGTCGATCGAGGATCAGTTAGCTGACTTGGTGTTGCCGTACGAAGTACACAAGTACAGATTGCGGATGGAGCTGTCACGATTGGAGTCTGGAGACAGGCAACGAAACCACGGATGGTATGGTGTGAAGAATCATTCAGCATGGCACCGATTCCTTCTGCGGATTTGATTAAACCCTGTCAATGGATTGCACCAGCTATCTTGCCCACTGCCACGTCACAGTAGGGTTCGCTGTGTAATCGTACCGGAAGCATGGCTAGTTTCCAGGCACGGCATCCCCTGGCTACCCAGCTAAATCGTCTGTCTGCTAATGCAGGCCCGTAGTTCTAGGCCAGAGTTCGCTCTCCGCACGGACGTTTCAACTTGCTTCCAAGCGAGCCTAGACACCTCAGTCCAGTAGGCCGCGCAAGGGTGGACCCAATATTGGTGCATTGTCCCTACCAGCTTTTGAACGAAGCTTTAGCACCTTACTTAGCAGGCCTTCAGCTTCGTTTCGCATGAGGCGATAATTAATAGAGGCCGCCATTAATACGATCCGCCCTGGGACCAGCTTTGGCCAACTCGTGTCGGAAAACGTGAGTTGCTTGAGCTAGAATCAAATACATAGTACATGGTTTTCCTACTAAGGGCGGAAATGCCTAGGGTTCTAGGGGCCGGTAGAGACTTCCCCGATTCCTTCCGTTTACTTAAGTTTAGTAGCCCGTATTGTCCATCTCCATGGCCTACGGCTGGTTAAAAGGACGCCTTCTCGGCGACGTTGGACTCATTAGCTAACATGGAATTATCGTGCCTCTCAACGCGATAAAGACTTACAATATCTTTAAACCAATCCCGGTGCTCCCAAGAGGTTATACACGAATAAAACCAATGGCCTCCGGTAGACATTTCCTTCTTGAGATCGGCTGATCAGAGCTGACACTTGAACCTTGCTAGTTGAGGCGCCCGAAGTTCCAGAAGCGCAGCCGATTGATGCCATTGAATTGACCCTTACCGACACTGACTCTGGCTATGACGAAAATGCATTGTCTACTGCTTCGGTGAATTCTAGCATCTATGAATTCGAACAAGAAAATGGACGTACTTATCATAAAACTGGCAAATATGTCATGCCCAACGACGAAGGCGAGCGACAGCGTATGGACAGTGAGTCACGCCACTTTTTCAAAATCCAGTTGATGTATATTACACCGACACTGACTACTTGCCTAGTACATTACCACAGTTTGCGCCTCGCAATGAGGAATGTATTGTTTTGTGCTCCAATCGAGCACCCAACTTCAGTCATTGATGTTGGAACGGGGACGGGCATATGGGCCCTCGATATGGCCGACGCGTATCCTGGGGCGTCAGTGCTGGGAATTGATCTCAGTCCCACACAGCCTAGTTGGGTGGCTCCTAATCTGGAATTTCAACTTTTTGATCTCGAAGAGACCTGGGATATGCCCCTGAGGTTTGACTTTGTCCACTGTCGCGAGATGAACGGTTTCTCCATCAAAGACTGGCCCAAATACTTTGAGCAGGCATACACATCCATGAAAGCGGGAGGTTGGATAGAATGTCAAGAATTCGACCTCAATGTTATTAGCGATGACCATACCATTCCCGAGGATAGCTGGGTCATCCGATGGCAGAACCTGTGGGAACAAGGTGTACAACAGGCAGGCATGACTGGCAGATGCTATCCCGACAAGATGGCCGACCAAATGCGGGAAGCTGGCTTCATCAACATCAATATCGTTCCGTTCAAGATGCCAATTGGACCCTGGCCAAAGGATCCAGTGCTACGTCAGTCAGGTTTATTAACGCTCGTCGGATTGCTTGAAGGAATTGCTGGTTTAAGTATGAGAGTCTACACTAAATTTCTTGGGTGGTCGGTTCAAGAGATGGATATCCTGTTGGCCAAGGTGAGAACCGAGTGGAAAAACAAGAAAATGCATACTTATTTTCCCGTGTGAGTCTACCCTATGTATCTCAGAGTTACCCCGAGCAGCCTCTGACTGAATTCCAAAAAGTTATATTGTCTACGGACAGAAACCACCTGAACCCGGGAGGTAGCTGTACGCCTCGAAAGGGGAATGTACGAATGTGTCCCAGTCGGCTGTCCGCTCAAGACAAGGGTCACCAATCAGTAAATCATTGATTCAAGGGCCAAGGGCTCAAAAAATGGCTGACGCTGAAATTTAGATTCATCAAATCCCTCAACACCGCAACACTGGTTAGATTCGCGCCGGCCGCTATCACTGCACTACTACATGTTGTTGCCCACGCTGCAAGAGTAAGGCTCTCATAACAACGAGCGAGGCTCGACCACTTGCTCCCAGCCAAAGTATCAAAAGGACCCTCTGACATCCCCAGCTCGAAGCTATTGGGGGGGTGGTTTCAGAGAGCTGAGTTCCCATTGAAGGACTCACTCGCCATACGACGGCCGATCACTGGAGAACTCGAGCCGTGGGCCAGCGCCCGAACATGGACAAAAGTCGCCATCATTTCCACGCGAGCTTCTCAGTTGACTTTGATGAGCACTCCCCATGCCGACCGGTGGGGTTGGAGCGACATCTTACGCTCCTCCATCACAGCGAGAGAGGAAGTATCAAACCGTACATCGTGGAGTCGAGACCACACAATAGGGTTGTGTGTAGGGCCGGTAGCGTAGAGCATGGAGGTCTTCGAGATCTAGCTTCATACAGGTTAGACTTGACGTGGTCAAAGAAGCGCTGACTTAAAAGTTTTCGACTGCACAGGCTTAAGCTAATGCCAACAGTTGAAGTGGTGAACTTGGATACAAAATCATTCATGTGTCGATTTCATGTAATGCTCCTACTCCGTCGCTAGAGTACACTTCTAAGACTTGCAAAAGCAGTCGCCGATCTTTTGCGTCATCGAATACCTCCGCATGATTCAGATCCGGAAACCATATCACTTCGAGAGGCCCTTTCCCGGCCCATTTGGAGTGCTTCCAATCATCGTCAAGCGCATCCTCTTGCTCATACCAAGATTCTCCTTCGACTTCAGACCTGGTCAAATAGCATCCTAGAGTGTTGGTATCGGTGATGATGTCCTTACCAGCCAAGGTGATTGTGCACCTCTTCCCCGATCCGTCTTGGGCAATGGCTCTATGCTCGACATCTTCTCGCCATAGGGTGTTTTCAGACCAGATGAAACGTCTGGTTAAAGTGTACGCTACGTCAGGGTCTGTGGAGGCAAAATAGTGTAGCTGAATCTCGCTGGCGGTGGTTGGCCTCCTCCGCAAGAAATTCCACGCGACCTCAGGAGGGTGGAAGGAAAATGCAACAGGGTCCACAAAGACCATCGGTCCGATCATGTGGCTCGTTGAAGGATCGTGTAGCATGTGCGCTGCTACCACTGACCCGTAACTGTGGCTCATAACGACGCATCGTGTCCAGCCATGTTGGTTGAGGATCTTCTGGATTTCTTGCGCTGTTTGCGCTTCCTGTAGAAAAGGCCCAGTAATGCGCGAGCTGATGGGAAGAATCTCGAGAGCAATCATGCCAATCCCCAGCGGCCTCAGCTCGCTGAGGAAATCCTTGAAGAAGTTCAGATAGAAGTGCAGTCCCACTCCGACACCGTGAATGAACAGGATGGGGATGTGATCTGGCGACGTATGTGGTAGACACCAGTAAGGGATTTGTGGAGATGGGGAACGCTGAAGCGTCAGGATTGCCCAGGGTCGGATGGGCAGCGAGGTCAATAGCCGCGAGAAACCACCGCTGTGGAAGTTAAAGCCAAAATATCGCATGAAGGCGCACATCTCGAGATCTGCACCGCCAATGAAACACTGTCATGAATAGTTAGTTTCCATAGTTGTAGACTTCAGATATTTTGGTACACTCACCACATACCACAGCAGGGGACGATGAATGATAGGCAGCGGCTCAAATGTCACCGCCATGGATGTATGTGTGGACCGACCATCAGGGAACTTCCAGTTGAGAACCTTTTCCGCATGGACGAGGTAGTCCTCAAGCTCATCTTCATTGAGTCCAGACCTTTCAATTTCGTTCCACATCCGCCACGAGATCCAGTCTTTGATATCTTCACGACACAAATCTTCAATGGGAACACCTTTGAACCAAAGGCTGAGGTAGCCACGAGGATTTGGCGTTCCCTTCCATGTCCTAGCGAACAGTTCCTTCCGCTCCTCAGGCGAAAACTTCAGTGGATGTTGTGGAGCTGGGCGGTTCAACCACCATCTCCGTACTCGACAAACGAAGCAGAAGGCGGCCTCAGTGCCAGCGTATGCATCCACAGCATAGAGGACACCGGAGAGCAACGGCGGTCTCCAGCCCGCTAGCCTTGCGATGCAATATGCTGCGCTCAACGGAGCTACTGCCCTTAGTAGCACAATGGAGACTCGGACAAAAGCCCGTGATCTAGGGCCATCTTTCAACATGTCTCGTGTATAGCAGCCAAGTTACTCGTTTCGCGAGCGGCTCTCAAGGCTCCGAGGCCTTACAAAGGGAATCTCGCGTCTATGAGGCAGTGATAATTTGGGCCGCTCTGGCCCGTGCATGGCAGTAATTGCGTCGCCGTTGAACAACGATTATCCTATGTTGCGCTGAAGATCGAGCCTCATCATCGAGGAAGGCGTGTTCGTATGATGTTGCCATCGTGGGAAAGACATGGACGGCCTAGTCAAAATGTTCCTGAAGCGCGTCGGAGACTCTGATTAGTTTAAGGAACTGGGTACAGCATTTGGGGGTCTTTCACAACCCATCCCAGACCTAAGGGAGGTGGGCCGAGGATTAATCATAAATGATACGATTTGCCATGAACAACCCCCAAAACTTGGCCCCCAGACTAACCCACTACAGTGTTATCATATTATCGACTCCGCCCTTTGCAGCCTGGCAACCTCGATTACCATCTGGGTCGATGTAACCATGGCGAGAGGTTTAAATATGCGTCCGGTAACCCGCACCTCGCAAGCTCTTCGATCCATAACAGTCGCTCGCGAGCTCGCTGATCGAAGAGCCGCGACACTATGGCTGGCGACTCAATTGAGCTGCGCCGCTCGCACGACGTTGCGGAGGAGGTAGAGGGAGAAGTCCCTAATATGGACCCTCCACCGGCAGAAGAATATCCTGCAGGACTCCGATTTGGTTTAATAACCATTGGACTCATCCTGAGCATTTTCTTAGCCGCGCTAGACACTTCAATCATATCTACCGCCATACCGAAGATCACAGATCATTTCGGAGCCGTGCAGGATGTTGGCTGGTATGGTAGTGCCTATGCCATCACAAATGCTTCTTTCCAGTCATGCTGGGGTAAAGCGGTGGGTTTTCTTACACAGCTCCTCAGTTCTAGTCTTGCACGGCATTTACTAAGCCATGACTCCCTGCAGTATAAACACTTTCACTTGAAGCGAGTCTTTCTGGTCACGATCGCTATTTTTGAGCTAGGAAATACGATCAGCGCCACCGCCCATAGTAGTGCCATGTTGATCCTAGGTCGGGTCGTCGCGGGGATGGGCGGAGGAGGCGTCATGACTGGCTCATTCATCATTATTGCTCTTAGTACGAAGCCGCAATATCGAGCCGCCTACATGGGAGTATGTGGCGTCACGTTTGGCTGCGCCAGTGTGGTTGGCCCTCTGCTTGGCGGGGTGTTGACCGATTCCTGGCTGACCTGGAGATGGTGCTTCTGGTAGCTCTGCCCTCCAGGAAATACAACAGGCTGGTGGCTTACTATCGCAGGATTAATCTACCGATCGGAGCTTGTGCAGCGGTGATCATGACCCTGGCATTCAAACTGCCTGACACCGCTAAGCCTCGACATATCCCGTGGAAGGAGACCGTCGTCTCATTGGATCTGCCAGGAGCTTTTATGGTATCAGGTAAGTAGAGGATGGTGCCGTCTACTCAGGGCGTACAAGAATGGCTCACGGTAATACTGTTTCCCAGCCGCAATAACATGTTTCGTTCTGGCGTTGCAGCGTGCTGGAGTGTTGACAAGCTGGCGCGACTGGCGGGTCATAACTTGCCTTGCAGCGTCTGCTTTGCTTACAGTCCTGTTCATCGCGAATGAATGGCGACTGGGCAACAAAGCGATGGTCCAAGCACACCTGCTTCGTAGACGCGGAGTCGTTTTCAACCTGATATACATCTTTTTCCTCGCAGGTTTGTTCTTCCCTCTGAGTTATGCGCTACCCATTCAATTCCAATCTGTGGGAAATGCAACTGCTTCTCAAAGCGGCATCCGCCTCATCCCACTTATCTTGGGAGTATCCGTGGCCACGATAATCGCAAATGGAATCCTAACATTTTGGCGGCACTTCTCTCCATTCCTCGTGGTCGGGGGGATCAGTGCAACAGTCGGAGTGGCACTTGTCCACTCTTTGGATACTAATGCAGACGTTAAAATGTGGATTGGGTACGAGATCATCATTGCAACTGGAGTCGGACTCTCGCTCCAAGTACCCATGATTGCAAATCAAACGCTCGTCGGTGCGGAAGATCTCGCTGCGGTCACGTCATTGACGCTTTTCATCGAAAATGTCGGCCAGGCCCTTTTCATTGCATCCACGGAAGCTGCTTTCACTAATGGCCTTGTCTCCAGCTTATCCCGTCTTCTGCCGACGGTGAACCCGGCGACAGTCTTGGAAACCGGTGCGACGGAAATTCGAACCGCATTCAATGATGATCAGATCCACGACATCTTGGACTCTTACCTCTCTGGCTGTAAAACCAGTCATTTTGTTCCTCTGGCGTCAGGGGGTGCAGCAGTCCTGGCTGCGTTGATTGTCGCTGTTCCGTCCGGTCTCAAGGAATATCAAAACCGAGCTCGCAAGGTCTCGTGAGCTCTACTTGGACGGGCGCCGCAAGAAAAACGAGTTCGATCTCCAAGTCTGAAATTGGGGTGCCAAAGCCGAGTCGACTGGCTTTGACCATATCAACTGTGGTCTGAGGGACGGATAGCTGCCGCTAATGTCCCTATGTACAAGACAAGGGGAATTCATACATCTGAGTTCTTGCTTCGCGGTCTGGATACAACCTACGCTGGAGAGGATGGATTACAAGAAGTATCTCTTCCCATCGGCGACGCCGACAAAGCGTCTCTTCAGAAGCCAGGGGCCCACATTCTTTTTACGTTTTAAGGTCTTCTTGTATCATTCCGGTCCGTTTTGCTTTTGTCTCCAATGATGTATGCACAACCATCTCGGGGCGTTACATTCCAATTGACGAAAAGAGAAGCAGACATGAAAGTTGTCAGGAATCAATACCTGGTGTTGACGCAAGGGGTGGGTGAACCATTTCTTGGGGTGGGAATGCTGTCAGTGCAACGGTGTCACTTATTGGCTTCACACACCAACAAAGCCGTCTCCCTTGCGATAAGATTTAGAACAAGCAGAGATGCCCCTGCCGTAGCATTGATCAAAATTGCGAAACAAAATACTCAGGAGCTCTCCATTTCATCTTGGAATTCTCGTCATCACAATTACCGTAGACTAGACGTGAAGAATTTGAGCAGTTCAATAAAGAAAACTGTGGAAGCGCCGCTTCATTCATTTCTCTCATTTGAGTTGTTAGCTCCAGAAACATTGGTTGCATGGCAAAACGCGATTATGACGCCTTCACGATGGCCAAGGGGCCGTCTGTTATTCCTGGCAATAGCTGTCCTCCTAGTCTTCTGCTTGACCAAGACCATGTACCATTCACATCAAAGAAGTGAGATGCTTCTTACCGGCAATGACTATGGCTATGGCTACGGTTTCCAACAGGCCCTTGCCCACCAAAAAGCATTTCAGAGCAACGCCTGACTGAGGTTGGAGGTGTGCACCAAGAGGGCTGTGGTTCCTCCACGCTTCAGCGATCTTGGCCTTGACCCCTGGAAGCTGAGCCGGAACAACAGGTGCAACCTCCACACAACGATCACCACACTCGGTGGACATGGAAGTGTTTCCAGAACGGACCGAAAGCCTCCGCACGAATGTCGCCAAACTGATAACAGAGGCGAGACAGATCTTGCCTGGTCAATAGTACGATACGGTGTGGATCGAAGAGGCGCGCAAGAGTGTTCAGAACTGCAATATCATACAATATTCAGGAGTCTGAGGATGAGTTGCGGAAGATCATCACACTCTATCCGGCGTGATGCGTGGGTTAGAAGACGCGAGGATGACACTGTCGACCCGCTTCATTTACCCCAGGCACAAGGTTCTTGCCACTACGTGCAGCAAATATTCAAGTCCAGCAGCCGCTGTCGGCAAGTTTTCCCTCGCGCGGGTCGTTGCCACCGGGTGGTGCACCAGATCGATTACAGCGAACTTGTTAGCTATGGTGTGCCATTGCAAAAGCAAGGATTCAGCACTACCAAGGAGCAATATGCCTAGGTCCGCAAGTCGTTTTAAGAAGGGAGAAAACCGGTGCATTATGCTGACGACGGTAAATAGCCTTGTTTCTGGGGATGCTGCGAGTAACGAAGTCAAAGAGCAGACTCCAATGCCGCTTGATGAGAAGACGTGAAAGCACTTGCCTAGTTCGGGGACGCTAGTCCATGAGATACATTCGTAGTGATGATTTCAAGTGAGCGATGACCATCACGTTCACTCTACCGGGCATCTCGAGCTAGAGAAAACTAGGACTAGTGCAGATCACCACGCCAAGGCTGCTCTTTGAACCGCACCAGGAGCTAGGCAGATCCAACGTCTTAACACTGAACACTGAACACTGAGTTCCCATATCAATCTCAACAGCAGGCTACTTGCATCGCAGCTCTGCGTATCAGTGAACAAGCCTACTCCTCATCGACCTAGAAGAAAGTCGAGAACCAAAGATGGAGAATCATAACAGCAACGACCCGAAAGACCCCGCGAGCTTCCTCTCGTCCATCATCGGCGTGCCCGTCACCGTGAAGCTGAACTCGGGCGTCGTCTACAAAGGGGAACTGCAGTCCGTTGACGGGTACATGAACATCGCGCTGGAAAAGTGCCAGGAGTTTGTCAACGGCCAGCTGCGCAGGGACTATGGTGATGCCTTCGTGAGGGGTAATAATGGTGAGTGCCACTGCAAATGGATCTCGGTTGTGGTCTCTACTCGCGAAAGTGAATGGAATCCACAGCTGGCTACATGAAGCTAGGCCGATGCTGATGCTCATGTGATGATTGCAGTGCTATATATTGCGAGCGAGTGAGGGAATTGGATACAATCGTTTACCGGACAAGGTCTAAACCAAAGATGAAGGACAATACCAGATACCACCGGACTCGATACTGGGGTTGCAGGCTATATAGCGCCGAGGCTATGGCTCTGGCAATGCGTGCGTGGTTTCACTTTCCCTTCGCGCTGTATAACGATCAGTGTCCATTTATGGTGAGCTGAGCTACAGCAAAACTTGCATGGGATGGGTGGGCGGAGGAAGCAGCAGGCTCGGAGGCGTGTCTTAGCCCTGCGTGAGAGTGAAGCAACCTGAACGGTGTGGAGAGCTATGCTATATCGCCTCATCCACCACTTTTGAGCGGTTCATCGGGAATTCTGCTCGTCCAGAAGAAGTATGCTCGACCATGGACAGCAATTCTACCATCCTGGTCCGCTTGCTCAGCCTCGGCGGCATCGAAGAATGTCCTCTTGACTTTTTCTAGCTGTTCTCCCTCTAGTATGACAATCTGACTGAGTGTCTTCAGTCTGCTCCAAATAGCGTCTAATGTTAGACGGTGTTCATACTCTACGCTGCCTTCACCGATAGGCAAGCCGAAGATGGGATTTGCAAAGTGGAGCGATAGAGGGTTGCTCCGGTTCTGCTCGTCGAATACTTGCTTCCACTTCCCTTCTCGAAACCGGGGCGTGTCGTCTTGGAAAGTGTGCACCACGTCCCGCATGGTAGCTCCCCAACCAGGGTGGATGTCCCATGACATGGGAGCGTTGACTATTCCAATTGAAGGTGATTAGGGAGCAAGTCTAACTCGGACAACGAGGGGGACAAACAATCGTCAATGTTCCATATTCCACCAAAGACTCCCGCTGGCTGGAGTATTCGTGCGACCTCGGTCAATGCTTGCATGTTCGCAAACCTTGTGACGACATCAGATATCAGATGCCTCGAGCTAGATATTGAATGTTTCGTGCTACCCACCAGTGAAATGCCTGCGTCTCTATCAGAGCCGTGATCTCCCATCATGAGAGGGCAGATCTGTGATCAACTTACCTGTGCTGCAACGACAGCGGCAACGCTTTCGTCGGGTATGGCCGAAAGATTTTCGGCGTGTCCATCGATTACCTTCACGCCAGGGAGATTTTTGCGTTCGAGCTCACCACGCATGTCGTCATGAGGTTCGATGGCTACAATGCTGAAACGCTCTGGCCTTGACGCTAGGAGCTCTGTGAATTTCCCTGTGCCGGCTGCAAGATCTATGACCTTTGCACCTTCCACACCTGCAATCTCTAGCCTTTGAAGTAATTGGTCAACTGCTTCTGATGGATAGGTAGGCCGATGAGCCTCGTAGGCAGCGGCAGGGGCAAATCCACTCTGAGCAGATGCCGTGAGCTTGAAGTCGCTCATGATGATCAGATGATCAAGTGCATGCCAGACACGAAGGGATGACGAATGAAATAACCTGGTCAGAGCGGTCCCGGGGTTTTTGTTTTGAAGTCCTGTTCTTCTTTCGATGTGGTGATACAGAGCACAAGCAGCTTGAATTTGTGAAGGGGTTTGATTGATTCAGTGAACAGCGATGAGGGGTAGAGCATGACTCAATGGCCTGTGATGCCTCAACCCCGCTCAACCCCTGTCGATACGCCACCCAGTCCAAGGAGGAAAAAAAATAGTTTAGGCTTGACAGTCAAGCAGAGTACAGAGTATTCATTAATCGAGCAGGAGACGAAGAGACCAGCGTAAGGCCCGAGTAGAACGCGAAAAGGTGATATAGCCCTCTTCCGCTCCCTAACTTTATGAGACATGGTGCTTGAAGCAATTCGATACGATCCTGGCTCGGACTCTACGCCACCTGCGCTGCACATCCTCGATCAACTCCAGCTTCCACATCGGACAGTGTTTGAGAGAATCACCACCTGTGAGGAAGCCTACGATGCGATTAAATCGATGAAAGTGCGAGGGGCACCTGCGATTGCTATTGTAGCAGCTTTGGCTCTCGCTGCTGAAATCGGAACGCTTGCTGTCAAATCACATTTACCTCACTCGGCGGAAGTCGTCCACGAGAGCCTGATCCGGCGATTGGATTACCTGAAGACGAGCAGGCCAACAGCAGTCAACCTGGGCGATGCTGTTGGCAAACTGAAGATCATTGCAAAGAAGGCCTCACTCATCGCCGATGCTGATGGGAGATCTGTCGCACTGGCGTATATTGCCGCTGCTGAGCGTATGCTGGTGGACGATGTGTCCGACAACGAAGCCATCGGTGAGCACGGTGCTCGTTGGATCGAAATAAACACTACTGCTGGGCAGAAGCGGCAAAAGGACAAGAGTCAAGAATTAAAGGTCCTAACGCACTGCAATACCGGGTATGTCCTGTCTCATCCAATCCCATCTTGCTCCCCCCACCTAACAGAGTGGCAGATCCTTAGCAACCGCAGGGTACGGTACTGCCCTGGGTGTGATACGTTCGCTCCGAGCTGGAAACAGTCTCACCAGAGCATATTGCACAGAAACCCGACCATACAATCAAGGCTCACGCTTGACCGCATATGAACTTGTTCACGATGATATCCCGGCAACGCTGATCACAGACTCCATGGCATGTGCACTGATGACCAAAGAAGGTGACAGGCTTGCGGCGATCGTTGTTGGGGCTGATAGAGTAGCAGCAAATGGAGACACAGCTAACAAAATTGGTACACATTCTCTGGCCGTTCTCGCCAGACATCATGGTGTCAAGTTTCTGGTCGCGGCACCAAGAACAACAATCGATCTGGCGACATCGTCGGGAGAGAATATTATCATTGAGGAACGGGCCCCAGAAGAGGTTACCAGGATCAAGGGACCCAAAGTGACGCCCGAGGGAAAGCTTTTACTTGATGAGGGAGCTGAGTTGATCAGTACTGCGGCAGATGGCATTGCTGTGTGGAATCCTGCATTTGATGTAACTCCAGCCCAACTCATTGATGGAGTGATTACCGAAGTCGGTGTGGTGGAGAAACGAGACGGACGGTTTGACTTTGGATCAATCTTCGAAAGACCCTGACTCGATTTCGATCCGTCTCGGTTGCGAGGAAGTCACTCGGAATTTCGCGCGCAAGATGCAATGATTAGCAGCATATATACTTGGATTGTACTGCCTTGAAGCGGTGAGGTTTGGGTTGAGGCTCACACCCGACGATACATGTGAGCAGCACGTGGAGCTGTGGAGCTGTGGAACACCGGCAACCCCTAGGTTGACTGGGAGCCACCTGAAGACATAGTATTTTGCTTCAAGTCCCCTTCCATACTAGCTAGTAATTGGTCAATGCGGTCTTCTATACCGTCCAGCTTCGCTTCGAGGGCTGATGCAGTGCTTTCGCCTCTTCAAAGGATGTTCTGTTAGCAGGGGACTGTACAATGGTGGAACCAGGACCATCACATACTTTGCAAGCTCTTGGAATGCCTTGTCAAGGTTGTTGATTGTCAGTGGACGTCTAGGGCGCTACCATGGTCGAGGACAGGTTTATTCACACCTTGGCCATCTCAGAGTTCAGCGCCTGAGGATGATCATTTTCAAGTAACTGAGATGACTGGGAGTCCGAGTTCTCGGGCCCAGGCTTCTGCTGAGCCATGGCACCAAGTGCGATGAGAGTGGTCGTGATGGTGATCGAGATTCTGAGAGTGATCGAAATCGGAATACGGGGAGGGCAGTTGCCACGAGCTGATGGAGTGTGGGGTGGTGACTTGTGTCATCTATCGCCTGAACAAATAGCAAGGGCACATTGAGATCTGCGCCAGGGTTTCACAAGGAGAAAACCAGGATCAGAGAGAAGCCTATCCGCACAAGGATGGGCAAGTGGTGTTCTCAAGAAGAGATGAGGAAGGAGAAGAGAAGTTTGTCGGGACGGTTAATGGAGCGAACGTTAAGGTCCAATCTAAACCAGATTTGGTTAGGCTTAGGCTTAGGCATGATAGACTTCAGTCTTCAATACCTGATACACCGTGGTACCGAGTCTGGCAGAGGCGCGGAGCCCTCCTTCCCGATCCCATGGATAGCACGGATAGCACGGATATCATGGGTATGGGCTTTCCTTCTTGACCATGTTTCGGCTTCGAAAACCCCACCTTCTGGGACCAGCTTTTCACTCCTCCATCACGAGGTACTCCGTACGTGGACAAGCGAGGTGCCCACCCAAGGTAGGTTCTATACGGCAGTTTGAAGAGAGGACTTGCTACTTTCAGCCTTGGAACTCATTTCATTCTTAACATATGATACCTATGTAGTACAAACCCTTTTTCGTCTCGTCTGGGTGGCTTGGGCATGAGAGTCCACGTAAGACACTGAACCACGCACCCAGTTCATCCTGATTTAGAATTTAAGTTGGCGTTATCAGATTTACATTTCGCGGTTCAGGGTCTGGAAGAATCCCATTTCCCGATCTGGTCTGTTTAGTGCCCAGTGGGACAACACAGACTGAGACGCGGTCATGGAGAAGCTGAACCCCACGACGAGCCCAGGCACCAGAATACGAGGTACCGAAGACTTGTCACCGCACTTCACTGGCAAAAGTCTGTTTTGGTAGTGGAAACACACGCCAAATTGAAGGAATTCGCCGGAAACGGCTCGGGAATTTTGCTGCAACAACATGAGACTGTGAATCTGAGAATGTATTCAGAATAACAGGCATTTGTTTATGTCGGGGAAAGTTCCGTTAGTTAATCGCCTTAAGTTTGTCTGAAAATGGCTGCCCGAGGCTAGCTAGGCTCGTCGACTAACGCGAGCTGAGTTAGCTGGCCGGTTAGCCAGCTGGGTGAGTTGGTTAAGATGTGCCCTGAGTCCCTGACCTGCGGGTGGGTTATGCGCCTAGAGAAAGCGGTAACCGTTCAAGCGCTCGGTGGGGAGCAGCCCAAGGACCCTGCCTACCGGTACAGCTGCGAGGTTAATAATGCCAAATGCCACGAGCCACGAGCCACGAGCCACGAACCACGAACCACTAACCACTAACCACTAACCACTAACCACTAACCACTAACCACTAACCACTAACCACTAACCACTAACCACTAACCACTAACCACTAACC